AAACTTTTTGACAAATGAATTATGATTTGTCTTAATTCGAAGAGGGTTTCTTGTAATTATCGTAGCTCATACAATCAGTAAATACATTTTAGAATAGAACAAATTAGAATAAAAAAACTAAAGTAATCATAAATATTAAATGAAAACATGGTTAATAAAAGTCTTTTTTTTTTTTTTTTTAAAGCATAAATAGCATTTCATTTTTACATTTTAAAGCATGGCCAGTACTTAGTATTTTAATTTTAAACATCTTTCTTTCATGGTTAAGAAAGAGTTAAAGGCAGCAGTGAGAGGGAGTGATGTGAGGGAGGTGGTGGGAGAGAAACACTAAATGTAGCCACTCTATCCATTGTTGTTTTTTCCCCCTTTTCTCCTCTAAAAGTACACAAAAGCAGCGCCAGTCCATTGTGGTGCAAAACAGAGAGCAGGCAGAGCGACCTGGGTCGAGAGAGGAGGAGGCACACACACACACACACACACACACACACACACACACACACACACACACACGCATACACATTCATTCTTTCAGTCTGCCTCCCCTCCATCAAACACAGTTCACAAGCTTGTGAGTCGAAGCCTTCAGACACACATTCATTTGAGTGTACGCATTCACAAACATTCACACACACACAATTCCCAAACTTGCATCTCATGGCAGGACACACACACACACACACACCCACACACACACACACACACACACACACACACACACACACACACACACACACACACACACACAGCATTCAGACCCTTGTTGTATTCACTGGAGTTAAGGTGCATATATCCCTGCTCTCTCCCACGCAGCGCTTTGTGTTGATTGAGCAAGTTGCTCTGGTTAGAGAGGAGATGAATGTGACATTTAAGACTGAAATAACACACACACACACACACACACACACACACTCTCTCTCTCTCTCTCTCTCTCTCTCTCTCTCTCTCTCTCACACACACACACACACACACAACATGCACAGTAAAAGCGCTCTGTCATCATTGTGCTCTCGCCCGAAGGCTGAGATTGTGGATCAGACAAATCAAACCAAAGGCCACCATTAGCCATTAGAGAACATACAAACAGATCTGACCTGAAGTCAGTCCTGTGGGACAGTTACATTAGCCGTCATAGCTTCTCCGATATGCTACGGCATCCTCTTGCATCACATGCTGACTTTCAAGACTCTGTCACGCTCTGTCATGACAGCATGTATGCCTATCCATCTAGTCGCCAGTTATTAGATGGAAAAGCTGGTTTTTGGTTAGATTTAAAAATCTAAGATTTAAAAAGTCACATTGATTTAATTTAACTGTATTTTTGAATGAAATAATGGCCATGATATCATCTTTTTTTCCAGCACTGTTGTTTATCATCTTTTCAGGGAGTGATTATGACAAGCTCCGGGTCTGCTGCTCATCAATAACGCATCAGCTCCTATCCATATGTCTGTCTGAGCATGCTTAAGACGATGAAGTAAAGATAGCATTGTTCCACCATGAGATGCTTAAATAAGCAACGCTCCCGCTACAGTGCTGCACAGCAGAGGAGGGCCCTCTGGTGGTAGCTGCAGGTAATAGCAGCCCTGTTATATAGGTCACACCACTCAACACAGAGCTCTTCTGGGCTCTCTGTACGGCGTGTTTATCTGTGATGAGACTGAGGGGGATCAGAGGCAGACAGAGCTTTGTGCCAGTGCCCATGATGCACTGCACCGAGCCAGATGCATGGATGCCAGGGACCTCGCGGGGGGGTGGGGGGTGGGCTTGGGCTGCTGCGTGTGACACAGAATGAGATGTACATATGCGTTCAAATGCAGGAAGCTTATGTTTCATGGCAGAACGGATGGATGGATGGAAGGCAGGCGGTCCTGATGCTACTTGTATCTCTCCCCAAAGTTGCCAAAGTGTCCCTGAGCAAGACACTGGATCCCATTCAGCTCAAATGCAGCTGTTTTGGGTGACCTTAATCATTTCCACGTAGCTAAACTGGGATGGAAAATTGGAAATCCTGAGGCAGACATTTGATTGGATGTGAGGTTGAGGATGTTGGAAACAGCACCTGCAGTCTCCACCCTTTAGTAGACAACTACAAATGCATCACATCAGCTATTATAATATGGACAGTAACCGTTATTAGCTCCTTTGCAATAAATGAGGGATATAAATATGAAAGAAAATGCTATGTATTATGTAATGACAGAATTTGCTGCTTTTCTTTGTCATATATGATTGGTTGGTTGGACAAAACAAGACATTTGAGGATGTTTTGAGGGGCATTTTCACACTATTTTGTAATATTTTGTAGACTAAATTATCACAACAGAATCAGCAAATTAATCAATAATAAATATAATCCCTTATTGCAGACCTTTGTTCTATCAAATGTCACAAAAAATATTATATTCTAAAAAATAAAAAACCTAAGGTGAGGTCTTCAAATATCTTATTTCTGATCCACAGAGCAAAACCCAAAGATATTGAGTTTACAATCACAAAATAAAAACAAAATTAGCTAATGTTTGCATGTGGAACCAGAGGGGAAAATGTGTGACATTTTGCATAAATTGCACTAAAACAATTAAGTAATTATTCTAATTGATGCCAGTTAATTTTCTGTTGCTCTAAGGATCCATTTATTATGAGCCTCCTTTATACCATCTGCACAAGTTACAGATGTTTTTTGTTCCTTTGCAGCGCTGTGCAAATGAGTGATATGCATGGATATTTGCAATCATATGAATAGCTTTACCCAAAAAATGTTAATAACTGAGATATGAGCTGCAGCCTGCGTTGTAAAAAGCCTGCTTTTTCCTCTTGTTCTATTTTCTTTTCTTCTTCTAAACGGACACAGCTGAACAGAGCAGACGGCCTCACAACATGTCTGAATCACTCTGTTTTTCTGTCTCTCTTTCACTTTTTTTTTTTTTATTTTTCTCACTGGCTGCCTCTTTCTGAACAACTCGCATGCCAACACACACACTCCTACACACACACAGACAAATGCCTATCTTTGTGAGGATAACCTGAACCCTGTGATCTTGACAACATTCATTCCTTAATGCTTGGCTGAGCTGTAACCACTGCATGCCGATGTACTGAATCCTTTAACCACTGTCCCCATTTCAGGTCTAAATCTGAAAAACCAGCCAGTGAAAATCAATTAAAACTTTCTGTGGCAAAAAGTGTTCCTTCAAAGATCAGGACGGCCTGGACTTGTAATAAAATACGCCCAAGCATGGTCTTAAACTTTGATTTATGAGTCAAAAAGTCTTCAAGTCAAGTCAGAGGTAGGCCTTAAAGTAGCTTTTTGCCACGTTTAAGTGGAATTAGTGTTGAAAAAACCAATGCTCAGAGTCAGCCAATAGTCTTAGGAAGAAGTGTGTCATGGCTGCATCTCAGTTTCATGCACACTTTGCCATGAGTAAGACTACCCATTATTCTTTGAATCACAGCTTATGCTTCAATATATTGTAGCATTGGCAAAAGAGAAGCGTATAAGATATTTCACTTACAGTCATGTTGATACTGTCAATGTTATATATCCTGTAATATGTGCAACATATGGGATTTTATTGACACAAATCTTAAATGAGATCAAGTAATGTAACCACTTCTAAATGAGAACCATCTGTGTGGGTCTGTGTTGAATAAGTGCATGTTAAATAGTTTCTATTTTTCTAAAACGGAGAACAAAGGCGGATGACCTAAAGTGAAACATTTCCTTTAAAGGTTTCCTGACAAATGTATACATTTAGAATCAGTTTTAATTTGTCACTTCTGTGTTTTATGTATTGTCTTTCAATGTCCCAGAACTCTTGTATTTCACAGCTAAAATGTTTTATAAGTTGTTCAGTATTGGGACAGACTTATGTATCTTTTATCAACTCAATCTCATATATTTCCAAGAAAAGAAGAGTGTTTAGCTGCTGATCAGAAAGTGTTCTGTGGTTCCAGATACTAGAAAGTATTTATATTAATTTAGTGGAGCTTGGTTACAAACATATGGTATTACTAAGATGTATGAGCAAGTACACCATTATCTGTACTCCAACTTGGCAGGGATTAACCCAGACACTGGTGGTGTTTTAACCAGACCTTGTTAATGTAACCCTCACATGAATGCACGTAAATGTTCTTCTTCAGTCAGTCCACTAGAGGGAGACATAGAGCCACAGAAATTTTCATTAGAGCTTGTGCTGATTTGATGAAAAGCAACTAATAACTTGTGTTTTTTTCCCCCCCTCTTGGCACATTATCCTGTAGGTCAAAGTACATTTTTAGGATACTTGCTATTACATGTGGAGGTTCTTCTGTCAACAAATACCAGTAAAAGAGAAAAGTCCAAGCTGTCAATACTTTTTGACTTCCCTGTATGAGCCTTAAATCCCCAAGTCCATTAATTCCTTCTGAAAATGTGAAAAAAACACCATACTTGTTCGTAGATCAGTTCATTGTTGGTTTTGATCTTTCCATGATATTTGTCCATCATCTGATAATAAAACACCAGTTCAAGTAAACTGAGTATAAATGGGTAACCTTGTGATGGAAAACAAATGTCGAATACTGACTAAAGACCTTCACTGAGTGCATAGATACCCTCCTTTGGGATGTTCTTTTTATTTAAGGTGCAAGACAGTGTTTCATCCCAGTTTGTCCTGTCCTGTCTTTTCAGTCAATCTCCTCTTTCAGCCGTTTGCTAAAAAACTAAATCTGCCCACAAACGATTTCACAAAGAGAGAAGACTGACCTGTTCTCTGTGTCTTTGTGCTTTTTCCATCCCACACTGACAGTATGCTATTGTCATTAGCTAAGATGTCCTAACTGATTTCCATTCTGGAGTCTGGGAAGTAGGTGGGCTGTTAGCACACTGAGCAATTTAACAACATTAGGATATTTTCAGTCGCTGTATCTTTCTCCCTTTTTGGTTCTGTTACCTGAAGCTCTGACTGCTTTACTTTTAGCATTATCTAACGGTTTCTCCTCTCTTTGCCTCTGTTCAGACCATGGCGGAGTACAGCTCTCTGCTCAGCGACCTGTCTGAAAACATCACCAACGAAGACTTGGAGCAGCTCAAATCAGCCTGCAAGGAGGACATCCCCGAGGACCAGAGCAACAACATCACCTCCTCCAAGGAGTGGTTCAGCTACCTGGAAAAGAACGACAAGCTGGCCCAAGGTGAGATATCAAATCATCAGTCAGATCATTGAACGTATATTTTATCACTTCTTGCTATGTTGCTCTCCCCAGGTGAGCATTTGTACAGAGTTGGGCTTCTTATTTTCACATTCAATAGGCCTCAACTGCTGACCAAAACATCTGTGAAAGACATTTCTGATACAAACTAAACATGTTGTCAGCGAACAAGCGTGTTAACAATACTTCTCGTGCAGATAATCTGATGTACATCGAGCACATCTTCGAGATTTCGCGGCGACCGGACCTGCTGACGAGGGTGATTGAGTACCGCACCACCGTGCTCAAGATCTCTGAGGATGACGAGATCGACACCAAGCTCACACGCATCCCCTCAGCCAAGAAATACAAAGGTAATCCAATCAATAGAACATGTAAATATAAGGTTAGAATTATGTATTAGTTTCCTAAAATATCAAACAAATTTTAGACCATTTTGGGAGAAGTTGCTCTGACTGGCTTCCTGGTCTGCCACATCCAGTCACGTTCTGCCCTCTAGAGGGGAAACGGAAAACTGCCGTGACATCCTCTCCTCAGTGGTTCCCAACATATAAATCAGGACAAGATCATTCTGAAGGGGTGGTAAGATGATTAACAGGATAGAAAGGCAGAAAAAGGCTTTTTTTCCTCTAGGATGGATAGAATCACTACTTCATGAGAAAAAAAAATCACCCTTTGATGGAAAAGGGAACAGGGAACTAACAGACATGCACCTGCGATTAGGGGTTGCAAGTACTAATTGCTTAATTTTAAAAAGCAACAAGCAAAAAAGGTCGGCAACTACTTCTCTAAGTCATGACATTGTTCCTAAAAAGTTGTGACACAAAGCTTAAACATTTTAATTTATCCTAAAACCTCAGTCAGTGTTGACAGGGTACTGAAATAGCACCTTTAGTAAATCTCAGGAAACATTTATTTAGTATTTGCAACATTACATTCATTCAAATGATTATATTATGAAGAGAGTGAACTATTGTTGCATTTAAGGCTGTTATAGTTATTGTAGATCTCTTTGTAGTAGTTAGGTTAATCATACCAATTAAACCTTGATAAAAATGTGATTTTAAAGCACAAAACTGTGTTTGTGAATATAGTGCAACTACCTCACCTAACTAACATCATCATTAAAGCCCACCAGATACCAATAGGTATTGATATTTGAGAGTCATAAAAAAAAGAAAATATATATCTATATTGATAACATATTGGATGAATTATTTCCTCTTCTTTCCCTTTTTTTCTCCTTAAGCATGGCTCTTGACTTCGTTTTTGTGTGAAATTTGGTTTAGTATTTGATATGTTTTTGGGGTTTTTTGTGTAAACGATTGAATATAATAATCTGTGATGAGGCAGGTATGTTTCCAGAGGACAATATGTCTTAATGCAATGTTCTTTTCCCTCTTCTCTCAGCTTGCTCTTTGCTTCCATTATTAGGTTTATTTCTTTTCTACAACTTTTTTTTGTTCAGTTCACCGGGGAAATTCAGCTCGCAGCCAACATAAAACACGGGTGCAATGGCCAAATAAAAAACATGAATTCCCCTACTTTTAAAAATGATTAATTGTTTGTTTTGCTCAGTTCTATTCAGGACGCATAATTTGTATCACATGCGCACTAAAAGAACTTGACAGCTATAATTCCTTGACTCTTTTATCCTTTTTCTTACTGTGATGATGACTTTTTTTAAACCGATAGTTGTACATACATTTTTATTACTTCTTTTTAAAATATTTGTCTACTATGTCGTATTAATAGTTGTCGCTTTATTTATCTCCTACTGCTGTTTTAAGGCTGCTTGTGCCCTGTCATTGTGTTTTATCTTCTCAACAGTGTTCTATAAATAAAAATATTCTTAATCCAAAGATCAAATAAGTAAACGCAACATACCCAGACAGAGAAAAAGACTAAATGCTTCCCAAGTGGTCTTTGGCATCTTTAACATTTAATGAACATAATACAGACATTTACTGTACGTACTGTAAATAATATGCTCAGAGCTCCAATGTTTAAAGCATTTGTCTAAAATGATTGTTTATTTTAAATTATACAAATTATATATTGCTGCTTGCAACTTATGATCAAACAGCTCATAAAAAAGAAATGCCCAGATTGATTGTTGTTGTTTTATTACAGATGCATTTTTATAATTTTTTTAACGATCTTGATCAGGGCAAACATTGGTCACACTGTGTTTCCTCTGACGGCTTCACAATAAAAGCCACACTATATTTCTCCAGTTGAGCACTTTTAATGTTAAGCTGTTTAGCTGTGGGAAAGGCTGTTTAATACAGCTCTGATAACACTGAGTGTGATACACAAAACAGTAATGCTGAACTACATGCATGCATCGTTTGCTGTGAATCCCTCGTGCTTTTGTGGGTAATTTGAATGGCGGAGTCCGCCACTAACAAATAGATTTACTATATAGAAAGGGCAATTGCAGAATGTAAATACAATGTTATAATTATAGTTACCTGATGGATATGGTAAATGTTTCTTTTTTTCTTTTTTTCTTTCTCTTCCAACCCCCCACACCCTCCCAAAAGACATCATCCGCCAGCCCTCTGAAGATGAGATCATCAAGTTGGCCCCTCCTCCTAAAAAAGTGTGAGGTCACAACCCCCAGCCCTGATCTTTGCACCTTGATTCCTTCACTCCTGGCACTCCAATCAACCGACCAAGCGTTTATGACCAACCCCATCACTCCCCGACCTCACCCCCCTCACACCTACAACACACACCACACACATACACACACAACCAGCCATGCCACCCTCCTTGCACTAACACATGCCGTGACACAGGACCACGCAGGAAGCCACCTACAAAGCAACCAATCAGATCGTAGCGATGCAACCTCTTCCCAAGCTGAGGGGAGATGGGAAGCTGCGGGATAAAAAAAAGACATTAGAAGAAGAAATCTGGAGACGGACCGACAGTGTATGTGTGTGAGGAGAGAGGAGCCAAAGTCTACCCTCGATTAGATCGCTGAGTGGGTCAGTTCAGAATGAGTGTAATCTGTTAACACTGTTCAGTCTGTGATGCTGTGTTTATGCAACTGTCTGTGTGTGTGCATGTCAGTCAAATTAGTTAATTAGTTAAAACATTCACCCAAGAAGAAAAACTAAAAACCCTGCCTTCAAAACAACAACAACAACAACAACAACTAAATGGTTTTACTTTTCAGAAGTTCTGAAAATGTCCCAAAGCCAATAGTTAACTATAGAGACAATTAAGCTGTGTACACCTTGTATGTACAGTGATACATAACTAACCTAATTCAGCAGTGCTTAATTGTTTTGTTTTTTAAATTGCCTTGAATACGCAAAATAGCCAAAATGTCAAAACTGACAGACTTAAAAATACTATTTGGAGATTATATGACACATACGGAGTTTACATGATCAAAAACTATTTTAACATCAAACCTGCAGCTCAACGTGACACTTAAAAAGTATTTAAACTAATCTTAATCTCACACATATGACTGGTTCATTTCTATGAGGTGTGATCGTTTTAGTGTGTAGTTGCGTTAATTGTTCAGCTGTATTTGTAATGTGAAAGGGATAGTTCGACATCTTGGGAAAGACGCTTGTTCGTATTTTTGCCGTGACTTAAATTAGAAGATCGATACCACATTCATGTCCGTCTTACTGTACGTATGAAGCCACCAGCTAGTTAGCTTAGCTTAGCATAAAGACTGGAAACATAGGGATACAGCTAGCCTGGGTAGCCTCTTTTTTTGTAGGTGTTAAATAAATGAGATGTATTGTGTTAGTTAGTGAGCTGATAGGCAGATTTAGTTACTTTTGGACAGAGCCAGGCTAGCAATATTTACCAATTCCCAGCTAAGCTTTGTGCTAAGCTAAGCTAACTGGCTCATTTAACCGCTTCATATTTAACATACAGCACAAATGTGAGAGTGATATTGATCTTCTCTCACCAACGTCTCTGCAAAAAGGCAAACGAAAGGATTCCCCAGATTGTCTCACTATTTCTTTTAAGCCCGTATAGTGAATTGAAAAAATTATAGTTATCAAGTTATTGTCAAAACTTTAAGTCAAACAAAATGACAGGACAGTCACTGTTCCTCCGCTAGAGGTTCTGTATGCATTCCCTTTACTCTTACGCAGATAATTATATCATGTTTTAAGAGCAAAAAAAAAAAAGTCTAATATTTTAGAAGATATTAAAAGTTGATTTTCATAGGAAACGCCAATATTTGCCTTTAGCTTAAGAGTCATAGCAAGTTATTTAGAGAAAATATTTAGATGGGAAAGTTATAGCAATTATTTCTATACTATGGATGTTCCCGGTCCATAGGTTCTCTTTTCATGAAAGGGATCAGATTGCATGAAAGTCTGTTTTATGAGCTGGTTAGCGATGTAAATAAACAAATAATATATTACAAGAAAATATAGCAGAAATAATATATTGACCCACAGTGTGTTGTCCGTAGAGGACACAGTGGCTCTAGCAGCAAATCTCCACCGTACATTCAGTCTCACCATGTCTGGTTAGGTAACTAAAATCTTTCACCTTAATTTTTATCTAATTTGAAACTAATCAGCGTCTCTGTGACAAATTGAGATCAAATACACTCACAGTACATCTACTTTGGACTACATTAGAGAATACAGAAGTATATTTTGAAAGAGCATATCGGATATTATATTTACTGTGTGAAAATGTTGTGTTGCACGACACACAGGGCGAAAAACACTAAACTTTCTTTCACCGCTTTGTTGCCATTTCATTTGTTGCACAGGAAATAACTGACCAGCTTGTGACTTTTCACCGTCTGAGAGAGGACAGAAAACTAAGGCCTCTGGAAATAAGTGCAAATGAAAGTGAAAGAAAGCCGAGAAAATGTCAAAGAAAGTAAGAAAGAAAGAAAAACATGGCATGTGATAATAAAACATGTCCTATAATAAACTGTACATAAAAATAGATTGTGACAAAGATCTCTAATGAACACAACCGCTCATAACCCACTGACTATGCCATTCCTGCCATGCACCAACATAATAGCTAGCAAGACTGTTGAAACTAAACTATAATAACTGCTCTTTTGAACACTGTGTCTCTTTTTTCCCCGCATTGAAGCCTTAGCGGACTTTTGTGTTTACCCCGAAAAATTTTTCAGAACTGTGAGAGATTTGTGTGTGAAGCGGAGACAGACGCCGGCACACACGTCAACTTAATCAGAAAAAAGAAAAAAATACACAGGGCTCTCACTTTTTAAAGAGAGTGATGCTACTTTTATTCTGAAATTTGCTAAGGACTTCAGTGTTGGTGTGTACAGAATGTCTGTGGGTCTATTTCTGCCCCCATCTTTGTTGTTATCAAAGCTGTAGGATCAAACAAATGAACCAACATCATAAAAATCTATCAGTTTATGATTAGTCGTTTCTCCCCTCCCTCCCTCCCTCCCTCCTCTCCCTCACCACCAAACTCCACTCCAACCCCTGTGCCAACGACCAAGACTTTTATTTCGATCACAGTTTCCGTGATCTGTTTTTTTTGTTGTTGTTTTTCTTTTGTATTGCTCGCCGTATATTGTAGTGTTGGACTGATTTGTATCCTATGCATTTATGTCTGTAGGAAAACTCTGCACTGTAACATATCCTCCCAACAAATCACTTAATCTAAAGAACGGAACTCTTTAGTTGTGACAAGATCCTGATATTCTTGTGTTGAGTGGCACATAATAAGGAGGAACTGAACGTTTGTAGTTTCAGGAAAGAAAATAAATGATTGTTAATCAGTGTTCATTGTTTCAAACTAGAAAAAAAAAAACTTCTTAGACCAATTATACTGTAAAACTCACATTTTACTATTTTGCAAAGTATTCAAACATTCAATAGTCCTTGTATGCCTGCATTTGTATGGCAAGGTTAAATAGTTGAAAACAGTGGACGATGTTAATTTGCGTAATATTCTAGTTAATCTAGGCCAGATCAAGCTTTTTATAGTATTGTTAAAGGAGTATTCCACCCTTAAATACTTAAACGCTGTAAACCAAAATTCAAATTTAGCCACACAACATGCTTAGTTTAAGAGACACAGCTCTCACTACCACTATCACTCTTTTCAGCTACATGTAAATCTTTTTTGGGATGTTTTCAAAAGACATACCAAAAACAGCATAGTATAACACTGCGTCATAAACTATATTCCAGTATACGCACTGATCTTTTAGAGTTTATAACATTGTTAGAGTATTTCTGGGTGGATTTTTCCTTCAGCATCCAGACTAGCCCTCCCTAGGCCTGACCCCAAGTGAAGCGGTAACTGCCCTCCTACAGCTTGAGCCTAGTGAACACAAAGCGGGACCATTGCATTTATCCCAAAGTTGAACTGAGAGCATTTTGTCAGCCAGAGGGAGGCAGTTGTACTAACTGCTATGACCTGTGGGTAATGGTCTTCCCCAGCATTAAAATGGGTGTGATTATCGGCCATAAATGTTAGATTGCCACTCAACATTTTCAGTGAAGAGTTTTGGTTATTCAAACCAAAAGGCAGGTTTTTTTTCTTTCCAGATCTCAGCATGTGTTTCCATTATTGTACAAAAATATCAGCAAGGGAGGATTTAGGCCATTGTATTTTATTTTATTATTTCTTTTCTTCTCTTTTTATTTAAAGTGCTTTTTGAATAGCAACTTGTGAAGTTAGATGTACGTGAACAAGTGACTTTTATTCTTTTCTTGCTCTCAGAATTTCAGTAGGCAATGGACTCATGTTAACAATCGTGTGGTAGTTTGTCAGTAGTTTGTCCATGCAATATCCGTAAACATCAAAAAAGAAAAAAAATCCAACTGCGTGATGCTCAAAATGCTCCTGCAGCAGTTCCTGTTCGCAATGTATTCACTGGAGGGGTTAAAGTTTCTGTCAGCATCAACGTGGCTGTGCCGCACCCTTTCCCATTTTTTAAAATGTTTTTCACATACACGTCCTGTTTCCGACTCCCCATCAACGTTACCATGGTAACCGTGGCACAGCCCCTCTAACTTCATCACCAGGCAGATTATGTGTTTGCCGTTGCTTAGCGTTTTCCTTTGTAGCCAATCGGCACATAATATATCAACATATCAGTCACAAATGATGTCAGATTTGGATTTCCATGTACAAGGTACATATCAACTTAGAAAATGCTGCAAAAGTATAAACCTACTAAAATATATATGTATTTATGGTGAATACCTGATCATAACCAATACATGAGTAGGCTATTTGATGAAGTAGGAAACGAAGAGGGCAATATGTGCGAAGGTATTTAGCATGTAATGCTAACAGTCAATTAAAATTAATTCAAACAAGAGTATCATTTTCCCTTAAGGATAAGACTGTATTTTGTCTTTTGTTTAGATTTTTTTTTCTTTTCATTCAATTAGGTTGTAAATATGTATTTTGAATATATATCACTGTGTTTGTTTTGAAATTGATTAATTTATTTAATGCCTATATATTGTTGTTTTTACGTATCCCGATTTTGTTTTACTAACTGGAAACAAATCAAGGGGGTGAAAACGTGACGCTTAACGTTCTAACGTTAAGCAGACCATGCATCAACACTTTTATAATTCATGTTATTCTCTTCATTTATGTTTTGCTGTTTCGGCTTTGGGTGATGATTTTCCGAAAAGAAAAAAAAAAAGTGGTATTCATTTCATTGTATTTACTGATATGTAACATATTATGTTTTACTGTGTCGTATTTGATCAGATGTGTCGTGGTCACTGCTTGTAAAATGATTTTATTCAGAGAGTTTCCAAATCATGACAAAAGACAAAAGCAGTCACAAAGTCAGAATCTGCCATTTTGTTCGTATGAGACATGTTGTCACTTGCACATTCAACCAAGAGCAGGAAGATTTAGCGTCTTAAAATGTTGGGCTAGGTGCATGTAGAAAGTTCATGAAATCTTGACACCTGATTTGTAGATTATAGTCTTATAAGAACAACTGAAACGGTTTTAGTATCATCTCAGTTCAGTTCTTTTATTAGCAGATCTTAAGCAGTGTGTTTTTTCATTCTACTTACAAAATAAATAACCAATTGGGTATAAAAAGCAGACAACTGACAACCGTCATCTGAACAATAAACAGTCAAGTTTTGTATGGCACCACAAAGTGTTCAATATTAAATAAATGAATACATTAGTATAAAATAAATAGTCAATGGAATAAATTGTGTAAAATATTCAATTGAGCAGTTGTTGTTGAAGAAACTAGCTCAACAACACTGCTACCAAATTTAGTTAGAGCAGTTCATAGACAGCGTAACTAACATTTTATTTAGGCTGCAAATGCTTCGTTTCCTGGCAGCTAACTAGCTAGAAGAGCAAAAGACACAGTCTGTGGTCGACGAGCTCGCTAATATAGGTAGGTAGCCTGCTGGGGCCAAGTGATTGGCTGAAAGGGCCTTTTGAAAAAAACATATATATTCATGAAATAGAAATGAACTTTTTGTTAATTAAAGTGAAAATAAGATGAATGAATCATGAACTTGAACTAATTTCTTAAATGGCTTCACAATTTATTGCTTCATTTATATATTTTACACAACGTTTTCCTACTATTTATTTCATAATTCACTGTTTAATATCCAACGCTTGAGGCTCCATAGTTTTATTTGCTATTTTCATTTATAAAGTAAGCTGTCAGTGTATGGTTAAAGGGCGCGTGGATGAAGTGATAGAGTGAAGAGGTAACTATATGGGTATCAGTGCTGGGTAGAGTATAGTGTAAGTAGTGAGGAATAGGTTTGGGGTTTTTAGCTGTTAAAGATAAAGAAGTAGAGGTGTGAGCCGAGAGAAATATGCAGGTTCGTACTTTGGGAAACATCTCTGGTGTGTGTGTTGTACAAGATGACACACCTCTGCATCTAGTTAGTATCATTTTGAATGTGGCAGGTATTGCACAAGAATGCTGTACAATGGTGAGATTCATCATTAAGGTGCGTTAATGTCAGGAATGTTGAATGTCTGGTTGTGAAGTTGTGCAGCAGGGTTTATTGTTTCTTTTACATCTTTTCACAGATAAGATCACATTAAGTTGGGAGTTCCTGAATATTGTGCACACCTGTTTTAACAACACCTACTTACTTTTCGCTAGAGCTGCACAACAAAAAATGTTTTTCTTTTCATTTTGACGAATAAAGTTTACATTTCATGCACAAAAGAAAAGCAAGCTTTCACATTGTAGGTAAAAGTGCCAACTCGATTCAGTTGCAAACTGCTGCGGTGGATGGACTTGAAATCATGACGTGCTTGACATTTAGAAATGTCTCATGATGTTAGTGAACAATCTTATTATTTCAGATGGTCACATAAAGGTGTATGGCTTGATCAGAGATTTTCTGAAGTGTGTGTGTGAGTGTGTGTGTTTCAGTAGTGGACAATAGAGGATATTTTGAAGTGTTGTGTTGTCAACACTAATCAGATTTTTGTAACTGGAATTTTAACATAAGGCTGAAAAACATTCCTGTGGTGTGGTTTAGGTTTTATAGGCATCTAACAATTTAGATCTCAGCACGAAGGAGTTGTAGGTTAGAGGAGGTTTTTGCAGAGGTGTCAGACAGGACTTGAACAGCCTAATAATGTGTTAGTATTATACAAAAGCTCTACATAACCTTTTGAAGGTGGACACATTCGTGATGTTTGGCTGAGATTTTTCCCAAAATGCATTTTCAGGCTTTTGAATTAAAATTCATTTTCAGCTGCCGACTTGACTTTTGACAGTTTTGTTCCATTAGTGCAGATGAGCAGCATTCAGAACAAGCTTGAAGAACATCAGCAAACGTCACCATTTCAAACTAAACCTTTTGATTTCAGTACTTGATGAACTTGATTCTAAGGCACTGAGAGTTGCCCCGTGTGCCACTGCCTTGAGAGTGAGTCAGTGAGATGTTTTCTCTTGTATTCTGCTTGTTGTTTTGTGGCGTGCTTCATCCTAAAATGGTGTAACAAGTGACAAGTGTGGGTTTTTTTTTATTTTATTTCACAGAGTCCATCATATTAGTCAACACTTATTGCTCTTAAACAAATGTGATCATTTAGACACAAGGCTGTGAAACAATGTGCACAGGGTTGGATTTGGTTTGGGACAATGAGTGATCAGTTCTGTCCCAGTGACGAAGAAACTGACATGGTTTTTGAGGGCGTGACACTGTGCTTAACAATGCAGAGAAGAGTGTCATTACATCCATTTTTACATTATTGCATACAGCTCATAACGTAACCCTGTTGGATGCCATGGGCTCAATGCTGTTAGAAACTTTTGCTAAGGTTTTCCTCTCATGGGCCAAGAAGTACTTCAGGATTTATTTTGCAATGACTGCAACAAAATATGATATGAGGTATTATTCAAACAAATATAAAGGTGTGGCTTTTTGTCATGATTTAAATGAGACTGAACTGAAATTATGCCATTTTGTCATTGTGCTAAAATGATATAAATATTATATATTAAAATATATTTGCTAACCTATTCCATGTTTCCTGGTGTTGCTTTATTTCAGAGATGGTTGAGAGGTTACAAAGCAAAGGGAAATACAGTTCATTTCAAGGCTGCGTTCAGACTTGACACATATACACTTTTTTGGTCATATATGACTCAGATCTGCTTTTTAATGACAGTGTGAAGAACACAAACTACATGCAATCTGATATTTTCTATTCTGATAAAAGATAAATAAGAACTGAGCACTGAGGCATACAGTGCGAATATAGCCAAAGCTGAACTGATAAACTATAAAATGGTGACTTAAACCTGTTCGTCAGGTTTCACCAGAGTTGAATGAAATCTTCTTGCATATAGTACTTGCATAGAGACTTCACAAGTCAAGTGACAAGTTCACCTTGATAAATGGACACTGAGGTGTTGTGACAACAGTTGTACTGAACTTTTATGGTTGCTGTGCAGTTGTCAGTTTGCAGTGCTGGAGGAAATATTCACATCCTTTACTTAAAGATACCCTGCAGACATGTATTAAGACATACATACATACGTCTGCTTGGAACAAGAATGTGTGTAGGTTTTTTCCAGCCCCCCAAAAAATTATTATTTCACATTAAAATCCTTAAAAAGGCATCTACTCCCTTTACCTCTTTTTCTGCTCGACACAAGATGTCTCCTACTTCACTGTAAAGTCCACTTTCAGTGTTTGAGCACTGGTGGCTTCACATTTCTACTTTACATTTGCATAAGTTGCAAATTGGACCAGGATTGACTTCCAAACTATTTGTGATGTCACAGATCATGCTCCTTGGCCCCGCTCCTTAAAATCAGATTTAAAGTGTGCACAGAGAAACTTTCCACTTTTTTTTAAATTAACGTGAAAACATCCTTCTAGTGTCAAACTCTTGTCGTGTTCTTTGTTTTGAGAAAGGACCTTAAAGGAAGTGTAGCCCTCAACTTCTTTTATTTGAGAGAATAAGTAAACAACACAACTGTGGGTCCGATCTGCTTCACTCGAAAAGCTCCGCTGGATCAGGGGCCCGGAGCATAGTCTGCTCCCTCTTTTTATAGGTTTGTTATTCTGGGTGTCATCCTTTCTGATTGGTAGATGAGTCACTACTCTCCCAGTATAACAAACCATTTTCACATATGTTTTGTTGTGCAAATATCTCACACTCTGCACATACATCATTCTGCACAGATCAAAACATCCAACTGTAGGAACAAGAAGATATATTTGAGGGATTGCAGGATATAATAAGACTAATAATCATAAGAAGTGCCCATCACAACACTTTTTTGACATTAACAGCCATTTTGACATTAAATAGCAGAGCAAACACAGGTGTTGCCAAAAATTATAATAAGGTTTTGTTCCTTTCAGGCCAACAGTGGAGCAGAGAGCTGCTATTGTGCATGTTGAATAGCTGGAAAGGTTCTGCTACACACCCCTTAATCCGCACTGGTTACGCCTATGTTTACAGCTCATAAAGTAACCCTGTTTTGCAATGACTGCAACAAAATATGATATGAGGTATTATTCAAACAAATATGAAGGTGTGGCTTTTTGCCGTGATTTAAATGAGACTGAACTGAAATTATGCCATTTTGTCATTGTGCTAAACTGATATGAATATTATATATTAAAATATATTTGCCAACCTATTCTATGTTACCTGAACTGATCTATAAAATGGTGACTTAAACAAGTTTCAACAAGCTATAAACAAACAAGTATACGGGTGTGGCTTGGGACTCTGGCTAATAGACCCTTTTCGCAGCAGCCATTTTACAGGGCATAGTGGCACAAATGCAGGTGTCACCATAGCAAAGGTTCTTTTAGCAATTACTGACGCAATTAGTGGCCGGATCAATATTCACATAAGTGGTGAGGAAGAGCTCTCCGGTGGACCATCCCACCTAATCGGAGATCTGCACAATATGACCGCAGCTGACATTTCCCTGGTCACGCTCGTTTGACGCCCTCTGGGAAATATTCAGGCTATATTTTTTATTTTCACCAATGAGGATTCTTTGACCTGAGACGAGTGGATATTTGCTGCATGAAGATGTTTGCACACCTTGTGTGGTGAGCTGTGTCGCCGGAGGCCAGCGAGAGTTGCTTGGATGATGCGCCTGTTTGGGGCTCACTGTTAGTTAGGCAGACACCATACAGTGGCGATCCCTTTCTGAGTCTGAAATGATAAGGTAAGATAACAACCCGAGCAGAAAAAAGAAAAAACAAACAGCAGGGCATGACATAGTATGACCTGGAGAGTAAGAGCCGAATTATTCAGGGAACAAATGTGTGTGACTTGCCCTCACAGGCTTTATTATATGCGGTTAAATGGCCTATCCCTTACAACCCTGTTAAACCGGTTCCTCCTCATCAATGCTCTTCACTAGGGAGCCTCACTACGGATCTTGTGCGCGCAAGTTATTATCTTATGGGCACAAGATAATTTACTATAAATTCATATGCATCGCTAACGGCTTCAGATGCACTAAGCTGTCGTATAATGGAGAGAACTCAGCTTATCGAGTTTTATTTTCACCTCTGAATGTCACACCATGAAATTCTTGCTGCATGGACACCTCGGTAAAACGGGCGAATAACAGAAAGTTATCTTTCTCAACTATCTTATCAACCAGCTCACCCACCAAAGACAGAGCAAATTGACTGCTTAAATAAAGCAACGAACACAGCAATGTTTCAAACATAGTGGAGAAATCAGCAAACATATGCCTAAAGCCATAAAATAAGTAACTTGTGCGCACAAGATACAAAATATTTACTTTTGGGGACTTTAGGGACTCAGTACTTCCCCAACAATCAGTGCAGAAAGTAAAAACACTCACATTTAAGATCTTGTAGACTTATGACAGTGCAACTCTGTCAACATTAAAACATTCAAATAAGTTTCCTCTCGTTGCAGTGTGTTTGGAAATATAGTGTTGCAATAGCTTTCTCCTTACATAGATGCCAATCCACAAATAAATAGACTTGAAGCAGGCAAATTACTCTTCAGAGATGTTTGCATGATCACACAAGAAAAAGGTAAGAAATATAACATTTCAGATAGACTATTAAGTGAATTGTTGCTCAACAGTTTTACGTCATCACACAAACAATGCTGAGCATTCTGTTTTAGATTAGATTAGATACTTTATTCATCCCCAAGGGGAAATTCACAGTTTCCAGCAGTATCCACAAACTGATAATAATAATAATAATAATAATAATAATAATAATAATAATAACACAACAACAGGAGGTCAAATTTAAAAGAACTAATAAAATAAAGTAGAATAAATAGCTAAATAACGAACATTGGGTAAGTGTCCTAAGGTGCATGGTCAAATCCAGTGATTGAAAGTCCTAAGGTGCATAGAAAACCTGCTAACAGTAAAACAATTTATTTGATAATACTACGTGTAATAAACTACGGGTAATAAAAGTTGAACTACTACAGAAATGCATGGCCGTAACTTTAAACATTTTTACAGTATTGGGCTGTTACTATTAATATTCTGCTATTCTACTAACATTGTGCTATTTACCTGTACAGTCTCTATATAGTTTTTGTATTTTTCTTTTTAACCATTGCTTTTATTTAACTATTTAAATGTAATTGACAGCACCTACCTTCTTTCACCTTTAGTAACAACATTTATGTTAGTGGGAGAACTACAAACTACTGAACATACTCCTTTCCCTCGGGGGGATGTATGACAATGAACACTTTCTTTATACATTTATTTCAGAAAACAAAATGTGAATGAAAATCAGACAAAATCAACAGCACTTCAAACATTGACAAATGTGGAATGGAAGTAACAAGTTACATTTACCCTTGTTACTGTAACAAAGTCACAAATGTTTTGCATTGCCTACTTCTACTCTTTTGAGTATTTATAAAAAGACATTCAAATCAGCAGCTGCAACAGAGAAGCTGTGTCTGCAATCCCAGGAAAGCAGAACTCCATGTCTAGAGATGAGTCGCTCTGCATTCAACTATCTGGAAAACACATGCATTGAACATGTACAGTGTGTACTTTTACTGTCCGAGGGTAAGGGGGTGAAAGCCAGAAACCGCCGTGTTGCAAAGTGCCAAAAATTTTAGTCAAACACACTTTCCACACTTCCTTCCAATCGGCTTCCTGGCAGGGCAGTTATTGCTCACTTCCTGTTTGTGTGCTTCGTGCTACCGGGTTAGCTCACTGAACAAAAGTCTGTCACTGAGCAGCAACTCTCCCTCCTTCAGCTCAGTCAGGTGCGTGCTCATGAACAACTCAAACTTTGTCTCAGTAGGTGCGAGCTTTGTACTGGGTAACTCACTGAACATCGCCAGAGGGACTCTCTGAGCCAGAAGTTAACCTGGCTCTTATGCGCAACTGTGCTGGTAGGATTCACTTTCACTTACAAATGGAGTTAACTCATTCCTATTTAAGAGTCATTCAAAAAGAAGGCTTCATTCATGAATGTAACATCACAATATAATAATCTACAAAATATAAATATAATGTCATATAATCAACTATTGACTTTTTGACGAAAGGTCATTTTGAGTAGCACAAGGGAAGCAAAGACTGCATTGTTAACAGAGTGTAGTTAAGGCTGCAAAGAGGAAAACAAAGGGATGATTACTGTTTGCTCTTTGGAGTGTGTTACCACCACTACCCATTCATACAGTATAAGATAACTAATGTTTCATTTCATCATTTTTACATTTAGGGGTTCACAAGACGGAAAGTTTGCAATGGCCAGAAGACTAGCTCTGTCCACTGCCAAAAGGGGAAAGATTGTCGTGGGAAGTGAAATCAGAGACTCCATTTCACTTTTGGATGTTGTCTATGCAAATCAGTTTGAAGGACAGTTCATAGATCCGGAAGTTGTTGAAAATACAGAGGAAAACTTTTACAGAGGGGCCCCACCCATTTGGTTAAACTTTCATATTAGTGAGCAGGCAGAGTCAGACGGAACAGGAACTTCTTTCATCAAGCGAGATGGATATGATACACTTGTGCAACAAATTTTCAAAAGGAGAAAAGGCCCTGGAACATCGGCAATTAAATTGTTCTACCAACAAGGATCTGGGGCAACCACAATGGCAATGCAGGTGCTGTGGAAGTTGAGGAAAAACTTCAGGTGTGCTGTTTTAACAGGCTCCACCTCAGACATCACAAAAGTAGCCAAGGAGGTGGTCCACCTTTTCACAGCTGGCAGTAGAGACAGCCACAACACGGTGTTACTGTTACTGAATGATGAGTTCATTTTGGACAATCTCCAAGACAAAATTATGGAAGAGATTGAAAAACAGGAGATTGATATTGATATGCCTGTGGTAATTTTACTCAACTGTGTGAGAGCAAGTGACCACATCATTCTCAAAAAGGAGATTTCTTACAATGTGAAACAAAAATTTAAGAGGAATGAGAGAAAATATGTCATACTCAAAAAAAATCTCTCACACACAGAGGAACAAAACTTTAACAAGAAAAAGGAGGAGCTCAGCAAGAGATACGGTGAAAAATTAAAACATTTTCATGGCTTTAACATATTGCAAACTAATTTCTCTCCGGATTACATCAAGACAGCATGTGCTGTATGCAAAAACATCAAAAAAGCAACTAGACCGCTGAAGACACAGCTTGCTGCCTTCCTGTCCCTGCTGAATGCCTACGTACCAGGTTCATATCTCCTGGAGTCTCAGTGCCTGGACTTCCTCCAACACGAAGACCCAAGTCATGAAGACCTTTCACTGGAGGACAGAATGAAGCCCTTCAGCGATCTCATTATCACCTTCCAACAAGATATGAGAAGTGAAAGAAAAGTCTGCATGGCTCACCCTATGATAGCACAGTGTTGTACTGAAATGATGGCTGAGGCAGGTGTGACCAGAAGTGACACAGCAAGAGACTTGTTAACCTGTTTGTGCAGAGATGATGTTCCTCCATGTTTGCAAGGTTTTATCAAAGACATGCTAACCAAAAGAGAAACGAAAGAAGAGGAAAAAACAAATAATATGCAAACGCATATTAGTAGGGGACCAAAGAGAAGAGAAGAGGACCAAGAAGACTTTTCTAGACTGATTCTACATATTGAGGAGATGGAGGACAAAAAACAGAGTGCATCAGTTTTAAAAGTTGCATCAAATAAATTTGTTAAGAATTGTTTGTTTCCTCAAGCACTTGCTCGATTTTATTACAAAGAACTAAAAGATTACAACAAGGCTGAAATGTGGGCGAAGACAGCAAAGGAAAGAGATGACAAAAAATCATTCATTTATGATACACTGGGTCAAGTCCATAAGCACCATCTGAAGAGCAAAGAGTCTTCTGCTAAGCCAAGAGAAATCTTGCAACTGGCCACAAAGGCAATTGAAGCTTTCAAAGAAGAAGAACGACTTGCTGAAAATGAACTAGACACAGGCATGAAAGAAGATGGCAAGACCAAAGTCTTGCGAGCTTTTAACACCAGAGGGCAGTTTGGTTACCTGCAGGTTTGCAACCTTGTGTATGACCTACTTGTCAGTCAGAATGAAACCTGGAGAAAAGTTCTCACAAAGAATGTGTCCATGGGCTCTGTCCTGGAATCACTTGGAGACAACAAACTCTTCAGATTTAATGATCTAATAAACAGCCTCAGAGATGAAGTTGAGGAAAAATTTAACTTTTTTGATACCTATTTAACCTACTCAGAGTCTGTCATTAAAAGAGATGATGCATCATACGTAGCTAAAGAGACCTCAGAATGCTACAAAAAGTATGTCGGAGACTCAGCACCCAAACACAAAGAGAAATCTGATGAAACAATCCAGAAGCTCAAACAAAAACTGGCTGCCACTTCTGCTGGAGTACTCTCATGTCTTGACAGACAATACCCTGTGTCTGAACTTAAAAAGATTGCTACATGGTGGAATGAAATCTGTGTGAGCAAAGATTCCACTAGACACGCCTTAGCCAACTACATCCTCTCTAACATCATGCTGATAAATAAGAATGAGACTCCATCCTGTTCGGACTATCATAATGCATTTAGACAGAAAATGCCATTGAGCCTGAGAGATGCACCTGAGCTTCACATGTTAGCTCTGCTAATATGTTGGCCTACAGATGATGAAGACACATGTGTCTCAAACCTCAGTCAATTAATTACAAAACTTCAGCGCTCATATGAACATGAATATAAGAAACTCTTTCAATCAAGGTACCTTCGCCCTCTGTTTTTTATCGGAAAAGGTAGAGGCCTGAGCAGAAATGTTCACAGATGGATCCTTGAGACCTTGTGGACTAAGGATGTACTACAAAACTCAAACACTAACTGGAGGAATGAGAATATTTTTAAAGATCCCTTAGTCCAAGAACGCCTTCTTAAAGTTGAAGGAGTGGTGCGAAACTACAGATTGTATGCAACTTTTGGAGGCGTAGAGATTGAGGTGGATGTGAACCGGAAAGTCAGCCTGTGGAAATCAGGTCAAGTTTCCTTTTACCTTGGATTTACCATCAGCGGCCCTGTAGCTTTTGGCATTCAGACAAGAACAGAGGGTAAGAAAGTAAACTATTATTTTATAACTTAATTAACAATTATTAAATATATACATCATGAAAAAATACTTGATTAAGCACAATAACTTAAAGTGGGTTCACCATATATATATTATTTGTATTAGTTATCTTTTAAACCTATGATGCAAATTGAAATATCAATTTTAAGTGAGAGCACAAGAATTTCTGTTTGCTAGGTAATGTTCTTTAATATATTGAGTTTTCTCAACAAGGAAGTGCTCCATCTGTTATTTTGTCTTTTAACTTCCTGACCACAGATTAACATATGACATATAAACATGTTATATAACATAGTTGGGTAAAAATATGTGGTTGATTAATCATATTTCAGACAAACGCAGTAAAAACAACATAATGTTAATAACTTGCAAATAAGATAAGTTAGAATGAGTAATAATAATACATTACATAAAAATGTTCACAATAGACATGGAGCTGCTCCTCAAATATAATATGTATAATTTATTTCTGGTGTCATATTGTTGATCTAATTATTAAAATAACCTATTATTAAAAAAAACGGATTAATTAACATTAAAAGAATGTTCAAATGTTTAATTTTAATGTTTACCAATGTGTCTTCACAAGGGCCTTCGGAAAAGTTTGAGCTTGGAGCTTTGGGTGGTAAGGTAAGTTGTTGGCTTGCTTGTTTACTTTGCAAAATAACTTATCCAACAATTACAATTTTTTTTTAAAAAGGTTTTGCTTTCTGAAACAGGACTCCAGTGATTGGATTGTACTTGAACCAGAAGTCAAAAGAGTGGATGAGGTTAAAACCTACAGGTAAAGATAACATCTTGATATGTACAGAACACAGAGGAACAATGGATGTTTAAATAAGCAGTAGTAGCTAATTATAAAGTTTTGAAAGATCTTTTCACTCAGTGTTTCAAAAATGTGTTAAAAACCAAGGCCACCAAAACAGCAAAGCAAAATTGAGGAACACAGGGATACAAGAGAATGATTCATTCTACCTTGCATACATTTTCTGCCTTACAAGATACTGTACATTAGTCAGTGTCTCAAAATTACACTTCCTTCATATACTTCACATTGAACTATTGTTCTACACAGTTCAATGGGGCAGCTGTGGCTCAGGAGGTATCGTTCACTAATTAGAAGGCTGACGGTTCAATCCCTGGCTCCTCCTGCTGCATCTTTGAGCAAGATACTGAACCCCAAATTTATTGTGCATTGGTATAAGAATGTGAATGAATAAGATTCTAAGTGGTCTGAAGACTAGAAGGACGCTATACAAGTACTGTCCATTTACCATTTCAACACACTGCGTGCAAAACACTTTTGACTCCTAGACGACAGTGCAGCAATGCTTCACACAGACGACTATATAAAGAATTGTGTGTAGTTCAATATTTCAGTCCATTTGAAACAAACTCCTTTGTTTTTCCTTTCACTCTTTAGTCTACAGTCTGAAGCAGGTTGCTATGAATGCAGAGTGTCTGCCTTGCGCTGGGCTTGTAAGGAAAAGGTCAGCATCAGATACCAGTTTTGCTCATGGGAGGAAAACATCAGGAAGCCTGTATGCATGGATTACATGCCAGCAGGACCCCTACTGGACATCACAGTCACAGAAGGAAAGGTAGAGGAAACGTATCTGCCACACTGGATAGGTAAGAGGACACGTATAATTAATTGTTTAACCATTTGAATGAATAAATGCACTAAATTCTCTAAATTCTGTTTGGGTTTTTTTTCCAGAGTATGACTCTACAATGTCAGACATGTTTGCAGTGCTACATGTGGATACATGTGGAGATTTTGTGGAACAAGCGTCTGAAGTCACATCATCCCACGTCAAGTTACGCCAACCAATTTTCCATCATGATCCAGGGGTCATGATCTGGCAGAAACTGGGCATCCCAGTAAAAGTTAACTATGATGCGTTAATATTCAAACAGACAGAAAAGGAATTCCTCACATTGCATGTATACCTGGTCCCACCCGATGAGGATATACAAGAGGTTTATATTTCATTTTTTCACAATAATTAATACAAATCATTTCAAAATGAACACCTTGAATTTTGGAAAATGATAAATATATTCTAAAACCATCATGGTTGTTCTTCAAAAATATATATCAGTGTTAGCTGCTGTAAATTTAAGACTCCTGTTTTTTTTTCACAGAAAGTGAAGAGGAACGAGGCATCTTATGGATCAGTTTTAATCCCGAAACCAGGCCCAAAAAAGTCTCTTCAAATACAAGATCATTTCTTCCTCACAACAGACGTGGACACTAGTGAAATAAGCCCGACAGTAAGTTTTTAATTGTTTAAATTATGGGGATCAGTATTGACAAATATCAAAAATAAGAATAAATAATTTAAAACCAAATTGAAAGACACTGGTAGGTTTAACAATTCAATTTTGAGGATGCACACAAGAAGGTGCAGACCAGTGTGCGCTTGAAGTAAAAAAAACTAGAGTTGGGTTAACTAGCTAATTAGTTGTTCGTGCAATATTAAATAAATAAATCGACTCTAAAATGATGTTATCATATTGGTTGCATTTACACATTCACACACAAATAATCCAGGTAACATTGATGCAATATATATGAAAATAAATAGATAAATAGACTTCTACTGCATCAAAATAATGTCATTATTATCATTATCATTATAATATTTGAATTTTTTTCATTTTGTGAGAGCCTCCTTTTCCTGAAATAGTGCCATTCATTTTCTAATTTGAGACTGCTTTTATAGGATATTCAGCAGAGCTGAAACGATTAATTAATAAGAAAGATAATTTGCAACTAAAAAAACATATAATTGGGATATGTGCCTTGTATTTCAGAGACTTTGCTGGTTTTCTATGACATAGGCCTAATTGTAAACTGGATATCTTTGGGTTTGGGACATTTGGTAATTGGTGACACACTAAACCTGGGGTCAGATCCTTGTTTGTTACTGTAGCTACTGTTACTATACTCAAATATTGTTTTTATTTTATCACGATATGATAAAATAACTTGCATGGATTATTACAATAGAAATTAACCATAAGAAAAAGTCTAAAGCCTGGCCTTTAACACAATATTTCCCTCACAGAAATTAAAGCTCAGATATGAGAGGAGAGATTACTTTGAGGTGTTCATCAGAAATGCAGAGAGCGACTTCAGACTAAAACTTGAAAGTAAACAAAAAAAAATTATTCAAGAGGACGCTGTCTGGACCTGCACAATCAGAAAAGGTGGGTCTTTTTTGTTTCTCATTTTAAATACATTTACAAGCATCTACTAATAACTTTCTTCTGTTGAGCAAATGTAGTCTGATGTGAAGCGTCTAATCCGCATTGTTACCTGTATTTTACTTCAGGGGACTACCAACATTCAAGCACTGATCATGAACAAGGTAAGAAAAGACATTTAATATGCTTTGTTAATACTGCTTCAAACATTTTTCAGTTCCTTGTTTCTAAATTTGAACATATAACCATTACAACCTCTAGTATTCACTGTTGTGTCTTGTTTCCTTTGCTTTTTTTCCCAGATCAGCATTTTGTGGTTCGCCATCGGATAGCTCTGATTAAAAGAGTGAGCGCCACAAATGACATTCTGGATCAGCTCTTGGATAAAGAATTGATCACAGATGAGAACTATGATGCCGTGAGTGCTTTACCAACCACACAAGAGCAAATGAGGAAGATTCTCAAGTTTGTGATATTAGCCGGCAGAAGAGGCAAAGACACTCTCTATGAAATCCTTAAAGGGATGAGGAGTATGAGGCCTCTCATCCTTGAGCTTGAGAAGTCTGAAAAAAGGAGAAAAACTTAAAAGGAAGTGCTGTAGCTTTGGACACTAAGAGAATATTTGACATTGAGATAACAAAAACCAAAGTACTTGTGAAAATGGAGACAACATGACTGTATATTCTGACAATATTTTGGTTGAACTATAACTTCAGAGAAAGAGGTTTTATTGAATATAAAAATTTTGTCTTAGCAGCATTAAAGATTTGGACATTTTGGAAATATGTCCCTTTGGACTTTCACTACAGCTTTGCATGCAATAATGTACATTTTCTACTGGATTGTTCATTGGACTTTTTGATATTTTCTTTACTACATAGTTGTAAGGAGAGAGGAAGATGCTGCACAAAATGTTATCCAGTTAATATTTAGCATCCTTAATGTACTGGTCAAACAGTTACTTTTGAGTAATGGACTTATTCATGTCTGCTGTGAAAAGGAATCCATCAGACACCTCAGATGAAAAGAGACTTTATTAAGAAAACTAAGCTTCTAAAAGTTTATCATTTACATCATTTTTTATTAAGCTTTTTTTATGGATTTATAAAACCTCTTAAGACTACTAAACTAAGAAAAAAACATGTATTCTCAGTTCAAATAATTTTGTATCTTTTATACATTTTTGTAATATCAGTCTTTTGATTTTTAAATCCTTTAATATTCATTGTTTTACATTAAGCAAAATGGGTCAAGCAAACCCAATGAACTTGTTAAGGGTGCACGTACATGTGTTTAAATAAAAAAAATTTGTTGTAATTTAAATGTTGTTTAAATGGCAGAGAATGTATTTTTTTAAATATATATATACATATGTATGTATTTTTTTTGGCTGAAGCAGCAAAGGGCCACAGGTCCGATTCAAATGGTCGCTGCAGCAAGGACTCAGTCTTGGTACATGGGGCGTTTTAAGTAAGAATACGTGACTTTTGATGTTTTGCTGTAATGTGCTTGACTAAAGGCTTTGAAATGTTACATTTGTTTGAATAATGAATGAAGTCCGTTTGTTTTATCTGTATAATCAAAAACCCAACAGGGTTCCAAAATGATCTGAAATGAATTTATTCATGCTAATACCCAGTTTTATTATAAAATAGATTCATTTGAATCATGTGTCACTGATTTTCTTGTGATTTCATATTGTCTCCATGTATATTTTCAAAACAAATAAAAAGAATGTGATTATGTATCTTTAGTATTTTCAGTTTCTCATGAGTCAAAGAACAACCATATAATATTGTTATATTGCTAATAGTTGCCTACTGAAATTAGTTGTTAGTTGCCCCTGATGATTGTTTTACTTTCCATTTGTGGTCTTAGCTTACTCAGACTGTAATAATAAAAGCAGCAAGCAAAGTATCTCAAATTGAGAGTACATTTTTAATTTCCATATGCAAGCCTGTATACATTTATTTTAAAGAAAAATAATTGAACCGTCTTAACGTTGGAAAAAAATAGACAGGTATTTATTTTCCAGAGGTCACGAAAGAATGTCAAATACAAATGTGTCAAATACCAATTCATAACAGAAGTTATCTCAGGACACTTTTGAAATACAGCAGGTCTAGACCGTACTCCTTATAAAATTATTTACAGAGACCCAAAAGTTCCCACCATGAGCAAGCTCTTGGCAACGGTGGCAAGGAAAAACTTCCTTTAATTAATAATTATCCAATAATAATAGTAATATTAGCAGTGAGAGTGAAGCAGGACCATGGCAGCAGGCACCACCAGGATCCATGAGAACCTGCGAGACGAGGTTTGAGTTCAGTTCATTCAGGTCAAAGGGATGCTGACTCCCTGGAATTAGTATCATTGGTAACGCCTGTGTTTACAACTCATAACATAACCCTGTTGGATGCCATGAGGTTGCAAAAACCAAAGGGAACTAAGCAACGTCCAACTGCCCAAGCAAGCCAACATACACAATAGCAGCACCCTGACCCTGTCTGACATAAATGGAACACAACCTTAATTAGTATCATTGGTAACGGCTATGTTACCCTAGTTTTTACTATTATGAGTGCTTTGTATTATTATTATTATTATTATTATTATTATTATTATTATTATTATTATTATTATATATTACAGGTGGGTATTATTTATTTTGTTCATACCTTAAGTGCATTGTAGTTGTAGTTGTAGTCTGATGAGCAACCACAGGAATTCATTTTGAATTCAGTTTCACTTTCCTTGTCTGTTTCATTTTATCATAAGGCACTTTAAGTATCGGTTCACCCTACCCTTTACTGGAAATCATGAAATCTGAAAAAGTATTTCCAGTAAAATGCGACTGCTGCAAAAAAACAAAAAAAACATACAATAACAAAAGACATTTTACACCGATCATCCCTGGTGCTCATAATGTGATGGCTGATTGGTGTATATTAAATATTTCTTATATGATTAAAAAATTAAAGTTTCGTGCAGTGATTCTAGATTATTATATGTTTGTACAAATACACATCTGTAACATACTTTGCCAAGAAAATACATTTTGCATCAACACTACTTTTGATAAATAAATATATATATATATATATATATATTAAATAACAGGTTTTTCCCTTTTCTTAGGAAGTTGGCAAATAAGTTAGCCTTAAATGACTCACGTTGTTGTTGTTATCACATTCTACAGATTAGTATCTGTGATCTCACCCACCTATTGTAGGTGTGGCATGTGGCTATATTAACTCCAACCACCCTTAAGGTTACAGTACTGTACTGCTCACGAGACTTGAGGGACCTGTGAATCATATGGAAAAAGGTAAGAGAAATCTCTGTATGCATATGCAAACATCATGAATACCTTTTAGGAAGACTAAAAAGATGCATGCTGGTGTAAGAAAGTTTTACTGAGGTGACATCTATGTGCTGTGAATCAATATTTGACACAAAGGCATGTATATACTGTATATATAGATAGAGTTAGGGGGTAGACTGAATTGCTATTACTGACTAATTAACATGTGAGCAGCATTTAGATATCAAGGTGAAGCTAATTTTATTAACTGTATATACTGATCTGTTTTGTATGTACAATTCTAATCTTCAAAGGTTATAATTTAAAATATGTGCCAACCATTGCCCAACCATTGGAACTGGCAGTCCAATAGTACAGTCCAAGATAACCAAATTCTCTCTTCAATTTCTTTTTGTTTTGTTTTGATTTTTTAACATCCATTAAGGTAAATGAAACTGAAAATCAAAGATGGCAAATGGACCAGCCCTATCCACAGCTAGAGGAGGGGAAATTTACTTGGGAAATGAAATCAGAGATTCCTTCTCTCTGTTGGATGTTCTCTATGCAAACCAGTTTGAAGGAGAGACTTTTGATGCAAATCTTTGTGAGCAGACGGAGGAACACTTTTACAGAGGGGCCCCACCCACATGGTTAAACTTTCACATTAGTGAACAGCCAAAGTCCAATAATGAAGGAACTCCTTTTATTAAAAGGGAGGGTTACAATCTACTTGTGGAAAAAATCCGCGAAAGAAAAAAACGATCTGGAATATCAACTGTTAACCTGTTCCACCAGCCAGGATGCGGGGGAACCACACTGGCCATGCAGGTGTTGTGGGAGTTCAAGAAAACCTTAAGATGTGCAGTTTTAACAGGTTCAACCTCAGACATCACAAATGTAGCGGAGGAGGTGGTCCACCTTTTCACAGCTGGCAGTAGAGGCCACCAGAACACTGTACTGCTGTTAGTGAATAATGAGCAGATTTTGGAAAATCTGAAAGAAAGCATTATGATCACAATTGCTGAACAGAAGATAGTCACACATATGCCTGTGGTGATTTTACTCAGCTGTGTTAGAAAGGATGCAGTTCTACAGGGTGACTATGTCATCCTAAAAAGAGTACTTTCTGACACAGAGAAACAAAAATTTAATGAGAAAAAGGAGGAGCTCAGCCGAAGACACAGTGATAAATACAAACAATTCTATGGCTTTCACATAATGCAAACTAATTTCTCTCCGGATTACATCAAGACAGCATGTGCTGTATTCAAAAACATGAAAAAAGCAAGGAGACCGCTGAAGACACAGCTTGCTGCCTTCCTGTCCCTGCTGAATGCCTACGTACCAGGCTCCTATCTCCTGGAGTCTCAGTGCCTGGACTTCCTCAAAAGTAAAGACCCAAGTCATGAAGACCTTTCACTGGAGGACAGAATGATGCCCTTCAGCGATCTCATTATCACCTTCCAACAAGATATGAGAAGTGAAAAAAAAGTCCGCATGGCTCACCCTATGATAGCACAGTGTTGTACTGAAATGATGGCTGAGGCAGGTGTGACCAGAAGTGACACAGCAAGAAACTTCTTAACCTGTTTGTGCAGAGATGATGTTCCTCCATGTTTGCATGGTTTTATCAAAGACATGCTCACCAAAAGAGAAACGATAATAGTAGAGAACCCAATAGATGGCACAGAGAAAGAGGAGAAAGAAAAGTTTTCAAGACTGATTCAAGATATTACAAAGGAGGGCAATCGCCAGAGTGCATTAGTTTTAGAGCGTGCATCAAACACATTTGTTAAAAATCCTTTTTTTCCACAAGCACTTGCTCGTTTTTATTACATAGTACTGAAAAGACTACAATCTGGCAGAAATGTGGGCAAATAGAGCAAAGGCCAGAGATCCACAAAATTCATTTATTGCTGATACACTGGGCCAAGTCCATAAGAACCATTTGAAGAGCAAAGAGTTTCTGCTAAGCCAAGAGAAATCTTGCAACTGGCCAGAAAGGCAATTGAAGCTTTCAAAGAAGAAGAACAACTTGCTGAAAATGAACTAGACACAGACATGAAAGAAGATGGCGAGACCAAAGTCTCGCATATTTTTAACGCCAGAGGGCAGTTTGGTTACCTGAAGGTTTGCAACCTTGTGTATGACCTACTTGTCAGTCAGAATGAAACCTGGAGAAGAGTTCTCACAAAGAATGTGTCCATGGGCTCTGTCCTGGAATTACTTGGAGACAACAAACTTTTCAGATTTAATGATCTAATAAACAGCCTCAGAGATGAAGTTGAGAGAAAGTGTGCATTTTTTTACCAATATCTAACTTACTCAAAGCTTGACATGATGAAAGATGATCCCCCATACATTGACAGAGATGTCTCAGACTGCTACAGGAAGTATGTCAGAGACTCCTCACCAAGAAATTTCGAACAAAAAGGCACTGATTTCATCCAGAAGCTTAAACAAAAGTTGGCTGACACCTCCGCCGGAGTACTCACATGTCTTGACAGAGGATGCACTAAATCAGACCTTAAAGAAATACGTCAATGGTGGGAAGAAATCTGTCAACGTGAAAATTCAGTAACAGCTCTGGCCAACCACATCTTTGCGCATATCATGTTGATAAATACTGGAGAAATGTCTGATTGCCAGTCTTTAACTGCATTTAGGCAGAAAAGGCCCCTGAGCTCCAAAGATCCACCCGAGCTCCACATGTTAGTCCTCCTCTTGTACTGGCCTACAGACAGTGAAGACAAATGTGTCTCTGACCTCAGTCAGTTAATTCAGTGTATGCGCAGCTCTTATGAAAATGCATATAAGACATACTTTCGATCAAGGTACCTCCAACCTCTGTTTTTCATCGGAAAAGGTCAAGATCTGAACAGAATTGTTCACAGAAAGGTCCTTGAGGAATTGTTTCCTCAGCAAAATGAGGAAACCAAAGAAAATTGGAGCAATGAGAAGATTTTCCAACATTCAGAGGTCCAAGGACGCCTTCTCAAGGTTGAAGGGGTGGTCCGACACTACAAAGTCTACGCAACTATTGGTGTCAAAGACATTGAGGTGGATGCAAACCTTCCAAATCGTCTCTGGAAAAATCGCCCTGTTTCCTTTTACCTTGGATTTACCATCAGAGGTCCTGTGGCCTTTGACATCCAGACAAAAAAGGGTAAGAAGGAGAACATACTCGCTTAATCAAATACCTATATGGCAGAAATTAAAAATTGGTTCCAGACTTTTTTGTCTCAAATGAACTTGTTCTGTTCTGTCACAAGAACAACTTTCACAACTTGCAATACCTATGTACTTTTTTTGAACATTAAATATACTGTAAATGTAGTAAGTCATTTCAGTCCATAATATGAGCATGAATCAACATAATAAACCACCAATGAAATAGTCTCTAAGGTGTTTCACTCATCCAGAAAACATAATGACCCTTTCTGTTATGTTGCTATTGAGGGTTAGGGATTTACCTTCTAAGTATTTGGTTTGCACTTTTAATGACTATTAAATTGTGCTTTACCTTGCCACTACCTTATAGTATTTTTGCTGGTTGTTTCATTTTGATTTCATTTAACTCTAACGTCAGAAAATATTCCAGTTCCAATTAACTGTTCGCTGAAAGGTCTGTGGATGATCCGGAGTAACTGAGACAATGTTTTGGAGTCAAATTGCTGTTGAATTTTTTCTATGTTATGTTTCATTGCTGTGTGCAGCACTAACGAAATCTCATTCCATTGTATCAGTAGAGGTCTCAAACACCCCTACCTCAAAACCTGGGCAAACAAAACCAGAACAGTCTGCCCCGACAGATACCACTAGCGTAGTAATGTGCAAAGGAGAAGTGAAATGATGACTTCACATTGTGCCTTCAAACATCATTGCAACTCTCTTGTAAAAAGTATTTGTTTCAGAAGTAACGTGTCCATGGACTCTGTCTGAAATTACTTGGAGACAACAAACTCTCAAATTTAATAATTAAAAAAAGCCTCAGAGATGAAGTTGAGAGACAGTGTTAATTTTTTCATTATAAGCTTGACATGATGAAAGATGATCCCCCTACATTTATATAGATGTCTCAGACTGCTACAGGAAGTTGTCGGAGACTCCTCACAACATTCGAACAAAGGCACTCATTTTCCAAAACTTAAAGAAAATTTGGCCACACCTCTGCATTTAGGCTGTGCAACACTAATGAAATCTCATTCCATTGTATCAGTCGAGGTCTCAAACACCCCTGCCCCAAAACCTGGTCAAACAAAACCAGAATGGTCTGCCCCGAGAGATACCACTAGCGGTAAGTAATGTGCAAAAGTCTAAATTATCATTGAGAAGTGAAATGATGACTTCACGTTGTGGCTTCAAACATCATTGCAACCCTCTTGCTTAAGAAGTTCTTGTGTTCCTTGTTTTAGAATGTTAACATAATGAACATTACAACTTTTAGTAATCATTGTTTGTTTGTCTGCTTTTATCTTTCATGGCAGCCTCGGGTCAGCATTTTGTAGATCGCCACCAGACAGCTCTGATTAGCAGAGTGAGAGATACAGAACACATCCTGGGTAAACTCAAGGAGATGGGGTTCATCTCAAAGGAAAAGAATGATGCTGTGGCAGCTTTAAAATCCCCACAAGACCAGATGGAGGGAATTCTTCAGTGTTTGACTTCAGCCAGCACAAGAGGCAAAGATGCTCTCTATGAAATCCTTAAAGGGATGATGAGTATGAGGCCTCTCATCCTTGAGCTTGAGGAGTCTGAATACAGGAGCAAAACTTAAAAGTAAAAAGAAGTGCTGTAGCTTTGGACACTAAGAGAACATTTGACATTGAGATAACAAAAACCAAAGTACTTGTGAAAATAGAAACAGGAAAGAAATAGAAAGAGGTTTTATTAAATATAAAATTTTTGTCTAGACAGCACAGAAAGATGTGCCTTTGGAAGCATTAATATATGTTTTCCACTGGATTGTTCATTGGACTTTTTGATATTTTCTTTACTACATAGTTGTCAGGAGTTGAAAGGAGGGAGGAAGATGCTGGACAAAATGTTATCCAGTTAATATTTAGCCTCCTTAATGTACTGGTCAAACGGTTACTTTTGAGTAATGGACTTATTCATGTCTGCTGTGAAAAGGAATCCATCAGACACCTCAGGTGAAAAGAGACTTTATTAAGGAAACTAAGCTTCTAAAACGTTATAATTTACATCATTTTATTTAGCGTTTTGTTTATGGATTTATAAAACCTCTTACGACTACTAAAGACTAAGAAAGAAACATGTATTCTCAGTTAAAATAATTTTGTATCTTTATACATTTTTGTAATATCAGTCTTTTGATTTTTTAAATCTTTTAATATTCATTGTTTTACATTAAGCAATGGGTCAAGCAAACCCAATGAACTTGTTAAGGATGCACGAACATGTGTTTAAATACACTGATTTTGTAATTTAAATGTTGTTTAAATGGCAGAGAATGTATATGTATGTTGTATGTTGTGTTTTTTTTTTTTGGGGGGTGTTGGCTTTTATTGAATAAGACAGCTTAAGATAGAGAGGAAAGGGGGGAGAGGGAGGAGATGACGCAGCGCAAAGGGCCACAGGTCCGATTCAAATGGTCGCTGCAGCAAGGTACGGCGTTTTAGAATACGTGACGTTTGATGTTTAACTGTAATGTGCTTGACTAAAGGCTTTGAAATGTTACATTTGTTTGATTAATGAATGAAGTCCGTTTGTTTTATCTGTATAATCAAAAACCCAACAGGGTTCCAAGACGATCTGAAATGAATTTTTCCATGCTAATACCCAGTTTTATTATAAACTAGATTCATTTGAATCATGTACTTTTTGTGATTTTTTTTTTTATTTTAAATAAAAGAATTTGATTATGAATCTTTAGTATTTTCAGTTTCTCATGAGTCAAAAAAGTTTTTTTTTTTTTTTTAAAAAAAAAAAACAAAAAAAAGGTTTTATAGTGTCCTACTGATTGTTCTTTTGGTGATTTCATCTTGTCTCCATGTACTTATTTTCAAGACAAAAAAAAAAGAAAATGATTATGTATCTAAATTAAGATAATTTTCAGTTTCCATATGCACGCATGTATACATCATTGTAGTCACAACATTTACTTTAAAAAAAATAATTGAATCGTTCTAACGCTGGAAAAAAGTAGACAGGGTTTTATTTTCCAGAGGTCACAAAAGAATGTCAAATATGAATGTGTACACTGTAGTTATTTCAATGCAAATTATCATCTTTAATAGGAATGCCAGGAAATAAATATACAAAATCAAACCGGTATTCCTTTGCTAATGACGTTTAACATCTGCGGTCTACAGGTCCTATTGGTTCATCTGAGCCACGAGCCCCTCCAGCTCCGGACGGCCCTTGAAGCGTCCTTTGTAATCAGCCTCGGTGTGCTGAGGGGGAAAACAGGGAGGGGAGAGGAGGAGAGATTGTTAGTGTTAAACATTAAAGAAAATAATGCGTGCTTAAAGTTGCATATAATCATTAGCACTTATAAAAGTATTCAATTGAATGTTTACCAGCACAGATGCTACATTACTTTAATGCAGACTTGTGTTTGTTAAACCACTCTGCCATTAACACAATTGATGTGTTCTCATGCAGTCAATTAACTCGTCACAAAAATGCTTAAACTGTCTTTACATATAAGCTTACCAAATACTAAAATTAATGATTTCTCTTCTTATTGTTTGCACATGCCAGAAACAGCTGATAAGCATTTCTGAGTGAACTGATCACTGAAACATTGAGAAATGGCCGATTTGTGTAAATTAGACCAAACACAACTGATTCCAATCTCAAATCGGAGACATAACCAGGTTCTGAGGTTCTTTGATTTACATGATACAGTGGCCTAAAGATGATTCATTCACTGTTAGATAGCATGTTGTCAAAAATGCAAGTGGTTTACAGTAAAAGGAAAATTAATTATAAAAAAAAAACGATGTGCAGGAAGAACTGAGATATGAAAAGTAATGCTGTTTTTGTAATGCCATCAACTGTTAGTATCTTTAAAGTCGCTGTGCTATGATTGACTACATCTTCCTCTTGGATTGAAGGTGGCCGGTTGAAACCGACCTCCCAACTCTACTGTCATCATGCTGACTCACCTCCTTCACAGAGAGCTGAACTCCCTCTGGCTGATTCTTTAAAAGCACTTCCAAGAAGATGGGACACAATGAGGCGTTCAGACGGTTCAACTAGACAAACAGATAAATAATTCAATATTCAGGTCTTCACAAAGTCTCAGTACAGTAACAGAGCATTCAGGAGACAGATTTTACCTGGACGACTCGCTCGTGAGTCTTTAGGATGGAGTCGACATTCAGCTTGGTGCCTTGCTCTTGCATTAGCATGACCTCTGTGGTCTGGGTCTGCAAAGCATAGCTGCCAAAGCGATAAAAAGTATGTATATATTATTATATATAAACACAAATGTAAGCATAGATATGTTCTCATCAAAAGGATCTACTCTACTGCTCTGCAAAGGCGACACGAAGGCTTCGAGGATTTGAAGGTTTCTATTTGTTTCAGCCTTCTGACATTAATCTACGTTAGTCCACAGTGGTAAAATACCAGGTTTAAATGGAATATATGCATCACAGTTCACCATACTGCATTTATATTTTATCATCTTAAACTCATAGTTGTTGTAAATAAGTAAATTAAGGCGAGACACTACTGTTTATTTTTCTTCAATAACATCTTTTTCTTCCAGACGAGTGGAAAGATTTCCAACACTTTGTTTGTATCTCGATTTCACCAAAACTTAACATGTGATAATGTCTCATTTGCATATTTAAACGTAACATTTCAGAAAACTTGCGATACAAAACATGATTCTCTTGATGCAAGTAATCAAGAGGGCGAGTTATATTGTGATATCTATTGGTTAAAACGTTTAACCTATTCAACTGTAGTGTCTCCCCTTAATACACACAATTCTTCACCTGCACCCTCTAATGGTTTCCATCCCATATCCCCCTGTAAGACTGCCTGGAGTGTAACATCCTTTGTAGTAATTAAAGACAGTTAACGTCTTTCTAAATATCCTCACCTTTCTGTCACTTTGATGCCAAGCCTGTTGCAGAGGTTGTGGACGTACTGGGAGTAGTGCTCCACCAATGTCATGTCATAACCGGACACTTTCACATTTAGAGACCCGTACACTCTTTCTGTTGTTTCCACGATCGGTTTCATCTGCTGTTTATATTTCCTTTTCTTTGACTAAAAAAAAAAAAAAAAGAAGACATAAACACACTTTGCAAGTCACTTCCAACTTTTTTTTTTTTTTTTTTAGACATACGACAGGCTGGGGTTGTCATCTTTAGCTTCAAGTTTCACTCCAATTATTACAGGTAGTTTGTCTTGTGGTCCAGCAGAGGGCGCTCTTACAATCATAAACCAGCCTACCCTATTGCATGCCCTCTTGACCCATCAGTAAACTAAGTTAATAAATAACAGTATACGGGTTGTGTTGTGAACAAATTTTATTAATTTAAATGAGTTCAAACATCAAAAAGAAATAAAATGAGGCAATCTCATGAATCTAGTCACGTTTCTTCAACAAAAGATCTTTCTAAAATAAAAATAAAAATCTAATCTGGTTTTAGAGTCTTACCGCTTCTCTAGGTACAAGATGTCTATACCTCCCAATCCCTTCGGTCGGCATGGATTTAAATTGTCTTTCGCTTACAGAAGCTGTGTGTGAAGAGAAGAAACGTCCATTTTAAATACTATATGAACCTTCCCCCGCATCTTGGTTCACGTTTATCTGACAGCAGTAACACACTTTATTTTGGACATGCTCATTTATTCATCGTAGTTTTTAAATACTTACCCCAAGCCGGATGCTGGATGGATGGTGTGGCCCTTTAAATACAACGACAGTATTTAAGTCAGCGAGAGAGAATTCATATCACAGATGATCACTTTAGGGACATATTGGAAAAACTAAATCTGTTGATTCAAATTTTCAATAAGTCAGGTTTGGTAAAACTTGGGTCGTATCTTTTAAGTATTATTTTCATCTCACGTATTGGTAATAATAACTGGAAATCCATCAGGTTTTAAACAATTGAATTTCTTACCCAAACTGTCTGTTGTGATGATGCATCACAGTTTTCTGACCTACTCTACTGACTGCAGATGTGTGCACACAGTTTTACGTCTCAGCCGCTCTCACTTTCAATTTTAAATCCAACTAAATTTAATTAATCTGGCTACACTTTTGACTTGCTGGACTTTGATGTAGCAAAGTTATTATCGAAACTAATAGCCACAATTGCCCCAAACAGTGAAAATAATACCCAAAAGGCATCTTTTAAGTTTCATATTTTAAAAAAGATTGTTGTGGTTGTTACAATGATCTCAACTGAGAATGAAAAAAGAAAAAATGCTTAAAAAGGACTTACCGGCATAATTTAAGTGCTTGATTTAACACTAATGCGTGTTGTGTGACAGACACCTGCAACTGGACAGAATACAACAACATCAATTTCTATATTTACAGAATAAGTTACTCTCATGACATACGACTAGTTTTAAATACAGCCACCTTTAAGGCTGTAAAAAGAGACATTTTATCGTCTTTCCACATGAAAAGATCTCTTTTAAAAACAGAATGATGATAATAATAATAATAATAATAAACAAACTATATTGGGTTTTAGTGGGAACTATCTCCTGCCAGAGCACCAAGTAGGTTTTACAGAGACAATAAAAGAAGCCAATATATGCAAATATTAAAAATATTATTAGCTGGTTAAATTAAATGGTAAAGCTTTAACACTCTTCTGTAAGTCAAAGTACAAATTAACATCTTTGGACAAGTTGCACACTGGTGAGAGGAGACTAAGATGAACAAATCACTGATAATGTATCGATTGATAATTAATTAACACACATTAATCAGCTCCAGCTCTCCAGTGTGAAGGCTGCTGGTTGGAAGCATTGAATATATTCACACTGTTCTCAAACACACAGGTGGAAATAAAGCCTCCCTTTTACAGGAACCTGAACAGGTTATATGGCAGCAGCAGCAGCACTGACACTGTCAGTGGTTATTAATATAATCTCTGCTGTGACCTCTATGAAGAAACTCAACATCCAGAGGACAGAAAACTAAAAGTTACCTTTCGAAACGCGGGATTCATGACTCAGCCTCTCTGTGTGTGGAACAACGAGGAGTTGCAGTCTGATTCTGCAGGTTATTTACATGAAACTAGAGTTAAAATAAAATACCAAAAAACAACACATGTATCGGCTGCAGCTACTGCGTCCGGAAGTCAGTCCGTCCTCTTCTGCGTCCGTGGTTTGAACTGAATGCGATAGAATAAAGGTTCCGGGATGGAGCGATGGTCAGAGATGGGGACACTTAAGTCTCTTGTTACAGTGTACACACACAACACACACACACCCACACACACACAGACACACACACACACACACACACACACACACACACACACACACACAGAGAGACTTCAAACTCGTGTTTTGGGACTCGTGAACAATCATTATGTTTTCCATAATTAAAACTTACAGGCAGGTTACAGGTTCATTGTTGACCACGTTACGTTAATGTTACCATTACGCAACACAACACTGTTGATTGTTTCAGATAATATGGCAGCAACAGTTTTGCTTTTTTTTTTTTTTTTGTGAACACATTTTTTAATTGCAAATAACACAGAAGTAACATATACAAGTGTTTAAAGTACTTTGAAGTGTTTTGCATTTGGCTAAAGTGTGTTTGTTTGGTACTAATTGGAATGATGTTAATTACAATGTCATTGACTGGCTGAGGTGTAACATCTTCTAGATTTGTTCTTATTCTGGTCCCACTGAGCCTGCACAACAGGGAGAAGATATACTGTAAGTGTATGTTCATGTTGGAAGAATCCAGTTTCCTTTAAAGGAAAGCATTCATTGTGTGTTTTCTTCATATTGCAATAGCCTGTTTAAAGTGATCACATAACAAACAACTACTGATAATGTATGCTAATAGATAAAGGAGTGATAATAATACAGTAAATGCTTTGAATTTCTTACATATAGCTGTGCAGTATTCTTAGTAGACCGGATAGCAGCAGATGACAGAAGGCTCATTACAACCAGAAGAGACATATGACTTTTATTTTTTAGAGACTTGAGACTTGACTTGGACTTGCAAAAAAAGACTTGTGAACATCTCTGGTAATGGTATTGATATTATATAATAATATAGATATTTTTGTGTTTTGAAATGTAGAAACTGTGAGGCTATAGACTGCGGAAATTATGTTATATAGTTTTTTTTAATGAAAACAGCAAATTCATTCTTACAACCCATATTTTCACATTTTAAAAGCCATTTAATGCTTTATTTTTTAAGGTCTACTATGTTCAGTATATTTGTATTTGTTCATTTGTAAGTTAAAGTTAAATCGTGTACATGTGTGTTTACCTATTAACAAAGGACAACGTACACAGCTGCGCACATTTCAACAGGCTTTATTATCATGTAATAATTATTTTATTTTGGCCTCTCACAAAATCACTCGTATCAAAATAAAAATTGACTTTTAACATTCAAATATCTCAGGCCTAACATAGCATTATCTAGTAAAGTGCAAAATTCCTTATCACCTGAAACGGATATTTTGAGAATAATGTATGAGCTTGTGCATAGGAACATATGACTTTTGTTTCTTTTTTAAACAATGCATTAACTACTTCTTAAAAGCACAACTATGAAAAGCAAAGTCATCCAGTAGCCTATGTAAACTGGTATTAACACATTGCATTTCTTTTTTTTTTCTAACATCATGCCAAGCAAACAAAACTTTTAAAGTATCCATGCACACACGCACATCCTTACTCTTTGGCTTGCAGTGTTTTTATCTCTAGCATGAAACAATCGCGACACTCCATACGCACGGGGACTCATTCAAGTAGATTGTTACTGGCCTTTGCGTGTTTGTTGTTGGCTTGTTTTCGCGAGGATACCGATCAAAAGGCTTTCTATGGTGATGGAAAACTGGAGGAAACTCAAGGAATACAAACATCTTCTCATCTGTTCTTGGAAAATTTAAGAAGCTCTCTCTCTCTCTCTCTCTCTCTCTCTGCTTAGCACCTGTTGTATAAAAAGAACTCAGGTGAACCGGGTGAAAATCCTCGAAACAGATTAGGTCAAATTTTCGACAATACTGTTTTAGGCATTTCGTAAAATGTTTAGCAAACTTGGTAGAAAATCCGGCATCGTAGTCATGCAGAGGTTTTCCTAAATTCAGTTTGAAGCGTTTGAGTCCCTCCAGCCACATTCTGTCACTTTACATTCACTTTACTGTGTGTGTGTGTGTGTGTTTGTGTGTGTGTGTGTGTGTGTACGTTATACAGCAGACGTCTTTCTAATATAAAGCACCTTAATTAAAAGTTCAGCAGTATGCGACACGCGGGGTTAAGCATCAGTTTCACATTGGCAGATTCTCAGTGCACGGTTAGTTTTTAAAATCTCGTAGGGAGGAGGGTTTGAGGCAAAACGTGGTAGCTGCTCGAGTCCGTAACTGTACATTCAAAAAGAGAAGATGGGTCGCGACGCTAAAAACAGATGTTACAACATCTGCCGCACTCATGTGTGGATAAAAAGGTCCAATCCAAAGTGCTTTTAATTGGTGTAAAAATATATGTGTGCAAATCAAGTCCTCGGTTAAACCCCTCTCTCCTCCTCGTCCTCCTCTTCTCCGTCCTCGTCCTCTTCGTCATCTTCCTCTTCCTCCTCGTCCTCCTCCGGGCTGTACAGATCGTCGGCGAGCTCGCTCCGGTCGTGCCCCTCGTCGTCGTCGTCGTCGTCCTCCTCCTCGTCTTCCTCCTCCCCCTCGCTCCTCATTTCCTCCACGCTGCTGTCGTCGAGGTCGTCGTCGTCGTCGTCCTCCTCCTCCTCCACGGCCTCTTCCTCATTCTCCTCCTGCTCCTCCTCCTCCTCGAGATCTGAAAGATGACCTGATGGGTCGACAGAATTACATTTTCTTACTTTTAACCACTAACACTCTGACATTTAGCTGACTCATACCTCAACATGTACTTTGATACCTTGAAACTACCATTACTACCTTAACAATAAACTACATTTCTCTGGGTAATGTAGTAGTGTGCCTGTAGTGAATTATCAGCTGTACTCCCCATTCGCTCTATGAAGCATTTTAGTGCACCTAATAAACTGGTATATCTATATCAGCTATATCTGATCACAGCGCGTGGAGCTGACAGCGGTTAGGACGGATTTGAAGTTGATTTAATAAATGATAAAACTCCTTACACAGAGTACTAATGGCAGCAACAATGTGACATGGCAGTTCCTCATCAAGGAATTTTCTCATTTCTTCTTCCATCATCACTCCGAGAACCTCCGTCTCCATGTCGACGTATTCTGGGTAGAACATGTTTTTTCTTAGCTGCCTACGGCACCTAAAAAGCACACACACGCACGCACGCACACAAGCACGCACACACTGGATTAAGTGTTTGTTTTTTTATTGACCAAATCCAAATCTTTTCCATGTTATTAATCTATACAGATGTGCATATTGTACAGCCCCAAGCCCTGAATGAATATAAAAGCAGTACTTACTGTTTCCCTGTTGTTTTGTAAGCCTGAAAAAAGGTACAAAAACAGATGTTTGGACACACAAATTACACACAAAGTAGATTTCCATAAAAATAACTCAAGTAACAGTCGTTATTTATTGGTGCAGCCATATGCACAAGGGGGATTGGAATCAATTACAAATGTCTTCTTCAAGCTATATTTTAATTCACTTAGTTAAACAAAAAATCTGAAGACATTCCTTCTAAATTTATTACACGACAAACTCCGCTGCATATTCCAGATATCTGCTTTAATCTCTACTAATTGTGAATTCAGTTGATTCACGTAAAGGTCCCAATACTGCTGAACATTTTCTATTAGCTATGGCCTTTTTATATACTCTGAGGAAATGGTTGGCAGTAATGTAAAGTGTATGTGATTTGTGCTTAATGGGCCAAAACTCTGTGCTGACTGATGCGTCTCACCTCGATGAACCGGAAAGGGTCGTTCTCCTGCATGAGGCTTTCGATCCCACAGCGGACCTCCTGGAGACGGGCCTGGTCCTGGCAGATCCGGGAAATGTTCTTCTGGATCGCCGGCCCGTTGGTGTCGCAGTGAGTGCGCGTGCATTCGCGCAATCGGGTGACGAAGCGGAGTACTTTGGCCTTCATCTCCTCACCCAGCCTGGTCAGGCCCTGCTCAGAGTCGTCCATAAACTTCTACACGAGGGAGGTGATGAGGAGGAAAAGAGAGCGAGCACAGGATGTTATCAGGATGACACATTTGTTTGGGGAATAGACGGAAAACTGGTCATTCTTTAAGCAAAATATCAAACATTCACTAGTTCAGGCCTCTCACGTGAGGATTTGCTGCTTTTCTCTGCGTTACATTACCGTAAATTAAATATTTTGTGTATCCATAAAAACACTGCATGTTAAAAGACACATTGTAGGAGCTTCAGGTGAGATTACAAACTATTTCAAACGTTTGCAATCTTACCTTATTCTGCCTCTCCTTCTCCTTCTGCTCCTGGAGTTTTCTCTCTGCCATGCTGTACTTCCTCTCAACCCTGTACAGCTGCTTATCCAGCGTGCCCTGGTGAACATGTTGCAATAGTTATGATTTTCAAATATTTCAAATCACAAATATAGCCTCCACCACCACAGCCTACATGCACTACCTGCAGTCAAAATGAACTGGGAGTGTTTTCCCCGATTCCTTACTTTTAGCTGAATCAGCTCTTACTGTTGAAATCCAAAAATCTAATATTGTATAATAACTCAGACTGAAAACGATGCCACTTATGCAACATGTTGAATTCAACCGGTTTCTGGACTGAATATCCAGAGCGATGAACTGGAAGCCTCTCAACGTCACACTCTTGTTCAGGAGAATGAAAGCACAGGAAGTGGATTCCTGTGCTTTCACACTCCTATAGAAAGAGCACAAAGTCATGTGACTCACACTGATTCATTTACACACACACACACACACACACACACACACACACACACACACACACACACACACACACTGGACAACAACTGGAAATGTTCATTCATAAGGATTCCAGACTCATCACAAGACTTTGTGTGAGCAAAACAATGGACACGCGGTTCACTGAATGGAGCAGGCCACACGCCATATTCTCCCACACACATTCACTTCAAAATACAATAATAATAAACACTTAAAATGTAATGAAATACTCCCACAATAGTAACAATACAGACTTCTAACTGATGATGATGAAATGTGTACCTTGAGGTCTTTCATGGTGTTTTTCAGGGTCTTGATTGTGTGTCCCAGGTGTCCTCCCTCTATGGTGCAGGCGTTGCACACACACACCTTGTCATCCATGCAGTAATATCTGGAGAGTCACACACAGGATAAAAACAGGATTCATGCTTATAAATGTCAGATCTACCTTTAAACAGAGTATTGAACTCACTACTGTAGTTCAAATAGTTGCGTCCTCAGTTAAAAATCACATTAACAGAGCAATAAGTAGGTCCACCTGCCTCCTACCTGTATATCTCATCGTGATCTGGGCACTTCCTCTTCCAGAAGTCGTTCATCGGCTCCGTCAGCGGATGCTCGCGGAACGCCGGCAACTCCAGATGTGGTTTCACGTGCTCCGGGCACATCGACACTTCGCATTTCAGGCACGTCTTGACCGCGAACATCGGCGCAGCAGCGGTGGCAGCGGCTTCCTGCTTGTCGCCGTCTTCCTGAGAGACAGAAGCAGCAGAAGACCCCTCCCCGGCTGCACTGGTGCCGGGGGCCTCCGCGGCAACTGATGGGCAGTAGTCGCACGGAACGGCGAGCGTGCCTCTAGTCTGCTGTGTCGCCAGAGAAGACGACAGCGAGTCTCTGGGTCTGAAAGCCGTGGCAGCCGCAGTGGTAGCTCTGCGCCGGTGCCGGTAGTCGTCGGCGATGTTGGCTAGTTTGAAGTTTTTCTGAAAGTTGGTGCCGCACCGGTGGCTGTCGCGGCACTCCGGGCAGCGGAAGCGACCTCGCTCCGCTTGACGCTTTAGGCGGTCCAGGCAGGTCTTGCAGAAGTTGTGGCCACAAGGAAGCAGGTAGGGGTCCCGGTACAAGTCCAGGCACACTGGGCAGGTGAGCTCCTCCTGCAGGACCCTGGACTGGTCTGACTGGGCCGAGGCCATGTCAGTACCCAGACTGTGAGGTAATGAGGGTGAGCCGGAGACGGAGGATGTAGTGGATGGTGAGAAAGAGGAGAAGGGGAATGAGGAAGATGGTGAAACGTAAAGACAAGCAAGGAGAGGGATAATTGGAGGAGCAGAAAGGCAAAACAGGGTGGAGGGGAAGAGGGAAGGAGGCAGCAGGTGTCCTCATGTAGACCTTCGCCCTTCGTAGATGTCCGGTTGCTGGAAGAAAGAAAGAAGAAATGAAATGCTTGTTATTAAAAGCGTTTAAAGTGGAGATGAAACCACTGGTCAAGGCATCAATTAGCTGACAATTATTCTGTCAATGAAGTCATTTATAAAGCAACAATTGTAAACATTGACTGACTTTGAATTTGTCAGATTTTGTTATTTTGTGGGCAACAAGAAATTAGAAGATGTTACTAAAGGATCAGGAACAGTGTGATGGCCATTTTTCACTAATAGACATTTTATTAAGTAAATAAATGACTATTATTTTTGGTTATAATCAATCTGCTGGCTGCTTTCTCAATTAATCGGGTTAATCATTTACACAATTAATATGTCAGAATATGATGAAAAATACACATGAAAATTGTCCAAAACATGAATGGTGATGTCTTTAAAATGCATTTGATTAAAAGAAACTATAAATATTTATTTATATAAGTAAATCTGAATCCATGAAATGATTCATTTACAACAGACAACTGTTATTCTCTTTTTATCTGTCATTTAAGATTAACTACATATCTTTGGGTTTCAGACTGATGGTGGGAAAAGTGTTATTATTTACTACTTCTGGACTACTTATAGACAAAATAATGAATTTATTTACTCTGGAAAATAATCTGCAAGAGTCAGTATTTAAAACACTGATTAGCTGTAGATGTAAAGGTGATTACACCTTCAGTAACCAAACAAACATAAGACTTTGACTACATGTGAGTGCCACTGATTTGATTATAATTTCCTTCTTCCTGTGGGTGCAGGGGGGGGGGTAAAAATGAAAGTAAAACGTACTTTAACTACAGGCCTTCCGACAAACAAGCAGATTTCCCCCCTTGCTGCTGGGTTTAAGCTTGTTACAAACAACCTGGACTTCTGTTTTAAGGTTTAAAGGCTGCGACCTCGGAGGAGGGGTTTTTTTTTTGACCTGCCAACCTGCTGTTGTGTTGTTTTACATGAGACAAAAGGTGGTGTCCCAGTTAGTGGTTGCAGTGGTTTCCAGTCCTCCACCTGTGTCAGCCTTTACACATAACACCGGCCTACAAATAAAACAATAAAGAAAAACATCTCACCGTGTATGTCGCATGTTTTTACCCCCCCTTGGTGATAACCTTACAGTAGGTTAAGCTACCTTCCCTCTCCCTGTTCGCTTTACCTTTAATCTCCCGCTGGCTGGACTTGCTGGGACAGACAGATATAGACAGACAGACAGGCTTGTTAGCGACACCTACCCCGATATTGTTAGACACCGGTAAGCTGCCTTCCAGTACAGCCGAAACACCGCTTTCCAACGCCGTGTTTACACCGCCCGCACACGGCGAGGCGAACGAATCGAAGCCCGAAGCCGCGGTGCACCTGTCGACCCGTCGGCTAACATGTTAACCGTTGACGGCCGTTAGCTCCGGTTGTTTTTTTTTTTTCTGCGTCCACAAAACAAAAAAAGCCCCGGTGTGTTTCAGGAAATATTCCAGTCATCCGGCGTTTGGTTTACTCATCTGGAGGTTTCGGGGTTTTTTTTGTAGGCTGTTAAAAGGACGAGTCGACGCTCACCTGCGAGACGGACAAACGGACGCTGCTAACTGACAACTGGGCAGGTTGATGCGGGCAAAATGCTCCCTTCAGGGAATGCTCGTAAATTCCCGTGTTACACTGTAATTCACCGTTAAGTGGTTGACCTGCTGAGGGCGCTGTTACGTTCAGGGTCATTATATTGTTATGTAGTTATAGGAGGGTTCAGGGTTGGGAGAGTTGCTTTATCAATGTAATTCGATTCAATTACTAATTACCTGCTTTAAAAATCCTATAATTCCCAGAAAAGAAATAGCAATAAGAAGAAGTGATGCAGGTGTGTTCTGTAAGACATCTTAAACAAGATTTTTAGCATCAAAATAATCTTTTAGACTCTAAATCTGAATCTAAACTGTAATCTGATTACATCTGTTTTTTCTGTTACCTATTCAGTACCCTAATAAGTTAGTTAAATGTAATCTGTTAACCCCCAAGCCTATATATAGTTAATTAATTATTTTTAGTATGTTTAAAATCAGTCTTAGTCAAGTCTTGTTGACCGCTGTGGATGAAGGAGTATTGTGATCCATTACGGTGGCCCTGAGGTGCAAAGGACAAAAAAAACACTGGATGAAATACTAAAACAAATTAGTTAAGTTTTAAATTAATTAAATTTGTTAATGTGCTTTTATAAAATATTTAAAAACATACTGTGTTTTCTGTTTGGTTGTTGTGTTGTGAACCTCACACTATAATTACTTAGTAGTAAAATAAATACTAATCCATTACAATTAAAGGTCCTACATGGAATATCCTACTAAATCAAAAGTACAAAAGTGTTCACAATAAAAATAGGACTATTTGTTGTGTCCCTGTGATTGATATATTATTATATATGACATATAGCCTAGTACTAAACATTAGTTTTAACTAATATACAGTTTATTTATTTGTTTTATTTATTTTAATATTTATTCCAGTGCTTTCCCAAACTAGATATCAAGTCCACTCCAAGGGGTCACCAGATAAATTATGGATAATTTGACCTCTTTAGGCATTGGATGGCTTTTTAAATGAAACAATGTGAGAACTGACTCTCAACGTGGGTAAATTCCCAGTTTGAACCATAAAAATTCAGAATTTCTAATTATTTCCGATGTCTGAGCAACTTCCTAAATTAGAGTTGTAAGACAGGCAATGTGTTTGTCCTGCCACGAGTCTGAGTCTCTTGGTTCATAGTTTTTCAAATGTTTTGTTTGTTCGGTTTTGCACTTTGAGCTCCACAGGTTTGAGTTCCACCGGCAAGAGTATGTATTTTGTTGGGGGGGGGGGGTGAACTGTCCCTTTAAATTTAATGTTTCTGACAGTACCTGAAGGCATCAAACATCAGTATAGTATAATAATCTCATTCCAAGTTTGATTTTATTTCCAAAACGAATACAAACGTTATTTTTGATAACGTTTTCATAATAGAATACATATAATACATTTGAATCAAAGGATACAGGAAATCCAATGCAATCTGATACAATAATTTTACCTCCTATCTATATTTATAAGTTTATTTAAAGTATATTTTAGTGAAACAATAGTAATGATAACAATAATAATAGGAAGAAGAAGAAGAAGAAGAAGAATGCTGTGTTGAGTAAAAAATATCTAAAAACTTCAACCTAATTTGAAAGAAAATGTTTCATATGCCCATCCACCTTCACAAAAATCAATGATACAGAATGATTAAATGAATCTTGTGGGACATACAATCAACTACAGCCTCAAACGTTGCCATAAAGTTGATTTTACACTTTTCTTACACAGGTGTCAATGTCATTTAGTCTATGTTTAAGTAAAATATTGTAATGTTGTCAAGCTAATGTTTGTTGTGTCTTCATTGTGGTGTTAATAGTGAATCACTGTCCAGACGTGGGAGGAAATCTCACTTTGAAGATGACAGGACCCCGAATGGTGAAGCCAAGATAGAAAAGCCTTGGGCTCTCCACTGAAGCCTCAGGTACAACCTCTTCTTCAGCACAGATTTTATTCTCTCCAGCCCAAACAAACGCTCTTTGTTCTTTATTCTCCTGTGGCATCGTGGTTAAGTAGCATACCCGGACTGGGAGAAGTATATCTTGGATTTCTGGGACTTGCCATACTTTCCCATTGACCCACATGTCATTGATCAGCCTCCATTTCTCCTTCATTCTCTTCTCTTGTCTATCAGCTAGCTCAGCAGTGACTTTTTCTTCCACGATTGCATCCAGCCTTGATTTGTGAATCCATTTGCTCAGTCCAAAGCCCTTTCCTAGAAAAAATAGAGGCAAAAGGTACCGACCTCGAAGGTACTTGGCATACTTGGCTCTCTCAAACGCTTGCTCCATGAACGTGACCTGCTGCTGCAGGTCAGGACCAAACACGAAGTCAAGAGATAGTTGTGAAGTCTCTCCTCTTGTGTCTTGTTCCTCGTCCCTGTCATCATCCTCCCAGGTTTGTTGTGTTGTGTCTTCTGACCCGTCATCCTCTGTGGCCTGTTGTTCCACCTCCTCCTCATCCTTTTCTTGCAACACCAGAGGCTGTTCCTCAGGCCAAAACAACAGCAGAACCAAAAGGTAAAACTCAGGGCGTCTGCGCCCCACTTCTGTGCCCAAGAATCTGTGTATTATTGCTTGGAGTTCATTCACCGGGGTGAGCTGAGGAGAGTTATGCATCTTGTTGCTCAAGAGGATGTTGGAGAGGATGTACTTCTCCGCTGCTTTGACATCATCAACATTTGCCTCATAGGTGGTTTTCAAAACATCTTGGATTGCCTCTAAATCAGACACTGTTACTTCAGTCTCCTCAAACCCGGCACGTCTTCCTTTTGACGTGAAAAGGCCGTGATTCAGACGATCTAGAAGTCCTGGGAAGCTGATGGATTCAGCCGCTGTTCGTCTTGTGTAGTGTTCATAACACAGTGCAACGTCCTTCCAGAAGTAACATGGCTCTGAGGTTGTCATGTCAGGCTTGGAGTAGGTTAGGTACCATTCAAAAAAGTCAAACTTGGCTTCAACTCCCATTTCTAACGTTTGGATGAAGTTCCTGTGTTCCTCTGAAGATCTGAGTTTCTCAAAGACTATCTTTGCCACTTGAATGAAGCCAAAAAGACCTCTGTTGTTGAAGGTATTTGAAATGCTTGCAGTACTTCCTGTGTCCCTCATGTCAGGGCTCTCTTCTTTTTCAGCTTTCCTCTCCACATCTTTAAATGCTTTAAAGGCCTCTCCTGCCCTGTTTAAGATATCCTCCAGTCGTGTGGCTCTCATTAAATGGTTCTTTTGAATCTGCCCCAAAACGTCAGCCACATAAGAGTTTTGTGGAGCTCGTTCAATTGCTTTCTTTGCCCATTCTTCAGCTCTTGGATAGTCACTTCTTCGGATGTAATAAAGACGTGAAAGGGTTTGAGGGAAAATGGGATTCTGTCTCAGTTTATCTGATGCAGTTTTCAGGACAGAGACAGCATGGTGGAAATTCTCTTGATCCATTATATCTTCAATCAATCGTGAGAACTTATCTTTACCGCTTTCTCTCAATTCTCTCTTTGTCAGTATATCTTTGATGAACTGGATTGTGTGTGGTTGAGGCTGATTTCCACAAAGTAAGACCATCAAACTCTTCACTGTTGTACTCCTGGAAATCCTTAAGCCAGCTAGTTTGTCCACAGCTATCAGTGCAAACTTTGGGTCAGTCAGGCATATATGTTCAGGATTGGATGTGTTGATGAAGGGAGTAAATGGCTCCATTCTTTCTTCAAACGGTGGGCCTCCATGGATGGGATCAGGTGGTCCAAGGATCTTTTGACACTCAGACATCAGGAGGTAGGACTCAGGAATGTACCCATTCAGCAGCACCAAAAATGAGAACAGTTGTGTGTTGGTGGAGCTTGGGTTTTGTTGGACATACTGAAAACACTGGTGCATTAAGTCACTCTGTTGCCTCGAATTCAACATCTCCTCATCAACCACTAGGGTTTCTTCTCTGCTGTCAGGGGCCGCAGTTTCTCTTGAGTTACGTTCCATGATGGTAAGCTTAAACTTCAAGATGAAAATCCATTTATTTTTCTTCTAAAAGATAGTCTTCAAATACCTAAAGAGGTGATAACAACAGAGCCAATGTTAATCATTACCTTTAAAAATGCACAATATTTGACATCCATCAGCCATAAGAATTTTGACCACTGACAGGCGAAGTGAGTAACAATTATCTCGCTATCATGGCACCTGTCAGTGGGTGGGATATATTAGGCAGCAAGTGAACATTTTGTCCTCAAGTTGATGTTTTAGAAGCAGGAAAAATGGACAGCGTGAGGATTTGAGCGACTTTGACAAGGACACATTGTGATGGCTAGACGACTGGGTCAGAGCATCTCCAAACCTGCAGCTCTTGTGGGGTGTTCCCGGTCTGCAGAGGTCAGTACCTATCAAAAGTGGTCCAAGAAAGGAAATGCAGTGAACCTAGAGACAGGATCACTTTCTAATAAGGCTTTATAAAGGGTTTTTAGAGGTGGGATTAGTCAAACAAACAACTGGATGGACGTTGATGGCTCACAGAGGATGAATTCCAATAGCTTCGGTGACTCTCTGACATTTTCTGTAGTGCCACCATAAGGTTTACATTTGAGTTTTTTAGGGAAATGTCTCAATAACTATTGGGTGGATTGCCAGTGCTTATTTGTGATCTAGTGCCACTATCAGGTAAAATCTTTGTTTATGACTGAATTCCTGCAAAATATAAAAATTCTAGTACTAATTGGAACTAATATGATGAAGATGGTGAACATTAAACATCAGCATGTCATTGTGAGAATGTTGGACATTGGCACTTAGCTCAAAGCACCACTGTTCCTTGTACGGCCTTGTCTTGTTCTAAGTCTTAACTATTGTGTAAATTGTTAACAACTCATTTACCAATGGTGTTTAGATCTTACATTCAAGATCCTGAAGAAAAAAATTATTTGTTGACATAAATATTGCAGACCACTTTGCTCTCTGCCTCATTTATATATTTGTAACTGCAGACCTGATGGTTTATTCCCCTTTAATAATGACTTATTAACATTTATAATTACAGACTTGCTGGCTTATTAGAAGGTAAAAAAGAAACCCATCAGCATTTATTACTGATTTGAATATTAGTGACTCACGATAGAGGCTTTTCACAATCTGGATTTCTGGATACTGAAAATTTCTTCTCATAATTAACTGAGACAAATAAGCAATAGTAAATTATTTCATAAACATTATTAAGGTTAGTAACAACTATAAACCATTTTGTAACTGGTGAATGATCAGAAAGTGGTATTTACTAAATTTGTTTAAACAATAGAGATTACTTACAACGACATGTGAACAGATCTATAGAATTAAACATAAGACTTCTCATCAAATCACAGCATCCCAAAAAGAAAAATGTCCAGGAATAATAAAAATTAAAAAAAAGTAAAATTTTGATATAAGGTAAATATTTTCTGGAAGTGGTTTTGAAACTAATTCATTCATTGAACTAATTAACAGTCACAATGCAGTTAAATTAAATGAAAAGTTTGAGCCAACTTACCAAATATTGCTTAAATCATGGCAGACATAATAAAACCTTTTTAAATAACAACCAATGAAAAAATTAAATATCGTTACCTGTTTGAAATCCAGTAGGTGTGTGAGTGACTAAAGGTACTGAGGATGTCTTTTATAAACAGTTTTAAACCACGCCTTCTGCATACTGTACATACTTGTACCTTGGATACGGCGTACCTGTCATTGTCTAGCATATTATCACAACAAATGGACTGTACACAATAATGCCTTCAATAGTTCATGCTTGAACGACAGGAATCCACTTCACTTTCAATTTACGCTTCAACAGAAATGAAAATAAGATTTTATTTTCATTTTCTGCTCACTCATGTCAGGCAAGTTTCCTGTAAATGACTGTTTACTTTTTACCTCATAAGCCTGCGTTAACCTTTCAATCAAAATGAAACAGCCTCACCCTTAAGCTGCTAACTTTATTATGAAATCATTTGAATCCAGAACACAGACTTTCTTTAAAAACAATTATCATCTAGTACTATATTGCAAAAAATAAAAAATGAGCCTCTACAAAACAGTAAATAAACTGTGCATATTCCCTCAAATCTAAAGGTAACACAAGCAAAAACATATTTTCTTCCAGTTGCATAATAATAGACAGTGTTTATGTGCTACAACCATCAGACAGTTAAGGCTGCTCTAATACGTATTTTCACATTTACAATGGATTCAATAATGATGTCTACTGTGACTATACACACACCACCAAACAAGTTAATAGAGACCAAAAACAGAGCTGAAAGAAACAGAAACTCAACCCCAAATGAAGGCTAATGTCTATCACATCTCTATGTGTGAATAGCTGTATAACACTTTATAAGATGATAATAAAATCAATCAAAAAGTTATTTAGGTAATTCAGGTTTAAGAACTGCAGATTCATAAAAAAAAGTGTCTACGTTGGTTGTTAATAAAGTTCATTCTTGAGCAAAAGAAAACTCAACTTTCAGTGAATGGATTTTGCTCATGGAGATGCTACAATTGTCGGTTCCATACTTTTAAGTCACGTGATCACAGGGTGGTTGTATATTGGCACAAGGGGAAGATTAAGCTCTCTCTACAATTCAGCTAACTTCATAAAAAGTACAACAAATAATCACAACACAGGATGTAGTCGAAGTGGATCTTGACTCTTTAGTAGACTTATACACAAAGATTTGTAATCACCACTAACACAAATACAGCACAATACAAGCTAGAATGACATATTACACATACATAACAACACATGACTGTAGTGAAAAGCCGCTTCTTCAACATGCAGGAGACCTTTGGAGGGCTTTTATTCAACAACCTGCATAAAAAAAAAAGGCTCAGTTAATTAATATTAATTGTTAACATTAATAAGCCTCAGAAAAATTGCAACGAAAGACATGCATAAAAAATGGTTTTGTGGGCGTGGTTAATTTCATTCATGCTCTTAAGATCTCAATGAAACTTATGAACCTGTTTCTTTGCTTCCATTGTCATTGTGTTGGAAGATTTGTCCATTTTTGGCAGCTTGCCAACGGAGTTTGACCTCAGTCCCACTCTGCTCTTCCAGTTGTGCCTGAATCTGCAACCAGATATGCAAGTGAGTAATCTAAAGTGTACGATCTATTGTCCTTCAATCTCTTTCATTTTGGCTCTTCATCTCTCTCACCTGCTTCAGCAGTGAATCACTCAGTGTGGCAAGATTCAGATTTCCCTCAGAGCTAATTCTCACTTTCACCGTAGTTCTCCTGATTTTCTGTTCTAAAACAGTTCCCAAGAGATTCAAAGAAAAAAAAGATTAATTTAAAGATTTCATGTTACAGCTATAGTACATTACATATTATTTGTTTAGGTCCAGTGTGTAACATTCAGGATCTTTTAGCAGAAATGGAATAAAATATTCATGTGTATGTTTTCATTCCTCTTCCACAGAGTCCAGCGTTTTTCTACAGTAGTCCAGAAAGATAGAGCCTTTTACATTTTTTGTGAGTTACACAGCCACCATAGTTTGTCCTACACGCTTGGGTGACAAGCTGTATTCAGTTAGCTGCAACCTGTAACTTCACCACAAGATATCAATAAATTCTACAATTTTAGATGTTGTTTACCTCAGCTAGAGCTTTACTTCTCAGAATACCTTTGGTCTGTCCCTTATAACGGGTGGGAACTTGATGCACTAAGCAGCAAATTTACATTTACTTTCAATTGACTCACCACCGTAACAGACAAAAGGATAGCTGCGATCACAAGCAGTGTCATCCCACTGATTCTGGAAGGACTTTCTGATCACAACACAGTTCTCAGCACCTCCATTATTATCAGGGTTTGTCTTCTCCCAGTTTCTGAAAGAGGTAGGGCTTCCGTCAGACCACATCCAGTTGTCGGCGATCATTCCGAGCCAGATCTGGTAGCCGCTGGTATGACCATAAATGTCTGTATTCTGCTCTTTAGTTTTCACACTGACCAGGTCAGTGTGATCCTGTCTGCAGGAGCTCTGAGCGTCTCGCCATGATAAAAGTGTGGTGTTCAGGAAGTAACTTTCTGTCCCCTGGCTGTCATCTGGAAGAAAGCATTTGATTAATACAGCTATAAATCCACCATCACTTTGTTTTAGCAAAGAGGAGAGTTTACATTCTACGTTTTTTATACTGCACTTATCATAAACAGGCTGTATTCTTGTGCAGTTATATTGTAATTTGTTATTTTTGTCTTGTGTGATACATAAATAATACAAACAATCAATGCTGTGACTTACATTCAAAGCAAAGAGAGGCCTTCAGGTCAGTACATCGGCTTTTTTCCCAGTACCCAGATGTTTTCATCATCACACAGTCACCATCTTGTTTGTCTTCACTGAAGGGATAAACGTCTTGTTCCCCAATGCCATCAGACCACACCCACCGATAGGACGCTGATCTCTCCAGGCCTATCCAGATGCCACTCACATCAGCACTGCCGATGCTCTCCAGCAGCTGCACGTACTCCTCCATGTTGTCCACGGTCGCCAGGTCAGCATAGTTCACTCTACAGAAGCTCTGAGCTTCACTCCATGTCATTGGGATTTTTAAAAAGTGGTACAGACGACCCACTGCGGAGCAAAACATAATTTGGAAACAGAGAAGTTAAAATAGTTTCAGGGCATGAAAGTGTAGACGTTAATATGATTGCAGTATGTCTTCATTCATTCATTTTTCAGCTCATTCGCACCTCACTTTAATACTGATGCATCGATGTGACCTACACGAACAAAGTACAAGTAAAATTACTATTTCAGTCAGATCCCCCTTGAAATTAAGGCAGTAGAAACACTATGCTGCTCAAATTTCTCCTGTTTGGAAGAGGTGTGTAAATCCATCAGCAACAGGAGGCGCCATATCAAATAATATAGGCTTTAAAGCATTTGAAGTAAAGTAGGAATTTACAAATAAAACACACAACTACAACATTTAATTATTTACTATTTAATTCTTTAGAAAATGTTTCTATACTTTCCTAAACTTATGTAGAGCCTGCTTTGTGGAAGCTATAGCCCCATGATTTATCCCCTGGTTCACTCACTTTTATTTTTATAAAAGATTGAAATAAAATGTATAAAAACATCCACTGTGTACTTGTGATTGAGCGTTGCAGTGCTTGGTTATAGCTACCTCTGGTATTTGACTCAGTCCCAGTAACAGCCATCAAAAGCATCAGGAAAATATCTGCAATTCAAGGCATTCATAGTATATTAATTTATTTTAGGATTTCATGATCTAGTAGATGTTTGAATGCAAAATGTTATCCACTTTTTTTTAGCCAATGTCCCCCCAAAAATAAAAGAAGATGCACAAACACAGTATGTATAAATAAACACTCCTCCTGTGCAGGGAGCTTGTCCGATGCACTTATCACGTCTTCCATCAATCAATTATTAACTGAATATACACAGATTCAGATGCTCAATAGAAGAAATTAGTTGTTGAACATTATAAATAAAAATGTCCTTATATCTTATACGTCAAAGAGTGTTAATAGACATTTTATTTATTAATTTAATCGCTGTTCTCCACACTGCAAGGACATCATTTTCAGGAGGAGAAATATTAAAGCCCTTTATTATAATTTAATTTAAGTTTTATTGTTGTCTTAAAAAAAACAGATTTAAAGATCTTTAGTCTAAAATATCAGTTTTAGCAAAAAAAATCCATATTTGTGTGTAATAACAAAATGTAAAATCCTCAAACCCACGAAATTCCACAACACAGAGGAGACGACTGTGGCGTCTTCGAAGGTAAACCTTTAACATTTTTGCATAATTTTATCATTATGAAGTTCTTTGTCCGTGCACTCCCCATTGGTCTTAAATATCCTTTAACATGAATTCAAATGAGCGTTTGCTACGTTAAACCTCACTGCAAATTAAATTTCACTGTCACAATGTTACTGTTTATCTCACCATTATTGTCAGACAACTCCTTTCACTAACCATTACTGTTTCTCATTGTAACATTGTAATTAACAGATTAAACAGTTTAATATGAATGCCGTTTGTTTTTTCTTTGACAGCAGCTTTTTGTTGGCTTAAAATAGAAAGTAGTTTAGGCTTTTTTTTTTTTATCAACAATAAAGACTTTTAATTAATCACTCTTTAGTTTTACCTGTAAAGAAGACCGTTTTACGCTCCATGGCTGCAAACGTAGATGAGAGTTGCAAGAGTTAGGATACAGAATCAACGTTTTTTTTTTTTTTTGCTTTTATCGTATTCTGTCCAATAACAACAAAGTTCCAGTTATTTAAGTATTAATGTGTTGCGCGCCCCGCCACTCTAGTCCTATGGTCACTTTATGTGAGGCTTTAAAGATATACATACTGTATGCAAACCCACGCTAGCATGTGATGGTGTATTCAACATGTATTTGCAAGTGAAATTTCTGGCAGGGTCTGGCAAAGGGTCAAAGAGGACAAGGTCAGGTTAAACCCATATGTCTACTATCTATATGTCTTGTATAAATCAGTCAATTATTTAAGATTTAGTGTTTGTTGTTTTATCTTTCAACACACAGTTTGTAGGACCAAAAGCATAAGGAACCATACAGTTTAAACACAATTCAGAAATTAAATAAAGGCCTTGTCTTTTTATATTTGTCTTTAATAATGGTTTGTGGTTGACATTCTGGCATCAAAACATGGGTAAATCACATAAAGTCACAATGTGGAACATTAGAAAACCTAAAGGCCATTTCAGTCTGCCTTGTGATTGCTGTATTAAAAACTTAAAACATTCTGATTTAAGTTTAATAGATTCTTAAAACTCATAAAATCAAAGAAAATGTACAGTTGTGCACCATGCATCAAGTTCACTCACATCTACTAGTTAATTACATTAACATGTAAATGTTGACAACAAAAGATGGAAAAATGTAATTTCACCAAAATAAAAGCCTCAGTTTTAGTTGAGTTATTTGTGCTTTCAGAAAGTCCCTTTGTGCCTGTGGCAACTGTCAAAATATTACAGTTATAAACAGACATTTAACAGCAGGAGTGCTCCACAACATCACCGACAATCAAACACCACCATGAAGGATTTCCCATAAGATGGACCTAAACAGATCATATTTATCCCATGAGCCTGTTTGGGAAGAAGAGATGTTTTCTTGCTGCCTTGTACCAGAGGAGGGACTGGAGCAGCGATTCCCAGCCTTTTTCCTTAATGGACCCCTTTTCTTTCACTGAGTAAACTGACGACCCCTGACTGAGTGACATATTTTATGGATATTAACGATACAGAACGACTGATAAACTGTCCAAGTCCAAATAGTGAACACAATAACTGCAGGAAGTTTGTGCAAAACGGGATTATTTCCTGTCAATATTACATCAGAGGTGAGTTTATTGATGGTTTTCTAAACTTTTTATTCAATTCTCTGACTGTATTGTGCCATTGTCTTATTTTTTTAACAATCATTCCATTATCATCATTCAATCTTTCTTTGTCATTTGGATGCATTTCAGTCAATGTAAAACATGTCTCCTTGGATTTATTTACACACCAAAGAGATTTCTCCTTGTGTTTTTAGTCAGATTATTAGGAAAATAATGTGCTACACAGGAATCACGAATCCCTGCAATACAATGTATCAGACCTGCCATTGGATTTGTTTAATTCATTTGCAAAGGCCGAATCATCCCTTTGATCACCTGCAAATTATATCTTCTTCTCTTGTGTACGCTCCATGCCATGCCTGCCTTTTACTCTTTATCTTTTGCTTTACAATTTGGCTAATTTCCTTTTGAGTAACTCGTACCTGTGTACCAAACCACTGCTGAAATGCTTGCTTTTTCTTCCTGAGCACTGCTTTCAGTTCTTAACTCAGTCACTTTTCATCAGTTTTATCATTTGCGACATGAAACATTTCATTTTCTAACATTGTCCACACAAAAGTTAAAAGTCTAATAAGTTTTAACAGGATAAAACTCATCACTTCTTTTAAAGTACACAGCACACAAATACAGAGAAGTTAGATATAGTATTAAAGTTCCTCTCTCAATTCCTCAAAAGTACAATTCAACCTACTTTATCCCCAAAAAGTATTGAAACAGTATGGGCACCACTGCTTAACAATTAGCATCCTGTAAAGAGAGAAAAAACAGTTTTTTAGAAAAGTATTACCTAACATACAACTTACAAAATAATGCATAAAGAGAATTTTTATAATGTTTATGCCTCCTGCTCAATTGCCCATTATGTACTGGAACAACTTGGGTTGCTATGGTAACTATGGTTAAATCAATGTTAGATAAGACAGACAATTTAAACTACTCACAGGTAGGATAAACATGAAGGTGGTTAGCTTAGCTTAATTTAGCACATATAATCAGCACCTATCAAACTACAATTTGCTGTTTTATGGGGATTATACATTGTACTATCTTTTGCTATATTTTTCAGTTTTCAGTTTCTGTGATCTTTTTTTTTTAACGAGTGAATCAGTGACCTACAGTGGTGGAGGAAGATCCCTTACCTAAATAAAAGTAGTTAACAGTTATTAGAATATAAATATAGCCCACTTATACTAAAAGTATAAATACTAATTATGCAGAATGGCCAATTTCGAACAATGTATGTTATATTGCTGGATTCACTTTAATCATGCAGCTGGTAAAGGTAGGACTTACATGAATTAGCCTACTTTTTTATACAAATGGGTAGCATAAAGTATGAAAATAACAATACCTCATACTTTATTAGCTGATCATATTTTGTATTATTAATCTCAATGCAAAAAGTAACTAATCAAACAAATGTAGTGGAGTGGAAGTATAAACAAACAGAAAATGAAAATACAAAGTAAGATACCAATACCTCAAAAATGGTAATTAAGTAGCGCTTGAGTAAATGTACTTAGTTACTTTACTTTGAAAGGTGTCTGGGGTCGAGCATGCCTTCTAAGATTAGGAGGCTGAACTCACCTGTCTTCTCACCAGCCTCCAACTCCTCCTGACGTCGGAAGACGATCCCATTTTTGTCACCTCGCCAGCTGAGATTGAAGTCAGTCATCCGCTGATGTTTCAGGAGTGTCTCCAACTGAGTGAAACCAACACCAGAGTTACATAACACAACCCTTTTATTATAAAGCTGAACATGTAAATAAATGTGTTTATCTCAAATTCAGATCGCCATATTAAGGATTACTTCATCAATAATATTTTGTACCTTTTTCAGGAGTGCATCACTGACCCTGGAGTCAGTGAGATCCACATCAGAGTGCACCTTCATCCTTATTACCATCTTCTTTACTTTGAGGCCTGCAGCATCCCAACACAGAATCATACTGTTAGTGATCATTAGTGATCATTGTAATGTGTCTAAACCCATCTACTTTTTAAGCAAGGATATCATTTTCACTGGGGATTCGAGGACCAGCTCACAAAATCTTATTGACCTTTTAAGTAGGGTTAGTGCTAATATTGCTGCAAATTCTACAGCTTTCCAGTTAATCTTTATTACTGTACTTATTATGTCGAGCTTGATTTCATTCCTTCCCTATACGTGCTGTTTTAGGAAGTAGTCGAATACTGCCGCAAGGTCAGCAGCGTTCTGCTTCACTAAAGGCAGGTTTTTACGGTATAGCTAACCTTCTGGCGTAATGTCTGGCCACGCTGGCCGTCAAACTCAGGTGACATTGTATGAAGAACGAGGAAGCCCGCACATGGAGGTGGCAGCGTGGATGGATGGCACAAACAAATACAGGACATTAATCAAAGAGTATTGTAGGTTAACTAAAAACCACATCAGGTACGTTACATACGTCTATTCCTGTACTCATATGCTTGCTGACCTTACACTGGAGGCGTGGACGTTGGAAAATGATGCAAGAGGAGAGCCTACAGTGTCATGATTTGATGTAGAGGGACACTGACCGAGCGGCAGTATTGGTTTGGGATTGAGGATTTGTTGTATCAAGTGGGTGTTGCTGAACTGTAGGTGTTCTCAGCCAACTTCTACTGAATAAAAATCACTGTGGTAGGAATTAATTTGCTTAAGATTTCAGTAACTCACCGCCCTGGCAGACAAACGTTGCCTTCTCTTTACATTGAGTTTCACTCCAGCGTCCCTGCTCTGACGCTGCAACCGAAGCACAGTTCCCCCCGTACTGCGTGCTTCTCATCCAGTACCTGAACGAGGTATCGCTTCCATCCGACCACATCCAGGCATCATTGAATAGGCCAATCCACGCTGATGATGATGAAGTGGTTAAATCGGCAATTTCTGAATTATCCGCCTCTGTGGTTACATAGGCCATGTCAGAGTGCTCACTTCTGCACACATCTTGACTGTTCATCCAGCTCAACCCATCTGAGTAATACACATATGTTTCCTCGCCTTCCTCCTGACCTAAATAGACAAACATGAAGAGGACAGCAAAAGTGGATTTCAGGTCTTTCCAGTGCAAAGCAAACAGGGGTCAAGCAAGAGATTAAGAAGAGAGCAGAGAATTTACACAAATCATTACTTTGGGAGTATCATTTACATGCTCTGACAATTGGATGGACAGGCATGCAAACAGGACGTCCTCTTACATCATACAGTGGTCTGTAGGAAGGAAAATTGTATGGAAATTTGAGGAAAATCTCCACTTTTGCATAACAAAAAGCCGAAAGTCAATTTTGTTTACATTTCTTTTGAAGTCAAGGATGCTAGTGTGTTAGTGAGCAGTGATTCCCAGCTTTGTCCTGTAAAATAAATCATTTAAACACCTGATTACAGTTCAGTAAACGTGATGAGCTAATCAAATACAACACGTTATTAAAGATTATAGCAACCTTTTTAGGTTGTGATCTCTGAGTTTTGGTAGTTCCACCAGAGAGACATTTTCCTTCTAAACTCCACAATATGAGCAAAAATTAAACAGCCCAAAGATTGAAAATATATATTTTTGTAGCAGAATTTACTCACGTTCATAACAGACAAAACTTCTCTCCTTTTCACACTCTACATCATTCCACCAGCCTTCCTCAGACAACTCTCCACACCATTCTTTGCCTTCTGAGTTACTTGGTTCGCCGTCAGTCCACATGGTGAAGTCCGCTCTGCCCCTGCCATCAGACCACATCCACCTGCGAGTCCCTTCTCTATATAGCCCGATCCAGCTGTGTGTCACATGACTGCCCAGTGTGTTGACCAGCTTGTTCTTGTCATTCATGCTGTTCATGGTGGCCAGGTCAGTGTACTTTATTCTGCAGAAGTACTGAGCCTCATACCAGGTCAGGGAGCTATTGATGAAGTGGTAATGGGGTACTTTGAGCAGAGATGTAGACATTAAAAAATACTTTCCAAGCAGAGTATAAATGTCATTATTCACAAACATACTACACTGGGCTGTCCTGAATTATCACAGAACTTAACCAACAGCTCTGTGACACACTCTCAACAAAAACTTGGTTTTAAAGGTTCAGTGTGCAAGATGTAACTGGATCTATTGGCAGAAATTTAATATATTCATAGGTATGAGTTCATGATTGTATAATTACCTAAAAAATGTTGAGATCAAGCCTTTTATATCTACAGAGGGAGCGGATCTTCTTCTACGGAGTAGCCCATAATGGACAAACCAAACACTGGCTGTAGGTAAGGCCACTAAAACCTACACACTGGACCTCAAATTTAATAATCCAATTTAGAAAGAAAACCACAATCTAGTGGTGTACACCAGCACTAGAAAAGGGAGAAAATTGTTAATTCAAGATTGAGTTATAAGGTAACTCCAGTATTTTTCAACCTGGACCTCATTTCCACATACTTTTGTGTCAAAGTGACTAATGGGGACAACACGTTTTTAATTTATTTCCAGTATTGAGTGCAGCCGGCAGCCTCGACCCGGGCTACAAAGTAATCCATATGGGCAATTGCACAACGACAACATACGTCCATTAAAAAGTGTTTGTTTTTCCCAATGTATGAGAAAAATTAAACAGTTTCTGTACCTTTCACCTGAAAAAAATTGTTACAGTAGTGCAACTATCTTAATGTACAGGTTGTCTAATGTTAAAATGGTTAGGAAGTTATCATTTAACTATATTAGTCTGATTTTCACTCACATTGATGTCAGAAAATACCAGGCTTTTTTATAAATAAAGGAACATTTATGGGGTAATGTTGACTCCATGGTTCAAACGCTGATATACCACTACACAAACAGAGTGAGTTTTATTTGAATGGTCTCTAAAATAAATGGGCTAAGGGGCTAATAACCCATGACAGTGTGTATTGAAAAAGGCGGTATAAATAAACTCACTCACAGCTTTAAAAGTAATCACTTCTACTATACTGTATGTTATTCAAAAGGGACATATTTGCATTTGTGGAGTGTGGAATCATTATCTTCCAAAATCATTGCATTTCTTCCCCAAGTCTTCACAAATCGGTGTGTTTTGGAAAGCAAGAGTATAACATTGTTATAAGAATTATAACACTATTGATAATAAAACAAACAGTTTCACGGAGGCCAAGATGTACTTACTCGGCTGAGCAGTGGTCCTCTGAAACAAAAGGAGAATCCCTGTGAAAAAAAAAGAAGTATACTGTGTTATTTCTGTCTTTCAGAAACCTTCAAAGCATCAAAAACTGCTGCTGCAGTAAGATATTAATTGTACTTACCAATGAAAGGGATGGCGCTTTGTAGCCACACCATTTATCTGTGAGTCAGAACAGTAAAACGTACACTTTATAAATCAAATAACTTCCAGTGATACAATCATTTTAGATGAATTACATACATTGTGTTGATCTGTATTCTACAGGATAGAATAATTTAAATTACTGGTATATATTTTTAAGATGGACTTACCTCTTTTGTCGTTGCAAAACCAGCTCTGTCAATGAGTTCAGGTTGTGTGTTGAGAACATTTATGGAAACTGTTTCACTTTTTCATGTCATTTCATGCAAAACTCAAAGTAGTGAGGAGGGAACACGAGCAGATTTGGTTACCAGTGGTCCTTTGACACCAGCAGCGTTGCTTACCATGCGTTCAAAGACTTACCGAGCTTGTTCCCACATTAGGAATCATCCAGTTAAACTAAAATAATTGTCCTAGTGTGCAGGAATATAATAATAAAAGTAGACTTTTTCAGGCTAGCAAGCACTTACAAGGCTGTTACCAGAATATGGCCTTGAAATGTATGTATTGTTACAACAGAATATTTCTGCAGGTGTATTTTGTGCAAATTTTACTAAAACATTCTCAAGAAAGACAGATGGCTAACTGAGCTAGTGAGGTTTGCTTTATCCATTTTATTCTCATTTATTTGCAGGGACAGCGCATTTAATAACGTTTCTGAAAATATGCTAGAAAGTTAGCTAGAACGACTCATTTTAACCTGTAGTACCGGGGCACAAAATAGTTTAAAGAGCAGATGTCAACAATAAAAGCCATGAAAATATGTATATGCAAAGAGAGCCTGCATGCAAACAAATCCTGTAATGCATTTCCTATAATATCTGTACGGTGGCCGACAAGGGCAAACTCGCAGCAAATGGCAAAACGCTGCAAACACAGGAATGATGCAAAACCAATAACACACAAACACATAAAACAAATGCAACAGAAAAATGCTGCAATCACAGAAACGAAGCAGAAGCAAAAACTTACAAACCCACAAAACAAATGCCAAAGAAAAATGCTGCAAATACTAAATATCAAAAACACACAAAACCTCCTCTATCGTCTAACATTAGTTAATTAGAGATAATGGACACCTGGCCGGGCATTATCACTTACATAAACACAAGCTCTTATAAATCAAAGTTTCTAGCACGCTATCATTAGCTACGTAACTATGCTGCTCACACAAACACAAACACAAATAAAATTAACATAACTTTTTCAAGATTCATGGTTTCACACAGTATCTTTAAATTAAATCAAACTTCGCCCTCCTTTAATTTTGTCAATTTTTGTTTTTTCCTTTTCCCCCAAATTCCTCATTACATCACTAATACAAACAGTCGTCTGGTCCGTATTGTTCAACTCCGGTCCAGTCAGAGTAGCAGGACTACCATCGGTGGCACTCACCTGTTGGAACAACAAAAGAAAAAAGGAAACTTCAACAAGAGAACAGCAAAATATTTTTAAACCAAGAAAAAGAGAAAGAAAACCAGAGAATTAAAGTATAACTGACTCTGCCTCTTTACTTAGATATATTTTTACTAAGATATCTCTCTGTTTTTGCCAGAATAGAGGACATATTAGTTTTAAATTTTCTTAGACAATTCTTAAACATGTCAAAAGCATCTTTATCATCTTTTAAAAATGGGAAATTTTGCACAACAGCTGCAGTATCACTGAGGTATTTCCATACAAAATAAGTGAGAATAATTCAAAGTTGAAGATTTAATAAATGCTCCTTTGAGAAGGTTTATACACCAGGACAACATCAGCAATAAAAAAGTATAATAGACGGTAAAAAAGAAAATCTGTGAGAGAAAAAAGACACTTACTGTGCTTTGTTTATGTGTGAAACTCATCCTCCAGCTGATCTTGAAATCACTGATGCCATTGTTTTTCATCTCTGCCTCCAGCTAGGATTCATACACAGATATTACTCTTTACATTTGCTATAACTTTAATAATTACTTGGATATAATTAAATATGGATATAGATATAGATATATATCTTATAAACTACTGACATTGCTAGCAGTCTGGTAATCAGCACTTTCTATAAATGAAATGTTGAGTTTTTACTTTCCATTCATGCCTTCACACAGGGGAGTAGTCATGCATGCACATATGAAACAATACCTCAGTAGATGTCTGTTTCTCACCTGGTTTAAGATTTGTTGCTGGATGTCTGGGTCACTCATGTCAAAGTCAGTGCTGATCCTCAACACAGATCTCTTTTTAAAGTCTGAAAAAGTGTTGCTGATGTGATTACCGAGCTTTCATTTTGGTAGTGTTATGAAATGTTTTGATTTAAAAGGTCCAGTGTGTAACAATTTAAGAAGATCAATTGACAGAAATGCATTATGATGTACATAACTATGTTTTCATTAGTATATAATCATCCAAAAATAAGAAGTGTTGTTACTGTTACTTTAAAATGGCCACCATAGTTTCTGGTGTTTGTAATTTGGAATAATTTATATAATATATATTCCTATTGAAAAGCATGAATGCTGGGTAAACATGCAGAATGCTGTATGTCAATATTTTTATAATGTTGTCTGTTAGTCTGCAACTAATGATCTTTTTTATCAAATTAACTGACTGGGCCACCCGTTAAGTCTATAAAATGTTAAATTTTCCATTACATTTATTTACATTTTCCCATGGCCCAAGTATGATATATTGTTGCTGTAAACTCAATTTACTCTCCAATTATGTAAAACAGAAAGAAAAAACCAGCAAATCCATATATTTGAAGAGCTTGAATCTGGACTTTTAGGATATTTCTAAATGTTCTGTTGTGTGGACGTATTCTGAACTACTTATTTGTTTCCCATTTACCATAACCCATAGCGTCAGTATTTGACAACTCAACAAATAACTATCTTTCCCCACTAGCACAGCACTATTGAAAAGCTTACATAAACTTGTATAATACTTACAGTGGCAGAGAAACATAGATTTGGTGTGACAGGATCTTACGCTCCATTTCCTGTTGTAAAAATGAGCACAGTTGGGTCCTTCTCCTAAGTTGTCCAATGACCCCTGCCACTGGAATCTGTACAAGGAGTTACTCCCATCGGACCACTTCCAGGAGTCTCCGAACAGGCCGATCCAGGTGAGCTTTCCCGCCGGCACCATGCTTTGGATTTCCTGGTTCTCAGCCTGGTTCCTCACGCTGAACAGGTCTGTGTGGTGCACCCTGCAGTAGTACTGAGCGTCGATCCACTTCATTGGTATTTCCACGAGAATCTTTGTTTCTGGTGAACCACCTCTGCCTGTGACCACAAAAATGATCATGATGCACCAATACATAGCGTAAGTAACTAATATCTTATGGAAAACTAGTAGTTCTTAGTGGTAATAATTATAATTAACAATGCTAACATGCTGTTGACAGCCTGGAGTGACTGGATGTGTGTTTCAAACTCTGTACCAGTCCACCCAATTGAGACATTTCATTCAAAACCCACAAATGTCAACCTCATTGTGGCGCTGGGGGAAATCATGGCAAAATCATTATGCTTTATCATCTGACAACCATAAACATCTGTGCCAAATTTCACAGCAATCCATGGAATAGTTGTCAAGATCTGACACTGAAAGCTAAAAATGTCCACTTGCTGGTCAACCCTGTTTCTTAGAAATTGCGTTTGTATATTACCACATTGTTTTATTAATCACTGTCTGGATTGTGTTATTATTACTATCATTCAAGTGAATTACATGTTTATAACATACCACACCACCACAATTGCAGGCAGGTACAGGTGTACAAAACCCACTGGATAAAAAAATCTTTAGTAAAGTTGGAATCACTACTTATCACTGTGGTGTTGAATGCACATACAGTGAGCATTAATAAACTAATCCCTGCTCACATCAACAGTTCCACAAAATAATATTTTTTTTATAGCATAGTGAAATAAATAGCAACCAATAGCTACCAGGAAGGAAAGAACAATGAACTTTGGAGATCAGTTGATGATATTCTAATCATCACAATTTGTAGTTAATAGTATAAAACATGCAAAGTTAGTTATTCCAGCTCATCAACTACAGATACTTTGTGAACATGTGTAAATGCATGTGAATAACATTTTCTATCATATTACCATCAAAGCATATGAAGTCGTTAAGTAAGTCACAGTCCAGGTCTTTCCATAAACCGGTGTCTTGTATGCCAGCACAGTGTTGGATGCCACGCTCTATGTTGGGTTCACCAAGATCCCAGTTCCTGAACTCAGCTTCACCATCTCCATAATAATCTTCATCTGGCAGAGACCAACTCCAGGTTATGACATCTTCATACAGTCCAATCCAAAAGTCGTAGAAGGTATTCTCCATTTTGTCAATGACACGGTTAATGTCCTTAATATTGATTATGGTGGCCAGATCAGTGTACCTCTCTCTGCAGTAGGCCTGGGCTTCAAACCAGGTTTTAGGTTCATTCTGAATGAGAATGTAGTCAAGACTGCAGGAGGCCGAGAAGCAGTGATCTGTTGGTAGAAAAGAAATTTAAGAAAATTCAGTCAGCACTGAATCAGCTTTTACCACCACATTAGCTTTGGCAGTGAGTTTTAGAACTATTGCCTTATTAAAATAAAAATGTAAATGACAGCATCATCTGCAAATGTGCTGACTCTTTTATTTCCGTTTGGAACTGCATTGTAAGAATTTAATAAAACTGCATTATCTGTTTACCATTGGGTGGAGGCAGCTGAGGAAATATGTTTTCAGTATTCTCCAAAGTGCTGTAGACCTCCACCTCACACAGAGGCGGTGGTATGTCTGGATGGATTACAGTCACATAGCGGCCCACAATCCCACCACAATCCACCGTCACCAGAGATCGTGAACTACTGTAGTCAACTGAACAGCTGAAATATAGAAATAGTGTTTATTATCCATTATCCATTATTTCATCATCCAGATTTCATTTGAAAATATATTCACGGCATTATAGTTTTTTTATTATAATTCTCAGCAATATGAGTCGATGAGTAAAGTTACCAATGGGCCAAACTACCTCAGTGTTTGCTGTAGCTTTTAAACATAATTTTTGGGCATTTGCTGCAACAACCACTGTAGTTTTTCTTGGAAGGACAGTCTCCACTTTCAACATACAGAAGTGGGCAATGCATTCCTGTAACCTTTTCCAACCTAATATTTACCTTGTGTTGTCCACTAGGACCTGACTATAGCAGCAGTCCTCTGTGTAGGCAAGCTGGATCACAGTCACATTGTAGGGAGTCAGTAAATCCACTGTCACCCACTGACCGGGTTTGCTTTCAGTTATGCTGCAGGTGGAAAACTGATGGCCATCAATAACACTGCTAGCTTGACCTGCAGTTTCCAATAGTAAGGAAGACTGAAAAGCCACTCCTCTCAAAGCCACATTTTCTAGAGAGGATAAAAGTGAGGATAAGATTAATAACATTTGTTCAACAAAAAACATCTGCAAAATCGTAATTTACTTAGAATTTAGAAGTAAAACAAAGGCTTCTTATTGATGCCAAATAAAAAATAGTCTACATTTTTAATAAAAGCCCAAGGAACATTGCTGTAAACGTATGATGGAAGCAATAATGTGCTTACATTTAAAGGTTTTTGTTTTTTCTTTAAGTCATTACTTAACATCAGGCTAAACTGCTGTGATCTCTTAAGAATTAAAGGCTGTTTCACCTCTGGTTGCACCAGTAACCACACCCAACAGTGATGTTGTGTGATCTTGAAGTACACCTGTACATAACTGCAGCCAGGTGAAAAGTTAAACCACTAAACAATATTTTCAGGAGGTGTTGAGTTACTCTTTAATCAAGATCTATAAAGGTTCAGTGTGTAGGATTTAGTGCCATCATTTGCAGATTGCAACCAACCAGCCTCATCCTCCACTTCCAACCATGTAGGAGGAACTACAGTAACTTGCAGAAAAAAAAAACATATCTAGTGCCAGTGTTCTGGGCTACTGCAGAAATATGGCTCATTCTAAGGATACAAAAACATTCTTATTTTCAGGTGATTATGAACTATTGAAAACATCTATGAATATGATATTCCATTTCGGCAAATAGATCCTCCTAAATGTTACACACTGGATCATCAGTGTGTGCTTACTTACTTACTTACTTACTTACTTACTTACTTAATCAATATGGCATGCCCAGTGAATAAAGTGGAAGGCTCAGCTAACGTACGCAGAACTCTGTAGAAAAAAATCAGTTTTCAAGCTTACCAAGAACAGTACCATACACCTGTATTTCACAAACAGTCAGTTTCTTCTGTAATCCAGGGAGAGCAACATGGACGAAGCGACCTTCCATTATTCCACACTGGAAGTCGTATTTGCGCTGTCCTTCTATAGTAGAGATGACGACACACCTGACAGAAGGATGAAGTATAAGAATAAGAATCAAAGTGGTCGGTAAGTATGAGTACTACTATAGCAAGTAAGCACTCTTTTGTTCCAGCTAAGATCACCTCTGGTTGCTGGTGTCACTACTGAGGCCAATGCGGACTTCAGTAAAGTCCAGGTCCTCTAAGCAGCAGTCTGTGACACTGATGATAGACACAGCCGTTATTCGGTAGATACTTATCAGGTCCAGTTGCCACCAGGGGTTGTCTTGCAGTGGGACTGAGGCACAGGTTTCAGAGTCTTCATCAATGGCCATTTGTGGGGCAGTTGCAATAGAATCTGGTTCTCCTGATTGTGTAACTATTCCCCTTGGTGCCACATTCTCTGGCAGGAGTATCATGAAGACAGTTAGGAAAAAATTAATGAAATGAAAAAGAAAGAAAGATTAATTTGGAAAACCACAACATTGGTCTTCCATTTAATGTACAGTTCAACAAGATAAAGAGCTTTCCACCACTCTAGCGGACCTTTGAGGCCGTAATGGTAACAAATAACAAAATTGTTAGATAGATAAACCAAAGTACTGAACAAATACAAGATCTAAGATGATTAGGGATGAATGTCTGCACCAAATCTGCAACTGTTTGGATAAATTGTAATCCATTCAACATCTGCAGAGACATTTCCCTCTGAAACACAAATGTCAGTGTAATGGTGGCCCTGGAGGAAATGTCAGTGGCTCCCCAAATCCTTCAGGGGACCATGGATTTCTGAGCCAAACTTTTTACTGATCTAATGTGAAGATATTGAGAAATGTTGCTAGATTAGAGAAATATTTGACTTGATATTTGGTAGCATTAGAGATGGGGTTCCCAGACTTTTTCAGCTTGAAACCCAAAAGAGAAATTTCTCCTGGGGACCCAAACTTGCAAAAATACATAATGAATTGCCATAAAATCAACATGTTAGACTACTGACACACAAAACAAACAATTCAAATGCTACACAAACATGACTGACTTCACTGTCCATAAAATTTAAAAATGAAATGAAAAATCATTTATTATGATATTATTATGATATTGTACCCTATTTAACAATGTATGCCTTTTTAAAAAAAATAAAACTCTATTATTTATCTATTATTATATTTATTTGAATATTTATTATAAAATCAAGATATCAAGATATTTGATATATAAAATGTGATGCATGCTTACACAAGCACGAACTAACCAATTTCAACCAATAATATGATATTCACCTGTCAATCGTACTTTGATATCTTTTAGGGATACAGAGCAAAGATTCATTATTTACATAGCTACCAATAGCATGGCTGGAGTGGAGTGTTTCGGGAGGGCCGGGCCTCACTGAATAATGTACACATACACATCATTATGTCTTGTGCAAGAGCACAACTTTATCAGTAATGTGGGTGAAATTGGACCACATTTTATGGAGAAAATATTGTTCTCCGGTCTTGACTCAGGTAACTGCTACTGTAGCTGATGTTAGTTCACATATCATAGCATTGTCATGCATTTTACTACCAATGGGGGATTTAATAAAAACTGCTCTGCAACCCATTTGGGTCCCGACCCTAAGTTTGGGAAAGGCTGCACTTTGTAATCAGCAAGTCATTAGGGTACATCCTCTCGGGATTCATGTATGTGTGCACAAAACCAACCATCCAGAACATTTTCATCCATAAACCAGGCTGCTAGAGTGCCTAAACCCACCAAAAACATTTACGGTTTATCATGCCATTTTAAATGAAGGATCTTGAGGATTATCAATTGAATAAATACATTATGTACGCTCTGCATTCACTTTAAATCTGAATTACATTTATATTTTTTTTGTCTATATTTTGTATTTCAGATTTGAATTTTGGAGAAAAAGCTTTAGTTTCTGGGATTCAGTTGATTTATGAATGACATTTTAAATAAGTTCTACAATCAGCAGAAAAGTGAACAAAGGCAGTAACTAAATTATATTCATATTTACATTTTTACTTCACTTCATGTTCATACTGGAACCACTGCATTGCATTGAATTACCTCCTGTAATATTGGTAGTTGCATACACTCTGACCTCACAAAGCTGAAGTGTCTTTCCTGCTCCGGGGAGGAAAATGTTGACATAACGTCCTGTCATTTGGCTGCAGTTGAAGACCATGGTAACAGCACTGGTGATATGGATCACTCCACATCTGAAGGGCAAAGAGACAGGATGAGGATTCATTCCTACCTCCACAAAATGTAGGTAATGCAAGGTGCATGAAGGTGCAGCTGAATGCAACAAACCCAGCCATTAAGTTGAAATTATATTCGGTCTCAGTGCTGAATTATTCATTATGGACTTGATTACACTAGTTTTACATTAGAGTTATGTATTATCACTCATCATATTATATTCTATATCAGTGTTAAAGTTAAAGTAGCTTGTATTATAACATTCTTACACTTGTAAATAAAATATTACATTACTATATTAAAATGTAATAAATGTATTATAACATTTCATATGCAATCCTCTATCATACTACACTACGTATGGTGTCTAACATCATAGTACTGTGTCACATTACTTTAAGAGAAGGTGGTTGTTGGTTTAAGGTGCAACACCGGTAATGTAATGGTTTTTCTTCATTTTCATGACTATTTACATTGTAGATTCTCACTGAAGGCATCAAAACTATGAATGAACACATGGAATTATGTAGTAAACAAAAAAGTGCGAAATAACTCAAAACATGTTACATTTTAAACATTTTAGAGTCTTCAAAATAGCCACCCTTTTCTTTGATTACTGCTTTGCACACTCTTGGCATTCTCTCGATGAGCTTCATGAGGTAGTCACCTGAAATGGTTTTCCAACAGTCTTGAAGGAGCTCCAGAGATGCTGAGCACTTGTTGGCCCTTTTGTCTTCACTCTGCAGTCCATCTCATCCCAAACCATCTCGATTTTGTTTAGGTCAGGTGACTGTGGAGGCCAGATCATCTGGCACAGCACTCCATCACTCTCCTTCTTTGTCAAATAGCCCTTACACAGCCTGGAGGTGTGTTTGGAGTCATTATCCTGTTGAAAAATAAATGATGGTCCAACTAAACGCAAACCGGATGGGATGGCAAGATGCTGTGGTAGCCATGCTCGTTCAGTGTGCCTTCAATTTTGAATAAATCCCCAACAGTGTCACCAGCAAAGCACCCCCACACCATCACATCTCCTCCTCCATGCTTCACGGTGGGAACCATGCATGTAGAGACCATCCGTTTACCTTTTCTGCATCGCACAAAGACCTCAAATTTGGACTCATCAGACCAAAGTACAGACTTCCACTGGTCTAATGTCCATTCCTTGTGTTTCTTGGCCCAAACAAATCTCTTCTGCTTGTTGCTTTTCCTTAGTAGTGTTTTTTTAGCAGCTATTTGACCATAAAGGCCTGATTCACGCAGTCTCCTCTGAACAGTTGATGTAGAGATGTGTCTGCTACTAGAACTCTTTGTGGCATTCATCTGGGCTCTAACTGAGGTGCTGTTAACTTGCAATTTCCGAGGCTGGTGACTCGGATGAACTTATCCTCAGCATCAGAGGTGACTCTTGGTCTTCCTTTCCTGGGGCGGTCCTCATGTGAGCCAGTTTCGTTGTAGCGCTTGATGGTTTTTGCGACTGTACTTGGGGACACATTCAAAGTTTTTGCAATTTTCCGGACTGACTGACCTTCAGTTCTTAAAGTAATGATGGACTGTTGTTTCTCTTTACTTAGATGATTGGTTCTCTGCACAACACAACTGATGGTCCAAACCCAATTAAGAAGGCAAGAAATTCCACAAATTAACCCTGACAAGGCACACCTGTGAAGTGAAAACCATTTCAGGTGACTACATCATGAAGCTCATTGAGAGAAGGCCAAGGGCTTGCAGCGCTGTCAACAAAGCAAAGGTTGGCTACTTTGAGGAATCTAAAATATGAAACATATTTAGAGTTATTTCACACTTTTTTGTTTACTACAATTCTATATGTGTTCATTCATAGTTTTGATGCCTTCAGTGAGAATCTACAATGTAAATAGTCATGAAAATAAAGAAAAACCATTAAATGAAAAGGTGTGTCCAAACTTTTGACTGGTAGTGTATATTGCTTGTATTGTTTTTATTTTTTATTATTATTTCACTTTACTTCTTATTACTCATTTCTTACTTTTTATGTAATTATTTGTATTTCGTGCTAATGCAACACAACAACTATTATATCTTCTCTTGAAGACATGTTGTTTCAGCTCAGTGGTTTGGAGGCTGCAGGCGACCACCCCACAGGGCGCAAAATATTACAAATATATGTCAATGTGAATATAAAAATAATCAGGAGCACCACAAACTACAGACTTCAAAATAACCAGAGTTGAATCAGCTCTTCTCTGATAAAGTAAAATCTCCATAAAGTGAAGATTTATGCAATTCACTTTCACTAGGCGTACCTAGTAAATTGGTAAATATCTGGAAAACTGAGCAAGAAACATTTTAGTATAAGTATATCTTTTTTTATATATATTTATTTAATTTTTGGCCCACTGATTCAGTGCATGTCATTTGCTGACCATGCCTATTCCCCCTACAGGGTGTCCACACTATGGCCTTAACACCATGTACGAGCTGTCCTGAATTTATATGACCGGAGAGTGCATAAGTCAATTTTCTAATGAAACTGTGGCCTGCCTACCTGTATGTAGTTCATATTGTGAACACAAGGTGTCACTATCGCCATATGGGCAGACGTTGGCATTTTTAATGTTTCTCAGCAGAGAGCAATTAACAAAACATTGCGATGGTGAATAATTATTTTTGTGTCTTTGTTGTAAATATTCTCTGTATGAATTTAAATGTAGTGAAAGTATATTCTTGCACTTCATGTAGAGACATTTATGTACATAATAATCATAATAAACAACTGATGAGAACTACACAGCTGTACAGGCTGTTGAAAGTTGACTTACAGAATTAAATACTCTTAAAACTGAAGAAATCAACCAACAGGTAAAAATGAGAAACTAACAGCTCCTTGCAACCACTACCACATACACATGTGAAAATAAAATGACAATTCATTAATTCGAGTTCAACCCATTATACCACCTGGGATTGTTGTTGCCATTGTTCTCCAGTGAGTTACCAATGCAGATTTCAGCCCCATCTGACTCAGTAATGCAGCAATCTGTTCTTCGGACGACTTCAATTAAAGAGATGTTGTACGGACCCCGCATGTCTAATCTCCACCAAGGGCTCTGCTCCCGCTTAGTGGCAGTGCAGCTCCCACGAGTCATGACTGGATCAGATATGCCATCAATCGGTTGGTACGGATGAAAACTGCTGTCCCATACTGAAGACTGAACAGCCACTCCACTCAGAGCCACGTTGGCTGGAGGGTTAACACAGCCACAAAGAATATAGAATTTATAATTAAGTATGTGTTTGCAAAACATGGAAAACATCTACACAGGAAAGCACTTGATGATAAATAAGCATAAACATGTTGTAAAATTAAAGGGAGCAAATACATTTTACAAAAACTACCAAAAAGACACTATGTGTCACGTTCCCATTCCAAAACTGTTGGAACAGGAGGATGAGGCTCTACAGTGGCTGAAAAAAAACACAAAAGGCCCTATCTGGAGCCAGTGTTAGGGTTGTCCCTTCTAGGCTACTGTAGAAACATGACTATGAAGTTATTTTAGTGCCTGCAAAAATTTAATATGAATTCGCATTCATCTGGGGTGTAAAGTTCAAAGAAATGTCACTCCAACACAATCGAGCAGTGTTCCTGCACCCTAAGGCTTTCTGGGTATGTCATGGCAGAAAAAAAGACCTGCTGCACCTCAAAGCTCACAGATAAGTGAATTAGCACTTTGTATCAATGTATGTATGAAGCTAACAGTTAGTGCTACATAGCTAGACTAGTCTGCGAGCTACATTTGTCGATGAATCGATTAATATGTTTTTGAAATTGGGCGCTCAAAGGTTCAATCCAGGTTTCTACACAGTGCAGAATAATAAAGACCTACACATGCACGATACAATTTCATTTTACTATTTATCTTGTGATCATTTGAAGGGGTCCCGATGGTTGAGAACTGGGCTAAAATAACTTAAGTAATTAACTGTGCCGAGAATTTAAATCTTTTTCCCCTTGATCAGCTACAAAATAAAATTCTGCTCACACATTGACACATCAGGATTACCAATCTATTATATAATAATAAATACGGACAGGAGATGTTTTACTGCCGTTCTTTTACCTTTGATACTTTAAAAACAGTTGTAATACTTTTGTATTTTTCTTACCTGCCTGGTGCGTAATTCTCCAACTGAGAAGGATAGACGCTGCAAATAAAATATTAAACACTGATATGAAACTCAATGAACTACAAATTTTTTAATCTATAAATTAGCCATTATGAATTAAATGAACTCTTGAGTTTAAACATAAATCCACTCGTTTACACACCAATTATATGACTTACCCCAAATTAAAAAGAATTCCAGAGTCCGCTCCATGATCTATTGAAAGCTTTTAATTTAATTTCACACAGTGTGGTTTAAAACCCCAACCAAGATGAGCTCAAAAAGCTAAAAGTACAGACTTAAAATCTAGACTTCAGTTCACAAAAACCTGCTGATCTCCACTGTTAAGTCCAGTGGCCCTGCACACAAATAAATGCCAACCAAATTTACATCATGTTATGCATGAGTTTGTATCTTGTACACGTCACTTGATTGACGACTCAGATTAAGGGTGCGTTCATGATACACGTGCACGAGCCTCTTCAAAGTAAAGTGGTGTTCATGGGCTACACCATAGCAGTATACTCAGAACAGTCATGCATGCATGCTAAAATGTATTAAAATGATAGTACAATTTTCTCCCACAATGTAATGGACAAAAGAAATAGAACTGCTCACTGCTGGAAAACATTTGTACTAATTGTGGATGGTGAAACAGCTCCAGGAACAGCTCAGGAAACAAAACAGTGCCACTGCACAACCCATATATTCCATCATTTATATATCATATACAAGTTCACCATGGTATTATCCTTATTTTCAGCCTGTATATTTAAGGGTTCAACATAAAGGATTTTGTGGCATCACGTGGTGTAATTGCAGTTTTCAACTCCCTCGCCTCTGTAGATAAAAACAGCTCATTAGGTAACAAAAACACAAGAATTCCTATTTCCATGTGATTATAAACTAATGAAAACATATCTAAGAATATTTCACTCCATTGTCTTTCAATAGATCCTCCTAAATGTTACACACTGGACCTTTAATATAAAAACACCAAAAAAGATATTTCACTTATTACACTTGATTTGATGCAAAATTCTGTATAATCTTTTTATTGTTATTACAAATATATCATAATATATAACTTGATAAATCTCTGTCTTCAGTGATCAAACATTTAAAATATTATATTGTAATACTACTTATATTGTTGTCATTATTGTGTGTAGCCTATATGTGTGCATGTACTGGTCTGTCTTAGAATAAACAGGCTTAGTGTATATTAATAGGTCAGGGGTTTGGTCTTCCTGCACAGGCAATAAACATTTGATTCTTGTTACCCCGAGGAGGGTAGGATTAGTCAAATTCATTTGAAGCAAATCAATCGGCAGTAAATCTGACATGCAAAGCAAGCCAGCTCACACAGTCAGTGTATGCAGTGTTTCTTGTGTGTTTGTTTCTTGAATAGAAGTGTATTAAGACACATTTTGGTGGATTGTTTTGAAAGGGTTGAGAAAATGTTCATACTTCTTAAGCTAAATAAACTGGAAAATGCTTTGTCACAAAGATGAAAGCAGTAATACTGCTCTCACAGGACAGTGACGCTACAAACATATGATGATTTTATAGAAAATAAATGCATTGCTGTAGGTTAAACTACCCAACAGTATATAAACTACAGATAGTTAATCCAAAACCATCATAAAATATTAAAACACTGACAGGGACTATTTCACTACAATGGGAGTACTTTTAATAAGAATCATATCAATTTTGCTGATAATACACACTTTTAATTAAGGTTGTGATTGCAGAACTTGCAGAACTGACTGTGTGGTATTAGGACTTTTACTGAAGTTGTCACGACCTCTACCCCAAAAAGGGGGGCCCAAAACACCCCCCCCCCCCCAAAAAAAAAGGGGGGGAAAAAAAAAAAAAATTTTTTTAAAAAACAACCAGCCAGAAAGAAAAAAAAAAAAAAAAAAAAAAAAAAAAAAATTAAAAAAAAAAAAAAAAAAAAAAAAAAAAAAAAAACAAAAAAAAACAAAAAAAAAAAAAAAAAAAAAAAAAAAAAAAAAAAAAAAAAAAAAAATATAAATATAATAAAGGAGAAAAAAAAAAAAAGGGGGGAGAAAAAAAAAAAAAAAAAAAAAAAAAAAAAAAAAAAAAAAAAAAGGAGAAAAAAAAAAAAAAAAAAAAAAAAAAAAAAAAAAAAAAAAAAAAAAAAAAAAAAAAAAAAAAAAAAAAAAAAAAAAAAAAAAAAAAAAAAAAAAAAAAAAAAAGTAAAGGATCTTAATACTTCTTCCACCACAGGATCTATGGATGTTTCAATGACAGACAGGAGAAGAGTTCAGAATGAAGTGAAAACCTTAATTTTATTGGTGAACTAACAAGCTGCAGATAAAATTCATGACAAGGGTTTTTTATAATTTGTTTAAAGATTTATGATGACAAAAGACAAATATCTAATATATAATACTACACTAAATTCTGCTTTAAACTCTACATTTCAGGGTACTGTATGAGGTAGATAATTCAAACAGAACACAAATCAATCCACAAAAACAATAAACTTTTTTTAAAGAAAGCAGAAACTCTCAAATCTTCACTCCCAGTTCAGTTTAGGGGCAAAAAGTCTCACCCGAGGTTCTTCGTTAGTTCCTCTCCACATGCATCTGTGTAAAAGACACAACAGGTAAATCATGATAAAGGTGCAAACACTTCAAAATGAGAAATACACGATGCTGAAATTCATCTGTCCACTGGTTCAATCATGTCTATACTGTCTATATCTGAACTATAACATCACCCATTGTTTGGAAAAATACTGTTTTGAAGCCTCGAGTTCTGACATTATCACCATCTTTTGGAACCAAAATGAACTCAAAAAGCTAAAAGTACAGACTTAAAATCTAGACTTCAGTTCACAAAAACCTGTTGACCTCCACTGTTAAGTCCAGTGGCCCTGCACACAAATAAATGCCAACCAAATTTACATCATGTTATGCATGAGTTTGTCTCTTGTAAACGTCACTTGATTGACGACTCAGATTAAGAGTGCGTTCATGATACACGTGCACGAGCCTCTTCAAAGTAAAGTGGTGTTCATGGGCTACACCATAGCAGTATACTCAGAACAGTCATGCATGCATGCTAAAATGTGTTAAAATGATAGTACAATTTTCTCCCACAATGCAATGGACAAAAGAAATAGAACCGCTCCCTGCTGGAAAACATTTGTATTAATTGTGGATGGTGAAACAGCTCCAGGAACAGCTCAGGAAACAAAACAGTGCCACTGCACAACCCATATATTCCATCATTTATATATCATATACAAGTTCACAATGGTATTATCCTTATTTTCAGCCTGTATATTTAAGGGTTCAACATAAAGGATTTTGTGGCATCACGTGGTGTAATTGCAGTTTTCAACTCCCTCGCCTCTGTAGATAAAAACAGCTCATTAGGTAACAAAAACACAAGAATTCCTATTTCCATGTGATTATAAACTAATGAAAACACGTCTAAGAATATTTCACTCCATTGTCTTTCAATAGATCCTCCTAAATGTTACACACTGGACCTTTAATATAAAAAACACCAAAAAAAATATTTTACTTATTACACTTGATTTGATGCAAAATTCTGTATAATCTTTTTATTGTTATTACAAATATATCATAATATATAACTTGATAAATCTCTGTCTTCAGTGATCAAACATTTAAAATATTATATTGTAATACTACTTATATTGTTGTCATTATTGTGTGTAGCCTATATGTGTGCATGTACTGGTCTGTCTTAGAATAAACAGGCTTAGTGTATATTAATAGGTCAGGGGTTTGGTTTTCCTGCACAGGCAATAAACATTTGATTCTTGTTACCCCGAGGAGGGTAGGATTAGTCAAATTCATTTGAAGCAAATCAATCGGCAGTAAATCTGACGTGCAAAGCAAGCCAGCTCACACAGTCAGCGTGTGCAGTGTTTCTTGTGTGTTTGTTTCTTGAATAGAAGTGTATTAAGACACATTTTGGTGGATTGTTTTGAAAGGGTTGAGAAAATGTTCATATTTCTTAAGCTAAATAAACTGGAAAATGCATTGTCACAAAGATGAAAGCAGTAATACTGCTCTCACAGGACAGTGACGCTACAAACATATGATGATTTTATAGAAAATAAATGCATTGCTGTAGGTTAAACTACCCAACAGTATATAAACTGCAGATAGTTAATCCAAAACCATCATAAAATATCAAAACACTGACAGGGACTATTTCACTACAATGGGAGTACTTTTAATAAGAATCATATCAATTTTGCTGATAATACACACTTTTAATTAAGGTTGTGATTGCAGAACTTGCAGAACTGACTGTGTGGTATTAGGACTTTTACTGAAGTTGTCACGACCTCTGACACTATACAGGTGGACCCAAATGCACGACTCTGGCACAGACAAAGTTGGGGGGAAAAAAAGATATCAATTTTTTTAACAAAAGGCCTCTCTAGGAGGATTTCAAAAATGCAAACAAAAAGTCTAACTTTAATAGGTACATGAAAAAAACTTGGATTACAATACTTGACAATACTCAGTGATGAAGAACAAGACGAACTGACAAAGACAAAGGGAGACAAGGACTATTTGCACTATGTGAGAGTGGAAAGCAATCAGGGTGGAGCAGACAATTACAAAGGTGGGAAAACACACAAAGGGAGGAAGTCAGGGTCTGAATAGTGAGGGAAAAGGTGATTACAAAATAAAACAGGAAGAACTAACATGAAAACACTTAACATGAACATTACTAAACTTAACAAATTTGACGAGACACAACATAAGTAAAGGATCTTAATACTTCTTCCACCACAGGATCTATGGATGTTTCAATGACAGACAGGAGAAGAGTTCAGAATGAAGTGGAAACCTTAATTTTATTGGTGAACTAACAAGCTGCATGTAAAATTCAAGGCAAGACAAGGGTTTTATATAATTTGTTTAAAGATTTATGATGACAAAAGACAAATATCTAATATATAATACTACACTAAATTCTGCTTCACACTCTACATTTCAGGGTACTGTATGAGGTAGATAATTAAAACAGAACACAAATCAGTCCACAAAAACGAAGAAAAGAAAGCAAAAAACTCTCAAATCTTCACTCTCAGTTCCATTCAGGGGCAAAAAGTCTCACCCAAGGTTCTTCGTTAGTTCCTCTCCACATGCATCTGTGTAAAAGACACAACAGGTAAATCAGGGTAAAGGTGCAAACACGTCAAAATGAGAAATACACAATGCTGAAATTCATCTGTCCACTGGTTCATACTGTCTATACTGTCTGTATCTGAACTATAACGTCACCCACTGGTTGGTAAAATACTGTTTTGAAGCCTCGAGTTCTGACATTATCACCATCTTTTGGAACCAGCGGCAGTGATGTACTGTGAGTTGACCGGCACTCATTGGCAAAACTCACATTGGCTCACATTCTTGTATTACAGATACACAGTGCACTAATATGTTTCTGAAAAGATTTTATATTATTTGATAAATAAATGTACATCATGCTGTATACACAAAGACTTCAAACTAGCTATTGAGACCATAAACCAATTAAGAAAATGTTTACTGAGCTAATAAATCAAGTAAGAAGAAGGGTAATTTCTGCATAAGACTCTATACTATCAGCCCAGTGGAGCTGCCCCCTGCTGGCCATTACATTAAATGCATGTTTAAGGCTTCACTTCACAGACCCAGAAGCTCTGCCCACTTATCAATGGTATACACTGTATTCATATCATACCTCCAGCTCTATATAATGTCTTACTAGTACTTTTTTTCAGCATAGTCATATCTACCCGTTACTGTTTATTCCATATATGTACATATGCACATTAGTCTGCACTTTACTGTTTTTTTAAATCTATATTTTGCCTAAACCTCAAATTATTATTTATTTTTGAGTCTCTCTAAGGAAAATAAAGACTTTAATAGTGCATGAACAGATTTATTTGCTTTTCACCACCAAAGCTAGTACAGGCTTACCAGTAACGGGAAATTAACATTATAAGTCTCAACTCCATTCAGATTTCTTTATTTATTTATTGATAGTAAAGGTTTCTGACCCCTGGATTAGATGCTAAACTGCATTTTGTCAGTACAATAAAGTTGAATCTAATATAGTCAGCTATGTATGTCTGCTTCTATACCTGTGCTGGTAATCTCTGAGATCAAATGTATTTACAGTCAAAGAAACATCCGTCACAAACATATCTGGTTACCGCTCTCTGTCGGTTGTGGCTCTTCCTTTAAAGTCCTCCAGAGCAGCTTGACGTCAGTAAAACCCTGCGAGTGAAGAGCTGCTTCAAACTAAAACCACACACAACAGGAAGAAAAAAGGTTTTTGAGAAGAGTGCAGAGTGACAAAAATATTTTCTAAGGAGCCCAAAACGAACACGGCTGCTTTCTCTACCTGCTGTAAGACGTTATGTCTGATGGTCGGATCAGTGAGGTCCGCTTTAGTCAGCAGCTTCACCTTCACTGTAGTCCTCCTCTGCACAGCTGGAAATAAATGAAACTATTTTATAACAAGGCTTTAATTAATAATTAATAAAACATTTACTCATGCTTAATAGATCACAGTAGATTATGTGTTGATGAAACACCAAAAGGAAACTCCTCGTGAACTGTTGGACAACTTTCTGTTTGAACAAAGGTCTGCAACTTATTATCAACTTATTAAAAATCTGTGAATGCACTGAGCATGTTTTATTTATACTAACATAACTTTATGGATCATGTAGAGCTGAGGAAACTATGCAGAAGTGTTGATGTGGGGCTTTCACACAGTCAGTATATCATAATTTAAAACTTTATATTAATAATATAATATTTCAACGATAATTTACAGGCATACATATATATGTAAATATACTCTATTATAGTTTATCTCTGCTGTATGTATGTCTATAAATAGTGAAACAATATTTTTTATATCCTTGTTCTGTCCTAGAGTAATATTTTGAGTGATTATCATTAAATATTTGTAGATTTCTATTAGAGGCCAGTGCAATTTCTCCTTGTATGTTGGGTTGCTGGCAAGTTTATACTTTGTTAAATTGTCTGACTGATCAATCAGAGCTGAGTTTGTGCATGTGGGGTAACGACAGTTGCGAAACGCTGCTAAATAAAATGCACAGAGTTTAAATCGTTATTATATTAATCCTTTTTTTAATCATTCTTCAAGATATGTCATTGCAGATGGCTTAAAGTGGAGAAACATGTGACCCCTAAGGACTTTATTAACATTTGTATCTAGAGAATAGGTAGCTTATTAAAACATTTTTCAACAGCAAACCTGATAGTTTATTAGTAATGATCCTCCCCGGGGTGGAGCATGTGTAAATCTGTGGGCACGTCGGATTCATAATCTGCTCCCACAGATTTGTAAACTGTGCACAATGGGCAGGTAGCCAGCAGCGAAAGGTTGGCTTTCAGCCAAAACATGTAGTAAACAATAAGTTACACCTATATTTTAATTCATTTCAATTATTTAAAAGACTTATTGTTATATATTTATGAAAGATATGCTCTCAATTGTGAAACTGAAGCTTTGTATTGTCACATATAGGCAAACATGTAATGCAGGTACGGTATGATGGACAGCCAATGAGATGGGCACTAGGATTGATGTGTGATGTGTTGTGCATATATATGTCAGTAAGCATGTGTCAATAAAGTTCTCTTCCTGTGTTTATTCCTCCTCTAGCATTTCACAACAGTTCACCTCTGCTGCCACTTCCTCTACATCACATGTAAACAATATACAAATAATACCACACCTGGTATAATATGATGCCGCTTGTGGTTTTTAACATTATACCATGTATAGTATCATTTGTATATTGTTTTCACGTGATGTAGAGGAAGTGGAATAGTAAAGTATTTCAAATGAACCGTTAGGAGGTAAAAATATAGATATAAAATGTATGTGGGTAGTAGATAAATGATCATAAACAGCTGTTTTCTTATCTTATAGCGTCCTCTTCTGGCCAAAAGCCATACAGCTGCTGGCTACCTGCCCAGTGTGCTCCTGGGTACAGTTCCCTAACACGTGGGCATGGATTATGAATCTGTGCACACAGTTTATAAACTGTGTGCACAGATTTGTAAACCAAGAGTACAGATTCACACATGGCTCTTTTTTTATATATAAACCACTAGGTTTCATCCTGCAGCCATCGAACCAATCCTAATGTTATGAATACATTTAAGATTTAAAAGTCTTATTTTAGGGTGTGCTCAGTTCATTGATTCTGTTTTTATATATCACTATATATCTATATATCCTTTCTCCTCATGAAACCATTTGTTTAAGGGACTTTCTATCCTTTAAAACGTTACTTTGTGCATTAAATCTTTTGCACTGCATTGGTGGAATGTAACTAATTACTTTTATTAGTACAGTTTTAAGGTACCTGTACTTGTCTTTGTTATGTTACTTTACACTTCTACTCACATTTCATAGTACAAACATACTGCACTACATTTGAGAGCTGTTACTTGACAGATTCATATTTTACATACAAAATATATGGTGAGTTTATAAGATACTAAATGTAGTTTATATATTAATGCATCAGGATTAATCCAGTTTATAATAATATAACAATGACAAGGCTCTCTCTGCCTGATGAATGAATACTTTTCATGCTTTGTATTCTTCTTCTACGTGACTGTGTGGGCGTAAATGAACCCTGTTAACTCAGGTTTCAGTAGGGATCACACAGTATACCTGGAACTGGAGTCACTTCGGTTATTTCTGTTAGAAAGAGGAAAGTTAGAGTTAGTTAGTGAAACGTAAATGATCTTTGTCACATTCAGCTTTGCATTGATAAAAAAGAAAGAAGAATATATAATAAGAATATTGATAATCAATATTTTTCAAGCAAAAATAGTGAGAATAATTTGGTTGAACAAAAGACATTTGCCTTGGACTCTTAATAAGTTGTGATGGGTATTTTGTCTCTCTTTTTTGTGACATTTGATACTTGTTATAAATATTAAGGAATAATACAAAGGAACATGAGGGCAGCATTTGGGCTTACCTTGGCAGAGAATGTTTAGTTTGTTGGCACATTTCGAGTCGCTCCATCCCTTTTTCTGCATACCAACACACGCCTGAGTGTTGTTTTCATTGTCAGGCTGGTCCTCCCTCCACTTTCTGAACAAGGAGCTGCTGCCGTCCGACCACTCCCAGGAGTCTCTGTGCATGCCGATCCAGGCCTCCTGCCCAGTCTGCAGTCTGCTGCTCACCTCCTGGTTCTCAGCCAGACTCCTCACACTGACCAGGTCTGTGTGGTGCTGCCTGCAGTAGCTCTGAGCCTCAAACCAACTCTTCTGCTCGGTTACCAGCACATATTGATCCTCTTCATCAACTACGTGTTGAAAAAAAATAGAAGAAATATTAAAAATCATATCTTCAAGGTAAATTCCAAAACCCCGTACACACTCATTTTATACATTTTATCTGTACAGGGTGCCATTGTGTTGGTCATTCAGGCTCATCCTCATGTTTTGAAATGAAAAATAAAGAATTTAGATTAAAAAAATGCAATGCCAATCAAAATGAAATCTAATATTAATACTGATATTAATCTAATATCAATACTGGCCCTAAAATAATAATAAAAGTACAGATGAGCTCTCCTCGCCAGATTTCTGCCTCTCATTGGGTGCTTCTACTTGAGGTGGTGGATTAAGGTTGTTGTACTGCCCCCTTTGGTTGTTACAGTCTTCTTGAATTATATTAAAAATGATACCAATGTTATGTGAATGATATGATATGGCACAGCCCTACCAACCACCACTGCGGTCAAGCCAGCCGTACAAATATGGACTTTATTTCTTAAATTTCTCCAAATTGCTGCAGTAAAAATGCTTGATATTAAGTATACTTGTAGTCTTAGATGTGTAGAAGTCAAATATATCATACATAGCCAGGAATTATTGAGCAATATGTTTTTATAGTACCTCAAATATGGTCAAAAATGCAATCTCTGGAGGCATAAATATGTTATATTTGTTTTATTTTGACATTTCTCCACACTGGCACAGTAAAGATACTCGATATTAGGTGTTTTTTATTCATCAGGGGCGCATGGAAAACTTTAATGCAACATATTTTATTTTAAATGTAGGTTCGAATTATAGCTTAATGTTCATAATACCTTTATTTTGCAGACATTGTGTGAATGTAGGGGAAGGTTGTGGTCGTGGTTGAAGGAAAACAATGTTAGGAAACTGGAAATAAATGGCAGTATGATGTATTTCTAAGGATAGCTACACTTTTACATTGTCAGATGGAGCTCACCAGTGAAACAGATGAGAGGCATTTTGACAACAGTGCAGCTGTTGTCCCTCCAAAAGCCATTTTGCGTCATGGAGACGCAGCGCTCGTCTGCTCCCACGTTGTCTGGCTGATCTTCCTGCCACTTCCTGTAGTCGTCCCCTACGTCTGCGTAGAAATCTTCACCCACCAGAGACCATTTCCAGCTGTTGATGTCATCATACAGACCGATCCAGAAGGGCCTGTCCAAGTCACTGGTCATGTCGTTGATCCTGGTGAAGTCCTGCTCGTCAAATATGGTGGCCAGGTCACCGTACTCCGCTCTGCAGTAGCTCTGGGCTTCAGTCCAGCTCATTTCCAAGTGAGTGATAAGGATGTACTTATGGATATAGTACATGGAGCCTGTATGGTGAATAAGATAACACTGGAATTTATTTTCCCTCTGCTGACATCACCTTCTAGGCACTTTAAAGGTCCTTGCGTAACATTTACATTTTCCTTCATGTGTGGAAGGCTGAATAAGTTTGCAAACAACTAAATACAGACTGGTGTTCAGTTGGTTGCAATCTGCAATTTGAGGCAGATTTGACAATGTACAGTCAACAAATGTTGTAACTCTCCATGGCAACGGCATTCCAGTAAAAACCCAAAGGCTTTTGGACCTTGACCTTTAGGGCATGGCACCAAGAGGCTTTTTGTTTGGCCGTGTTATATGTGCCTGCAACATTTTGTACATCGAGGTGAAGTGCACCAAGCTCTGCAACAAGCTTGTTTACTTTTACAAAAGTGCCTTCGGGTGGAGAATTTCCCCCTGTTTGAAAAAACTGCTGCCGTTTCTTATAAATAGTGGAGGGAGGGATGAGCAGCAGCTCAAGCGTTATGTAATCAAAAGACTGACTCATGCTAACATAAGTCTTTTGTTGCCACATGCCTAACTTAATCTATTAAGAAATGTTTCACTAATATCAGACTCAGTCAGACTAAAATGTTACTCAATGTACCATTTCAGAACAAGTGTAGCACAATGTGAAGTATTTTCTGTTGTGGAGAGGGGTGAGCAGAAGCTAATGTTTAATCTAAATGGTTTCTTGTCGTTTTACTTTCAGTTTGAGACCAGTGGAGCTGAGCTACAGGGTGCGGTTTCCTGGCCACTCTAAAAAGGAACTGCAGACCATCTGAGCTCTGTGTCTACACTTCGGCTGCAGCACTGTACTGTACTCTTCTACAGGGAAAGCAGGGATTACAACCCAAACATGGCTAGTAAATATGGTGAGTCATAATACTGTATCCATGTTTTTTTAGTACATGTGGTAATATAAAAGAGAACATGGCTGTATCTGATTTTATGTAACTCTAACATACAACTGTAGCCCCTGTATACTAGTTCTATAGACTTTCACTGGGTAGAAGAACTGCAAAGGCATATTCATTTTGTGTTTCTAACTTAAACTTTTGTTCCGAGATCATTATCTGAATACAAGTTTTATACATTTGTAAGATTTTCTTCAGTTAAAAAAAAACACTATTTCTTGTTCACTATGTGAGAAGAGGTGATCCATGAGGGCAGGAACTTCAGTGTGATTTACTGAGACAACATTAGATCAGGGAAAGCTTTAAGCACAAAACTATTTAAGAACACTGTTAGTTCAGGCAGGCCACAAAGTCAAGCTCTGCTCTCCATTCCAGCTACATCAGCTGATCGCAGCTAATTATAAACACACAAATGTTGGAATGACGTAAACAGCTCCGACCAGGGACAGAGTACTTAGTATATCTTTTAGCTCTTTTAAAGGCCAGGCTCATATGCAAGTAACAACCACTGGGACATTATTGAACATTTATACTTTGTATAAACAAATCAGTTTCATGTGTGAATTAGAAAAGAGCAGGCGGACCACCTGGCATCCTACTAGCAGGCCCTATATTCCCTTTATGCTACTAAAAATATAAATAGACGGAGAGAGTATATAAGTGCATTGAACAACCTGACTCCTATTCACTCATTCTTCTACACAGGATGTAGCAGAACAAATATTAAGGAGCTGAGGATAGTGATGGTGGCGAAGACCGGGAGTGGGAAGAGCGCCACTGGAAACACCATTCTGGGACGAAAATGCTTCGAATCTAAGTTCAGTCCCGTGTCTATGACTGAGGATTGCTCTAAGGCCTCAGCCATGGTGGGCAACCAACAGGTGGTTGTCATTGACACCCCGGGGTTGTTTGACACCAGGTGCAGCGAGTATAAAACAGCCAAAGATTTATGCCAGTGCATCTCTTTCGCTGCTCCTGGACCCCATGTGTTTCTGGTGACCATCAAGCTGGGCAGATACACTGAAGAGGAAAAGCAGACGGTGCAAAAGATTCAAGAAATGTTTGGCCAGGCAGCAGACAAATACAGCATGGTTCTCTTTACGCATGGCGACCAACTGCAAGGCACCACCATCGAGGACTTTGTGAATCAAAGCTCAGACCTTCAGGAACTTGTGGACAGATGTAATGGCTACTACCACGTCTTCAATAATAACATAAACAATCACTCCCAGGTCACTGAGCTGCTCCAGAAGATCAGATGTTTAGTCGAGATTAACGGAGGAAGCCACTACACCAACGCGATGTTCCAAGAGGCCGAGAGGAAAATCGAAGAGGAGAAACAACGCATCCTGAAAGAAAACGAGGAGAAAATACGGAAAGAAAGAGAGGAACTGGAGAGGAAACTTAAGAAACAACATGAGAAAGAAATTCAGAAGATGATTGCAGAATTAAAGGCTGAGGCAGAGAGGGAGAAGAAAAAGAGAGAGGTGGAGTGGAAGGGGGAGAAGCAGGAGATAATTATGAAAATAAACCAAGAGAGAGAAGAGAGACAAGCAGAGAAAAAAGAGTTCAGGAAGAGGGAGAAGGAGATGCGGAAGATTGATAAGAGAAGACAGAAGGAGTTGGAATGGAGAGAGCAACAGATGTATGAGGAAAGACAGAGGGACAAGGTAGAGAGACAAGCGGAGAGGGAGAGGGACAGGTTGGAGAGGCTGCAGATATACGAGGAAAGACAGAGGGAGAAGGTGGAGAAAGAAACAGAGAGAGAGAGGGACAGGTTGGAGAGGCAGCGCATAAATGAGGAAAGACAGAGGGAGAGGATCGAAGCAGAGAGACTGAAAGCAAGTATAGACGAAATGGTTAATAGCAAGAGGAGAGAGCAAGAAAGAGAACGGGAAGAGCAGCAACGTATGTTGATAGTGAGGCACGAACGTGAGGCGAGAGACACGGCTGAGAAGTCGGATGGCTTCTTCGATCATGTAGTAAATGCTGGTAAAAACATTGGAAAGGCATTTGTCAAATTTCTTTCGTTTAAGTGGTAAAATACAAATGAAAGGAGGTATTTAAAAATGTTTTTTAGTGAATGTCGGCAAGAGGTCAAGACCTTTTTCTGGCCCAAGCTTGGCTCTTTTTTGTGTGACATATATACTCACAATCACAATATCCTTTTTGTGATTATCTGAGTGAAAGAAATGTGTTGTAGTAGAACTATAAGCTGCAGGTTCGTAAGCATAAGTCACTCCTCGTCTCACATACGCATATGCATATGCGTACCCATACGCCATATATAGTGTTTTTGCATATGGCTATTTAACACTGAACAGTATATAATGTTTGCATATCATTAAAACTTTAAAGATCATATCAAAATTCATATGTTTTGGGGCACCGAAAGAGAGTCTTTGCTGCAGCAGCCACAGGTTCAAGTCCCACCTGTGGCCCTCTGCTGTGTGACGTCCCCTCTCTCTCAGGCAAGAACATTTAAAAAATAAATTATATACCTATTAATGTTAAAATCCTACTTATAAAATGTATACCTTTTACTCTGGATAGTTTAATTAACATTTGCTGATAATATTTTTGCAAAGACTTTCACTTGTTATTGAGTATTTTTTTTCTCCAGTGTTGTTGTGGTGCTCGAAGAGCAAAGATAAACACCCTACTCTTGCATATTATTTAGTTAACCTAAAACTGTGCCAATAGCATTTGCACATTGTGACTTCTGCTGCTTGACTTCAGGGATTTAGGATCATCATGAAATTAACATTATCCAAAGAAGGGGAGCAGATTTTGCAGTCGGCACCGGCCCACAGACTGTAGGGCGAGACAACTACATTAAATTATACATTTTGGGTGAAGTATTCCTTATTCCTTCCTCCATCCAACTATTATATCGTGCCTTATCCATCCTAGGAAAAAAAAAACCTCAGCTTGCAGAACTGAAAGATTCTGATGATAATACTTTTGTAAGACTTTTACTTGTTACTGAGTGTTGTTATCCTGTGGTTTTACTTACTGTCTTCCACCATTTACTATCATTATTATAATCTTTATTAATATGAGTAGTAGAAATAGTAGTGTAATAGCAGTAGTTATAGTTGTGTGAAGCCACACAACTGTTCATTTCCAACAGTGCTCGACAAGCTTAAGTTACATTCAAGTTATCTGACAGATATGAACACATTTTCTTACCTGTCTGTTGTGTGATCTTCATAATGATAGAAAATGTCCCTGTGAATTACAAGTAAAAAGGGTCAAAATTAATAACACGTGTATGGATATTCTGAATAAATCATTAAAATGTTGTTGATTTTATTTGTGTTTATTTATTTTATTTATCTAAGTTGATAAGAAAGAAGTACAAACCGAAGAAAAGCAGTTTCTTCAAACTTCCCTCCATGATCTGCTGAGACAAAGTCGACACAGGTGAGTCAAAAACAAATACAAGCAAACACTGTGCGTCGCTTTTGTTAATATGGTCCTACCGGCTCTCTGCGTCCTCACTTGGACGAAAATGTTCTCAAACGCCTCCTTCCCTTACGTTTGGATACTAAATGGTCCGTGACCACAAGTAAGTGTTTGTGTGTTTTTGTCAGTGAGAAGCATCGTTGACGACGTTCAGACAGACGGGTTTTGACAGCGACCCTGAGACCTCAATGCACTGCAGCTTGAGAAAACACATGCAAATAGATAAGACACAAGCAAATGAACATCTTCACCAATTTGACAACACGTATGCAGCATTTAGGAAACACAGATAAAAACAGAAAACGCAACCAATTCTGGTGTACATGACATTTTAGTATCTTCTGGTGTTTTTGCAGTCCGTGCTACTTGCAGCATTTTCTGAATTTGCATTAGTTTTGCACCGTTTTTCTGTACTGGCTGGTGTCAAGTTGGTGAAGATATTTATAATTTTCTTGTGTTTTGTCTATTTTCATGTGTTTTCTCCAGTCGCAGTGTGTTTAGTTCTCAGGGCCACCGTACAGTCTGGTTGGACTAAGGACTTTAGGATAAGGGTAAAGATTAGAGTAGGGGTATGGTGAATTAATGCAGTCCTGACAATAGGTGTGTTTGTCCATCTTTGTGAGGACCAATGTGAGTTTTACACCTTGAGAGTGAGGACATGTTGGATGGCCCTCACTTCTTCAAAGGACTCGGTTATAGGGTTTTAGGGTTTGCCGTGCAGATGTGAAGGTTAGGGGCTAGCGCCATTGTGTCTATTTTGTTATTTCTCCCAAGTACAGAAATACAAACGTTCATGGGTTTAACTTAGGTTAACTTTGGGGATACATTTCAAACTAAAAACATGTTAATCGGGGACAAAAGACGCGTCAAGAATACCAAGAAAGTCTGAAAGGCAGCGGTTCTGTAGTAATATTACAGGATCCAGCTGTAATATAATGTAATGTAATGTAATAACAACACAGCAATCACTCGGTCTTTGCAGGATCACATCAAAGAATTCTCTGCTCAGTATGCAAAGAAAGCTGCACTTAGTTTGGGAAGAATCTTGTCTATGCCCTATAGCATATTTTCTTCTACCCCCAGGAAGCCTTATTTGCACTCATCCCATAAACCATCACACCAACAGCTGGAGGCGGAGGAGCAGCAGGCAGATTTAAAACTCTCTCTAAAAAATAACCATTTTAACGGCTCGTGTGTAGTTGCCACATTTGGATACCATGTGGTAAAAAAACAATGGATATTTAGTTTTTTCTACAATATGTATCGACTATAAATGTTATAATGTCAGTGACCTTTTGTGGGAAGCCAGCTTGTTTGGTTTAGGTGCTCAATTCTGTCTGAAAACTTAATTAACTAGTTGACTAATTCATATCGCACAATAAAGTAAAATATAATGAATACGTAAAAGAAAACAAATAGAAGTACAAATACAACAAACTACTTCTTTTTAATGCAGAATAATCTCTTTATTTTTACTTCAAATGTAGACATATTCATCTGTTTTCTTATTAATAATGTTGATTTATTTCCTGTCCACTTGTGGGCAAAGAAACCCAAATTTTACCACATTAATCTTTAAAATTTTTTATATTTCTTTAAGTTAATTGGCTGTCCTGTTATATTTTCTGTAGATTTTATTATCCAACACGGAGGTTTACATTTTACTTCAAAGCCTGCCATGAATAAATATCTAGTGGAAGAAATATTAAATCCTAAATCCTTAAAGGACTGAGTATTGAACTATAATACTTTCTAAGAACAGAACAAAGTGTCTGTATCAAGTGTCAAGTATGTAAAGTCGGTATCAAACGTCTTCTGGAGCAGCAGCTGGAGACTCAGAGGGAACTGCTTCGCCCACAATGTTCACCCAGTAATAATAAGATCTACGTGGATCATGTTTCTCAAGGTGAACATTAGCTAGTTGTTTGATTGTGGTGATGAAAATAAAGCCCCGACACAGAAACAGGATTGTTTTCCTCAGAAATTTGCCCCATTTTCATATAATATACCTCAAAAGTGATGAAATAAAATGTAAAGGACGGCCTTATCCTTTACACTGACGTTCATTTCATATAAATTTTTTTTAATTTCTCACTGAAAACAGAGGGAGCTGTGACACAAGACAAACAGCACCTGGTCTTCCCCACCAGGCTCACACAAACATTAACCGACAGTAACCAAATGTCCTGTCCAGACATCGTGTGCACGTTTGCAGTGGTCTACTGCAAACCCAAATATGTGGGGGGCTGGAGGAAACACATGCAAATAGACCAAAAAAAAAAACACGACAATATTGCAGAAAATTTGCAGCATTTAGAAAACACAGCCAGTACAGAAAACACAATAACGCTGCAAATAGCACAGAAGACAACGGAAACTGTTTTTCAGGAGGCAGAAAAAGACAAAGTTCTACATCCTTTATAGGATTTCAGCCTCTCCTCTTCTTCTCCTTTTCACCGGTCCTGAATCCCCTTCGTCTCAATCAGTCGGTTTTCTCATTTCGGTATTCTCTTCCAGGCAAATTTGGTGCTCTCAGGAAGAAATTCTTTCCGTAGCATGTAAAGCTGACAAAGCACAAAGAACTTAATTAAAGATGATTCAACAGCAACTATCTGACACAGTCACGCTGTGATCAAGGAAGAGGTCATCCTTTTATATGTTTGTTCACAAAATATCTGAAATGTGAATAAATAATTCAAAAATGGACATTCAGTGTTTTTGGACTTGGATCTCACCAGTTCATTGATGTCGTCGTCACTCAGTTGTGTCTTAGAGCTCAACTTCACTCGCAGAGTAATCACATGTTCTGCTAAGAACAAACCGTGTTAATGTTACTGATTTTAGAAACACACACACGCATACATACATAGTCTTTGAAGGTCCAGTGTGTAACATTTAGGAGGATCTGTAGTCAGAAATGGAAAATAATATTCATATAGTGTGTTTTTATTAGTTTATAATCACCAGAAAATAAGAATTGTTGTGTTTTTTGTTTCATTTTTATCTACAGATGCTGTGGGTCGCCTTCTGTGGCACAGTAGCCCAGAGGGGACCAACCAAGCACTTGCTCCAGATAACCTAATGTCTCCCTCTTGGAGGGGGAGGAGGAAGCGAGTGAGGTACACTAGACCTTTTAATTAACTTATGGTTGACTGTGACTTCCCACAAAGGTTTCTTTTTCCTTTGGAGCCTGGAATTTGGTTAACTTTTGGCACAACCTTCGCAAGATACCAAAGGCACGAAATGAATGAACAATAACTAAGTGAACAGTTTCCCTCACCAGGAATACTACTCGTCTGATCCACATCTGGAGTTGAGTATTGCTGAGATGAAACCTCTGTCCTGCTTGAGTCTCCCTCAGTGGTGGGCATTTCGGTGGTAGACAGAACTCGCTGGTTTGGAGTTTCATCTGCAAAACGGAGACATTAGTTTATTCACAGGATGCGACGCTACCACCACTGATAGAAATACATATAATTGAACTCACTCATGGGTCCTGTTTGGTCAACCACCTCTGGGGTTGGAGGCTGCTCAGGTGGGGTAATCTCTGTAATGACATGACCAGTGGTTGTGAAGACGGCCGTAATATACAAATCCAAATGGGATTGTTTCTTTTATGGCTCCCAGCAACATACCGGAGTTAATCTCTGTAGCAGTTGAGCCTTCCTCAGTGGTAGTTATTTTGTTTGGGGTCACTGGAGTGCCGCCTGCAACGTAGAAAAAAGAAAAACAGACCCTGCTGTGAACTGTTTTAATTTGAACTACCTCTTAAGGGAGACATATTTAAACTTAAATTGAATTAAGTGTAATACATGGTGATATTTATGTGCTGAGACGGACCCGCTCACCATAGCAGATAAAAAAGAGCTCCCTGCTGCACTCTTCGTCTGACCACAGGCCTTCCTTGCCCAGATCAGCGGCAATGCAGTGCTGCTTCCCTCTGGCATCATCAGGCTGTCCTTGCTTCCAGTAGCGGAAGGGGGAGTCACTTTGATCTGACCAATCCAGGATCCTGCACAGAGGACCAGAGGTCAATAAGGAATAATCTGGATTATCCATATCTGATATCTGGTCATATAAGAATATATTTCTACGGGGTAAAGGCATGGTCGTAAAGTGACATCGAAAAGAACTTGGGAGAGAAGTTGGGAGCTTTGGGAAATTTCTATTTAAACTCCATCCTCTGAAGAAGCCCAAGATCTAGTACAAGATGCTTGCAGCTCAGTGAGGCAACATATCATGTTCGCTGCAGCTGATGGGAATGTCATTACTGTTGCAGGTAATTGGTCGTAAACCAATAAACAAATTCAAATTTGACACGATGGTGGCGCTATATGGAAACTCAGGGGATCATCAAAGTTTTTACAATTCATCCTGAGAGGGGTCTGAATGTCTCTACCAAATGTCATGTCAATTCATCTAATATTTGTCAAAAAATGCACTTAAAACTACAAATTTATACCTAATAGGGGTTCAGGGGACCCACATTCCCAGAGCCGTGCTGCTAGTGTAGCTGAAAAGTAGCTAGTAAGTAGACCTAGAGTTGTTTCCAAGCTGGCAAACAACAGCGGCTTTCCTAAAACAGGACGAATAAAATCCGATGCTAGACTTGAGCCCCTCGAGGGTTCGGCTCGGTTCTCTCACAGGGGCCAAGTAAGTCATCTTCGAGCAAACAAATTGACAGTTTTGATGCTGACCTATTAAGGCCAATCCAGGCGCTACTTCCTTTGGCCAAAGATTGTATTTCCTGGTTCTCTTTCTCGCCTCGAACACTGGCGAGGTCTGTGTGGCGCTCCCTGCAGTACTGCTGAGCTTCAGGCCAGCCCACCTGCTGTTCAACAAAAACGAAAGGCTGCGTGCTTCTGGTTGACTCTGATGAAGAACAAAGAAAGAGAGAGATCAGAGTGCAGTGGTAACACAACACACTTAATATGTCCATCTATATAATCTATTAATAAAATCTGACCATCGTAGCAAATGTAGGAGTTTCTCTTGGAGCACTGCGAGTCGTGCCACGCTCCTGTGCTCCACATCATCACACACCTCTCGCTCCCGAGAAGGTTGTTGGGCTGAACATAATCCCAGTTCCTGTAGTCAAACTCTTTGTTTCCGTAGTAACGGCTGTCAGACCACCTCCAGCCAGTGACGTTATCCTGCAGCCCAATCCAGGCCATCTCCGTAAAGCCTCCAGTGGAGTTCACCAGCCGCTTCACGTCCTCTATGTTGTAGACGGTGGCCAGGTCAGTATACCGGCCTCTGCAGTACTTTCTGGCGTCCAACCAGGGCAGGGCGGTACTGATGAAGTGGTACTGTAGAGGAAAGCAGTAGGTAAGAGAACACAGCCCTGTGGATGGAGGACACGATGCTATTAGTCCGTATGAAATCACTCATTGTCTTTGCCAATAGCTCTTAACCAGTCCAATGTTCCAACAGACGATTAATCCGAAAACCCCAATAGTTAAAAAAATTGATCTGAAGCACATTTTTCTGACAACTAGTTGTTACGAAAACAAAAGCCTACTGCTCCATAGTCCCATTTTTTTAGAAAATACAGCCTCCTCCTGGAGTTTGTTTGTCCTTAATTGTATTTGGACGAACTATAGGTGTTGTTAGTTTAAAAGGACCGGTGTGTAAGATTTAGTGGCATCTAGAGGTGAACTTTCAGATTGCAACTAACTGAACGCCGCTGGAACATGGCGGTTCAAAATGGCAGACTCTACGAAAGGAGACCCGCAACGTCTGTAGATAAAAACGTCTCATTCTAAGGCAACAAAAACACACGATTCCTATATTCAGGTGATTACACACTAATGAAAACATACCTATGGATATTACATTCCACACTGGACCTTTAAGTTACGTACGTAAGTTGGTAATATGAGAGAGAACAACGGGCAACAAGCAATGGGCATTTCCTTTTGGAATAATTTACTGTCAGACAAATGGCCTTTCGATCCAGTGGGACATTCTTTGGATTATTAGGGTTTCGTAATAATGAGCCGTTGGAACAAGGGCATGGCACAGATTTGGCTGTATTAAAATAAGAGTAGATAATACATCTTTGTAGAAATGTGAAACTAGAAATATGTACGTTAAGATTGCATAAATATTTACCTGTAAGAAACAGGACAGACAGACTCGACTTCATGTCTGGTCAGCTTTTCTTCACACTTATACGTTTTCCTGCAACACACATGAACTTTTACCTCGTACCAGACACTAAACACTGTATTAAAAGAGGATAACGTTTCTAAACATCACACTATCTAAAAGCCTTCACTGACACAGGATCCAGGTAAATATTGTACTCTTAAATCCACTATACTTATTTGATATAGTTACTTTGAGACTTGAAGGATTTTACATAGTAAAGCCAAGACATAAAAATATATATAAAGTAGTAAAAGGTAAAGCACAATACACTGTGTTGTGAGTACTTTTATTTTAGATACTTTAATACACTTTGCTAATAATACTTTACAGTAACTGGTATTTCTACTTTTATTTAAATAAAGTATCTTCTTCCCCCACTAATGTATTAAAATGTATAAGGAAAGAGCAAATACTCTTATTTTTTGGGATACTGTTAAGAGGTTTCTCAAAACCAGCATGTATTTAAATGAAGATACTATGAATTACTCTGTGGTGACTCACTGAAGCACGTTTTTGCAGATAGCTACAAATACCGCTCTTTAAATGATCAAGTTAAGACATTTAACTGCATTTAAACTCCAAGCAAAATGCTCTTCACTCACCCGTAGCTGCTTCTTTGTAGAGTTGTAACTAGAATTGTTTTCTGTCCGATCACAAAAGCAGTGTAGTCCCTAAACCTGTGCTGTGCTCAAGTAGGACAGAAAGAATAGAAAGTGGAGGACACATTCTCACCAGACAAGTTTCTGCTCCAAAACACTTTCCTCTCTTTTGTGCAGAGCAGGTTTTTTGTTGTAAGTCACTTTTAACATTCATGAGGTGTTTCGTACAACCTAAAATATCACACATCAAAGCAGCTTTTCCTGCAAGATAATTGTGTGTCAACTCAAAGCATTTAGCTCGTCAACTAAATCTGTGTCAAAGATAAATGCTTGTGATTCTTAGGGCTTATGTCAGTCTACAACCGACTGTGTGCACGGAGTTATTTACGCAGGTGTTTGCAGTGCAGTAAATATAATACAAAGCTATATAATATTCCAACACAGAGGAAGCATTTCTAGGAGAAATCTGTTCAGCATTATTGGTAATAAACGCCAATAAATCTGCAGCTGTGTTCATAACTGTGATGAGGGGAGCAGCAGAAGATGTATGAAGAGTCTATACTTTAAGTTTCAGTGGAGGGGGACAACAAGTTAAACCAGTTTTTCCTCCCCTCCATCTCCTCAAGTATCCCCACTTACAACCCTGGCTACCCCTTTTTTTCTTCAAAAAGAGGGTCTTGTAGTCAGTTGAGAGGAACTGTGTGGTAGATTCCTTTTCCAGCCATCTACAAATACAGTATAACTACCAATGTCATTTACTCTGCAGTTTCTTTAAAGTCCAATTTAAGTCTGAGACACTGCAGTGGGTTTTTTGTGGGTTTCCCTTACTGTCTGTGCTACTTGAAGTGCCTAAGATCTTGGGAGGTGTGCATACACGTGAACACAATAGCAAACAAACATTTCCTAACGTGCAGAAAGAAGCATGTTCCAGCTTTTAGCAAGAAAAAAAAAAACAGGCCATTCAAAACAAACTACAGTTCCTTTTAATTTTATTACAAAAACAGGATTTTCAGAATTAAACAGTACAACAACGTATCTACTCAGAATAAACAAAAAAAAGGGGGGGGGGGACAGAGAGGACAAGTGGGTGAGACGGTGTATGTATGTGTGTGTGTGTGTTTGTGTGCATTTACAAACCCCCGTTTTTAAAAAAGAAATAATCTGAAAATGTATCTGCCCGCCCCCCTCCTCAAAAAAAAGACAACTGCTCCATTTTGTTAGCACAATTCAACAAACACTGAAGGAGAAAATGAGGGGGAGAAAGTGAAACGTAGACGAGGAGGTGGAGAGGAAAGAGGATCAGGGTGAATCATAAGTTTCTCAGTTTTTTTATATAAAACACTTGGCAGACGACATGTCAAGTCTTTTTCTTTTATTATCCGTTAGTTAAGAAACTCATCTTTGTTTAAACAGAAAATAAACAATGCTTGCAATAAAAACCCATTTAAACACACACATGCGCACACACTCACACAAACATGAAACCCTGATGGATGGATGGAGATGGGTGGTGGAAACAAAATAAGAGAATGAGGAAGAGGAATGAAGAGGAAGGGGGGGGAAGCTGATGAATGAAGTGTGTGTGTGACTGTCCTGCTGGTTCTTTCTTACCATTTCAACATGACACTTCACTGACCAACACAGAAATAAGGGGCTTCTACGTCTATATACAGTGTGTGTGTGTGTGTGTGTGTGTGTGTGTGTGTGTGTGTGTGTGTGTGTGAAGTGTACGAGTCAAAAGAGCCAGTTGGGGTAGAAGGAAAGGTCAAGGGTCAACTAGGTTTGGCAGTGTGTGTGTATGTGTGTGTAGGAAACATTTAGGACCGTCGCTTCTTCTTGCTGGGCGGAGCCACTGCCCGGACCTTTCTCTTCTTGTTGACGGTGGTGGACGTGTCCTCGTCCTCGTAGTGGCTCTCTCTGTCAGCTAGAGGGCGACAAAAGGGGACAGAATTAGCGTTTTAAAAACGATAAATAATAAATGAATTTAAAAAAAATCTGCTGAAATCAACAGTATGGGGAGAAAATTTGGTTTCTGAATCATTAAGTTGCTTCACTTACTCTATAAATGACAGGCAACATCTAAAGATTAAGTGTAATGATTGTGTGTGATCGATTGTCACTATCGAGCTCAGATAATTTGTTACCTGTGAGTCTTGTACTTAAGAGACATAACATATTATTTTGAATGGTTTCTGTTTGGTAACTTTATTTAATTAAAAGATGAGACGTATAGGATTGACTTGAGTGTGTCAGAACTTGGATATTATATTCCTCAATGTGGAAGTTCTGCCATAACTTTATAGCGTTATTGGAAATGAATATTTAACTTTATTGTCGATCTTAAAACAAGCCTAAAGACTCACTACTGCCCCTGTGTGTTGGTGTGTTGGTTGACTGGAGTTTTTTCCCCCAATAAAATGCTTTCATCCTGCTCCACCAGCTCCAGATACAAACCTTTCCTGGCTTCTTCCTCCAGCTCGTCCCAGTCTTTACCGCTCTCCTCCTCGCTGCCAATGGACGCGCTGTAATCTAAAAAAAAAAAACAGAGCACACGGAGAAGATTCACTATCCATCACTGAACTGTGCTTTAGTGAATCAGTTCTATAAAAGCTAATTGAATATTAGTTCACTCTGTTCTGTAAAGTGCGTAAAAAAAAAAGGAACTTGTGTTTACTTGTTCCAGAGTCCTCCGTCTCTGAGTCGTAGTCTTCATCACTGTCTTCCTCCTCCTCCTCTTCTTCATCAGCAGATGGGTTGAAAGTCTCATCCTCCATTTCTGACTCCGAGTCTTCCTCCGCGCCGCTTCCCTGAGACAAAACCGAGACACAGCAGGAGCGATGTGACATATGATCACGAAATGCATAAAGAAAAAGGGTCTTTAAAAAAGACCCGTCAACAGAAGTTCTGGTACGCACCATTAACTCTCTGCAAAAGAAATCAATAATTACCAGAAAATTTGTTTCCACAGCAGAACACTGTCCATTTTTTGGTCCACTGTGCTGAACGTACCTCGCTCTCGGGGTCCAAGAAAGACCAGCCTCCCTGCTCGAAGAAGCCCTCGGGATCGTCGACGATGGTCTTCATGATCTTGGTCCAGTTCAGAGACTGGACTCCCTCCGTGTACTTGATGTCACACGAGCTGAGTAAGAGAGAAGGCAAACATTTTAGTTACACAACAACCAGAGTGAACCTGGGTGTATTGGTAAAGAAGCAGTTAATAATTATGTCATTTAGACTGGATGAGTTTATTATCTTGGTGTTTATCCCCTTACTTGAGCCACTCCTTGATGGGGTCGAGGGAGTTGACGGGCACGGCGTTGATCATGGTGACCTTCTTGTTGTAGTCCTTGTACACGATGACCACGTCGAAGTTCTTCAGGTGGAACTGCACACGCTCAAAGTGGACCAGCTCAACCTCGTCCAGAGTCACCACAAACGGCGGCTGGATAAAGACAAAGATTGTTAACCGAGAAACAAACAGAAACTGACACTTAAAATGTTTTATTTTGTTTTAAAGTTCAACTCAAAAAATAGGTTTTTTCTTTTTGTTCCCACAAGTTGGATGTTTGTGCATCACTGTGCAGAAAACCAGATGGTTTAGAAAGCCAGGTGGTCTCAAAACCAGTGGTAACAGTGTTGTACTCACCCATTCAGTAGTATTGACAAGAGAACTGGACGTAGGTTGTAGCAGGCAGGTACTCCTGTAGGGGGCGCCCTGGAATCTATAAAACAAAGAGCCAAAACATTAAGTCCACCTGCTCATAGCGCTTCCAGTGTCCTTCCCGAGTTGTCTTCTTACACTGATGTCCGATATAGTCTGGTTTACTCACCCCAGGTCTCTGAAGGGCACCTCGAACTCCAGCTCTTCTTTAGTCAGCGTCTCCACCTTCTCGATGAAGTTCTTGAAGGCCGACTTGAGCTTGTGCCTCATCTCCCGCTCCATCTGCTCGGCGTACAGGTCGTCTCGGTCGTGCATGTGTTGATGTTTGCCCAAGTCTGTGGTGATCTCCCCGACCTCCGTGTAGAACTGGACGTCCGTGTGGCGTCTCTTTCCGAACATGATGGCGTTCTGTGGGGGAAAAGGGTGAAGAACGTATTAGATATACATTTTTAAAGACTTTTTAATACAACATAGAACACAATTTAATACCTATTTCACGTCACAACATCATATTGGTCAAACTATGAGTAATATGATGGGACCAGTATGGACGAGCGGTGTTGAACGAATAAAAACGCACCTTGAGGTGGAAGTGCAGTACGATGATCATCTCCCCGTCACACGGCTGGAAGATGGCGTGTTTGATGTTGTTGTAAAGAATGTCCACTTTATCGCCGCGGACCGATGTAAAGCGGAAACCTGCGTGGGGAGAAGATTACTTATTTTCAATACAAACAGGAGCAAAGTTTAGGAATCAATCGCACACTGTTGGAAGTTCTCCTTTTCATCCCATTAAAAGAGCTTTATCTCACCATTAGTATGTGCCTCCAGCGAGCCCTGCATCCTCTTCTGTGCTATGTTGGGTCTGATGTAGAGGTCTTTGAGCTTGGGGTTGCTGCGGTTGAGGTTGATGACCAGCGAATCTTGCTTGACGATGCCCTCCTTCTCCTTTTCCTCGGCCTCTCGCGTCTTGTAGCGCTTCTGCACCTCCTTGATGATGCGGAAAGCGTTCTGCAGGTTGGTGGAGGGCACCGACGTGTCGCCGGGAGCTTTCAGGTTGGACGCTCGGTAGGTGCTGAGTGGGGAAAGTGAAGGGTGGGTTGAGTAAAGGAGGAAAAGGACAAAAAACAGTCTTCATTTTTGTGAATAGTTGAGACTCACATTTCTTTAACAAATGTGGCGTCGGGGTTGGGGAAGATATTTCCCTCCTGTCGTCCCAGAGAACTGCCGGGGACGTAGAAGTTGATCCTCAGGTAGGTGTAGTCTCCTTCTACCGACATACTGATGTTCTAGACAGGGGAAAGGCAAGAACCGTCAAACAGTCAGCCAATATGAAAGACCATGGGGGAATAAAGAAGGTTTTTAAGCTGCCATCATCCTCATCGGTGGCTGGTGGAGTTGATCTCAGCGTACCTTGATGGTGGCGATGTGGAACGGTGTGGCGATACCAAAAACGGGCATGACAACGGTCTCGTACTTCTTGTCGATGAAGATTTTCATTTCTCTGATGTCCTTTTCTCGGGGCATCTGAGAGACGTTCTTATAGGACACGTTGGATTTTCTCGCCCTGAGAGAAGAAGAAAATAAAATTAAAGTGGACTCTGTTAATCACGAAAAATTGAATTACACGTGACTCCATGGTGCCACTGTCTACTGCTGTCCTCTGGCATCATTGTAGAAATATTTGGCACTTAAAATGACAGAAATGTTGTCCATTAAAAATGTTTAATGTCATGTGAAGTTAACTTTTAACCACAATTACTGTGATCCTTTTTATTAATGTTTAATTTCCTAAGAAAATCCCACAATTCTGCCTCAAACATTACAAACTACAACTACTCCCTCCAGGACTCACTTGTTCCACATTGATTGATTGATTTTCAATAAACAACCTGTTATATTTTCCCTGTTAACCTACACTAACAGATATCAAAACAGTGTTGCTTATGACTGTTACAAAATATACACAACCTTATATTAACCTGACCGATCAGTGAGTAATTAGAGTTCATTCATTAGTTGTTTAGACTTAAATTATATGAATCAAACTCAAGGCAACAGCGACACCAAGTGGTCAGGAGGAGGCAGATAACTCGAGACAGTTGAAATGCTCCTATACACAGAACATGAACTGTAAGAACGTAATAGAAAAATTAAATAAATAGCTGTAAAAAGATAATCAGAGCAGCATGCTTATGGACAACGGCTTCAGGTTCAGGGTGCCACAAACTTCATAGAAACAGGATTGAGAGGGAGAACAGAATCTCTCCTTCTGAATAGTACAGCTCATGAATGGGAACTGGTACCACATTGGCACAGTGTTTCATTTCCTAACCCTGGTGAAATCTAGTGTACCTTGTTTAATCAATTCTTGTAGGGTAAAGCCAAAAACAGCAGTCACAGATTCAATGGGAAATTGTAGGAATTCAGAAAAGGTTTGGAAAGTCATAAAATTTTTGCTAAATAAGGGACCAGAACATATGAAGGAGAGAGGCAAGGGGCATAATGGAACCATCTCTGGGTTGATTTTACCTATTTTAGTTTTACACTACTTTGAACTGTATAACTGAGAGCAAAGTCCCAAAACGTCCTCTGAAAATGTAAACCTAGAGCAGGATTGCAGACAGAAACTAGTCTATTGGGTACTGGGACGCGAGACGTTGCACAAAACGTCCCCGACACTCACTTCTGAATCTGCTGCTCTCCTTTCTGCTCCGTCAGACGACGCTTGGCTTCTTCGTTCAAATGATTAGCCAACTCCTTCTGGTGGGCTCGCCTCTTCTCCTCTGCCGTCATCTCGTTCTGAGTTCAACAACAGACACAACTGAGTGATCACACAGGGACACCTTTTTGTTAAACAATGAATGGAAAAAAACAAAGCAAACATACATGCATAATACGGATATGTGTTACACGGCTTTGGATGGTCGAAAAAAAAAAATAAAAAAAATAAAAAAAAAAAAAACACACACAAAAAAAAGTCACTCAAATTAAAAAAGGACGACAGCTTTTTCTCCTGAGTACGTGGATTTTTACAACTGAACCAGTTCAGCCAATGAGATTTTTAGGGGAAAAAAACAATGGATACTTACCTTCCCAAGTAGCTGGTAGAGTACAAAAACATTCACACTCTTAGTTATTAAAACTCCCGTCAAGGTGGCAAATTAACACTGATCACATATTGTAACCACACACATCCATCCACACTCACTCTGGTTCTGTCCGCGAGCAGGGCGGCACTGCGAGCTCCCTTCCCCAGCAGCTCCTCGGCGTCGTCTCCATCTTCCTCCTCATCCTCCTCGTCGTCATTCTGAGAGAAGAAAGAAAAAAAAAAAAACATGTATAAATATGAAAACTGAAGGGAAGAGAAGTTGATTTCCCATTTGTTGCATTATACCTGAACAATATTGCCAATAAAGTAACACTCAAGAAAGACGTAACATGCAAATGGCTGCAGGCTAACTTACTCCACTTCTGTAAAACTTCACTTTATAATTACTTGAGTGATAAATTTCATCTTTTTTTCCCCATCATTTGATCCATTATGTCGTTGTAAAGCAGTTTGTAAAGTATGTTTCAATATAATCTCTATAAATTAATCACTGATCTGATGTTTAATAGTGATGACTGAGATGTGACTGTCTTGATGAGTGGTTAGGTTAACTTGGTCGCCCATAAAGTGTTGAGATAAGCTCAGGCTGCAGTATAATAGCTACAGAAAATAAATAAAAAGTCCCATAATATGTAGCATTACTACAGTACTGTAAGCCTTCTTGTACTGTTCACAGGTGAGTTGAACGGCTAGTTCGCTATCGGCAAATCAGGTTACACAGCTTCAAATGTAAAGAATTTGCTTTGGAGATTTTTAGGAAAACGGTGGGCACAAGTGTCGATATGCAAACAGATGCTTAAGGGTTGTAAACTTATTTGGAAAGAGTTTTAAATGGAGAGTAGAAGACACTTACCTTCAAGAAGATTCCCACATTTTTTATCTTTTTCTTGACTGGCGTGAGTATCGTGGCGGCCTCTTCCTGTTACAGAAACAGTTCAGATTGTAATGAATATGTTGTACAAGTAGTTGCTGTTACACTTATGATTTATAATGTTAAGGCAACGTATTTTCTACAGTGTACATCATAAGAACCCATGAATAGCTTTAATTTAGGAGTTGCATTCAGGCGTCTTTGCTTTTCTGCTTATTCAGCAGGGAAACCTCATCGTACCTCATTGATCTGTACTGTGTCACCGATGAACAAGGCGTACTTCTTCTGCTCGTCCTTCTTGCCCTCTTTATTCAGAAGGTCGGCAAAACCCAGACTGATACTCAACACCATGCCTGGGAGGAGACGCACACAAGCTTTGGTTAAGAACTATGTTATTTTCTATAATACGTGTATTTAGGAGTTCTTTACCGGTAACATAACCATCAAATATAAAGACAAAAATTCTCACCTTTCTTCAGTTTGTACTGGTTTTTAGCATTCAAAACCAAGGAGCCTTCTCTGAACTCAATTCCCATTGCAAAGCTACAAAGAACAACAACAAAATAAACATAAGTACAGGTATGAGTGCAAGGGGAGGAAAAACAAGATGCCATCTGTGCGTATTTACCCAAGGTTTTTGGTCAGCTTAGCTACGAGGTCTGGCTTCTCTTTCTTCACGTATTCCAGAACAGCGGTGTAGGCCTCACTGATTTTTACAGCTGAGGAGAGAGAAAAGGTTTATTAACAGCAACACACAAATATTCCTCAGTTGCCTCTCTGCTTATGATAAGTACCCACTAACGTCACATTTTGGGGCTTTAACAAGTACCCAAAGGCTCCCACACTCACCGTGTTTGAGCTGTTTGAGCAGCTCCTCTTCCACCTGCAGCAGGAAGTTGTAGTTGTCCTGCATCTCCTGAGGGGGGTCCACCATGAGGGTGCGCACCAGGTTGGAGCAGTACGACTTGTAACGGATCCCCATGGCGCACGTGATGGCACCGAAGTGCATGTGGTTCTTATCGCTAGAGCACAACAACAAAAAAAAGAAGTGGCGTCAATTAAGACGATGATCAGGGTAAAAGTGTATGATTGTCTCTTCCCTTGCTTCCAGTCTTTATGCTTAGCTAAGCTCACCGTCTTGTGGATGTACCTTCATGTTTAAAACAGACAGATATGATAGCGGTATCGATCTTCTCATCTAACCTCGTATTTCCCCCAAATTCCTTTAACGGCAACTGCAATTTTTTGACAAAACATTCGATCTTGGATTTATTTTTTTCCAGAAAGTCTTGCAACAAGCTTTAAGATTTTATTAACTTACCAATAAGGGAATCTTTCTAAAATAAGATACGTTACTCAGATCCACTTTTTTTCCCCCTTTGGTCTGACATAACAAACTGAATATGTTTGGGTTTTGAACTGCTGTTTGGACAAAACAAGCACTTATAAAAAGATGTCACCTTGAACTTTAGGAGATTGAGACAGGTTGTTTTTCCACTATTTTCTGACATTTAATAGACCAAACAATTATTCAGGAAAATCAGCAGATTAAAAAGGACCAGTGTGCCGGATTCAGTGGCATCTAACTGTGAAGTTGCAGATTGTAACTAACTGAACACCACTAAAAAAATAGAAGAAAACCATATCACTGTGTCTCTAATAAGGTGAGATGTGGTACCTGACGACGCTGAACTTGAGGCTGTAGTTCCCTCCACTCTGGATGATAGGAGGATAACACATCTCCACTGTGGAGGGATCTGCACCGCCCAGGTACTTCTTCTCCTCGATGGCCTTCTCCACGGACTCTGCCAGCTTGCTGTGACGCACTTTCTGTTGGTTAGAAAAATAAATAGTTCAGCACTGGTCACTAACCTGAGGAAAAGAAAAAAAAAAATAAAAATAAAAATCAACCCTAAAAAGAACATAAAAACTATTTGAACTAAGCAAGGGATATAATAAACCTGTTGAATTTAAGGACCAGTGTTCAGGATTTAGTTGCAGATTCCCTAATTTCATCCTTCCCATTCCAACTTTCGTGTTTTCGGTGTTTCATGACCTCCGTAGTTTCTCATTTGCGCTTTGAATGGGAGGATGAAGTGAGAGAATCGGCTCATCCCAAGGTAATGAAAACACAGCAATTCTTATTTAATAGGTGTTTATAAACCAATGACTCCATTGCTGCCAACAGATCCTCCAATATAGGACACAATGGACCTTTAAATAGCCTAAATTAGATACTTTTGCATCGTTACCCATCCTCAATAACTTTCTTTGAATTTGGATGCAGTGGGAGATCTTGTTGCGGTTAGAAATTCATGTCAGGTTTTGTGCCAACTTACGTCTGAAAGTTATGACGTAAACGCAGCGTGCGAGTGATCGGAGACGAGCTGAATATGTGGCCATCAAGCACTTGATCACAGGTGCAACTCTCAACACAAAGACTGGCGCAACAAAAGCTTTTGTTCCATAAAAGGTTTTACACTTTTAGCAACCGGAAACAAACGGCCAGCATTAATCCTGTACATCAGTTTAATATGAATCCACTGTTCCTCACCTCGTCCGCATCAACAATCTCCATGACGCGCTCCTTGAAGAACTTTGAGTAAACCTCGCTGGTGATGGCCGCTGCCTTCTTCATCAGGCCAAGCTCTCCGTCTTCCTTCACCGCCATCGTGTACGCGACCACGGCACTGATGTCTACCTGCAGGCAGGACGCAATGGAGAAAAAGACAGTGGTTGAAAACAGAGACATCAACTCTTTATTCCAGCTTACAGATCTTAAAAATGCTTCAACAGAAATCCCCAACGGCATCTTACCTTCTCCAGCCCCTCGGCGGTGATTGTGTCGTTCCAGCTCTTCATGTACTCTCCGGGGAATTTGTCCTTGCTGAAGATTCCCACCGTCTTGCCCTCTTTGCTGCCTCTGATCGCCTCGATCATCTTGTCAAAGTTGCCCTTGTTGCTTTCATTCTGAGAGACACAAATGGCAACAAACAAAATGTTAGTTCAATAATAAACTACATAAAGTTTAAAACCACACGCTTTTTAAATTGCAGTATGTTTAACTGCTGTTTAACCCTCAATACATAAACCAAAATAATATTTAAACAAATTGCATTTATTTTAATCAGTACTGTGTATAATTGGGCTGCACACAGTAAATTAAGAGCCTTATTATTATTATTATAATAATTATAAGAGGTTTGATGCTGGAGGATGACATTATTATATACCATATTTATTATATATATATCCCATTTAATCAAAGTAACAGACATTAGGGTCAGAAAGAGTTAATAATAGATATTAATGCCACTGTACATTGACACGTGTACAATACAGGTGTGTGATTTGGTTATAGCACTTTCATATAAAACAAGTCTGGAAACATAGAAGTTTGGCAGAGTATTTGTTTAATAATGTTTAAATGTACTGTAGGCCTCTCCGGTGAGAGCGAGCGAGAGACTGTACTCACGTGGACGAGACAGATCTGATACAAAAAGTAAAGTTTCTCCACAATTCTCTGGTTTATCAGTTTACTACATACAGACTGGATTCTTTACTTTATAGCCAAAACCGTCTCCACACTTCGTTTTAGAGCTGTGCTGAGTGACTCGTGTGAATGGTTTTTTTTTTAAGTTATAAAATAGAAAGTTTGACAAGAGTTATTGAAACTGATGCATGTGTGTGAAAATCGCCTGAATTAACCACAGAAGAGGAAGCATATAACATTATTTCTCAACCTTATGGAGGGGAACAGATTCCTCTTTCAGACCAGAAAGATATTCATAAACACAAATCTCTCACACACACACACACACACACACACACACACACACACACACACACACACACACACACACCTTTAAATCATGTGTAGATAATTGTACTAAAGAAAAAAAAAGGAGTGAACATTCAGCCATTACCTCTGTGTCTTTACACAGGTTACCTTTTCTCTGGTGAGCAGGGTGATGGGCGGGACACCGTTGGCGTTCTCGTTGCCTTTCGTTATGGCCACCTGTTTGAGGAAATCCACCTTCTTCTTGCTGGCGAGGAAGATGATTTTGGTCTCGCAGAACACCATGATGGTGTCCGTCAACTCGTAGCCAAAGAGCCACGTCTGAGCGGGAAAAGAAACAAACAAACAAACAAAAAAAAAGGGTGAATTCAATCGAAACGTGTAGAAAACAGATGCACAGTCTATACATCCCTTAACAGTCCATTTTAGTTGGAACTCCACATTCATTTATGGTCATACAGTAAAGTTAATGACACGTGGAGGAACATTATCACGACTCCACCTCTCAGTTGATGCTTTAATGATATTTAAAAAGATGTTATTTGAACAATCTGCTCAATTGTGCTCCAGCAACATTCAGAGAAACAGGACAAATAAGTCCCCACACAGGTTTAGTTTAGATAATAATATAGTTATAAAGCTTGTATTTGTGTATAAAACCATGAATGGACTGTGGGAAGTTGCCTTCATCTGCCTGTGCCGGGGCATCTTACCTGTATGGCCGTGGATTTGGCGTACACAATTTCCTCGTCCACGCCCACAGACACCACGATGGCGTCGACTTTACCAAACTCATCTTCTCCTTTCTGGGGAAAAAAAAAAAAAAGCCACATATGATTTAATGTAAGAACGACACCGTAGTTCATCCACAGTCACTCTGCAGAGAGATTATGGTAGTTTTCAGTTGCGGTGCGGTGAGGTGACACAGGAAGCTCGCTAGTTTTGTTAGTATCACTGAAAAGTTGATGACTTGTGGCACTTTGTGGCTTCATCAGCACCTGATGCTGCTTCCACCTGGCAGCACACACGAGTACTGCAAGTCTCACAAAGCTGCTTTTAAAAAAAAAAGTCCATAAAAGCCGGTTTTAATGCACATAAAAAAGGGTTATTTCACACTTAAATGAGAGACATTCATCAGATTTAGTGACTGGAGCTGCAACAGTAAAAAAGGGAGTAAAAAAAAAAAAAAAACTCAGAATGCTACATCAAAATACTTCTTTAAAATGAGTTTAAAAGACATTAAAGTTGCCACACTGTTAAGTAAAAGTACTTTGGACACATTTAAAGCCCTCACAGAAAGTGATCTGCAGAGCCTGCGGACCTCCTGCACATGTTTCTGGGATGCTGGCGTTCTTCTGATGCTAATTAGCCTGCTACAATTAGCACGTAGCGCAGGCAAACTGTCAAACACAGATATGTAGTAAAAAATAAATAAATAAACAAACAAACAAACACGCGTTTATTAGCGAAATTAGCGGGAAAAAAACGCCGAGCAACGTTAGTTAAGTTAGCTCGGTGGGAAACTTAACGAGCTAGCCACAAAAAAAAAAAAAAAAAAAAAGAGGGGCTAGCTTTGTTAGCTAACGTGGTGAATGAGGGTTTGATGGGTGTGCTAACATGAGTTAGCACCGTGTGTCTGATAACACACCGCTCAACTCAACTAACAACAAAAAACATTATTTCTTTTTAAAAAAAAAACAGGGTAAATGAAGCTAACTCGTGTAGGCCTTCGCTCTCTCCTCCGAGCCTCGGCTGTGGGTACTGGACGCGGCGGGGGAACGTCACCGCTCACCCCGACAACAGAGCGCAGCTCGCTCGGCGGTTAGCGGTTGGTATCTCCCCTAGCAACCCACTTTACCTCCACGTTGAGATTACGCTGTTTTTAATTCAACTTAAAACAAACAAACGGGTTTTAAACTGCCGCAGTATTATTAATGGTCGCTGCTGTTACCTTCCAGTTGCTGTACAGTCTCTTGATCCGGCGGTAGTAGGCTTCCTTGTCCAGGTTTACCGCCATGGTGAGTCCGCTGTGGTGAACTCCAGCTCCCGGCTTTCGCCTCTCAGCAGGCCGGAAGGAGGAGGAGGAGGAGGAGGAGGAGGAGGAGGAGAAGAAGACGATCAGCGGGCTCACTGACAATAACGCACTTTTTCTTTCCACGCCTGTTTTTTTTTTTTTTTTTTTTTTTGGGGGGGGATTCACGAACAAAAAAAAAAAAATAAATAAAACCACTCCGAGATTCTGTTTCTTTTATAATATCCCCACAGACCCCCCCTTTTCTTTCTCCCCCCCACAAATACAATGAGGACTCACACCACGCAACAACAACAACAACCCCCCTTTAATGAGCAATTACTCGATTAAAATAAATAAATAAAAACACGTTAATTATTAAAAATAAAGGGTTGTTTTGGCTTTTCGCCACACTCACAACCACGCACACACCAATCTGTTATAATTACCCCCCCAACCCCCTCCTCCTCTCCTCCCTCCCTCCTCTCCTTCTTCCTCTCCCTCCCCCTCCGAGTCTTCACACATCAATATAACGTCAACCTTATTGCTTTCATTGTCACATTAAATAAATATATAAAAAGATTAAATGCACAAATGTGAAATCCCGTTCTTTTCCTTTCTCTGTTGTTGTTGTTACTTTCTGTTATTCTCGCGGTTTTATGGCGCGTTTCGGTGAATTTTATGGCGCTGCACTGCGCAACAGCACCCCCTGTCTCATGTTGACCACGCTGCTTTTTCCCGCCACGGTGGGTTTTCCCGCCATCGTCATCAAACGCTTCGAGTGACGTGAAATCTCGCGATAGAAAACGGCAGCGATGAGATCATCCCGTGAAGAACTCCCGTTTGACTTCCCGTGAGACTTTTTTTTGGGGGGGAATAACTTTTAAATTTAAATATTATTTTGGTATTATTGATCCTCCTAAACAATAATATACATTTGAATTATATAATCTTGACACATTTTTTATTCTTAAATAGTAATTTAGAGAATAAAAGCCTTATTTCTCTTGTTTCTATAAATCCAAAGGCTTTTGTTTAAAATCTTATATACGTTGTAGGAGTTGTACTTTTATATATATATATATATATATTAATTTTACAGTACAAAGAATTTGTTCATTTGTCTCAATAAAGTAATAAAAACTCACATTTTTCTGATATTCAGCAGCAAAACCGAGGTCTTCTTCTTTAAACTTTATCACGAAGACGCGGATACAATAAAAAAATAATGTGATTTATTCTGTTCCTTTTCTGAAAATGGAGAAAAAACCGTGAGATTAAATCAAACAAAAAAATCAGTCACTTCCAGCTGTAATTGTGAGGCCAAAGTGTGTATATTAAAACATAAAATATTTTTTATTTCACCATTAAAAACATTTCCAGGATATCTACAATAAACCAGACCGATCGCGGCGTCATTATATCCGACTGGGAACAGTTTTTTTTTCAGAAGCAAACATCCTTTTCTTGATTATTTAACAGACCTGAAAGCAATTTATTAAATTAAATACTGTTATGTTAAAAAGTAAAGCTTTTATATACTGTATTCTCCAGTCCCCCTTTTACAGTAGTGTTGTCAGAGCTGGTGTGTCCATTTCAAATCCAATTGTTTTTTGGGGGTTTGTTCCTTTAATTCCCCCGCCCCTACCCGCCTTCAAAAACCAAAATTTCACCACAAAATGTAAAATAAAAGAAATATGCACCACATATTTAAAAAAAAAAAAAGCTCTTATGTTGCCGGAGATTTCAGCAGGAGAACATTAGATATTTAGAGATATTTCTTTCCTGAATGTTAGCACCTGTTTTCAAAGATTGAAGTAAAATCCTTTGCATGATGGTAGTTTTCTTTGACCCCTCCCCTCCTCTTCCTCTTCCTCCTCCTCTTCCTTGTTAAGTAACAAACGTCATTTGGCTGCTGGCAGATTAATTTCCACCTTTTGTCTCGAAATGGCTTCTTCCCAAACATTTCACACTTCTTGTGTGACTTTAAACTACCTTTACAGACTGTTTGTGCTTTGCCCGGTTGTTGCCCCTTTCCACCCCCCCAACGCCGAAGCACCCGCACTTTGTTGAAGAACTAAAAACAAAAAAATCACTTCTCAGATTTTCATTCACATCAATCGATCGTTGATGAAACAGTAAAGGGAAGAGCATACACAGATAAAGTGGAATCTTTCTTTTAAATTAATAATAAAAATTAACTGAATTCATCTGCAAGATTCATGATTTCCTTCTTGCAACCTTTTTTTCTTTCTTTTCAAAACAATTAAAAACACAGTAAGTCCATATAAAATGTCCTTTTTTTTTTTATGTTTTATCACCAAGTCCATAATTCAAATTCACAATAGATGATCAAAAAGGAAAAAAAAAAGTCTTTAGTTTCTTTCTTAGTATCGTTATTCATCCACGCGTCCGTACTTTCTTTTAAAGTTTTATCCGTCAGGAAGCCGAGGAGTAAGAGAAAAAGTACATCGTAGTGACTTTCAAATACGTTCCTGCGACTTGTCTTTGTGGTTCCGCTATGTGCCGATAAACCTGAGCCCGATCGTTCGTTCGTTCGTTCAGTCGTTCCTCTGTTCATTTGCATTTCCTGTGTTATTCTTTGTCTTTTTTTTTTTTCTCATCTATGTGCAACACTCCTCCGTCAGATGTGTCCTTTAACCCCCCACTCCCTTATGTGACCGTGGTGGAGTTCTGCCCTCGGATGGCGCACCAGGCCATGAACACGTCTCTGTGGAGGAGGAAAAGAAAAATCCACGTCACATATTTTATACTTTAATAAGTACATTTATCAATAACATTAATATCCTCGTTTAACGCTCATCCTTTGATCACATTCAGGACATAAACTTTACATGGAACATAAATAATCTTATATATGTGATAATAACAGTATTAAGGAGTTTCTGAAACTAGAATATGATGTTTAATATAATAATAAAATAATAATAATAATAATTATAGTAACCAAGACTGGGTGAGTTATCTCCTAAGTTAGGATGTAAAGTCGACACTAGTGATTGCACCTTGATTACTTGAGACATAACCTAACTAGTTTGGACGTAAAGTCATACTTAAGGCAAGTAGCCAATCACCATGGACGATATTGAAACATCAGATCAATAACTTCAGGTCTGTACTCGATGAATGTGTCGCAAAATGGCTGCAATTAATAAAGAAATAATGCTGTTTAACCACCTTAAGGGGGGAATGTGTAAGTATTTAGTTGTTACTTAAAGGAGTTATGTTTCAACTTATTTCCTTGGTGCAACTGCTTTTATGTGGGTGAAGCATAAATCACAGCTTAGTAATCATTAATGTTTTAATTAGACTAAGTTTGAACTGTAACAGGCTGCAGGACACCAGAGTGCATGTTAACACCCACTAGCTGTGTCTGAACACTGTAAACCAATAACCTTGCAAATATCCTAAGCTCACGTTGTAATTAGAGCTCCAACAATTAGCAGATTTTTTTTAATTAATCGACTGACTGAAAACAAATCAGCAATTAAACGTTTTTTAATTTTTTTTTAAAGCAAAAATGTTCTGCTAACAACTGTAACTGCTTTTCACGGACTAATTAAAAACACATCTGCAGATTAACTGATAATTAAAATAATGGTTGCTAGTCCCAATTAGACAACAATGCTTATAAACTATAAAAATATGAACTATGAAGCGGATCAAACATCAAAACCTCCCAAAAATCACTTGCTTCATAAACACCTGTTTCACCTAGAGACTGCTAAAAGTAATTAGAGCCCTTTAAAGCTGAACAGTTCCCCAAACTACAGGAACTCGCTGCTACAGTGACCCAGTAGCTGATAACTGACTCTTTGACGGTGACGGTGGGGGGGTTCGGTGGGGTGGTCAACCAAAAACTAAATAATTCACAGATTCCAGGATCCAGATTTTGTGTGTAAGTTGCTTTTTCTTCGTACCCACCTGCAGTGTGTGGCGACACACTCATTACTACAGTACTCCTTGTCCCAGTCTTTGCTCTCCACAGCCGGGTTGGTGCAGCCGGCACGCACGCAGATGTTGCGGCTCGCGGCGGGAGTCACACTCGGGACGTGGGCGACATTGACCTCTACCTCCATCTGAGACAAGAAAGAAGACAATCAAGACATTTTATATTTAAGGTATTTATCGAACGTCTGCTCTGAGTGAGTACGCAGTCTGCGTCGCTGAGCTCACCCCTTCCTCCGCCTCCGCCACTTCCTCTCCTCCCGTCACCACGTCGGCCGACTGTCCGACCTCCACCGTCAGACCAGAAGAGGACACCGACGTGGGCGCTTCGCCGCCCGACGTCACGATGATCGGAGCGCTGGAATCCGACTGCCGCGACGACGGGACGACCTTGATCTGCAGCGGAGGCGGAGCCGTGGCGGCGCCTCGTGGTTTGGCCTGCAGAGGGGGCGGAGCCTGGGCATGCACCATCTGCTGCAGCCGCGGCGGAGGAGGGGTGCTCTGCATCTGCTGCAGCGGCGGCGGCTGGCGCGGCGAGGAGGCCGTCGTCGCCGTGACGGACACGCCGCCGGAGGGCAGCGGCGTCTGCTTGATGATGATCTTGGTGACGGTGGGGGGGTTCGGTGGGGTGGTCACGGGCGGAGGTTGGGGTTTGATGGCGCCGGTGCGGGAGCGTGTGGTGACCTGGGGCAGGTCCAGGATGATGTTGGAGGTGCAGATGTTGGTGATGGTGTTCTCCTCGGGGTTGTAATGCTGTGACCTGGTGGCGCGAGCGGCGAGCGCGGTGGCAGACGAGGCCGCGACGGCGGGAGCCGGGGCTGGAGGTGGGGGCGATGGGGCGGTGTCCATGACTTCAATAGGGGCCTGAAGAGAGGACGGTTGGACACAATAAAGACGTACGAGAGGAGAACATGTTATTTAGAATACAGTTAAACACTCATTGATGCTGTTCTGATCCGATGTGGATGTCCGTCTGGTTTCTGTGGTTTATTACCAACCTTAGTAATACAATATGTTTAGCAACAGAAAATAAGACGGGGCATTATAAATGATGATGATTAAAACATTTCCGCAATAAGAAAACTTGGTATTTTTTAATATAAGTACAATACAGTTTTACATTTCTAGACTATATGTATACTATAGACTTTACTTTCATGCACCTACATACGGCGTTAGAACAACAGCGGTCGAGCTTTACAAATGGAGGATCTCTCATCAATCGCAGGCTCTCACCTGAGAAATGTGGCCGGCTCTGTACTCTGCCAGCGCCTTCAAATAATCCTTCTTGGCCGCTTCGTTTTTCCTCTTGTACACCTGGAATAAAAAAAAAGGTGAATTATGCTCAGACAGTGGGATTGTGTTTATATTGAGACTGCCAAACACTACAACTATTCCAAATGACTGCAGGAGTTTTCCTCCTCACCTGCTTCTGCTCCTCCCCCAGGCTGTCCCACATGGAGGCCACTATCTTTGAAACTTCTCCAAATGTAGCGTTGGGATTTTGTCCCTTGATGGCTGCCTGCGTGTCCCTGAAGAACAAAGCGTAGGCCGACACGGGTTTATGAGGCTCGTTGGGGTCTTTCGTCCTCGGCGGCTTCTTCCCTCTGCCCGCCCCTCCTCTCCGTCCGACAGCCGGGGAGATGCTGGAGGCGGGGGCGGAAAGTGGCGAGTCGGACAGGGAAGGGTCGAGAGAGATGACTCCCGAAGAGACCGCCAGGGAGACCGGAGATTCCACCAGCACGCTCTGATTGGAAGAGGAGGAAGAGAGCGACGCAGGCAAGAATTAAAGTTTAAGTTTTGGAGCTTCCTGTAATATTTTAAAGGATAATGTTTCTCTACAACATTAAATATTTACGACTTATTAAATCATCTGCTGTTCATGTAGATGTTCAGGGCCTCTTGAGACTCACCCTTCTAAAGTCATCCATGTCGTCATCCTGGAGCGAGCTGGTGGGCGACGCCGTGGCCGACAGAGGGTGGTCGGGCGACTGGGGGCGTTGCAATATGCTCCCGCCTCCCAAGCCGAGCCCCAGTTGAGCGCTGAGCTCCGACTGGTCGATGGTGGTCAGCTGGTTGGACCCCAGCAGGCCCTGGCTCATGTCACCCAGCGGGACGTCGATGGTCACCGGGGACGAGCTGCTGAACTGAGAGCCGATGGGATGACCGAGGTCCTGGAAAAGACGGGAGCAGGAAAATGTGAGCGAATGAAACTGAGATAACTTTTGAGATCCCAGTTAAAAAATGTCCCGGGACTCACCATTCCCAGCGACGACCCCAACAAAGCGCTTCCTCCCGACTGGTTGATGACCCCCAGACTCAGGTGCTCCAGCCCCTGCGAGGGGGCGTTGACGAAAGTGGAGGCGAACGAGGGGTCGTCCCCTTCGACCACGGCGTTCCCGGGTACGACCACGCTGTCGGAGGGGCCGGTGTCCGACAGCTCCCCGAAATGGGACACCACATCGGACACGGTGAGCGCCGAGTCCGGATCCAAAGAGATGGGAGGTATCTCGAACTCCTCATCGCCGAGGCTGGGAGTGTGGAACGTCTGGAGGGCAGACGGCGCCGGAGGAGGAGGAACGGGAAAGGGAAAAAAAGGGGGAAAGGAAGGGATAGCGAGGATGGAGGAGGACAAAAGAGAAAACAAGTTTGTAAGAGATTGGGGTGGAGAGGAGTAAATAACAATTTGAAAAAGGAAGGAAAGAGAGTTAAAATAAAGTTGGGAGAAGATTACAGTCAGTAAAGTACAGTAAACAGTAGTAAAGAAGTATTTTGGACAAAAAGTTTAGCAAAAGATTGATTTTCTTAAGATTCTGAATACTGAAACGTCTCTAAAGTACTCTACAATGTTTCTGTGTTCAGGCACCGCTTACTGGCTCGCTTCCTACCGGGGTAGATCACCATGACAACACACGCTGCAGGGCCCAACCTATACCATAAATCTATAATTCAAACACTTCGCTTTAGCGTGACTATTAAAATCTTGGATGTTATTTATCACATTTCTACAGCTTCTACTTATTCCATTATCTAGTCGCCATAACCTAAAAATCATCTCACGTCGTATCAAGCACTTCGTGCATGGCTGTGACGATGTCGCGATAGGGAACGCTGCCTCCGTTACATCGTAGCTAGATAGGAAAAACCCGAGTTAACTGACTTGATAACCGGCTTTGTGATACAGGTTATGCAGGATCACAGATACTGGCCCATTGGTCTTGCACCAAAACACCCAGCAGGCAGCCTATAGAGGAAAAGGCTGATGATTGCTGTATTAACTAGTAAGTATGTACACAAAACCTCCACTCAGGTTTAGATTAGAGTTAAACTGGTATGGGGTTAGGGTAAAACCTTACAGAGTGTGCAGCTGTTCTTCATTTCTGATCCACTCCACATCGTTGGTGAAGTTAGTTCCCTCCATATTTAACGCTTTAGTCTATTCTGATGACAGCAGCAGCGAGAGATACATAAATATACTTTTATCGTGCCTGAAACTCGATGCCTACGACACGTGTGCGACATCCTGTGTCTGCAGCAGCTTCACAGTAAAATCCGTTCCTCGTTTCCATCCTTGTTTCATAAAAGTGACAGTGTTATCTTAAAAAAAAAAAAAATTAAAAAAAAGTGAATTGAAGTAAGGAGGGGTGTGAAATATAAAGTATTTATAAATGATTCATACTCCACCAGCAGATCCAGCGAGGTTGAAGAGGTCAATGGGTTTAGTGGCACACTAAAAAATTGTGAGTATGTCAGTAAGTGCATGTTGAAGTAGATTACAAATGTCATGGGTCATATTATGTGGCAGTTTTTTTTTTATTATATGTACTCATGGACATTAAATGGTTCATACATACAGTACAAAAAGGCCTTTATTCTGCCTGATCATTTCATAAAGATCATTTATCTTTATGAAAAGCTGAGGGGGGGGAGATCAAATATAAACATGATTGAAATGCTAGAAAATATAATTTAGTGTTAAGTTAGAGATAGTTGAGTTTAGTTGCGTAGTTGTAGTGTGGTTAAAGCTCATTTAAAACTGTGGTGCGTGAGCCTGACTGGCCCCAGTTTGTGCCACTAATGTGTAATGTTGCATTCGAGTCACAGAGCTAAGCGTCCGTTTTCTGAAACACACGACACCTGGTGAGCGTTGCGGGGTAATTTAACAACCCATACACCGTTTTCAAGGCATTTCCAGAATTGTATAAGACTCTTTTAACTCTTTTTGTACGACAACTACGACTTTATTTCCTAATCCAGGGAGCTAGAAATGACATAACTCATACATTCAACTTGTACGGCACAATATAAAATAAATACGTCGTACTGTGTGAAACTGTAAAATACTGAAATGTTACATAAATATTGACAAATATATCTAATAATGAAACTTTTACATTTTGTTTATGATTGTAAAAACTGAGCAAGCTACAATTTTACACCGTTTTAATGTCAATTTGCTGTATAATTCTACCTTTTTTTTAGTCCCTATGATTTATTGAAATAAAACAATCTTAAAAAAAGGAAGAAATCAATCTTTGGTTCAACCTGTCACAACCGGTTGACACATGAGAGGTACCAGGTAGATATTCTGTTGCTTTGCTTTAAGGTGCCTCGAGGCAAAAAAAAGGTTGGGAACGAAGGGAATAAACAACAGCCACATTTACAAACGATAACGCCGTCGCTCTTTTTCTGCCTTTTCATAAAAGTGTATTCAGACGTCAGAGGGGATGTTTGTTTCAGGCAAAGTGACACACATCCGCTTTAAAGTGGGAAAACCCTGGGATTTCTCTGGATTAGGAAATAAGAGTTTCAATTTAGTAAAGAGTCTTTGAGGGAGCTGGGATCTTCTTCAGATCTTCTCCAGGTGTTGATATCTTTCCTTAATGTTTATGGTTCGCTGTGATAAATGCAAGGTATCATCAATGAAACATAACCCACGTTGGTTTAGTTCACAGACACGTCCATATTTCAAGTGTCAAGTCGAACGCATTGGATCCCAGTCGTAATTACAACTTGGAAACCTCGTTAACTCTGATGCGATATGAAAGCAGCGTTAGCTCAGTGACTCCAACGCACGGTAAGACGTGATGTATACATCGTATAATCTCCACAGGAGGAGGATGGGGTTGGGAGGCGGGGCTCCATGGAAATAAACACCTCCTGTTAAGAGGAGAAATTAAATGCCACATATTTTCCAGAGGTAAAAGAAAAAACCTCTACCTCTGAAGAAGAGAGGAAAGGATGGCCGGACCCGGAAATTGTCAGGTAGTTGTCACTGCCTCCAGGGAACTGAAACACAAAAGATAAAAAGGTGCACAAGTTAGGAGTGGATTTCTAAACGTTTTCCCATACTACTCATCATTATTTTCAAATTAAAGCTGCAGTAAAAAAAATAACTTTATGTCGTATTTGCCGAAGCTTTCACTCTATCCTGATAGTAGTTCACGAGAGAGATAATCTGAGAGAATAAAAACAGCGTCTTCTGGCTTGTTTTTGCGCTCGTAGCGGCGTTTGTGAGAATCCACCGGGCCTGAACCGGAAAGAACCAATCAGAGCAGAGAAAGATTAGTTTGTTTGTTTTGATTGCTGGGTCCCAAAAAGTGTTTGTATTTGATGCTCCCGGGAATGAGGCTCAACAATCGACTGTCTTCAGATTATCTGTCAGGATGTAGAGAGAAAGTTTCAGCAAAGCATGACAAATAAACATCTGCAACAAAAACGACCTACAGCGAGACACACAAGACAACCAAAGCGAGGCAGCAGAGCCACAATAAGTTCAGTAAAACTCAAAACAACCAGGTAATATGGAAAAACACCCGAGATGCGTTCACTGACCGAGCCTAGTCACATCAATAATATAAAAAAAAAACCTACGCAAACACGTCACCCTGTCTGTGTGTGTGTGTGTGTGTGTGTGTGTGTTGGGGGGGTGAAACACGTTTGCCCCCCCTCCATTCATTGAGATAAAAGTCACCTTGCTGTCAGAGTCAAATCCATTGAAAGACTGCGGATCCAAGAACTCTGGATCGCCGTCGTGCTGCCCGGTACCGTCCGTTAAATCCGAATAAAAATTCAGGTCCATCTTTTCAACTGGGCCTCATATGTCCCCCCCCACCCTCCCACCCACCCTGTCTTCAATTCAAGATGTTGCGCAATTAACCGAAATCCCCCTCCGTTGAACCTGCGCAAAAACTGTAACGTTATTATTATTTTTAATATATTTATTTTTTTATTTTTTATTTAGTGACAGCTTCTCCACAGATTAGCTCACAACGACTAGAAACGGAGCGTGTGTAACGCCAGCAGCCGTGCCATAAATACCCGCCCTGCTGTCTGTCTGGCTGGCTGGCTACCCGAGGTAACGTGTCCGGGTCCGGGTCTTTATTGCTGACTTGTCCCTAACCCCGGTTGTAGCTTTAGCTGGCTTTGACGCAAGGCTGCAGCACTCGGCAGCTCGTTTGTCCGCCGGACCTCAAACGTGACATTCGAACCAACGGCTAACTAACCGACGCGGCGTTTAACGGGGTTTGGTGACGTCGCTGCCGGGGTACCGGGGTATCGGAGGGGTAAACAAAAACAAAACAAACAATAAAAACCGCCAGTGATCGTGTTCAAGGTGTCTGACAGGGAGCGAAGGCACACAGAATCACCCCCCCCGTTGTCGCTTCGTGTTGGCCCGGGCCAGGCTGCTCAATGGATCCCGAGTACCCGGATCGCGGGTGGGATTAAACGGGAAGGGCCGTTGGTCAAGTTAAACGAGGTCGGTGCCGGATGTGGAGCGACACCAGTTTCAAAATAAAATCAGATGTGACAGGTGGGGGGGGAAAGGACAACACAAGTGTCTTTAAATTATTAGACTTTATTGTTGTCTCTCATTATTAAGGGTTAATTAATTAATTAAATTCTGACTCTTATACCCACCCTGAATCTGTGAGTTACATTAATGCACATTCCCTAGATAATAACAGTCATATTGTACATATTGTATATATACTGTCTCTTTTTATTCTCTCTATTTATATCTTTTTTTATATTTTTCTATGTGTAGTGTTACGCACCAATTTACAGAGGGAAATGTCTTAACACCTACCTGGCAATAATACTGAGATGGAGATATAATCCTCTTCTAATGGTGGATTATTCGCCATGTTGTTGTACAAATTCTACTTCAATAAATAGAAATGTATTAATAAATTAAATCAGATAATTAACTTGTTATGTGGTTCTTATGGTAAAAAAACAAAAAAACACAAAAATATTGAAAAACATCACAATGCTGCGTAAATCTAAATTACAGTGATAAAATATGTGTCACAACAATTAAATCATCACCACTGAATTAAAGAACATGAAGCATTTAACAGATTCACTATTTGCTCATTATGGAGGAAGACTCCCAAGTTGGTTTCACAATTAAGTTGTTCTTTATACGAGATGCTGGAGCTTTTTACCCTTTAAAAACTATCTTATTTACTTTCTCAATGCACCTTGGAAGAAATATAAACGTTAAAAAAACAACAACACAGGGCTCCTCTACAAAACAGCACCTAAAGATTAGTTAATAATGTCGGACCCACCTTAAACAACACTGTACTGTGATTCCCTCGAGGTTGCAATCAAATTACTAATCGACACGACTTTAGTGGACGATTTTGGCTCGTTATAGATATCAGACGAATGTTGACCAGTAGGTAAAAAGAAACTGCAGTAAGCCAAAGAGTTTATAATATGGGCTTACCCATACTACACATAATTTAATTTAATGTTTATTATAGTGCATTATTCATAATTACATTGCTGTTTAAAGACAACTTTAATATAATTTATCAGCAGTTGTGTTATTGTCCACAGTTATTACTGATTTAATGATTTTAAATCCACAGGTGTTGCTTTTAACTTAATAAACAACAAAAATTTAATTTGCATTTATGTTTAAATTTTATTTTGGTAACCAGACGATTCCTGATTTTATTTTGAAAGCAACGACAGGAAGCCGCCTGTCACTGTCTGATCACCTCGACTTTAATCCAACCGGCAAACGGGGGTTTAATTTCGCGACAATTAAGATAATCGATAACGTTTAACAACTAAATACAACGTCTGACATGTCGTGTAACTGCGAACACAAGATTATATCGTCTAACTACTCGTTAAAATGTTTTAAAAAAACTAACAAAATGTTCGCTTTTACCGACTACCTGGCAGTTTAGTCCCCCCCTCCTGTTCTGCGCTAATGGTTCGGTCCAACACAATCCGCTAGAAGCAGCCTCCTGCGTTAGCTTTTAAAACACTTTAAATCCGCGTAGGATTATTAAATTAACACCAAAAACAAACAAACACAGGTGTGTAAACATTAACCGCTACACAAAAAGAAAGGTGGAGGAAGTTAAACTAAACAGAGAGACAATAAAAGGCTCGTTAACGAGGCCATCGTTGTGTTTGTGACAACCAAAGATCGTTTGTTGATCAAAACGTGAGAAAAAACCCCAAAAAAGGTGATTTTTTTTATTATGTCAAAAGGTTTTCTGATACTAGCTACTCTTACCTCCATGCTCACCCCCGAAAATCTGATTAATGTTTTGTTTTTATCCCACTTTTTGCAAGTGAACTTCGCCCAGAATTGATTTCCTCAAATTATCACAACACGGGCGCCGGCTTCCGGATTGTACGTACAAGTGGAAGTGACCTCATCACGTATTTTTTTCAGAATAAAAGGCATCTCGCTTTTGCTGCGTGATTCTAATCGTGAATATAAAGTTTAACATTTCAGATTAAAAAAAAAAAAAACATTTTTACATTTCTGTCGTCGTCTTTTTAAAAACCCTTCTGTATTCCTTTTCTGTAAATTAATCTCAGTTTCATTTGAAATAGTTAAATGTCATGCCAGAAGTTTCAAACATATGCATTCATAAAATAAAAGTATAATAAGTAAAGTAGTTAAATAGAGTAATTTTAAATATTGGCAGCTGTTCAAATTCAGGAAAACATTATTTACCAGAAGTTGAAAAAAAAAAGAAAACATAATTTTGTTAAATTATTAATTTAGGTTAAAAATAATGCAAAAAATAAAAGGGCATTTTCCAAGAGATTAATCAATAAAAAGCACTCAAAGAACATATTGACAACTTTCTAAAATAAAAACATAGAAGCAGTGAGGCCACCTTTTGTTCTCTTTGGTTAAAGTTCTTAAAATGGTTGTTTTTGTCAGAAACGTATGGATTCTTTAGGTGTATAAAGTCAAAAAGTTTCCAAAGCCCAAGGTGACATCTTCAAACTATATATAGAGAGATATTCAATTTAGAAAATAAACCAGTGAAAACTGTCAAATTGTATTTGATAAAAAAGCCTCGCACTCTCAGTGAAGTACACTTTGTCATTGAAACAAAAAGGATCACGAGTATTTGGACTTTTCCTTCAAAATTGCTTTATTTATTCCTGTGTTGTTTTTCAAGCAAAGTTTTGTTTTTATATTAATGTAATTAAAAAAAGATAAAACTTGGGATCTTTTGTTGTCTTTATGTACAAGCAAGAAAAACAATGTTTTTAGGAAATAACAATGAACATAAAAGAATCCCTGCACGATAACACTGTAAAAAAAAAAAAAAAAATAATAATAATAAAAGAAAAAGAACAAAAAGCATTAGAGTGGAATCAAACACTTCTAGTTTACAGCTCCTTACTTTAGCAACAAGCTCTCGTTCACACACACACACACACGTTTCCAAGTGACATTTTGACAGCATGCAGTGCAGTGGTCCTCCTCCATGATGGTCCAGTGTGTCAACAATACTGATGATTCAAATTCTTCCAATCACAAAGTCTCACCTCACTTCTTCTTCTTTCCACCACGCTGCCGTCATCTACTCTAACGTACCTACACGCAGTCCAACGTGGGGCCAGTTTTATGGCACAACACAGAGAAGACCTCGGATAGTTTCCCTATCATCGGTTTCATTTTGGTTTTCCTGGGATCTCGGTCGACATCGCTAATTCATAATAAAAAAACAAAAAAAAATCACAGATCCTCTTGATTTAGGTAAACAGGCTGTTAGCAGAGCGCACCGCTTGGTGTTTTCACCGTTTTGCAGATAAAGATGTGTGTCACTTGGTAACTGTAGATCTTTTATGTCATTTGTTTGTTTGTTTTTAATCAGATTATGGAGAGAGCAGTTGTATGGAAGCTCAGTTCTACTAGGAGACACAAAAAGAATAAATGACTAAGTTAAAATTATGAGATAAAGTGTCATTTATTATTAATATCTCATATTTTAGCTTAAGAATTTAGATTTTTCATCTAAAAATCTCATAAATCGGAATTACTTAAGTCCTAATTTTGACTTAATTTTGAATTATTAAAAAAATATTGTACTTCTATTTCTTTATTGTGAAATATTGTGTAAATTTTTTCATGTACTCTCATAAATTTGCCTTAGAAAGCCAAAATCTGACTTACTATGTGATAGTTTTGACTTTTTATTTCACAATTTTGACTCTGTAAATACAATTTAGATATAAGAGCAGTAGTAGTAATTAAAAATGTTAAGCACGACCAACTTTGCATTTATCTTTTTTTTTTAACTTTTCCTGGTAAAAAAAATAAGCCTCCGTACAGTTCTGAGACACATAGCAGCAAGTTCAGACAAACAAGTATTAGAAAATGATTCAGTGTCACTCCACTTTGAACTTCACTGTGGATAAAAACTAGTCTTGAGGTAAGAAATAAAAACCACTATTGATATGCAGTTAAACAATAAGCATGATTATTATTTTTAGTTTTTTCCTTTCATCTCCTTAAAAAAAAAATGTTACACTTTCAAGTAAGGAGCAGAATAGAAAGTACACAGGTTTTGTTTTTTTTTACCTTAAATGAACCACTGAGTTACTTTTCCAGGTTTTCTGTAGTTATTGGAATAAACTTAACCGTCTTCAAGGAGAAAGAAAAATAAAAAGACTAAAAATAAAAATAAAATTCAGACATTCAACCTACTCTCAAAAAACACTCACATCTGCTTCCAAAATACATTCTGTACAAAAATCAACCCTGAGTCTCGTCAGTGGAACGACTTCACGGCCTCTCTCTCTCTCTCTCTCTCTCTCTACTCATTCGCTGGTCCACCGCCCCAAAGACACGCCTAACACAACGCTGGTCCCCGTCTCCAAAACCAAACCTTCCTTCGGGTGGATGACTTTCTCACACACACACACACACACACACACACACACACACACAGTTGATCACTCGATTTTTTTTTTTTTTTTTGCTCTTTCGTGGAACTGTGTTGGCATTTCTGTATCTTTGACGTGAGTGGAAATGGAAACCCTTGTCATGACAGAAACGTGTAAAGATGAAAAGAAAATGGGGGCTGAAGGTGGTAGTGGTGGTGGTGGAGTGGGAGGGGGGGGCAATGACAGTCTCTCTTTTTCAGGGGGGGCCCACGTCCCCTCCCAAAGCTCACAGGCTCCCCCACCGCCTCCCCCTCTCCCTTCGCTTCACTTCTGCGTCGATCGGTCGCCTCTTTAAAAAGCGCTGGCTTCCTCCGTTCGTCCAATCAGGAGTAGATGGTGATGACTTCACTTCCTCCACCTCGGACCAACAGGACGCGCTCCAGTCCTTCTGTTAGAACCTCGAGGAACTCCATGTCTGGTCAGCGAGTTAGGGACTGTTGAGTGTGACTGTCTGTATCTGTTGGCCCAATATGAGCTGTACAATAACCGATGACACGCTGGCTTCACTTCACAGACCGAGAAGCTCTGTCCATTACACATACAGTCAGTGCACAGAACGTTAAAAAGCTGGTGTGCTTTAAAGTTATACATTATCAGGACAACCTAAATTATTTCTAACCAGGAGAAAAGGGGGAGCCGGCAGCGTGGCTGAAGGATCGGCTTCCCTGTTATAACAGGAAATAAACAACGCACCTCTGCACGCAACAGGCCGACACCTTTTCTAGCCTTTACAGTAATTTAGATTTAGGTTTAGATATGCAAAACGTAAGCAGATAAAGGCACGATCATTCTCTCCTGGAGGTTGGACTGAAAGGAAAGAGTTGAATTAAGCGTTAAGGATACAGTTCTCGTCTCCGTCCGTGTTCTTGGGGGGTCCCGGCATGTTGAGCAGGACGAGCCGGGCATCGTGGGATTTGTTGACGATGACCTCGTTCAGCTTGACGGCGGTGTGCATCCGCCTGACGTTGGAATGGTCCCTGAAGAAGAAAACGAAACACATTTAACTAAATAAATATATCAGAGGGAATAAACCACCTCCCTTCATGTGACCTGCACTCACGGCCTGATGCTGAGCATGTCTCTGAAGCCTTCCGGTGTGGAGCAGCCGGAGTGTGTGGCTCTGTACTGCGAGGTCTTCTCTTTAGTCCAGGTCATCTGAACTCGTCGGTGATGCTCGGAGCTGCCGCCGCCGCCGCCGCCGCCACCACCACCACCACCGCCGCCACCGCTGCTGCTCGCCGGCCTGTCTCGCTCTCCGCCGTCTGTGTCGTCGTCGTCGTCCGATCCGATGCTCGTCAGCCGCAGCATGGAGTTACGGTCTTTCACCAGCTGGGCCTAGTTTGGTACAAAGACACGCAAACGTGTTTTTGTCTCATCTCAACCTTTATTCGATGCCTCCCTACTTCTCTCTCTCTCTCTCTCTCCCTGTCTCTATTTCTCTTTGTACCTGTCTGTCTGTGTTTCCTTTGGAGGTGTTTGAGGTGTTGACTCCAGTACTCCTGTACCTGGGGGAAAGATACACCTACAGACAACAGAAGGTCATCCCTAACTGGCTAATAATACAAAACTGCATCTACTGTAGCAGGAAGCACTGGAGGTTAAACTACGGGGGGGGGCACGACGACATTAGTGTCAGATTTCCTGAAAAAGACCTGAGTCAAATGGCAACTCGGTGAGTAATGAAAAAGAAGAGGGTGAAATTACAGCAGAGACATTTCTTACTGCTCATTTTTTTAACTCTTTTAACCAATTTAGAGAAAAGAAAGAATAAAAAGCACATTTGACCCAGATCAGTATGTATTAACTTCATTATTGGACAAACTCTTAACTGAATCCTTCAGATAAAGAAGCTTTTAGATTAACAGTGATGTGAAACCTCATTTAAAAAAGACTATGTGTAATAGATTAATTCTCCTTTAACTAGAGGTCAAAGGTCAGTGTCAGCTACAAAAAAGACCCAAATGTGCATTTATTGGTCTAATTTCAAGATGATGCATCCCACTGATTAGAAAGTAACTACAGCAATGAAAGTTGAACAGGGCTGCCCAAAACACATTCACTTTTTTTTGGGTCTTTTTCTGAAGGATTCGGAGGTTATTCACACATCTAAAAATCATGTGATCAAGAAAACCTCTTTGCTTTAACAATGTGTCCATTACGGCCACTACGTCTAAATTACTAAGCCGATGCTTTACTGCTGTGTGACCAGTTAAACTTACGTCATCAAAACTCCAGCGTACCCGCTGAGGAGACCGGTGGCGAAAAGGAGATGACATGAACTTTAATAATAAAAACTGAACGGGAGATGCTCTTCCTACTGTTCTTTGTTAAAAATAAATATAGATTTTGTCTCCACTTATTGGCCAATTTCATCCTGCGCTCAGAGGCATGTAACATTTTTGTGTAGACCTACTCTACAATAAAGTCCTTTTTCCTTCCTCTCATCTAGAAATTGCTCCCACAGGGGATCAATGAAGGAACATCTTATCTTATCTTATATCGTGGAACAAAATAATGATCTCAAAGTCAAAGTTGCTCACACCTGAGACGCTTTTACTTTTTCCAATTTAACATAATTTTTCCAAAATAGGGTTTTTAACCACAACGCTTTAATTTTTAAGTGACATTTAACATATATATATATATATTTTTTAATCAAATGTGAGACAACAATACATTTTCTATAATATAGTAAATAACCTTTTCTAAAAACAAATTTTTACAAGTAGATAGTGAATGCTTGGTTTTAACTAACAGATGAAAATACAGACTTACTATCTTTTTAAAAAATGGTCTCAACAACATCCTCTACAATTTATAATAAAACTGATGAACTCACAGCTGGCCATAACCACTGACCTCACCTGAGACCTTGTAGCTCCACCTGCCTCTGGCCTACTGCTGCTGCTACCAGGGTTTCCCTGATAAAATGATGCACGACAATCACAAACAAATCAGGCGAGTATGTCATGGCCAATCTTGCATACAACTGTGATTGTTAGTAATGACCCAAATTCTGCTGACTAATCATTTAATAAAATGTTTAAATCCATAAACATCTAGTAGAAAAATTACTTGAGGTCTTGACTGTCCATACGCAAATCTACACCCGTTCTCCATGCACAATCTCGCAATCCGACCTGAGCTTACCTCTCTTTCCCGGTCTGATTTAGACAGTCGCATCTGCCTGAGCATCTGAGACCTCTGCTCCATCATCAGCGTCCTTTCGTAGGTGTACGCGCTGATATCGCTGTCATGCTGAGAGGACACACGAGAGAGAGAGAGAGACGTATTCAGAGAAGAGCAGACAAGAGGACAATAACATGGAGAGGAGCGTTGTCACTGTAAGATTAGGAGTGTTTGACAGTTAAACAATAAGTCTTATGGAAGACATGACCCTACTTTTATTATTATTATTAGCTCAGTAAACAGTTTCCTAACGAGTTTATGGTCTCAATCTCTAGTTTCAAGTCTTCTTCCATTCAGCCTGATGTTTATTTAGTAAATTATGGTCCCAAAATAGGACCCATTTAGAGTAAAATAGCTGGGTATGCTTTAGGGCGTTGGTACCTTGTTCACTCTCAGTCTCAGTCTCATCTGATTAAATATGAATCAAAATTATGTTACAGCCCATTTCTCACTCTGTAATGCAAGACTGTGTGAGGCCGAGCAAGCCGCCACTGTTCCAGAGGCACAAACAGCCCTCACTGCTGTATGGGATAATAAATAGTATTTGAATACGCATAATAATAGAGTTGCAGTTCTTTTATTATTCCTTAACAGCCTGCACATGTAGGCATAAAAATATGGTGTTTCAGGTTTTGTTTTTCTTGCATGTTAAGTAAATCAACTTTATTTTCTTGGAAAAGAGTTAAAATGAATGAAAATGTCCTGATAAAAAACCCCACAGTGAGAGAATCGTACCATCTCAACTACTTCCACTTCAGCTTCGATGCGTAGGTGATAGAGGAAGGTTGCCAGATCCTTCTTCATCTGGATGGAATTATCCTCCATCTGGGCCACTGTGAAGATTCGCATCCCACACTTACGCCACACCTGAGGAGGAGAGAATATTCAGACAGAGCCGCTAGAGATGCAGCAATGTGAGGAGAGACATTTAACAACAACACACTCCTACTTTGTGTTGGCGCAGCAGGAAGGGCAGCAGCATTAGCATCCCCCCGTCGTGGACGATCCACCAGACGTCAATGTAGCCCTCTGTGCAGGGCTCGCTGTTGCTGGGGAACAGAGAGATGTTTTTGGGCACCAGCAGGGCCAGGTGGGCTGCTGTGGTCACCCGCACTGTGTCTGGAAGGAAGAGAGGGGGCACTGTTAACCTGCTAGCTCAAACTAAAACTGAAATTATGAGATCAGGGAAAGAAAGAAAAAAAGATGTGTTTTCAGTCAACTCACTGATGAAGGTCTTCCAGGCCTGGGGGTCCTCGCTTTGCCTCCAAGCGTGAGGCCAGCCCATCACCACAGTGTTGGGTTTCATTCCTCCCAGGCCGCTGGACTGGATCATGTGGCTGATACCTTCACGCGGCTTCTGGGCCACGATGCACTGATAGAAGCCCTTCACACGCTCCTTATCCATCAGGTGCTTCAGAGTCTGAAACAGGAGCAATAAAGAAAAAGGTGAAATATTTCCTTCTATAATTTGTATGAATTCTCCAGGACTAACCTATAAGTCAGCATCAACAGAAACACTACCAAGATAGAAGTTCCCACCTGCTCAGCAGCGAGGGCCTCGCCGTAGCTTTGCAGGAAGTTACCAGAGACGACCGTTCCAACAATGGTCAGTCCCTTTCCCGCCTTCAGCTGGCTGGCAAACGTCAGCAGGCGAGGAGATTTGACGTGGGCGTCCTCGTCCAATTTTAGTAAGACCAACACCTGGGGCCTGGAGAAGAATAGGCGAGAAGACTGGTGCGTGTAAATGGATGTGGATTTTAGGAATCAATAACAGCAGGTTCTCTCTCTCTATTAAGAAATTACTGTAAACACACAAAAGGCTGAATGACCACAATCAATAGTGTAGTTTTAGTCTTTTATTCTTTTGTGTATTAGAGGTCCGTTATCTGTTATAGTTCTTTATTATTGTGCATTTTATTGCACAATCCAAGCATATTCACTCAAGGATCACTGGGAATGCAAAATTGAAATGGGATCCTGGTGGTCTATGACGGCAGTTCAGTTATAATGTATTTGGTGACGAGGTTGTGGAAAAGCTTCAGTACTGTACCTCCAGTTTTTGGTGTGCGGTGGTCCCTCCTCCAACCTCAGGAGGGCATAACGGGCAGCACTGAGCGAGAGACCACGGATCCCATCCCCCCATTCTTTCTCCGCTCTGACACACACACACACACACACACACACACACACACACACACACACACACACACAATATAGAAAAGATATATACTGTGATTTGTGCTTTGTATATTGTGACCTCCCCTAACAGACGAACTCACAGAAAATCCACACACAGAAATACTAAAACACACACCACTCCTGACCATACTGTACATGCACTATCATGTGGGGGGGGGAATACATCTCCATGGCAACATACCCGTGGTACTCAATGTACTTGTAGATCATGCTGGCGATCACCATGGCAACGATTGCGTAGTACCAAGAAGATATGAACATGAGCGCCAGGCAGATAGTCATCCCCAAAAATGACAAGGTCCTGGACACACCAGAGGCAAAGATCAGTGTTTATAAATATGTATGTGTGTGTGTGTGTGTGTGTGTGTGTGTGTGTGTGTGTGTGTCTCTAGTACCAGTGGTAATAGGAGAAGCGTGGCCTCCAGTTGGGTGACCTCAGGAGGGTCTGGAGGGCACAGGCAAGGTTCACGAACAGATAACACATCAGGAAGAACCTAAAAAAAAGATCATAATTAAATCTGAAGCCCCTGAAGGAGAAAGATACAAGTGTGCCACACACACACACACACACACACACACACACACACTGCAGTGTCTCACATTGTGAGGATGGGAGCCACCAGGTCCAGAGAGGCAATGAGAATCCCCAGCTCGGCTATCAGGGCCGTCAGCAGCATGGCCCAGGTGGGCTCCCCATTAGCCTTCCCGTGGCCGAACACCTGGCAGAAACAAACACAAAAGAAAAAAGAAGTGAAAATACGTACAGCTGCACCAAGTAAATCATACTGAAGATGGGTTAAAGGGACAGTTTACCCAAAAACACTGTGAATCTTTGTTTCTTTGCTACCTGTTAGTTCAGATTCAGTTTCAGAGTGACTTGCTGAGGTTGGGAGAAATGTTCACTATCTGTCCCCACATACTGTAGAGGGCAAAAATTGTTCCATCGATCATTGTAATTCACACAATTACTATACAGTAATTGGAAACAACAGTCTGACCACTATTGACCTGCACTGATAAGAATTAGCATTCAAGCACTTAAACATACAGAAACTACAGTATCTCCAAATCTTAACCCATTAAACTGAAACTACCAGAATAAACTCTGTGTGTGTGTGTGTGTGTATGTGTGTGTGTGTGTGTGTGTGTGTATATAACACTTATCATGTCAACGTTTGGACCCTGGAATTAAAATAAATATTTGCAGCTCTAACCCGGAGGAAGGGGATGATGTTGTCCTTGGCGATGGCCTGCAGGAGTCGGGGCGCGCCGGTCAGCGACTGGAGGCCTGCGCCACACGTTGAGAAGAAAGAGCCAATCACAATGACCCAGGGAGTGGGCCAAGCCAGAGTACCCACCACCAGATTCCCTTTAACAGAGTCTCCAAACCTGCAGGAGGCACAAACAAATATTTACAGCTTCCATAGCACTGGAAAATAACAAAAATATTACAACTACGCTCTTTTTCTCACACATAACACAGAGGTGTACGGTCAGATACAGAGAGCAGAAGTACTTACTTGTCTCTGAGGACCACCCCGTCGATGCAGGCTCCAAACAGAACAACGCTGCTCAGGTCTGGATGGACAGCACTCAGGAAAACACTCAGGAAACATTTGATTTGATATGATTGGACCTCTGAGTGCCTTTTAGATATAATAGTATCATAATGAGCAATCAATTTAGCTTAACAGATCATAAAACATTGCCTACAAAAACTAAAGTGTAACTCCACAACAGCAGCAGCAGCAGCAGCACTCTGCAAGAACACACATTTCCTGGGAAACTGTGTTGTGATTGTGAACCCATTTGGGATACAAATGTGTGAATGGTGCTTTAAGTGCCTGGAAGTTGAATCATAATATAATGTTAAAGAGGATACAGACAATGGAGGTGGTGAGGATGGCGAGAATGGTTCCAATGGGGATGGATCGTTGCGCGTCTTTCAGATCCCCCGACCGGTTCGAACCCGCCATGATTCCTGAGGAAAAGAGGAAAATCATTTAGATTTATGGGATTACTGACATAAGCATTACTTGTGGTATTACTTAGCGGCATTGTTATTCATGTTATGAATATAATTTATCCAATAAAATCTAATCTAATGAGTGTTCAGAGGTTCTGCTAAACAAAATAGGTGTGAAAATATTATTTAAAATCATGCAAGAGAGTAAAAAGAAATCCAAGAGGTTTGACAAGTCCGTGGCAAAGATATGATGAACTGGATCCCGAAAAGCATTCGAGCAAAGGCAAATAAATTAAATAAACACAGTCTGTACCTGTGACGGAGGGGAAGAAGATGCCCACCAACAGTGTGAAGGAGGTGGTGATGTCAGCAAACACATAAGGCTGATGAGTGGATGCTGGATGTGAGACAAGAGAGGAGTGCAGGGAGCCTTTCTCCACCACATCCCCTTTGCTGAGGTAGGCGCTCCACAGGTTCTCTATGGAGGAGATTCAACACGTGCTTGTTAGTGATATTATGAATGTATTATTCTGTATTATCCTTTATGTGTTGATTCCCGGATGTACTCCAAAACGGACATAGAAAGCAGACAAGGTTCTGTACCGACTAATTTAGATTTAGTGCTAACAAATAAGGTCCAATTTTTAACTTTCAATGGAGGTAATAGTCATCGTCTGATAATCAGGCACAGAAGAGGAAAATATGAGAACATGAAAGCTACTTTTAAACAGTCTACCTGAAATGATCCCACTGGCCAGACCGGGGATCGCTTCAATCTTGGAAAAATTGTTGGAATTGAAGTATTCATCACAGGAGGCGTTGAGTTCAGTGCCCTGGCAAAAGCGCTTCCAAAGATATGTGGTCTTCTCCACCTGAACAGAGCTGGGGTCAAAGGTCGGGGCCATGGTGCTGTTTTCTAGTGAAAGGAATACAGCACATGCAAGTCTAATAAAACAAAAAAAAAAAAAAAACCTTGAACGGGTGTAACGGAGGAGGCTAGAGTGACTAGGATACACTCCTACCGTTAATAATTGTGAAGTTGTCGTCGGCTCTCTCCGCTAGCTCTTGGTTTTGCACCATGATTGTTTTCCCACAGTGGTTGTCATCGATTTCATGGCCGCTGATGGTTCTGTTTCCCAGCATGCACACACTGTGGACGGAAGCCCCATCGGTCAGTCAAAACCTCCAGAGTTTTAAAAAGGGTTTTTGGCCGGCGTCGTATATTTCTGGGACACTTACGGGAAACGCGGCGGTCTGAAGGCGGAGACGAGCGCGCCGACGTAGATGGAAACGATGGAGACGATGACGCAGGCCAAGAAGATGGAGGCCAGTTTGTTTACATACTTCACGCCCACAAAGACCAGCAGGGACATCAGGAGGAGACAGATGGAGCCGTAGACCCGCATGTTGTTCAACATGGCCGCCCCTTCGCCTTCGGGATGCTTCGACTCAAAAATGGCTGCCTTAGGTGCTATGTACATCTGCAGGAGGGAGATGAGATTGTGACTAAATCAAATCAACGTGATACAGAATCTAGATCTGCCAGGTATTTAATATGCCTTATTTGCCACAAACATAGATTCCCATCTGTTTATTTAACCCATAAACAGTTTCTCACCTCATTCTTCCAGTAAAATCTACTAGGGGTGTGCCGCTAGACTTTTTTTTTTTTTTACTATATTCTGTGGTAATACTAACATCAGCGTGTTATCTGTATTAGAATGAGCTGTTTTTATCTACAGAGTGAGTGCGGACCAGAACAGACACACCAAACTCTCTAAAACAGGGCATTTCAAACCGTAGTTTGAGCTGAGCTGTGTTCACATGGTTGCAATACGCAACCGCTAGATGCCACTGAATCCGACACTCTGGTCCTTTAAATAAAGTTAGTACAAGTGATCGACGGTGTGCGAGATTGTTAGGTGCTTTTACAACTATTAAAAACACCCACATAAAATCACGAGAAACAGTCGAGGAATCCTTAATTGAGAAAAGATTGAAGGTCAAAACCCACCAGAAGGATCTCGATGGCTCCCAGGATGTACATGGCTCCAGCGAAGGTGGTGCCCAGGTAGAAACACAGGCCCACCGCCCCCCCAAACTCTGGTCCCAGAGAGCGGCTGATCATGAAGTAGGCGCCTCCCGCTGGAGGGGGAGGAGAGAGAAGGAGCGAGAGAGAAGGAGCGAGAGAGAATGAGAGAGAGAGAGAGAGAGAGAGTGGTGGAGGTTGTACATCAGGGTTGGGAAAAAGTGGGAATGGAGAGGGAGAAGGGGTAAAGTACGGTGGTAGAAGAATAAGAAATGGGGGGAAATTGAAGACATATTGAAAAGGATGGAGAAAGACAGACAGAGATGGGACATAGAGAGAGAGAGAGAGAGAGAGAGAGAGAGAGAGAGAGAGAGAGAGAGAGAGAGAGAGAGAGAGAGAGAGAGAGAGGGATGGATGTTAGTAACATGATTTTAGGAGGTAAAGAGAGAGAAAGGAGGACAGCTGATGAGAGAAGTCATCCTATGCTTGGAGAAATAAGCATAATGTTCTACATGATACATCGGAGTAAGAAGACAGAGCAGATCTTTGGTCAAATAGTATCTGCAAACGACTCTTTACTGTTTGTTTTTCCTCACCTGAAGTACAAGTACTGCATCTAATGTGTGTCAGTATAAAATAACTGATAGCTGGAATCAAGTGCTCGATCAGACTCAGAGGTTTGTTAACTTGTACTCTGATCTGACAGTTCTCTGTCATTTTTTAAGTCTCTATTTCCCTTCAGCCTGACAGTGTTCATGTTCATCATCAGTTATTTCTGGTCAGCAAGGGGAGTTATTTTGTTTTATTTAGTAGTGATTCCAGTGAAGCCATTCTTACTACTTACATCTACCAGTTTCTTCAACAAACACTGAAGCTGCAGTAGCTGTTGCAGATTTCATTTCAGTTAATTTTATGTATTTTTACATTAATAAGTTGATTAAAGAGTTGTCATTGGAAGTTGCAACAATCTCATTACTTGTTGCCATTTTTTTATTAATGTAGATAGCTAGCCATGTGGGAAGATGACATAAAACATTCTTAATCCAGCTAAACTCTGATCGATCAATTGTTTCTCTAACTGGGGAGCACATGAATCAAGGAGACTTAAGTTTAGTTTTCTTCCTTTGTACCAAAATTCAGGTACATTTCAAATAAAACCCAGGCTTCCTGGTGCACACGGCATTGATCATGCAACTGGCACTCAAAGTGAGCTTAAAAAAAAACAGTAAATAACAATTTGCTGATACAATTTGAACCAGTTATAAAACAGTAAGTGGGGGAATCATTCAGCAAGAGAAACTACAAATTCACTACTGCCTGAGCTCACAATTCAGTGTTTGGTTTCCAAAATGCACAAACATTGTTTCTGTACATTAGACCAGTGGTTCTCAACCAGGGGAATGTTTTAATTTATTTGTCTGATTATTTAATGAACTAGAAGTTAGCCCGCTTAAGATTGACTGTTGTGTTCATAGGTTTCACACTCAAGTAGAAACTGCACACTTATAGAATATCTTAAAATCTTTTAAATACGGATCGTTCACAACAAAAAAGGGGTGAGAACCACTGCAGTAGACAAACAACAAAATTAATGTTAATTAATGAAATGAGCATATGAATGTGATGTTGTATATAACAGCTCAACTGAATGAACGCTACAAAAACTGTCCCTGGAAAGTTTTCCACACATCTCACTGAGTCGAAGAACATCAAAATTAAATGCTGAGCTGTATTTTGGGAACCCAAACACTTTCGACCACTCCTTTACATTAACCACAGTTAAACTACGTACATACAGTATTAACTACCATCTGAGACTAGATGGTGAGAAAGCGTGAGAGCTCGAAGCTGTTCAGGTGAGAGAAAAAAAGACAGCATGGAATGAAATGTCGGATGCCAAACAAGACATGTTAGATTAATTCTCTATGTTACCGAGTGTTTTTTTTTCCTTTCTACATTCAATTATCGAAATGTCACATGCTAGTAGAAATACCACACTACTTTGACATTTTGGGATATTCATCTAGAGGCGTTCCAGTGAAAAGGTAAAGTCAATGGCGGATAAATATCCTGGGTTTTTTTTTTTTTTTTTAATGTGTGTACAGACAGACAGGGAGAGGTAGACAGAAAGGAAAGACAGGACAAACAGAAATAACACTCATTAGAAGAAAAAAAAAAAAAACATATGTACTTCATCAATACCGCCGTAAGCTGGAAGATGAGCAGGAAGGGAAAACAACCCTGAACACCTACGTAGGTCACTTGGCTGAGTTAACTCAAAATGTCCAGGACGGAGGGAGGCCCCATTCGGTCTGGATTTATTTCTCTAGGGGAGGTGGGGTATTAATGGGCAGTAATAACAGTCACATCCATGTCTATTACAGACAATACTGGAACAATACTTTAAATTACAGAGGAGCACAGTGACCGATGGTTAATCCCGTCCAAATGGGGCTCGTGTGAGTGATCATAACAGACGCAATCTGCAGCACTACTGAAACTATAACTTTCAATATTACACATCGATGTGAAGAAGTGTCATCATCAAGTATTATTTGTTATTTATTTCACTGGATTAACCAAAAACAGATCTGCACCTCTTCTTATGTTATCTATAAATTTAACAAACATCCTAATTGTCTATATTGTCCACTTCTAGGTGCAGTTAGTGCAGACCGATAGTGGATTTTTGAGGCCGAATGTGAATATTTAAGATAATATATTCAGCAATATTCATAACCTTAAGTATTTTTTGCATAAAAATCAACACTTGCTTTTTGGCTCCTTCGAGTTAATACACTGGTGGGATATCTAATGTTGATGATGTATGAAGAGTCAGGTAAGCTTTGGGTTCGGTGTAACAGTTATCCACATTTAATCCACGCGTATGGAAGAAAAGGGGAAAGAGTGAACGGTGGACAAATACCTGGTACAACTCCATTGGTCGCGATTGCACTCATCGATATTGCAGTCAACATCGTCTGCAGGGAGACAGAAAGACAGATTTGTAGTTGTTGTCTCATCATCCCAGTGTGCCAACACAACTTGACACTCAAATACTCACACAGCAGCAGCATATGAAGACAATGCAGAGACCCTGGAGCACCCCGGCACTGCCCACCACCCAGGTCAACCGCAGGAACAGGATGACGCCGAAGATGTTCTGCAGGCAAGGCAGGTAAACTCCCATAAACGTCCCCATCTGTGGCGACTGGAAGGAAGATACAGCAGAATATCATACACAATGTTTCATACATAAGATCATCTATCTATCTATCTATCTATCTATCTATCTATCTATCTATCTATCCATCAATCTACCCAGAAGATTGGTGTTTCAAACATATATCCATTATTTTTAGCTATTTACTTTATTTCAACAGTTATTAAAATGAAATTTAAACCACTAATTCGGCCTTTTATCCATTAAAAGTAGCCAACTATTTAAACTATTTATGAACTATTTCAGTTCAAGTTCATTGTCATGCGTGTTTCGAATTACAATGAAATTCTTGTGCTCTGGCTCTCTGGGCGTTGACACAAAGACTCACACACACACACACACACTACAGACTTAAATAGACTATGTTCACAATGAGTACATACAAATACAAATACAATACATTACATTATACACACACACACACACACACACACACACACACACACACACACAATACACATCCAAGATACCACACCCATGTGAGGTGCATCAGGGCGCGTCAGCTGTTCAGCAACCTGACTGACTGGAACGAAGCTGTTACTGAGATGTGTAGTGTGTGTTTGATGCTATATTAATGATCTCGTTGACTATTCAGACCAATTATTCATTCTTTTTAATTAACCTTTTTCAAATGTTGTTTATAAATTACTTTAAGCTTACATTTAGCAAGCTATTTCAATGGTTTATAACTTCTCGCTAATTATTTTAAATCATATATCCATGATACTTCTAGCCTAATTTGACACACATACACATAGGTTGGTTTGATGCTTGTTGCTAGTGGTTTACGGTTTAATTGTGACAATAAATTTTACTAAAAACCACAAATTGACTTCCTATTTGGTTCCTGTTTTTTTTTTTTTATTCCTTAACATAAAAATGTGAAGATTTGTATTGCATCTGCAGAGGTACAACTGTTTGGGAATCAGTGCACTCTGCCACCCTGAGGCACCAGACTTATGGTAATGCTTATACTGAACACATTACAGTGGCCAGAAGGGAAGATTAAAAAATATTTTGGTTTAACTTTTCCCCCAGCCGTCTGCTGGCAAATGTGTCCAATCCTGCAAACGTGGCAATCAGAACAGGGCTGGAATAGCAAATTACTCTGAACCACCACAACAGACTGTCTTATCTAGGCCAGCCAGCTCCTTATCAGCACGGATTGCAGTGCAGATCAGGGTCACATCCTAGTGTGCTTTCATTTTCAGACGCCGAGTCAAGAGGCCAACAGAGGATCATTTGTCGACTCAAAAAGATGGATGATGAATGAAAGGGTTCACTTCAAGAGCGAGATTCCTTTTCTTTTTATTCATGTGTATTGTTTCAGTTAGAACATGTGCACTGGTAACCATATAAAAGTTACTCTGAGGACATTTCTTACTGTGATCACGATCGTTTCAACTTCGTACCCGTTACGCCACCATTGTAATCATCATCTTGGTTAATATTACTGTTGCATTAGAACATTGTACAGCAAGACAAAGTACATTTGGGATCATATACTGTGCAATGTATGGGTGCAGGCATGGGTATGAAGGTCAGGACATTTAAACTGAAACTAACTGTGTATTTGTGCTGGCTGCTTCACTTAGAAAATGTTATTTTTCTTCTAGAAAAGTATTTAATGCCACCAAAAAAAGATCTGAAAATATTTGGTATTTGTGAATATGAATTCTTAGGAGATGGATCAGCAAACTTTCTTATATAACAGACATTGTGGGAGCTGTTTGTTTTGTGCTTTTATTTTAAGGTGTTTTAACTGCGCACCAAAATCCCTTCATGGGTTTTTGAAAGTCAGTTAAGGTGAGTGAGGCACACAGTCTGGCGTACCTTGCTGGCTTTCTTCTTCTCGCCGATGCTCTCGGCCTCCTCGTGTTCCTTGGCTCCCTGTGTCAGGTTGGTGTAGTTGGCCAGGCGATTGAGCAGAGAAGAAACCTTCGGTCGAGTGTCCATCTCCTCCTGTGGTATTAAAAGAGGAGGGAGGGGGGGTTGACAGGAGGAGGGGGAGGAGGAAGAGAGGGGGTTGGAGGGACATGGCGAAGGGAGAAATAGGGTGGAAAGAGATAAAGAACAGTAGGCAAAGGACAGCAGAGAGGAGGGGAGGATTGAAATAGCCAGGGGATAAATAAGTAGGGGGTGGTGAGAAAGGAACACAGAGGAGTAAGGGGACGAGAGAATAGAAAGAGCAAGGTCAGGTTATAGAAATGACAAGGAGGCAGGGAGGGAATAAAGAAGGAAGAATAAGTGGAGCAAAATGGAGTAAAAAAAAAAAAAAGGGGGGGATGACAAGCACAAAAGAAGGAACCAGATAGGAAGTAAAAGAACAGGAAATTGAGGAGAGAAAGAGGCACTCATTAAAAAAAAAGAAAAGTGGGGGATAGAAGATAAGAGTTGTTTCCAGTGAACTTCAAAATCTATTTTAAAAAATGAAATTATCTGCACCCACCAGCCAAATGCTGGTTTATTTCTGGCTCTAGTTTATCAGTCACTTTGGCAAATAAACAACAACCATTCGGAGGTTCTCTTTTTATCCGTGTATTGTATAATAGAAAGTAGAGTTTACAGAACATTTATAACATAATAAAAATAATAATAATGTGCTTTCATAGGGTAACAGTTCTATCAATTGTGTGTTTTCAAACCTCAAATAAGGCCAAGTTTCTGTCGTAGAAGTCGTCGTCATCCATCCCATGAGTGTTATTGATGTACACGCTGGAGATTTTAGAGTTTCCATCACCTAGACACAAAGAAAGAGACTATAAAGAAAAGGAAAACACAGGAAACTTTAAAAAAGGATAGGTTCACAATAGCCAGGAGCCCATATGAATATTGAAACAGACTTTTGGTTGCTGGCCTTTTCGTGATCCTGTCTTTTAATGCACTTTCAATGTAAGCGATATAAAATTTATCGTGGAGAGAGTTTACTTTTTGAGCTGCAGTGGAGGGATAGTGACAAAAAGATAAATATATTTTGGCACCAAACGTGGGAAAAAAAATCTTTATACATGTAAATATATGTCCAGCATGAGCAGGAGGATATAGTTTAAAGTATTATCAGGGTTTACACACAGTTTTGCCTACTACAAACTGCTACAGACAACTAAAAGAACTAAAACATTGCTGGGAAAATCCTGTAAAGTCCATGTTCACCTGACTGTTATTCTAAGACACACAGACACACACACACACACACACCCAGTTTGATGCAATGGCCACCATGTCACCAGTTCATTTCCGCCTCAGTCAGCACAGACCACTGCATCAGCAGCACCTGAGTCAGCAACATCACTTCCCTCCCTGCTCCGCCACACTCACGCTAACGGCAGCCAACGGTCACACGCAGCGAAACATTTAACAGAAGGACTCTTATACGTGTTAGTGACTTGAGACCCATGTGAATAATGGGTCATTTTGTTAAGAAACTAGGCATTCTGTAGGTTTACTGGACTGGTACAACATCTGTGTAGTCTTGTGCTTAAATACAACCATTTGTTGCATTGCTATCCTGTCTTTCTCAAGTATTTCTCTTCTCTCTGTTTTAAAGAGTTTGGTCTGTTTTAAAGAGTTCGGTCTGTTTTAAAGAGTTCGGTCTAGACCTGCTCTGTTTGAAAAGTGTCCTGAGATAACTTCTGTTATGAATTGGCGCTATACAAATAAAATTGAATTGAATTGAATTGAATTGAATTGAATTGAATTCTCTCTATAGTTTAATCGGACTATTAAAAGTGGGAATTAATATCCTACAATCGTGTGTGGATACAGCCGATGTTGTTACCGGTGGTTCCAAGGTGGGGGGTCCCGTGATAAATATGTGGTCACCACACGATTAAAAAAGGGATGAGAAAGACAGAACTTCTCCATAAACCTTACCGAGTACAAGTCAACCTTTCTGCCGTTCACTATCTCACCAGCAAACATCGGCTGGTTGCACACTGACAAAAAGTCAATAGCCATGTAAAGAAAAAAAACTACCAGCATTTGGCTGGTGGGAGGCAACTTCCCATCCTGTTTGCAGTCCTTCATTTGGCCAAAGATAGCGAGTGTGAAAGTGACTTCGCACCAGCGAGAAAACAACTTGCCTGTTAACATTCAGAGGCTGAAGCATGCTGCCGTGGTAGGAAAAGATTAACCAGCAAGCGAATGAGCTCTAGCAATGCTTGTTTATAAATTATAATAAGCGTTCTTTGCATGCTACAACAAAAACAAAAAGGCGTTTGGGGGTAAATGCAGATATACATCAGTGCATGCGCAGACAATTCACGGCATGTCAACGGGAAAACAACGTGTGATCTCCCCACCCTGGCATGTTTAAGACCTAACCTGTTGATCCGGACAGTCAGGAATCGGACGCCAACGCTTCGCAACAGCCTGTCTGACACCGACTTCAGCGCACACATTAGAGTTGACCTCTGTGGTTCATTTTGTTGTAGCTCTAGTCTTGAAAATGCTTCTCAAATATACCCAAAAAAAACTACCCAGAATCACCTTTGGGGTTATTACAGCAGAAAGTAAAATAACCCTCAAGTCCTGAAACTGAACCGCAGCTTAACACAGCTGTCTATTTGTGTTTGTGTATGCTACAACTCCTCCACCTGAGACTGCCACATCTGAGTATGAAGCCTTTTTTATTTGTGTGTGTGTGTGTGTGTGTGTGTGTGTGTGTGTGTGTGTGTGTGTGAGAGAGCAACCAGTGAAGCAGAAAGCTACTGGAGCCAGGTGTGCGTGTCTCTGTGGACCAGCGAGCTGTAAGCACATCAAATTCAATAGCTAACTTTATTGGTGTCAAGAATAATGGATCACAGAGCATTTGACCTTTCTGAAAATAACTCTCCACTCCTCCGACCGTCCTTTTTTCCTCTTCATCGCCTTTCAGGATCTTGACTCATTCACTTCAACAACCGCATTTTTCTTGTCAGCATGCTGCTTTTCTATTCTAGCCGAGACGACTGCTGTGCAGTTGTGTCTCCAGCAACAACCCCCCCCCCTCTTTGTTTCTTCTGTATAAAACAGCCACAGCATCACACAGACTGATCGAAACTCAATCGGATTAACAGGCTCCATTTCTATTTATGGAAGCTTATTAAAACAACGTGGGGCATCCTCACTACTATGCAACTGCTTAAGTGGATCAGTGTAGCTAATACAGTAACATCTCTCCACAGCTATTCTTAAACACTTCTGGAGAGGAAATTACTGCACTCACAGTCCCAGCAGTCAGAGGGAAACTATTTACCATATTCCCCCTATTTACTCATCCTACACAAACTCATCGTCAAACTGGACTTACTAGCTTTACAGCTGTACCTGTGTGAAAAGGTTTCTGCTGTCAGCTACCATTAAGTAAAGAACTGAACCACTGTATCTACTCTGTAGGTGGGCTGATGACAGCAGTGGGGGAAGTGAAACCTACACACACACACACACACACAATAGGCTTACGTTACAGTCTTCTTATTGTCCTCACTGTGTGTGCTGAGTGCAATAAGTTGCTCATTTTGCACCCTTAGAGTCAAGCTTTCATTTAGGCAACAAATGGAGAGCTTTGCAACCAAGAGAACACATTTAAAAAAAAAAAAAAACACATTGTTGAACTTGAGGCATGTATGAGGATCCATCTAACAAGAGCACTTCTCCTTTTACTTCCCATAAAACCAGATCTGCCTTGCTGATGACCACTCCAGTCCCACTGTAATATCGTATACCAAAGTATAACCAAGGACTTAAGACTTTTATTCCACCGTGACCCCTCTAGGTCAGGGATTTTCTAAGTCAGACACTGAGGGCCTGCCTTCAGACAAAACTGAGACAACAACACTCCCATTATTTCTACCCAGTTTCAGTGAGTCCTGTGCTGCGGGATACAACTTGAGCTCTGTACGTTTATTTACATTCCAGCAATAACACTACAAGGCTGTAAGGTACTCACATTAAATGTCCTCCAGTGCCTTTTATTACCACCCAGTTGCCTGTTCAATACAAAGATTTGACTATTCATTCCTTTTTTTGTTTTAAACTTTAGGGCCATTTGAATGCAGCCAATCTGTAAACCGGACTTTCAAAAACAGGTTAAACTGCTCAGGAAGGTTTGACATTACGTGCTTTTTCCATAAGCCTATATGTCAAGATGGAGGAGTGGCGGGCAGACGTGGCTCAAACATATGGATTAAACAGTCTGTAGCAATCTAAAGTAGTGGGATTAGATATGACAGAGTGTCAGGTTGGTTTGCAGACTAGGTGTGTGTGTGTGATCTGCTTTGAATTTCTCCACGCAGTCAGTCCTTCTGTGAGGCGTAAACACGCTTTACGAGGCACATTTTTAAAACAAAATCTTGCCAAAAGCTCCTTGAAACTGCAGCAACAACATGTTATGTACAGGTGGATGTGTGCGTTGGTCACCTTGATCCATACTGCTGTGTTCCGGTGAGTCAGCCCCTCCTCCCGCCGTCAAGCCTCCGGACCCCTCGCTGAGCGGGTCGCTCCGGTTGACGCTCTCCCGGGAACCGAAGCGCACGCGGGCGCCGGACCGGGAGCTGATGTCGGGCGACGTGTCGGACAGCCCCGGGAGGTCCTCCGCCTTGGTGGGCGTCACCGTGAAGCGCACCGATGCCATGGCAACTCGCTTGGAAAAAGTAGAAGGGTTGTGTGGGATGCAAAGGGGGGAGAGAGAAGGGTGGTGCTGGGGGGAGGGGGTCAAGGACTACCTGGCGGGGGCTGTGCTGACCTGAGCTAGGCTAGGCTATCTCCCAGGTGATACTGAGGTAACGGCGTCCTCTACAATTTGTTCTTTTGCTGCTGCAGTTCTCCATTGAAGCGACGCGGTTGGCTGCCACCAGGCATGTGAAAGAAAGTCTACAACAGTCCGCTGTCTGTGCCTACGGGTGTCAATAATCCTTTCTGATTTTGTTTGAAATTTAGTGGATTTATAAGCGATAAGTACAAATTCCTTTACTGTGAATGTGTGAATGTGTGGTGTACCAGTTTCAAGCAGCTACGAGAGATGATTTCTACGCGATGTCTGGATTCCTATGGATGGGGACTATGGCTCAGGATGGCAGTCACACAGCGTCTTTCTCTCTGACGTTTCTCAATTACACACAACAAAACTTCCTCTGACGTGCAACTTGGGAGATTAAAAAAAAAAGATGTCTCACTACTGGATGGTCACAAACAGGATGAGGGATGCCACGGTGGGAAGAAAAAGTCATCAGGGCAGTAAGGGAGAGGAGGGGAAGAAAAAGAAAGCAGAAATTAGTTTACACAACAACAACAAATGGCCTAAATGTTGGTGAAAATGTATATTGTAGGGTTCCTCCATTTCCACCAAAATCATATGACAGCATGTAGTAATCACTGGCAGGCAGCGTTATTGTAATGTGTTTACTTACAAAGATAATCAGTTGAACAGTTTTACAATGCTTGCTCTGTAGTACCATAAAATACATTCTTACACTATTGTAACCCCAGTTTATGGTTAAAAGGTCCGTCCACCCATCTGCTCTAAAATCAACAAACGCAGGCTTCATCCTGCCTTTTTTTTTTTTACATTTATATAAAGCTACTCCTTATTATTTATTCTTTTTGTTCTTAATCCAAATATTAATCGTTTCCTTTATGTACTTAATGGGACATTAATAGATCTCTTTATAGTGAATTAACCGAGCTTAACTAACTTTACAAACACTTTGTCAGGGGTGTTACACTTCAACAAAATGACACATCTCTGAATGAAGGAGGTGTAAAACAATAACCAGTGTGAACCGCGCCGTCGGACCCCTTGTGTGCCTCTCAGGTGCAAAGTCAACTACGCAATTCACTCCTCGGTTGGGGGGGGGGGGATGTGACATGACAGGTGGATGTACTGTGGCTGAATTGTTGTTTTAGCTCGGTTCATAATTTAATAATTAAAAGGAGAGCGGTTCCAACCGGTTGTGCCAGTAGCTGCTGGCTGTTTTTCTCTCACTCTGCATGCAGAGACACGGCAACATTTCCCTGTTTTATAACGCTGCCCTTGCCTCACACGCCCGTGTCTGTTCAACATTCAGAGACGGACAGCGTGGAGAGAGAGAGAGAGAGAGAGAGAGAGAGAGAGAGAGAGAGAGAGAGACAGGTTACTTGTCTTTCACGTTCAACTATAAAAAGCATCTCCTTTGGAAAAAGGGGGCTGGAAGGGAGGTAATTTTCCCCCAAAACTTACAGGCCACGTTTGGCCCGACTCAGCAGGGGAGCTGAGGACCTTTCCCAGCGTGCATTGTGTAAAAAGGAAGCTTGGGAAACACCCCGGAGATGTTATTAGTCTAGACAAACACATTCACACCTACAGGCAATTAGTGATCCCTAATTATACAACTCTACGTCTTTGGACTGAGCAATTCAGGATTAATAAGCCATACATACCATCTCCCATACAGCTCAGCTCTATGAACAAATACTGTGATATATGTAGATTATATGTTATCAATACACTGGCACAGATATTACAACATGATCTCTTATGATACAGAGGCAAGGGTGATTGACTTTGGCTTTTTTTTTTTTTTATACTGCAGCCTTTTGCTCACTTATTCTTTGCTACCAATGTGCTATTACAGCAGATTTGGTTACTATAAAAACCTTGAGTTTCCACTTTCAGTCTGCGCAGTAATAGAGCACAACAAGGTGCAGAACATTTTGTTCTCCTTTCTCACAATTCTGCTCTGATTTCTTTCCTTTTTAAGCTTTTATTTCTGCCTCTTAGAGGGTAGTTTTATCTACCCGGTTACACAAAAAATCATGCTGTATGACTTAATAGTTGTCTTCTGATTAATTGCAGAGCAGTGAATCAGCATAGTTTGATGTGTTACTCGGATCCTCAGCCCTAAAATAGCCACCAAAACATGAATAAACACCTCTAGTTGATGCAAAAATCAATAATCATATCCAACTGCGATCACCTGGGACTTTTTGTCATGCAAAAATATCTACAAGTTCATATAAAAGGATCCACCAGCACCAGCCTCTAACACCGCACTGAGGCACAAAAACTCATAATAAAAAAAAAACACAATTATTAAAATATCTGTGCAGTTATTATGAGTCAAAACAAAGGGAGGTGGTGTCGTCCTGCTCTCTTACCTAGCTGCCAGTCTCTGTCACGTTAACGCGGTGATAATCAATACAGTCCGGGGGGGCGGTAAAGCACACACATACATAAATATAACATATATATCAATTAGGATAAACATCGTCTAATTAGTCCCAAGCAGCAACTTAAGCAGAGCCCCATATGATGGTGAGCCTCGCCTGCTAGCCGCCTCTCTAGTTGCCATCCTAAGCCAATTAAGCTAGCTGTAATAATTCTGGCTTGAACCGGTCCGTGAACGCATCTCGATGTGAACAGACACAGACAGTGCTGAGTGTTAAAATATATAAAACAATATAAAACAATATAAAACAATACACACTGTTTCGATTCAAACATTCAGGATTTTTTTTTTTTAAATCTTATTTAACACCAAAAAAAAATAAATAAAAACAAGGAGGGAGGAGGAGGAGGAGGATGCGGCATCTGTGTGAAGCTGCGGGTTTCAGGGTTCAACAAACCGGCTACAGAAAGACCGTAAAGGCGGTTGATCTGGGGGTAAACCGGTGAGAGTAAATTACATGTTATTGCTTAAAAAAAAACAAATAAAAGTTGAGGTTTTTTTGTGTGTGTGTGTGTGTGTGGGGGGGGGGGTGGTGTTTAAAAAAGACCCCGGGTAGCTGCGGGTTCACCGGGGAGGGTTTGTAGCGGCGGAGGGGTCCGGCTAGCCGAAGCTAACGTTAGCCGGAGGCTAGCCGGAGCCGTTGATTAAACTCCCGCGAACTACCGCACTGACACCCGCATAACGTCCACCGGTGAAACCCCCCCAACCCCCCCCCCCTCAACCACCCGGACGTTAGTCACCGTAAAGCCGCGTACCTGGCTCGAGTTCCCCCCCGCTCAGAGAGACGGCGTCCACCGTATGGCTGTGTTCAGTTGCAGCCGGAGGATTTGGCTCCTCTCCCGGTTGTCTCGGCACTTTTTGTGTGTGTGTGTGTCCGACCGACCCGACAGAAAACACGCGAGTGCGCCGGGTTCGTCCCACTTCCCTTGCCGTCGTTCTAACGTTTTGCGCATGCGTGATGAGGAATGAGTTGTTAACGCTGACTGGGAAGTGTAGTTCTTAGACCTGATTATTAATAGATCATATATTGTGTTATAATGTAAATGCTTCATATTTTTTTTATATATATTGTTGTTGGATATTGTAATATATAACCTATTTTAACATTATTATCATTAAAAATTATGTTATTATTATTTCTTTAATGTCTCGTGTGCACCTGGAGCAACTGTTAAAAAAAAAAAAACTTATTTCAAGAGATCAATAAAGTATAAAACAAAAGTAAAGTATTTCTGATACACATTAAAAGTCGTTGTTACAACGTAATATACAAATTAGACTATAAATATAAATGTAAAGGTGGATTAATGGTACAAAATAGTGAGTGTCATCAAACCTTTACTCAGGTATCCTACTAATTGAATAAAATTTTGAAGTTGTAAGTAAGTCGTACAGTTCTACTCCGTTACATTTCAGAGGGAAAGTATTGTACTTTTTACTCCACTACGTTTATCTAACAGCAGTAGCATTTTTACTTTTGATATAAGTACATTAAGTATATTTTAATCTTCAGTTTGACTTTGGATGTGAGGTGTAATGGTTGTTTAGTTCAGGAGTACAAGAATTCACTTTATGGAAAACAGCTTATAAATGTGTTTTGTAGTAAAAAAAATAAAAAATAAAATAAGTCATGAAAAGCTGTTCTTTCCTGCAGGATCTGCAAATAGTAAGAACTTCCTCAAATCTTGTGAGGCTCATTTCATTTTGTTATCCGATTCTTGAGAAGTCAACATTCATCAGAAAATACTCAGGATTCACCATTTTCATAATATAAATCTCATTTTAACAATGATTATCACAAACAACTCCTATTGCAGTCTATAAACAATGATTTTACTTCTGTTTCCTGTCATTTATAGACTTCATAAGGACACTGAAACATTTATAACACAATTCTTTCAAAATATATTCTCTCCTTTGACCCGTTGATTGCATGGAAACATCTGTATTTGTTACGTTTCTCCACTCACTTATTCAGGTTTTATTCTTTAATTTCTCACCCATCTGGATCGTATGCACACAGAGACAGTTGAACCATCCACCAAACATTTATTCAGCATGAAAACAAAATGATAACGTTAACCTTAAATGAATGTGAACAAATTACGGTACATAAAAAATAAAATCCAACGCATGTGGGCCAGGAGCTTTGGGGTGAAACTGAGGAGAAGTCCTGGCTGCACTTCCATATGTTTTACTGTGTTTTTTGCTTCTTGATCTACAGTCCCATCTTTGCCTTCATCCCTCCATTTCTCTGTCTCATCTCCATCCATCCATCCATCCATCCATCAATCCCTCGCCGCTCTCTCACAGAACAGGTCTGGGCTGCTGGGTGAGCAGAAGGCCGAAGCGTTTCTTCACCGTCACTCGGTGCCGGGAGAACTTGTCGTCTGGGGAGAAGCGGGCCGGGTGGGCCGAGCTGGTGGGCTGCCCATCAGGACGAACCTTCTGTTGGTGACACGGAAAGAAAGAGAAAGCAGAACAGCTCAGTTGGTTTCAGTGCTGGGGGAGTTAATTTAACAAAATGATGTATTATAATAATAATAATAATAATAATAATACTATGTGTATATTACTGGGCTGTAACTCTTCAAACATTTTATTTTGGTCCAGACCAACAGTCCAAAAACCCAAAGATAAATTAAATAATTAAGAAAATGTATATGAAACAAAGAAGAAAACAGAATTTTTGTCAAATAAGTGACTTAAATGATTAATCAGTTATATTAAAACATATTGTCACTGACTAATTTATGCTAATTGGCCAATGATTTCAGCTCTCTACAGGTCGTAACTTCCATTTAAGTTTAAGTTTTAAAGCAAAACTGTCTTTAGCAGACGAGGACAACTTTATAAAGTTTAAGCGATATGTATGCATGTCCTATGTTGTTGTTTTTCTGTGTCTCATTTGTATGCAGGACATTTCTTTGGCTGGGATGCTCCATTGCGTTAAATATATATATGACAAAGACCAAATATAAACAAAAAGATGTATAATAAAGATATACAAAAAGCTTTATATTCAGTGCTAGTTAGTAGACGATGAGCTCAACAGCCACACACATTAAATATAAGGAACATGTGGCAGCCTCAGTGTTTAATTAAATAAATAAACGTGTAGTTTTTATTGATATAAGTAAGTCAAAGTGATTTGCCTCTGCTCTAAAACCCTATAAGAAACCCTGTCATGATCATTTAAAGCAGAATCAAATCAAACCCCAAAGACACAATAAAGTAGATAATATTTCTAATAAAACCTTTCATGTGTTGCATGTTTTTTGTGATGTAAGCTTGGATACTTATGGATAACTTGTGATGGATAATCAACTGTTTAGGATGTGCAAACAACATTTTAAACATTATTAAAACAAAAGTTATCCGACTGTGGTTATTTAATCTGCAAGAGATTAAATGCAGGGAGCATGTCATTGGTGATGGGCTTTAAATAGCTGACAACCTATTTAGTTACATCTGTGTTTTATTTAAACAAACTTAGTTTCCTTCCCGCATTAAAGTGTAATATGAGAGTTAAAATATATAAGTTAAATCTCTTTGTTTCGGGCCCCTAGCAGCAAGCTTCTAAACAAAGTGCATCAACGTCGATTTAAAGCCTAAAGAGTATGTTTCATTTCTTAAAATAAGCCACAGCATACATAGACGTAAATACAACAACTTTAATAAGACAGTAAACAACATTTACACTGAATAATGTTAGATATAAGGAATGTAAACACAACGCTAACGCTACCTTCAGGGTGTAGACTCGGTCCCCGTCGTCATTGAGGTAAAACTGTAGAAACATCTCGACGAAAACTTTGTTTTAAAGCTCCAAAGACTACAAAATAACTCCAAGATGGGTTTTATTCAATCGAAAAACCCTTAAAAGTTGCGGGTAACACGCTGCGTGGCATCCAATCTCCACGTGTGGCGAAGTATCCGGTCGCTCGGGTGTCAGAGCGGATATCCGGTTTGGAATTCAGGGCGCTCAGCATTCTGGGAAATGAAGTTTTCTGACAACGCGTGGCTCAAAGTCCCCAAGAAATAGGCTATCTGGGATAAGTGCTTTTATTATCTGTACTATCAATATAAATATAAATTTAAAAAATGTAAAAACCACGAAATGAATGCTGGTAGTTTTAATTTCATCCTGCTTAAGAAAACAACAACATATTTATTAAATAAAATATTGACTACGTGGCTTGTTGACAACTTCCATTATTCCTTTAAACTGAGCATTTTGTGCTGCTTCATAAAAAAAACATATTCCAACACGTTTGTTCTACGTTGTTTAATTAAATTTGTGTCTACGATTAAGATATAAAATAGTTATAGTACTTTTACACACATATGTTGTATGACATTGTGGGTCGGTGCACAAACTTATACAGTTACTATACAATATAGTAGCTACTAAATTAATAAATAAAAACATATGAAACAGTAGAGAGACTTTATGAAGTTCAGAATGTTTTTATGTGCAGAACTTACAGTCGGAAGAAAACTGTTTATTTTCAAAACATCAAAACTTTAGATGCAAACTGATTGTAATGGTCGAAGACTAATCACCTCCTACAAGAAAGGTACGTTAAGCCTTATGAGAGCTATGTGATAAAACCTGTACAGTGTGTTTTATTTGCCTCTTCCATTGTCTGCACTGATGGTTACAACCGTAGCTTTGATTTAACTTAACTATAACATGTTGAAATACGTGTTAATAAATGAAGTTGCATGACTGAATAAGGACCGAAGGTGTATCCAATTAGGAGTGTATAATTTCACACGCATGGGAGGGTGCTGTAATACTGAAATACATGTTGCAAATAGAGTGTCAGCCACAGTGTGAGTAACTTACTTGTTGGGGAGAGACAACTGCATGAGTCTTATAAAGCAGACGCAGTGTGAATGCTGGTGGTTCATTCAATCATTTATTTTAAAAATGTGTAAATTGGAAATATATGCTGGCAAATCCTGTATAAATGAGACTGATTATTCCAGGATCTAACAATAAAAATCAACATTTTCATGTCACCTGTTTAATGTACGATGTTATAAAGTCTGAGCAGATAAATTGAATTTGAGTAAAAAATGATGAATGATATTAATAATAAATGAGGCTATAATACCTGCAATTATATATTTTCTATATTGAAATGCAAGCTCTCATCCGTGGATATATGTGTTTGCATTTTAAACTTGAGGAGGTAAAAGGTGCAGTTGGCTATGGGTTTATACAGCAGACCTTTCTGGTTGTATTACTGTTTAATGTCTTGTGTAGTTTTATGATTCCATTATTTGGAGTCCATTAAAGTATATTCTACACTCTTTTAGTCATTATTAATTTAACCGATACAGTCAATAAATACGGTATCATCTCCTCCAGTTAATTAAAAGTTATGGCAGGCTGATAAAAGAAAACCCTGGAGCGTACTGTACTAGAAGCCCTCTACCGAGGGGGTGGTGAGATAATCGCAGTGGGTCGTCAAATGGTTGTGGAGAATAAAATTAAATAACAGATTGTGGCATGCAGCCTGGAATGAGAGCCAAAAAGCAGCTCTCAACACTTTAATGACAACACAGGGGACAATAACTCAAAAACCCCACATGCTTTATACTCTAGCAGGTCCAGTTACGTCTGTCTACCTCTATCTATTATCTATTAACCGCAACATCTGATTATTCTAGCAGGTTGTTTCCTCTAAAAGGTTGAGAATCATCGATCTAAGTACCTGTATTGGAGAGAACAGACAAACCCATCTATCTTTGCTGTTTGATTTGGTCAAATTGCGATTGATCGTCATTGTATTCTCACTTTCCTCTGACAGAGACAAGCAGCAGACGTACAGAGATATAAAAAAAAAATGGATCCAGTGCTGATTTCTCTGCCTGAGATCATCCTGAATGAAGAGCCAGATTACAATCACTCCCCACATTATCACCAACCCCTTCGATCTCTTCCACGAGAACAACTAGACACCGTAGAACTGTCAGAACTCTCCCTTCGGATGAGCCACGAAACCATCGGCCCAGTCGAACAGTTTTGTCCATCAGGACCTCGTCTTGCGATGGATGAATCGCCGTCACAGAGAACTTCCAAAGTTGTAGAAATGCTCCAGACGATGTGTAATTCTCTTCAAAAAACAGACACACTGTGTGACCCGAACCTCATCGAACCCAAAGCTCAGGACGGTCCCTTTCCACTCAACCTCCAGACTCTATCGCCGTTTGCCAGGCACCAGCCCGTACTTTTACCAGAGATCATATGTACCCCCTGCTCTCCTCAAGACTCCTGCTTGCTGAACATGAGCCCCGTCGCCTCCACGTCGAAATCCCCGTTTGGGTTCAGCTCCTACGTGTTGGTGCCTGTCAGCAGCCCAGAGTTCTGGTGCGACGCCCATGTACCTCCTCAGCCTTTGGTGGCCCTGCCCGAGGTTCGTCCCAGCTGGTGCTTCTGTCCAGAGACAGGGCTCGTCCATCAGCACTGCTGCCATGACCTGTAAGAGATATACAGCAGATAACCTATTAGATTCATAAACCCTGGAGGTTTTAATGATTGAATCCTGACTTTCGTACTGTATCTGACTTCAGGGTCTTCGGAAGAGCTCAGCAGGTCAGCGGGCTGTCTGCAGCGTCAGGGAAAGAGCAGAATGAAGAGCAGGCCAAGTCCAAAGGTCAGAGGTCAAGGGTTTATATGAAAAAGCAAGGAGGTGACATGAAAGTCCATTTTTGGTCATACTAGCTAGGGATTGATCGATCCGCCACTTTGATCCAGACTATTTGGGGCATTCACGCCCTTCTTAGGATGAATTGGACTTTAGGGTCAAGTGTACTCAGATCCGGGCTTGGGTCCCTAATGTGAAAGCCTTCATAGTCTTGTTTAGACTTACTTTTCACCCTTTTTCACCCTTTGAATTAATGAAAATGGTTAAAGAGTTAAACTGACTTTTATTCTCTGCCATTACACTTTTCTTTTCTTCATAGAAGAACTGCAGCAAAATAATACACCTGCGACAAAGTTCAAGGGTTCTCCACCTTCTTTGGACAAAGAATCAGTGGCAGACTGCGCCTTTGATGAATACATGGCGATCATGGATTTCATCTCTCCCAAGGTCCCTTACTAAATGTTAAAATATAAAACGCAACGCAACACAACTCTACAATGTGCAAAGTTACATTTGTATATAATACAATAATACACAATCAATGCCTAAATCTTCTGGCTGCTCTCAGATCCCAGAGGAGGAGACAACCAGAGAGAATGAAAGTGAGGAAGACGAGGATGACTGGAGACTGGAGATAGAAAACGGCTCATTTCTGGACTATCTGGATGAATTGTGCAGTGATGAAGAATTTGTCGGAAAGGTGGGTTATCAGTGGGATTCATATAATACGTAAAAATAATAATAATCTTTATTTATCTAGCACTTTTTTAAAATCCACAAAGTGTCACAGTCCTAAAATCATCAGGTTTTAAAAGAAAGTTTCAACCAGCTAAAACAAGAAAACAGATAAAAAGCAGCAACTTTTAAATTAAAATATAACCCCATCAGTATTTATTGTTCTAAGATAGCATTTCATTAACAAATTTTCATTAAATCAGAGGACAACAAAGTGGTTTTCAGGGCAAAAAATGGCAAAGCCGTTATGTCATGGTTGCCTTTTTAATCATGATAATATGATCTCATTGTTTCTAACACAGGTTAAAAATAAACATTTGGCTCCCTGTTCCACTATATTTCATTCTGGATGACAATGAATGATAAGTTTGAGGAACCAGCAGTTACTACTGTACACTAAAAAGAGGTTTTATTGTCTTTGTGTTTTAAATTGTGCTCATCTCTCAGGTGGATTCGACACTGAATACACACTACTTGGATGCCTTCCTTTCTGCAGACCTAGATCCCAATGACCTTACTGCACTAGAAAAAGAGGTAACATGATAACATAAGTGCCATAAATGTTGTGTTGCCAAGCCAATTTCATGTTATAATGGCATGTTATAAGCCAGCTTGAAGCCTAAAATTTGAACACAAAGACTGTGTTACAAGCTGGGGGGACTGTGGAGTCTGAAAGATGTGGGTGGTTATCAGGCAGGGAGGATCTTAAAGGCACTACCAAGCTGCCCTATGGGAAATGTAGGGGGATCATACTACTGACCACTGTTGCACTCCTTTAATATCTTTCTTTCAGGTGCAGTACCTGGATTCCCTCCTTCGTCTGGATCAAGAGGCCGTTGACCATCTTCCATATAGGGAACTTCAGCAAGAGGTAAAATTATTAAAAATCTTTCATTATTTATATTTTGTGGCTGTGATTTGTTGCTTTATTGTGATGGATTAGGATTAGGGGAGCTGTTAGGATAAAAATATAGTATAATATATACTAAAATCTGAATATTAAAAGGAAAAGTTGTAATACTTTGAGAAGAAAACTGTAGTGTTACGGAAAAAAGTTTGGTTGGGGAACAAAATGTCGTATTGTTGGATTACCTGTGAAGTTAAACTTTTTTACTTGCAAAAGACTGTTTAGAATAAAGTATCCTTATCCCTCGTATTGGACTGCATTAGTTTCAGCCAGGTGTACCTAATAAACTGGCAACTGAGTGCATACACAAAGGCAAGGATAATGCTATAGCCTTTTAATTAAGTCATCTTTTGTTTTCATCTTTTTGTTTTTTCTCATGGTCAGCAGCCTTTGGAGGTACTTCTGCAGCAGCATTTACATTCCCCTGCTGGCTCCAATGGCATTCCTGTAACGGACGTCACAAATTCACGACTCCAAGGAGCTCAGTCGCCTATTCTGGATCCTCCATGCACGTCTGAGACAAACCCAAACCATGATGGACAAAATGCACCTCTGAGCACGAGGAATATAGGATCAAATGAAGGTTGGACTTGCTGCTCCCCGATCCTTTATTTAGTCCCTCTAGAAGAACCACTACCCACCGACGCCACAGCAAAATATTATAAGACTGTTGATGCCATGGATCCTTTTTATTATGATGGCTCCATTTTCAAGGACTACAATTTTAATTCAGCTTCGCAGCTGTTTGCCAATATCTTCCCAGACACCAGTCATATTTCTGATTCGGAGGCAAGAGACAATGATGCATTGGCAGAGGAACCTGCAGCCATAGTTTCCACAGCAGATGTGTCTGAAGATGCCACGATGTCCCTCTCAAACAATGCAGACACACAGTCAGCTGAGACGTCCCTAAAGTTTCAGGAAGGACCTCAACCTGGGGATCATCCTGTCTCTGACTCCCCCTCAACCTCCAGTGATTCAGGGTCCAGAAAGGACCCTCACGCCATTGTCGTGAAAGATCCCGAACCCAGTTTGAAAGCTGATTTGTTGACTGTCAGCCCACCACAGTCGGCCAGTCCTCCAGCTCCGAGTGTCCTGGCTTCACCACCAGCTCAGATGAGGGAGCTTGAAGAACAATGTAGCCCTAGAAAGCCCTCTTGCCTTGAGGATTATACAGTTCCTGTTCCAGCTAATTCATCTTTTGTGGCAGATTCCCTTGCAGAGTCTTGTGATCCACCAGTTGATGGCAGTTTATCAGATTCAGTGCCTGAGCAACAAACAACGGAGCCACCAAAAGAACTGCAAGTTTCTCAGGAGTTTGCATCCTCTGGCATTTCCTCTGGAGAGTGGGGCGAGAGAAAATGTGAGAACAATCAGGGAAAAGGTGGAACAACAGTGACACAAAAGGTACTCGCTATAAAAGCAAGAAAAGAAGGAAGGACAAACAAAGTCCAAATCAGACGCAGTCAGAGGCTGTCATGTCAAATTGAAAAAGAGAAAACAAGACTGACTGGGGAATTCAAAACAGCGAGAGCCAAGACGAGGAAACCAGGTGAAAAGGGGGTTAAGGAAACAGCTAAATCCACCCCAGAGAGGAACGTGGTAACGCATGAAAAACAGGAGAGACAGTCCTCCAACGGGAGGCAATTATCTAAAAGAGGGGAGAGTAATTTTGAAGAGTGCAGCCAAGCAACAAAAACAGACAATGCAACGGAGCAATTTTCGAACACTGGAGAGATGGAACAACATCAAAAGCTCACAGGAGGGACGGAGAAACTCAAGGTGGAGGGAGAGGAAGAGTGCAAGGCCAGTGACCCCAATGTGAGCACTGAAATTGGTGCAGAAAATGCTCTTTTAACCAACATGGCACAAGAGGAGAAAAGGTTGGAAGAGGCCAGGGTAAAAAGGAAAGAGGAGGGGATTCAAACGTCCAGTTTTGTAAGCAGAAGAACCAGGAGCATGACAGCTGAGGAACAAGTGCAGCTGACTACTCTTCCTGCCACTAGAGCTAGAGGGAAAATCCAACACTCAGAGATGGAGAGGAGAAAGATAAAGTCCTCACTTAAGAAAGAAACGCAGGACAAGGTTTCTGGAGACTGCAGGACTGACTCTCTATCCAAATCTTCTCCACAGAGCTCAGGAGTTCAGACAGATACTCCTTCAACAAGAGACTCAATAAATGAGTCGCCAGGGGAACAACCTCTGAATGACAGAAATGAGACACCTTCTGCAAAAAGTAGTGAGAACAATCCACATTTAATCTTCGCTCTGTGTCCCGAGACCCAGCAACAAATCCAAAAAGTAACATTAAGTGAAGGTGGAGCAACAGGAAGCGAACCTCGGAACTTTTACTGCTTAAGGTCACAAACTCATAAGCCAAATGTGTCAGAAGGCCCAGTGAATAGGACAAGGGCAGCCGAGGCAAAACCTCACCCGTCCATCCTCAAACCAGGTCCAGATCAGACAGCAGATGAGAAAGGTGAAGATAAAAGAATAAATGGAGAACAGGAAGAAAGCCCGAGCCTCACATCGAGCCCGGTGAAAAGACACCTGCATGAACGTGGGGCTTCTGAAGAGAGGGAGACAGGGGTAAATGAAACAGAAGTGATCAGCTCAAGTCCGATAAAAAGAGGAAGGTGGAAGAGGAGAGCAGAAGTAGATGAAGGGAGAGACTCTGCGAATGAGAAAGATGGGGCGCAGGACGAGCTGGAAACATCTGGCTGTAAACCAAGTCCACCCTTAACGAGAAGTAACAGAAAGGCTAAAGACGACAAGGTCTCAAATTTATCAAAACTATCTGGACAAGAAACGTTTGGAGGCGGCGAAAGCAGTGCGATGGAAAGTCGTAAAGGAACCCACATCCCATGTTTTCCTTGTAAGAGACAAACACGTTGTTCCAAACAGTTACCCTCAAAGTATAAAGACTTTATCTTGTGCAGCACAAACAGACACAAAGGACAGCTGAGAAGAGGAAGGAAGATGAATAACTAATGTGCATTTGAGGCAAAAAAAACAAAACCTCCTTAAAAGAATTCACAGTTTAATTGTTAAATAGAAACAATATTCACAGAAAAATGGAATAAGAATTCATTTACATAAAATAAATTTTCATTTACAGTGTAAAGTTTCTTTTTGCACATACCGTTACATTCACCAATAAACATAGAAGAAATTCAATAAATAAGACATTTCATGGCTTCGAATGACAAGTAAATGAGTCCTTTAACGGCATCTTGAACAACACGGGAACAAGATTTCTTGAGGGTAATTTTAAAAAATTAAATGGTAAACATGAACTGCAAGTCCTCAAACTGGACCTAATCTTACACTTACACACACCTCCAAGAATTACTGTAGTCATTATTAAGGGTGTTCTTTGGTTTTATAATGTTACAGCAATACCGATTTACCACACACACACACACACACACACACACACACACACACACACACACACACACACACACACCTTAAAAAATACAATTCTTAGTCGATGGTTATTCTAGTTTGATTTGTCCCGTTAGGATGCAACAAGTATGTAACAAACTCGACAGGTCATCCTGTAAAAAAAAAAAAAAAAAATACAAGAAATCTTCGTTCTCATTCAACTTTTTTCTTGTAGTGGAAGGACCCGTTGCTGTTTTGCATGTTTCCGTTGTTGTTCACAGCCTTCCCACTGGCCAGCAGAGAGCCCGCCTCCTTGGGCTGCATGTACTCGTTCGCCACTCTCTGATAGGTCGGGTGGGTCGTCAGCACTCGCAGCAGACGTTCTGTGGAAGAAAAAAGAGGCAGCTACAATGAGGACTTTAATGCGTTTTGACACCGATTTATCACCTGATGGAACAAATGTTCAGTGAAGTGTCAATAGTTGCTTCATCGAGTAAAATCTCCTCAAGTCGGACTTTAATCTTATTAACATACGTCTAAACTTTTCACACTACTGTATGAGCTCAAACTCAGTTGACTACTTCTCACAGCAGGGAGAATATCAGCACTGCGACATCAAAATAAACAGTTCTGTTTCTTTTAAGTGAGAAGTACTTTCACTTTTAAACTCCGTGTGTGAGCTGTTCTGTCTACCTTAGTGCATTTGTTAAGGTACAGAGACACAAATATATTGTTTTTACTATTATAAAAGTAAACCTAAACCTTAAAAGGAAAGGCTGTTTAACTGGTATAGCTCATTTCATTACAGATAATCTCAATGTGAAGACACAGAATTCAAATGGAGGCTGGTGCATCACTCGTCCAGCACAACTGGTGGAATGGTATGTAATAATATTTGTGCTGAAATACCAAAAAATAACTTAACGAGAAGCCCTTGGCCTGCTTGTTTTCCCACTAGTGTTAAACAGTTGGTAATGCTGCCAAACTCAATACTTAAGAGACACTGACCTTCAGTAAGCTGGCCTTGACTGGAGGCCTGAGTGTAAAGCTCAGCTGTGTGGTGCTGAGGGAAACCCAGCAGCGCCCCCATGAGGTCTGACAGCTCCTCTGCACTCAGACTGCCTTTGCCCTCTTTGTCAAATAGCTAGAAAACAAAGACAAGTGCATTTAGAAAGGAAAATGTGAATGAAAAGTGGGTAAAATAGGTCTGGTAAACGATGTGACACATGTGTCCTTTGTGTTTTGAACATATTTGCTGTAAAAGGTGTCTTGAGTCAAGAAAATAAGCCAACAGGACTCACTGTAAAAGCAGTGTGGAGCAGTGACTTGAAGCTGGCAAATCCTGACAAAGCAGCAACACTCAAATAGACCTGTCTGAGGTCCACAATTTCATCCTGAAGGGGAAAAAAACACAAGTAATATTACAGTTTTGGACACAGTTTTAATTAATATATAGTTTTTTCCTAATTTGTTTCTTGAAAACAGTGAAAGTAAGTAGTAAAAACTGAAATTGGTATTATACTATTGCCACAGAGTGAGTATGCAGCACGCACTCACATAGCTGTTGTATTTAACCATAAAACTCTGAAGCACATTTCATTTTTTGCTACAGTTGTTGGTTATCTACAAAAACGCAGATGTAAACACGAGTGAAAACTCTAGCAGACAAACACAAACACCAACCTTGGAGTAAAGGCCACAGATCCTGGCAGCTGTCTGTTTATCCGTCAGCCCGAGAAGAGAGGCGAGCTCCTCCGCGCTGGCCTGGACGGTCCCCTGAGCTCCTGACTGACACCTGTCAATCATTCTGTCCAGTGCTGCTTCCACTTCATGCACGCCGAGACTGAAAGAGAGAGAGGTGCAAGATGGTGAGAAAAAAGACGAATGGGAACAAAAAAATTAAATAAAAAAAGAGGCCAGGAGTCGAACGTGAACACAGATCTTCTCTTACCCGTCTTTGTGCAACAGTGAGAGTGTTTCCCTGGCAGGTGAGTCCAGTGGGAGAGAGAGACCACCCAGTTTATTGACAGGAACTCGGCCCTCCATCACATAATCTGTAGCTGGGATTCCCAGGGCCCTGAAGCGCAGCAGAAAAGTGCATTACAATACAATATGTAGCATCTACTGTGGCTTTTAACCCTGTACTTCATTCCTCAGCCGTAGAGTAAGACACATCTAAAAATGCAGGTCACTGTCGTTTGTTTTTGAGGAAATAAATCCGATGTGAAAAGTTAATTTAGTTGATAAACAACTGCTTAAAAAACACTGAAGAACTAATACTGAATGCACATAAAACCATACAGAGAATAACAAAGAAAAGCATGTTGGGGACTTTTATTCCTCCTTATTGCCAAAGTAAATAAAAAAAAACAATGGTGCCATTCATAAAATAAACATGGCTCTTTATTAACGTCTAGTGGCAGCTGTGGGAAACAACAACAACATCTGCAAACAGTCCTCAGCCACTGCCAAGGTTTGTTTGTTTTTCTTCCAGATTGAGAGATTACAGCAGGTGGAGACAGAGACCAAAATTTGAATGTGTTCTTATGTGAAGCACTTAGTAACTTGATCTTGATAAGTGCTATGGAAATAAAAAGATATTATTAATATATTACAAATTTGAATATTATATTGTGACATTTTTGAAAGACTATTCATACAGTCTTGTAAACTGTCTGCCAGCCTCCTTGTTTTGCTCCGTTTGTGGTCTATTTTTATTGCTTTGTACGTCTTTTCAATACATCTCGTCACTGTAAAACATCCATTAACATAGCAGATGACCGCTGACTATAAAGCACAGCGGACACAGCGACATACAAATTGACATAAATCATAAACCAACTGCGTATTCTGCTACTTACTTGGCCATGAGTTTCTGAACGTTGTCTGCGTACAGGTTGGGGTCATTCTTCTCCTCCTGGGAGGGTTTGTAAACGGGCAGGAACTGCAGAACAAACAATGAAAAAAAGAGATATTTTTAGTCTCATAGTCGGTAAAAAGGTTTTGACCAACAAAACACACACACACACTGGATTTTAATATTCACACTTTGACCTGTTAACAGACCCAACAGTGATGTCAGAGTGTACCGAACACACCTAAAGTACACTTCTACATCACTGCGGGTCAAAAACATTGTCAAGTTTCTTTTTAAAAACAGATTTCTATCATTATTATATCATTATTTATCATTATTTATTATTATGTGTTTATTTGTGAGGTGAATGATCTGGTAAACGGTCTTACCTCAACAGTCAGGTTGGTGTAGAACTGTGAAGTTGTGTGCCACAGTGCCTCAACCCTAAATGGACAAACCAATATTATATTAAATATATATATAGAAAATAGCACCTGAAACACAAAGATACAGTGTCTGGGACAGTTACAGGACAGTAGAGAAAGAGCTTCCACACAATATGAGGAGGGTCTCTACCTCTCCTCTTGTGCTGTGCTCAGACACAGATCAGGGTGTTCCTATGTCTTGAAAATATGTAGTTAATTTGACTTCTCTCACTGTTTTGACTCTGGATGACAGGAGAAGATGTTTAGCTTATATTTAAAATATATATTAAATTGTTTGAATTTGCTTATCTTTGTAGCTTTCGTTGTTTCACCACAACAACATGGGCTAAAATTGGTATTTTAAAACACATTCGCATCGGGACAGAATTTCATAATCTTTTGTTGAGGTCTTTCACCCGGCACTACCTATAGGACGCTTAACTTTTCCAATAGGCCCAAGTTAAACACTCAGTTACCAGTTTTATTAGGTTGACCAAGCTAAAACTAATACACAGTCCTGTAATAAATCCTACCTGCTGGAAGGTTATTATGTTCAGTTGTTGTTTACACAGTGTTAGAGAGGCGTTGAAGCGGCGCATATAATCATTCTGGAGGCTGAAGTTTGTGTTGCTGGTGAGCTATATTGCATTATACCGGGAGGCGTTTGTGTTATTTACCCTCTAACAGCTGTGAATAGGTTGAATCACATTAGGTTGAGTGCATTTCTTATAAAACATTTGTAATAGAGCAGACAACAATTAAAGGAGTTTTAGTTTCTGGAAGTCGATCAAATAATTGTCCATGCTGACTCATCTTCCTGCCTGTGTAGAAATCCAGTGTATTTACCACAGCTCCAGTGTAATGACAAACCTCCTACACCGTCACATTAACCAGTGACAGTTAGATTATAGATGCCAGATGGAAGAACTCACCAGGTTGTTCCTTTGTATGTCCATCGAACAGTATCCTGAGGAAAGAGTCATAAAAAAATACTTTAATCAAACAATGGATACAACACAACCAGGTGGGAAAAATAATAACTGGGTGGAGTCTTTTTTTTTTTATAGCACATCTCTGGTCACTTTCTCCTGGTAGATGTTCCTCTTTTTACACACTGCCAGGAAGCAGTATGCAAACGTCCTGGCCTGGACAAATATTACAGTGTGTTCATAAACATAACTACAGCCTGATAAAATGTGGTACAAAAGGTAGTGTACACACTGATCTGTGGGTGACTAGACGGATACACACGAGCCAGAGTGTGTCAAAACAGAACAAAGCGTCTTCTGTATGTGCCTTTGATTGAATGCTGGTTGCTCAACTTTTTACAGTTTGAGTGTAATGACGTAGTTTCCAATCTGTTGTTGTTTCAGTTATGAAATAACCGTGCTGAGTTTCTCTAAAAGCCAGGTAATCTTTGCTTTAACACACATAAATTTAACTTATAGTCTTGTTTTTATATCATCTAGTTACTATACTAAAGGCTTTTTATTTTTGTACCTTAACAAAAGCAGTGCGCCTCAACTTCATTCACTCTCTTAATAACCAAGTCCCCTTAATTATTAGTATAACACAATAGTTATTTACCCATTTATTGTTGCTTTAATTATTTAAATTGATTTTAAAATTCCCTGAAATCAGAAATTAGAACTGGAGATGTGTCACATATGTGAGTCTGTAGTTGTTTCATGGATTTTTTTAATACATTAAAATCAAAAATGTGTCCCCATTTATTCTGAATTTCATACGGCCTTTTCAGCAGAAGTTTAATCTTTATTTCCTTTCTCAAAATGTGTAGAAGAAGAAGCCATGTCAACCATTTCTAGAACAAAGGTTTGGCCATGTATCTTCCAATTAATGATTCAAGGGTGAGTCAGCAGTTATACACCTTACAAACTCACGTTTCTTATAAAATGCTTGTTTTATTTTATCTGGTTTTCCATTACATATAAAATGTTTGAAGTTTGTGAACATTAACCTCCAGAGATCTTGTGAGAACTAGAAAGGGGAAGGGCACAGGTTTTATCGGTGAACAAACAACTACCAGAAAAGATTGTCACCAACCTTAAATAAATGTTTGTTTATAACCGCCAATCAACTTTAAAGAACAAAAACAGGGATTTTCTTACTCTGAGAGCTTGAAATCACTGCCCCAGTTTCAGTTAGGAGTAGGAAAAGGTAGAGGATCTTACACCTTAACAGGACAAACGGCAGCTGCAAGCATTACATCTCTCATGTTTAAAAAAAACTAGCAGAGCAACACGATTTAACTCACCAGCTCGTTGGGGTAACGCAACAGAACAGGTTGGACCGGGACTCCGGCGAGGAACGCACCTGTTGACAGCAAGGTTGAGGAAAGAAACATGAAATAAAAATACAGGACTGCACCTTGCAAAGAGAGAGAGACTGGAATATGAGAGAGAGAGAGAGAGAGAGACAGAGAGAGAGAGAGAGAGAGTAGTGCTGTACGAGTTAATCATCCAGTTGCAAGACAATCAGCTGCTACGCCCTTTAACTCTCATGCCACTCATTCCTACATGATTTACACAAAAGGTGACAAACTGCTGAGTTACACATCGAGAAAAACCAGATGGGGACTCACCGGGTTTGAATTTGATGAGAGCGCTGCCGTTAGTTGTGGTTCCCTCAGGGAACATCAGCATCTAGCCAAGGATTAAGAAATGCGACCTATGAGTCAAGACATGCTGGAGCTCTGTGTACTTCCAGACGGTGAACTTACAGGCTTTATGACAACATTAATGGCCCGTCGGAGCCAAGAATCAAAGAAAACTACCTCCTACTGACTGTAACCTTAGAACAATCTGGCTTCTTATGCACGGAGGGACTGGTTTCAGTATGACTTTAATGCTCTGCACCTTCTGTTCACCCTTATTTAAAAGTACACAAGGCCTGACCTGAGGTTACTCTTGCAATTTCTAAACTGTAATTAAGGATGCAGTCAGAAAAGTATTCCCTGGAGGCAGGAAAGTTCCCCTCGTCCCATCCTATAGACTTTATCTAATCTTGATCTTGATCTTTTTGTTTGTGGTATGAAGCCACCACAAGCAGAGACTGAACTCGATGGACATCTGCACAGTTGTTGTTGTTTCTGTGACTATCAGCGTTACGCTAATTGTTGCAAAGTGCGATCAGATAGTTTGGTAGTAATTAGCTCTGTAAACAAGACAGGAGCCAAGATGGTAATTTATCTGCCTTTTCACTTAAATAAATCAAAGGTGCAGCAGATATTGTTTTGTCAATAGTCTTAAAGAGGACCTATTATACTCATTTCTAGCTCTATGTTCTTTATATTCTCCACTAGAGAAGCTTTCCATGATTCACTCTTCAAAAAACATCCTTATTTATCTTATACAGGCCCTTTATGCAGCCCCTCAGTTCATCCTCCGTCTGAAGGAAACCACCTCCCTAAAACCCGCTTTCTTCTGATTGGCTAACTTCACTGAAGCCTACAGGAGGGGCTGCACCGAGTGCTTGTAAACACTGCTTCAGCTGGAAAAATGTTTCTGGGTACCAGTCCTCACTGATTACTGTACAAAAGCACACAACTTTTATAACTTTGTTCATCGATTTTGGTGAAACTGGATCGTTTTTTCATGGGATTTCTGATGTCCTCTGATTCAGCTTTCAGTGATTTACAGTGTCCTGATGGAAATCTAGCTTTAACTACTTGTTGTCGTCAGGGATTAGCTACTAAAAAAAGCATTCACAACAAGCTTTTTACTCACAGAGATTATACCTTAACATGCGTTTAACTCATTATTTGAGACCTTTGGTCATAAAAACTGCTCACCTGAGGCCAGTAGCCACCAGAGGTCAACCTCTCTGTGAGCTGGGCGACTGCCTTTTTCCTCGATTCTGGATCCTTTCTGCTCACAATCACAGACTGGTTGAACTCAAGCAGAGCTGAAACACACACACACACACACACACACACACACACACACACACACACACACACACACGAGAACAAAAATCAGAACCAGAACCAAGGGAGGAGTCCAGAGCGAGACGGCCAAGAAAGCAAGAAAGGAAGTGCCAAAGCAGGCAGAGCAGATTAAGAGCCGAAAGAGTGAGTCACATGTTTATCTTTGGACTTCCTTGCATACTTTAATGTCCCTCGACCCCTCTATTCCAAATATTACTCTCTCGCTTGTTTGTTTAATAGGTGGAGAGGTTTCCCATCCATGAGCACAATGCACGGCTCCCTGCCAGTGAAACACAGCAAATGTATGGATTTCTCTTCCTTTTTTTTTTTTTTTTTTTTTTTTTTAGCTGAGATTAAAAACAAATTTGGTAAAAACATCAAAACGTCATCCAGGCACTCGTGATTGACGTGAACCAACTACTGCATTTCACTCCTCAGTGCAGTTTCCTTGCGTTCAAGTTGACACACGTTTAAAAACCAAACACAGTCAAACACAGGGTGCGACTCGCCACCTTGAACACATGTCAAACAAACAATCAGTGTCATTTACACCTGCATGTCCTACACGACAAGAGGAGACTTCAGGAGTGGCTTTAAAAAAAAAAAGAGAAAATGTATTGATGTCATTATTGTTATTGCTTTCAGCTTAATTTTGATCATCCATACTGTTTATAATTCTTTCGATTAATCATTTGTCTGTGCCTTAATATTGCTCAACACTCAAAGAACTAAATTATAAATCAGTTTACAGTGACAGCAAACAGAGAAACAAGCCAAAGATTCTCCTTGACACACGATTATCTGATCACCCAAACTGTTGTTGATCAATTTTCTGGCATTGCCTAATCGTGTCAGCATTGGTCGGATGATCCAACGACAGTCGTATGAGCTGTAACAACCACCGAAGAAGAGTCCACTGTGTAGCAGAACCTCACCTCCTATGACGGGCAGGCTGGTGTTCTCCGACCGCGACACCACCGTCGCCAGCTGGGCCGGAAACAAAACCACGATGTCCAGAAAGCCGCTGTGAGGCGCCACCACCAGCACCGGCGCCTCCTTCAGGTCCGCCCTGCGACCTTTGACCTTCAGCCACAGGAAGCCCAAGGAGAAGAAGACAGCTCGGGTCAGCAACCAGACGATCGGGTGGAGGAGCCAGAGCCGCCAGCCCTTGACGGGGCGAGAGCGGTCCTCCTCGGGCAGGCCGGCCAAACGCAGTCGGGCGAGAGGCCACGAGATGAGGAAGAAGAGAGCCGCCACGATGACCCGGAGAGGGAAGAGGATGCTGCCCAGGATGATGCCCTGAGGGGTCAGAAGAGAAGAAAAGGATTAAAATATGATTTAATGAATACGGACATTGTGTATCCACACAAACATGGCTGAAGTTAAAACTCTGACACATTGTTTTCAACTTTATAATCAATTTCTGTGCATTGAACATACAAATACAAAGTTATTATGATTTATAGTGACTTCTGATGTACATGAATTCAGTTTGATTGCATACTGACTTTAAATATTCTTCTTCCTACGTATAAAGACTGTGTGTCTGATGTAACAAGAGTTCACTGTATTAACCCTCAGCCTTACTGCTTATGTCATTTTGCATGCATTCGCCATACGTTGCTCTAAAAACATTATTTACATCATGATAATAATAATAACTGCAGCCCTGTCTGTCTGTCTGTCTGTCACCGAGTTATGTAACTCTGTGGTATGATATCATGTGTCATCCCCTGTCTATGCCTGGAAACATTTTATGACAGGACTGTTTTGCTTAGGCACCAAAGTCAGAAAGAGAGAGCTGTGTTGAAAGACTCTTTGTTCTCTCTTATAGATGCTCCCTGGAGACTTAAAAGCCTCACATGAATAACAGAAATAAGAAAACAAATGTAGTTTAAACCACTTTTGAGTTACAAAACTTTATAATAGAGTGTCCCTACCTCCTAGCATTACAGTGACAAGCACATTATGAGTTGGTGTTTTTAGAAGTTAGGAGTGAGGACAAGCTCCACTTTCTCTCCGGTCAAATTAATGCCAAATTAAATTCAGGTGGGATATTTTGGTGTGGTGCCGGTGTGTCTGCCTCTACGCTCAGTTTTAGCCATGATATTAAATATTGAAGACTTAAATTTGGTCGTTACCCTGATCCTCTGCGCCCGGGTCAGCTTCACCTTGTGAATGAATGGATGTGGATACTCATGCGTTGCCGAGTGACAATCGTGTTTCTCCATGGCGACGGGGCAAACCTGACCGCCAAGTTCCCAAAAATTAAAAAAAAATTAAAAAATAAACAAGTATAAAAAAATTAAACTTTTTAAAAGAGTAAAAAAAAAAAAAGACACTAATTTTAACTCAGTTAAAGGAAGAAAAAAATAAGTTATCGACAGCTCCTTGCTTTTTTCCGAAAACCGTTAAAAGTGTCTCGCGCAGTCAGATTTAAAAATAGAACGTTAAAAAAAAACGGTTGAGCTGAATTCAACGGCTGAAAAAAACAACTACAACAACAACAACAACAACAGCAAACGACGATAAACTACTAAAAACCAACTCCTCCGACCTCTATCCACATGGCGAAACACACACTGAAGTAAAACAACCCATCCTTTCTTTCTTTCTATACTCTCTCACTCTCTCTCACTCTCTCACCTGTCCCGCCCCCTCGCAGCCCGACAGCCCGGCCCACCGACACTATGGGTGGGTCGGGGCAAGTCCAACCGGTCCCTCCCTGAAACTGTGCTCCGGTCGTTTAACATTTTTAAATGACAAAAAGATATTATAATTTTACTAGCTACTAACTGAGTCTGAATTTAAGTATAATTCATAATATTATTATTATTATTTATTTTTTTATTAATTTTTTTTATCATTTGTTTGTTGTTTGTGCTTTATAAATACATTTGCCTTGCCTAAATGTTTTGTATTTACAATATGAATCTGTAATGTAACTAAAGTTACCAAATAAATGAATAAAAAGAAGAAAGAATTGCCTCCATAATGTAGCTAGTGGAGTATATGTAAAGCAGAATATAATGAAAATACCTATATAATACTTTACACAGGCTACTTGAGTAAATGCACTTGTTTACACTCCACTTCTGTGATATAAGACAAATTAATGATATAATAAATGAAAATCATAATACACTAAAATTGTTATGGATGATGCTACAGTCTCTCTAATAACACTCATATTTTGGCTTTTAACGTCAAATTTCTTACATGATATGTTGACCTTTTTAAACAGCTATTAGCAATGTATATATTGTAATAGAAACATTTATCAGGAAAAAGACTGTATTGCATTTAATCACAAAACAATTAAGGCACATAAAAAAAAATTGAATAAACAGCCATCAAATGTAATCACATCAGCTTTAAAAATTAGCCCAAAAGTAAAGCCTGTAAACTTCTTTTTAAAGCATAATAATGCACCAAGAGCAGCTAAATTGCCTTATAATATTATATTATATTTAGTCACTCTTTGGATTAACTTTACTTACACACTCTGCATACAGTACTGAATCAAGATTTAAATAAGATATCTAAATATTCTTGTAATTTATGTGGATTTAAAACAATTTCTAAAAAATCACAAAGAAATCTGTCCAAATCGAACTCGAACAAACTCTGTGCAAATGTCCACCTTTCACACCAATTCATCCATGACGACAACAAAAGCTGCACAAGCTTTTCTGCTACTCGCCTCTCAAGTTTTCCCCTCTGCCCTACCTTGCTTTTGTTCTCCCTGCAGGGTGTTGCTGCTGATACCAACACCAAACACACACAGACACACACCCACAAAGAAGGGACATGAAAGAGATCAGGGATGGTTTACAGAGAAGTTACAGATATTTTTCAGATTGCAAAAAACGGCTTTCTTTTAACATAAATTTAATATAATGCGCATAAAAGTCATACTTTTAATTGGTAGTTTTAACCAGCTGGACCCTGATTTGGCAACAGTTTGTATGGAAGCCAAAAGCAGTTCACGGTTGGCTCGTAACTTTTATTTTATTTTACCTCCAGGTTATCCTCCCACAGTAACTTAAAAGATTTATCCTGAATTAGAAGATGAAATATGGATAAAATAAAACCAAAAAAAAGTACGTTTAATTACATTTTTCTCTTTTAACTGAACCACTGGTTTATGTTTTATTTATCAACATGTATAACCTCTTTTTCTGGAATATCAACTGGACGTTTAAAGGAAACAAATACTCATGAAACATCCAGAGAAAGGTAGTTTAGTCTCATATCTCGTGGTATATTTAGTCAGATTGCACAACCGTACTTGGAAGTGTTTGATCGCATCGTTATCTTGAGATATCGAAACTGGTTTTCTTGTGGTTGTGACTGAATTAGCTTATCTTGAGCAAACAAATTCACCCTCCTAGAGTTCAACATTATTGCTCCATCAGTATTTCTGAAGTCTATACTCTAGATGCATATTGACTGGCACTGTTTTGAGTTATCAGAATTTACTTTCAGGTGTGATATTCCTCAAAATGTTCTCTCTGAAACACAAGTCTGACATTCTCTCAGAAGATTGAGTTTCACCATAAGTTGTTTCTCCACACCCACAAAACAAGCTTAACTGATTTTCTAGAGTGATGAAGATATTAAAGACCATTTCTTAAAGTTTTATTTCATTTTCTTGCATCGCCAAAGTTCAACATTTAAGATTTATTACAACTTTTTTGTAAACCCCAACTTCTTCAGCGCATCTCTTTTCCCAGAACAAAGTTTAACACAATTCTTTTTTGACAAAGTTGAAAACATTTGAATTCAGCCAATAATAAGGATTTATTATATAGAACATTTTCATGGAGCAAAAACAGTATAAATTAAAACAGACCTATAAATTAAACCGGTTAGTAAATGTTGCTGGTTAGCGTGCTGAAACCATGTTGATGAAAATGAAGTGTTTCACTACAAACTGAGAAACAAAAAGAAAATGAAGAACAGGAAAAGAAATCTATCTACTCTACTGGAATATGACCTAATAAGACATTAACCTCATTATAGATAGTGCTGTTTTACTGATGTTTCCTCTAGGTATAATTCTATATTCTCTTATGTAGTCCATAAATAACCTCCTATTATGTTGTTAATAATACAGTAGTTTAACGTGAGGATCTGCTGGCTTTTTAAACCTTTAAAAAATGATGTATGGGGGACATCAGAGGACATAAAGCAGAGCAGCAGGCTGAAGAAATGTTAATGTTTCTGTTAAAAAAAGGCAAACAAATGTGTGTGTCTGTGTTTATGGAGGATGAGGCCTTCGTAGAAAGCTGCGCCGCACGTCCTGCTGCGGACGTCTTCCCGGTTTTGCACGCGCCACTGTGGAGGCTCAATCTGTTGTGGACAAGAGCTGGACAGCTTTAACAGGTAGCCAGGCTGCGTGGCGCAGGTGGAGAATGTACAGTATACAGTATATAACCTCTGTAAATATTTGAATCTGGTATGTGCACGCTCCGTCCTCTTCACAACACCATCCCTCCACCCATGATCTCCATCCTCTGTTGAGGAAAAGACACAAAAAAAAGGATTAGAGCCTGACCACAATACTGGCTGATATCGATGGGTACGTCAGCCGATGAAGGACAAAGACATGTCTTCCACCAGAAGGTAGCGACAGGTTTATATTCCAACTAGAACATGTCCCACGGTCGAGTAAATTTCTTGGTTGCAACTGTGAAAAACACACACTGAAGGGACCGTTGTTTATTTGTGGTTATGGTTTGTGGTGTGCACGTGTTGACCTCTCAGGGCCACCGTATATTTTATCAAACAAAATACCTTTAGGGAAAAAGACCAGAGGTGTCATTTCACACAGCAAATTTAAAATATATCTAATGAATGTGACTATTTTTAAGGCACAATTAATTCAGTTATACCACATCTCCTAAATAATTTCCAGTTGGAAACCCGTGTTTACATTATTATTCCCTTTATTATCTATAAGAGCTGTCGGGAGCTGCTGCAGGTATCAGTTACTTCTTTTAAAGAATGGTGAATCTCATCTCTTTTTTCCTCTAAAATCTATGTTACAAGGTAACCTGACAAACTTGTTTGGATTTAAGACAGTTACAGAAAACCACAATGTATAAATGTAATAACAAAATAGACATATTCTGCCCTCTACTGGCCTAAAGGGGAGTGACCAGCACATGAGACATTTAGGGCCCAGAATGAAAACAACACTGGGAGCAATGGAGAACATAAACGCCACTTTTAGTGCGATCCAGTAAAAAAAACAACATCTTCTTTGTTTACCTGTGGCGGTTCTATGAAAGCTAGCCAATCAGAAGAGTGCGTTGGGAGCAGCCCCATCGACTGACACTTGTAGATGGCCAAGGCCGAGCCCAGGAGGTTACCGACCAGGTAGACGAGGCCCTGCAGCCACTGCTGACTGGAGCTCTCCAACAGCTTAAAGGCTGAGACACAAGAGAACCAAAGGAATTCATTTTGGAGACGTTAAAACACACAGTATAGGATGTAAACGCTGCGAATGCTGAATACTCACTGGCAGACATGGACATGAGCGCCTGTATGGGCCTCCAGGCCATCATGCAGACCATCATGATGGGGAAGATGGAGATGGTGTTGCCCGACATGTACATGATGAAAAGGTTCATGGGGATTTGTTTCAGAGGCCCGAGAGCGACGTCCCAACAACGCTGTATGACAAAGGTACGTATGTTTTTATTTCTGGTCCAATATTTTATCTTTATATCATATAGTTACTCTCTTACATAGATCATTATTCTAAACCTGCTTCCTCTGGGAGGATCACACCAAATACAACAATGTTTGCCGTTCATTTACACATGTATTTATGTATATATCTCTGAGTTTCACTTCTTCTGTGCATCTTTTCAGAATTCTGACTTCATTATTTGAAGCAGGAAAACAATTATCTTGTTCAAGAAACTGAACACGTTTTTTATAAAATGCTGTCAAAAATAAAAGAAGAATCTCCGTATCCAAAGAATAAAAGTAAAAGGTTCTCCTCGCTGTTTACCTTCTCCACCAGGTTCTTGTCCGTCTCCTGGATGCTGGTGTCGGGGACGGGTTTCTCAGAGTAGCCGATGGGATAAACGACGTCTCCCTGACCGCCCTGCCGGTCACCACGAGACCTGCCGCACAAGATGTAACACAAAGAGTTTACATTCATGACTCTTTTATTTTGTCCTTTTGGAAATTGGAGAGGAGCTGCCTGTGACTAAGAGCCGCTCTGTCAGTTACTCATCGATGGTAAAACAATGCAAGTCACAGATCGGAGCACTTTGAGGAGGCGAAAGCTCGTCCACAAATGTCCGTCTGAGCCGTCGTGGTGCAGCTTCAAACCTTCGATCAGCTTTGTTTCATAAAGTGGCTTCAGTGAGTGTTTCTGTTCACCTGGTGTTGCCCAAGCTCAGCTCCAGAGCCCACTTCATCCTCCGGGCCCCGCTTCCTCCTCTCGTCGACAGAGCCCCTCCGCCTCCTCCTTGTCCCCCTGGAGACGCCATTGGCAACCGGCTGCACTGCTGGACCTCAGAGACAGAAAGCACCTACAGAGATAAAAAAAACAACAGATATCAGAGAGCCAGCAGTCTCTGGTCAACCTGCAGGCAATACAATATATATATATATATATATATATATAACAGGATGCAATCATAAGCAAACCAAACCTGGTGGTTTGATGGTTCTTTTAAGTCATCTTTACTTGTTTTATGCAATGTTTAGTCTGCTTTTATATCCTGAAACAACAGTTATATTGTTAAAAATGACACAAAATCTAACTTATTTCACACCTTAGGGACATACTTCCATTGTTTTGCAGCTGCAACCACTGTTACAACACCGAATTCAGGCATTGTAAAGTTATTTAAATATCTGCATTGACTACACAAGATCCTATTAGTGCATGGCCTTCCTGTAAATACCATCTGTTAATGTTAGTAAACCCGTTTTCAGCCATGTTTTAACGACCACACAGTGACATGAGAGGTCTGGCCCAGTCAAACGACGTGAAGGAGCCAGCGCGACGACGTTATTATCGGTTGACGTCGCGGTTGTTAAGCAACGTTACACCATCCTAATGAGCCGAAACACCGACATTAAACGTTCATTTACCTTACGAGGACATCCAAACCACCGCTATCTGCTTTATTCGCGGTTCTTTGTCGATGAAAACGAGCGATACAAAATTATGAGCTCGCTGTGCCGAGGAATAAGTCGACCGCTCGTCGCTCGATGGTTCCGGGAGGGGGAGGGCCCACGCACTGATGACGCAATTACGTTGGCGATGCGGAGGTGGCGTCACGTCACGTCATCCCTCTAGTGGAGAAACACTTTAATTCTTCTTAAAATAAAAAGTGTTAATTGTTGTGGTTGTTTGTATCTGAGCACAACTTTATTTTTCAGAGATTTTTTTTTTGCAGCAATAAATATAATCTCTTTAGAAATAAATGTATTTTTCTTTCAATAGGAGTTCAGTAGTAATTATAGTTATACTATAGTTTATTCAGCACTATAGGTTTACCTCTAATAAAGGGGGGTTTAAAGAAAATGGCAATTCTAGTGTTGGGGAAGTTTGTTTTTCATGCTCTTTAAAAGCCCATCCATCAGTTGTTTCATCAAGATATTATAGGTACACCTTCTGCCTCATCATGTTGGTCCAGTTTTATTGGAAATAAATAGGTTATTATTAAGCTTTTTTTCCATCAACAATAAGTTTTAATCCAACCAAAGACAAGGTAATTGTTATATATATATATATATATATATATATATATATCTACAATCAATTTAATAGTTTTTTATGGGTTTGCTGCATATGCCTGGAATTCTTGCTTGTTGTCGTGTAATTAATTTACTTATTATGACCGCTTTTCGTATTTGTTAGTCAAAATTATTGATTATCTATGTCACTTAATATATTTTATTTATAGTTGAATGTGCTCACAAAAAAACATGAGACACCTGTAAGCTTAAGAAGGTTTTTATTTATTTTTCTTTTACCATATTGGTCCCCTGTAATGTATTTAGAAACTGTATACACATAAGGTTTATTGTTTGTTACTTGCTATATTTGTTTTAATAAAGTTTATCGAGGGAGAAAAAAGCAGAAATTATAAATTTTTTCCCTCCCAATGCAACTAATAAATCAGTTTATTTATAAATTCTGTAAGATTTGTTGTACTGTGCTGTTATTAAATGTTTTAATATTATTATTTAGGTCTACTCATTTATATACGTTCGGATGCACAATAATGAATCAGCATGTTTGTGATTACATTTAAATAGAAACACACAAATATAAACAAATTAGAAGAGTATCAAAGCATTTATTAGCTAGGGAGGACATAGTCCCCACTGTGTGCAGCTGTATTATATTCAACAGCTTAAACATCTGTGTGCGGTCTTTACAGTCAGTTTAAGGCACTGATATACACAATATGTACACATACTGACGTGTGACCGTGTAAATGAAGCAGTGCAAATTGAATTGTAAAGTGTACATGATATATACTTTACAGGCACAGGGGTTCTGTCCAGTGTGTGAGCACTATCATTAGCACAGATAAACTCGGGTATAACAAACAGTACAGTTCACACAAGTGTACAGAGATCATAATCCGGTAAACTACAGGCTGTTTGTTCATAAGGCGAGTTAGCTGATTGTCACATTTTAGATAACATGTATCTCTAAGGCCCTGCTCAGTCCTTCCTTGGATCACCCAAGATGCATTTTACTGCAAAGTGTGAGCAGGCTTTTATGACCATTTCATATTCTACTGGCATTATTATGCTGGACGTGTCTTATCTAACATTCAGATAAGACTGAGAACCTGAGGACAATATGTTTGTTGTACGGTATCTTATTCCACACTCATATCTGTGTGTGTGTGTGTGTGTGTGTGTGTGTGTGTGTGTGTGTGTGTGTGTGTGTGTGTGTGTGTCCCTGTCACTTATACAGGCTGAGCTCAGGGCTGTGGTACAGACACATGTAGGAGTCACAGAGCAGGCGGCGAGCGTGCTCCCGTAAGGACGTGGGGTCAACTCTGCTCAGGTCCTCCTCTGATAGGCTGAGGTAGCGGCCCACCTCTGGACACGCCTTCACCTGGGGGATGTTGAAGCCGTTCTCGCCGCCTGGGTGAGAGCACAGACAAGATATAGGGAGCTTTAATAACACTGCGTGTGTTTTTTTTAATCCTCTAATCCTTGTTACCAGAATTTGTTTTCACCTTCCCGGTCTGCCATGCTGTCAAAAAACAGCCAGTCGGTGGGGAGGGGCCCGTGCTTGACGAAGCTCACGTAATGGCTGGTCTCGATGCACGTCACGGCGAAGAGAGACATTTGCTGGCGCGTGCAGTGCAGAGGGCCGGTCCACGGTCCCCCGGGGACGGCGACCTTCACCGGGCTGTGGGATTCCCGCTTCCTGTGACTGTGGACCTGATGGTCAACAGGAAAGATGAGCCGAGTCAATATGTAACGCAGATGTGAACACATAACAGACTGACAATTAGTTCTGTAAGTTAATATTGCAAATGTGTGTAGGTAACAGCAGAAAGATGGGACAACTCTCTGCAGAACTCTTGACTTTTAACACAAGGGCTTGGTGTATTTAGTCCGTCAAGGCTAGAGATTTGTATCAGGTCCGAAGTAAGAAGTGGCTACCTGCGTGTTGCAGGTCTGGCAGTACTGTTTGAGACGCCCGGGAGTGATGTCTGGATCTTCATAACACTGGAGACACTCCCACTCAGCTACAGCCTGACAGATGCTGCACTGTCTCAGAGCTGGAAAGACAAAAAATGACGTGTAGATCTTACGTGTGCTTCAATAAATCTGAAGTTAACGAAAACATACACGTGATAAAAACTAAAATCAAACCTGGATTCAACTAAACGTAGATCTCAAAGTACATAAAACCACAGCAGAGACAAACTAAAATATAGATTAGTTGCCCTTACTGTCGTCCAGCAGGTCTGTGATGTCCAGGCTGAGGGTGGGCAAGATGGCGTCAAACATTTTGAAGTCCTTTCCAAACCGAGGCATGAGCAGCAAGAGGCAGGAGGGAGCCTGGTGGAGGGTGGGGGGGGGTGTTGATCAATACATGATTTGTTTTGCTCTGAAATTACACCAACATGAAATCTCTGAGCTTATTTGTGTTACCTCGACAAACTTGAGGCCGGAGTGGAGGAAGGAGGACTCCAGCAGCGCCTGGACGCTGGCGACCCTCATCCGGCTGGCCGATGGCGAGGAGAGAGGGATGGGGGAGTCAACTGGGGAGAGGGGTAAGGGTGAGGAGGGCGAGGGGGGGAGCGTAGGCGGGAAGAGCTGGTAGAGGTGACACTCCTGAGGCTTCTGAGTCATTGACCTGGAAGACAGGAGAGGTATAAAACTCAGATAAGAGAGGTGGAGGAGATTGGTGTTTTAAAGAGAGAGAAAAAGATAATTTGTTTGGTTCACAGCCGTCTTTTTAACAGGAAATAGTCGGTTAAACACACAAATGACTCTAATTAATACGCTCCTGACTGGCTTCCTCTGAGCACGTAAAGGAAAAAAAGAAAAAGACAGTTCAGTGAGGTCACCTGATTTTGAGGAGCGGCTCGACTCGGAGGAGCTGGAAAAGCTTGTTGAGGAACTCTTCAGGATCTGACGGACAGAACAACAACAGCAGCATGACAGCATTCCTCAGTCTGATCGCACACAAAAAAAAAACTACTACAGCTGCAGAGCGTTAATGGAGGGGTAAAGACAGGACGCATGCTTTCCCACACACACCTTTCTCCTGGTTGGTGAAGCCCGTGTCGCTGTTCGCCGCCTCCAGCAGGCGTCTCAAGGCCATGGTCTTGCTGGCGCACACGTAGCCGTACCTTGGAAACGTACCAGTACACGAATACAGTCAGGAATGCTTTGTGTTTTAAAAAACACTAACCGGGGATGTGAGCAGTACACAAAGAGCACTGGAGGATTCAGACTGGAGTGAGGACCGTCCATATTTCAATACATTAGGGTTTTGACATTTCACCATACAGCGGAGGAAGTATTCAGACCCTTTCCTATTTATTTTTATTAAAACAGCCTATTTTCAGGAACAGTTCATCCTTCAATTTATCAGAAACATTCAAATTTATAACAACCAAATTTGGAGATACATGGTCATTTTCACTGGACGGGCAGGGTATGAAAAACTGTAATCTGAAAAGCAACTACTAACTAAAGTTGTTAGAGAAATGTAGTGGAGTAGAAGCACAGTATTTCCCTCTGAGATGTTGTGGAGTAGAAATTAAAGTATGTTATATTCCTCCACTGCTGTACAATCAGTAGCAGTAACAGTAAGAGCAATCTTAGTAGCAGAAGTAGCAGTATTAATGGTAGAGTTGATGTACTGTAGTTACTTCTGGTAGTAAAAAAATAGTCGTATATTAAAAAAACCATCCCTGTCCACACACACATTTACACACCTTCGCAGGGGGTTGACTATTTCACAGCGCAGCAGGTCTTGAGCCTGACTGGAGTTTCGGTGCGTTCCAGGGTCAGAGGGCCAAAACAACACCCAGTCTGCTGAACTGCAGCAGGAGAACAGGCTGTAGAGAGACAGACGACTATAAATAAGAAGTAGCCATACTTGATTCAGCATAATTTACACCCAAAATGTTTCACCACAAGAGGACCAACCAGTGCTCACCCTCACTAACATTCTTCTGTTTATTCTAAATTAAGAAATATACTAGAAACTGCAGCTTCCTGTGGACCACAAAGAAGAACTGCTTCTTAGAATAGTTTTTTTATGTTGATATATCTAACATCTTTTAATCCTTTCTGTTGCTATAGAGTAGGTAAACAGCCTCGGAGCTTTACCTGAACAGCGTAGCGTCCAGGTAGCATGAGTTGAGGTGACCCTGGATGCCTCTCTTCCAGCCCTGGTAGAGCTCACTGGCCTCGTCCCCGTCCACAGGAGGAGTGTGGTCCTCCACCCGCTCGCTGCCCCACTCTGCAAAGGCTGGGAGCCGCAGGGGACACAGGAGACAGTGTTACATAATAAAACTGAACAGTTATGAGCAGGAAAATCATATAGAAACTCACGTGGCACACAAATGTCACACTCTGAGTGAAGAGGTGCATTTGGCTTTCAGTTCCTCTAATAGTTGCAAGATACTTCGAGATAAGTCTCTCTAGAAGTCAACATCTTTTCACAGTTATTTACAGTCGTCTTCTAATGTTAATCTTGTGTGTATGATGTATGTTCCTTCTGTTTTCTGGATCTCTGTGATGGATGGATTCCCATTCAGGCTCCACAATTAGCTTCAAAGTTTGGATTTATAAAGGTGGCGTCACACACGGCATTCGTGCTTTTCCTACCTATAGAGTTGCATCGCTCTACTTGATTGACGGGTGTCTCAGGGGCGGGAAACCTGGAGTCCCGTCTACAGTTACGTAGCTTGACGAACAGCCCCTTGTTGGCCGGGCAACGGAAGTGACGTTCACCGAGGTAACTGCCGTCTGTTCCTGCAGACAACTCCTGGTCCTAAAACACACAGTGGGTTTGTTTTTCAGCTGTGCTATCGGTATCAGTACAACATTATATGAGTCAGTGTAGGGATTTTACACGAGTTTACTGCACTCGGTAAATGAAATCATCCAAAAGAAAGTGATGAAACAACTATAACTTTCCTCTAGAACCACAGGCTGCAACAACAATTTAAAATTGAATACATACTGTACCAAAAAGACACAAAGAGACAGTAACAAGGAATTAATTACCGTCAGCGTAAACATTAATTTCAAGATTTATGGTTAGACCATGCCTATAAGAAAGTAAGAAACTGTAGAGTGCAGAGAATGGGACATAAATGAGAAAGAAGATGGACTAAAATAGAACTTAAATACCCTTCAGTTACTTGTTTTAAGCGTTTGTCCTTGGGATTAAAAAACTGCCCTATTGTTTTTCAATTGATAACAAAGTATAGACCTGATTTTATTGTGTTCTGCTTTGTACTGAATTTTGGTGGTAAGATTACCCCTTTTTCTAACATTTGGATATTGTCTTGTACTTTAAGGACTATAAATCTAGTATAAAACTATAAAACCTTACCAGCTCGATTCCAGCCACTGTCTCTGAAACCTGACTGATCCGTCCAATCCAGCGAATAACCCCGTAAAGCGGAGGGTCGTTCACTTCGACCATCGACCCCACCTCCAGCTTGTCCTCCGGTCCTGCCTCTCCGTTCTCCCCTGCAGCTTCGCCGAAGTCTGGAGACCTCAGCGGCGACGGCGGGCCGTGCGCGCCGTTGGTGTGCTGCAGCCGGTCCGCGGTGGTCGGTGACGTCGGGCTGAGGGGTTTGGGGGGTGGCAGAGGAGGAGGAGGAGGCAGGGCTTTGTGATTGGGTTTCGGTGGCGGCAACGGAGGAGGTCTAACTGCCTGTTTGTTCGGGGGCATCAGGGCGACCTTGGGAGCAGAGGCGGGTTTAATGACCGGGGGAAGCGCGGGCTTTAGGATGGATTTGGGAATTTGTTGAAGAGGGTTGTGGCGGTGGGATTTAGGCTCTGATGGTCACAGGAATGGAACAAGAGTTAGTTATACATTGGTGTAAAGTCTGCAAATAATGGAACCAAATAGTGTATTCTTAGTGACAATGTGCATCTTGACTTTAAGGATAGGCCAAAGGTTAATAAACAGCCTAACAGGCTCTATATAAGACTGTAAGCTAAAGGTTAACACATAGTGCGAGTGTGTGAGGGCTCGCCATACCTGAGGAGACTTTGGCAATTGGCAGAAGTTGTCCGTAGACCAGAGAAGGAATGTTGCAGAGCTTCTCTCCCTTATAAAACCCGTCCCAGTTACCCACAGGAGTGTCCTGTAATGTTTAACACAAAGTCAAAACACACAGCTGCAGACAAAACTATTCAAATAAACACATGAGTACAAATGTATTTCTCTGTATTTATCTTAAACAGAAGTGCAATCTTTTAGATTTTTTTAGTTTGAGGACTTTCTACAATGTCCGACTTTATTTGTAAGCATGAAACTATTTTTTTTTTTTTTTTAAGAGTTGACAGTAGAGAGATGACAGGAAGTCAGGGGAGAGAGAGAGAGAGAGATGGGGAATAACAGCAGGACTGTACAATTCATGTGCAATATCAATGTCTGTTTGATAAAAAGATAAAATGTGTGACAGCATTATAATGAAGTACTGTACTGCTACAGAGAGACACTTTATGGTACTACAGACCTCAACACATCATGATTTCAATTGTTCTTTCAGTGAAAATAAAAATTGTGATGCAAAAATGATAATTCCCACTAATTGCTAATCATATCGCAATCATAAATATCTAAAAATAATACAACATAATGTATAAAGTATATGTAATAATATATAATTCCTATATTGTGCAGCTTTAAATGACTTTTGTTTAATGGTTTAATCATCTTCATTTTGTGCTTTTGTTAAAAGAACCTTTTTAAGATGATAAATACATCTAAAAGTAATAAAAATTGTAAATAATTATAACTTCATTTGTAATATTCCTATAATCACAGTTTTATCTCCAGTGTCGTACTGACCAGCAGGACTCCGACGTACATCCCTGAGGAGGACCGGCCCGGCAGGAGACCACAGAATCGCACCTCCCCACTGTAGACATTGTCCTCCAGGGGGAAACACACCCGCTGGCCAACATGGAGCGGCGGAGGCGACACGGGGCCTCGGACCTGGTTATGAGCTGCGAGGGGAACCGACTCCGCTGTTCGAGGGAGGATGCCAAAAGCGTGCGGCTGAGGAGGGCCGCTGGGACTATGCTGGTGGAAACCAATGTGACGACCGGGCGGCGGCTGCTGCTGCTGCTGCTGCTGCTGCTGCTGCTGCTGCTGATGATGATGATGATTTGGGCGATCGTTGTTGCTATGGTACCCGTTGCTGGGGTGATTACCGCTGCTGCGCTGGTGGTGTCGCTCGCGGGCTCGCTCGTGTGCGTCTGAGCCGTTGTTGGCAGACCAGTGGCGGGGCCTGATGTGACTGACTGGGAGGAAGAGGGCGCAGGATTCGGGGCAGCTGAAGAGCCGGTGACTCTTATAGGAACCGTTGCTGATTCCTTTACCTGCAGCTGAACCCTGCAGAGGAGACGGAGAGAGAGAGTCTGTCTCAAGGAAACTGCAGTTTCTATGTCCGCATGAATATACCGCGTCCAGTTTTTGTTACATTAAAGTTATATGATTTAAATTAAAATTAAACCCCCTTTTTTTAATACTACTCATGGTCACCACTTTCCAGCAATAGCCATACTGTAACTACCTCTCTATATAGTACTTTTTATTGTTAGTGGCAGGGTCCGCCATTTTCATACTGGATTTAAAATTGCTTAACTTTGCACGAGGGATTCGCAACAAATCAGGCAGTTCGTAATCCAGCTTTTTCAGCCTCACTGTAATACACCTACAGAAGTTTGAATTATTGTTGGGAATAACGCCACAGTGAGCAAGGTAACAAACTTTATGATGAAGGCTGGTAACTGACTTTATTAAAACAACATGAGTTTGTTTGGCTGCAAGGTAAACAGATACATCAATTACTCCTCTGACATTTTCTTGGTTCTGTTTTTACATTTTAAAATCATATATCTTTATGTCTGGCACAATGTACTTGTATCTTTAACTGCTGCCACCGTAGGCTCCTGGTAAACAGCATTTCATCCCAAAATCTTTACTTTTATATGTAAAGGTTGACAATAAAAGAGATATATCCTTCAAGTTTACCTTGAGCTGTACCCCAAAAAGCACAGCGCTGCTCCCTCTGGTCAGTGGACCGATGTATTTAAGGTCTGCTTCTGCCAGCTCGTCCTGTTGGCCTATTTGGACCCACAGCGGGGCATCGATGGGCAAAGTAGCCAACTGCTGCAGCTTCCCGGGATTGCCTGAAATATACCAAACAAGGAAACACAGCAGAGGGTATAACAGATTGCATTTGAAGAAAAAAAACATGTGATCTGGCTTTACTTCCTGTTTTCCAATTAAAAGACTAAATTTGACCTCTGTCCTTAGAGCTATTTATTGACATAAAGATCACATGTTCCTCATTTAAATAAAAGATGGAGCAGTCGCTTTTACTTTGAGCCACACGCTTGGTACTTCAATGTTAGTAAAAAAAACAGTAAAAATCCCTTTTTAGGATCATTACTACTTCAATATTTGAACTACCTCTATAATAACTAGCCTATATAATAAAGTAAACACTCCTAACTAACTATCATATCACCTAGAAGTTTTAGGCGGGCCTCCGGATCCAATACGGGCTCCAACAGGCCGCTGAATTCAGCTGGGACTTCATGCAGGAACTTCCTCTCTAGTTTTAACACAATGCCATTGTCCAGCACCTGCAGGGAAACAGGGGAGTATAGATAGAGAGAGAGATAGAGAGAGAGAGAGAGAGAGGAGAGAGAGAGAAAAACATGTGGAAAAGAAGAGAAAATACATTGGGAGAGGGAGTAAAACTAGTTCTAAGTATATCCAACCATTTGAAAACGGTGACTCAACAGCATGTGGTGGACAGAATTAAAAGTGAAGAAAATCTTTCCTGTATCTTTCCTGTACAGTTTAGATCTCTCTATCTTTATCTTTATTTATTTATATTATAAAAAAGTACCTTATTTTATGCACCAAGGCAAATTCCTCGTACGTGTAACTAACTGTAACTTACTTGGCAATAAACCCGATTCTGATTCTGATCTGGCTGCGAGAGACATTTCCTTTGAAGTAAGTTGAAGCAACGATTATTTTCTGTTATCAATTATCCTGCAAATTGCTTCCTCAATTAATCAATTAAATCAAATACGTGTCTCAGTGCCAGAACAGTGCCCATTATAATTCACCAGAGCCCAAGGTAATGGATTTAAATTGCATGTTTTGAACCCCATATAGCAGCAAATCCTTAAATTGAATACACTAGCACAACATTTTAGTAGAAAAATGACTGTTAAATACAAATACAACTACTATTTAATTCATCCATAACATAATTGATTCAGCCTTTTACAGTATATTAGGTAAACCCTTGAGTTTATACCTTGGTTACACTTCCCCATGCATTATAAATAATTAACTTCTGGCCCCTGCACCCTAAATGGTAGAGCCATGTAATGTCTAATTTAAGTGGATATCAGAATCAGAAATTAACGTTAAATAATATAAATTTTACAATATCTAACACAATATATAGACTAGAAATGCTTGTATAGGTACATACATACAGCCTAAGAAATACAATAAGATAATAAAAGCTTATATACAAACTAAATGTAAACATATTCCACAGTATGTGCTGACATGAATTAAATATTAATGAGTTTAAATAGATGTTAACTGTGTTGGTGAATACCTTGACCCAAAGGAAGTCGCTTCGGCTCTTTTCTTGCTCCTGACAGATGAACCCCCGCTGCAGCCGAATGGTACCGTCCAGCTGGTCCTGGACCTTCAGGTCGGTCGAGATCAAGAACATTTTGAGGGGGCGGCGCTTCCTGCTTGACTCATGGGCCCCTGACATCTTGCGCGTATCTTTCAATATATATGTAACTCGTTCACGGATGAATTAAAGCCTCCATTTCCCTGTAATGTTAATTAATACGAGCATTTTCAAAGAAAACGACAAGAGGGCCGAAGCGTGTCAGTTTACCTCAACGGCAGGTAACGGCGGTTTAAACGTTTAAAGTTTCATTCATGTTCAAACAGAGCTAACGTTAACTTAACGTTTGTGCCGTGATGTCGACTAACAAAAACCACGCAGTTAACTTCAATGAGAATATCAGTCGTTCATTTAAAAAAAAAAAAACACTCACCAACTTCATCAACTCTCCGAGCGTCAACATTTCCCGTCACATTTAAAGGAGGTTACGTTTTAATAACAAACGGCGGCGTGAAACAGGAAGCGGAGTGATTGACGTCTGTGGGAGCCAATGGCGAGCGAGGAAAGTTCAGCGGGGGGTGGTTTCAGCCAATCACAGCGCATGTGGGCGTTGACGGGAATTGGGGGAAATTCCACATTTCTTGATAGGCAAGGTAACAACACGTAGGAAGCTGCACACACAAACACACCAGTGGATGTATTATTATTATTATTTATTAGTTTATAAATAGAATAGAAAAATATTTCCCAACATACTTTTTTTTTTTTTTTCCATTCACACTTTCACATCATCCCTCACAGAAATATAAACTTCAAAGAAAAGGAGAATAATGCATGAAGTAATGCAGAGCTCCCTTTTAAAAAAATAAAAAATAAAACATATTAGAAAGTGCAATGTTAAAATGTGCATTTTTTTCTGACTTTCCATTGCATGTGAACACATCGTTATGCCTGCGTGCAGATGTGTTACAGCCTCAAGGGTCAGTTTTGGGTAGTAGTGAATAGAGAAACCATCATTTAAATCAGCGTGGGTTGCAGTAAATCTCTCCATCTCCAGCAGAGAGCAACATTAACTAGTGGTTTTCTTACCTTTTTCTGGTCTATTCTTACACGTTGAAGGGGTTTAGCAAGTAAAACTATCCAGGATTTCACAATAAAAAGCACAGATTGTGCATTCCTATGGAGTGAATCATCTCATGACAACTCAGATGTATCTAGTCGCCCCCTTGGATGTTGGGAACTCTTGGAAAAGACCAACTTTCAAGTACACAAATTGTATGCCCCCCCGGTTTTCATACATTTAAAGACACAAAATGTTCTGTACCAAAATACTCTTGACACAAAACATGACATTTATATCTGAAAACAAAATGTAAATGCTATTTTGTAAACCACAATGAAGTGAAAAAGTGTAAATAACCTGCAAAAAAAATGTTATTTTGCTTATTTCAGACATACTGCTTCTACAAAATCCTTCATAAAAACCAACAATCTTTGGTAAATCTAAGATGGATACCCCTCCAATAAATTAATCGTACATTCAGCCTTGTTAAGAGTACCAAAAAAGAAAAATCCAGTTTTCAGAATAATACAGTGACAAGTGTGTGATGGGGACTTCACATGCAGTTTCACATGATAAAGAGATACAGTACAGTAAGCAACATGGTTCGCCATTAAAGAGTCCACAAGTAGCTCTGTGCTCTCAGTTGTAGTCTTCATTTAACCGATCAGGATTTTATTTAGTGTCTCATCCGATTGACAAAGGCAGCTCCACTGTAGATGTAAGTGATTAACAGGTCTGTTTCAGCATTAAGTCAGTGCAGATGCTCATGGTAATTACAGGCCTGGGTAAACATACAGTAGTATCTTCAAGTCTTTGCCACTGGTTGTGTTCACCTCTGTGAGGGCAAGCTCAGTTTAGTGCACCAGTCCAGACCCTATCTGGTATCGCACTAAAACACACAAGCGTTCTCAGTTTGAATCCAGGTCTGGGTGATAAGTCTGATCAAGATTTTGACTGCGGGAGGGAAGGGTCAGAACGGAGGAGACGACTGGTCTGTGTTCACAAAGTAGGTGGTGAGTTCCCCTTTGCCCTTGACGTTGACTACTCCTCTTAGAGTGACGCCGTATCCCACGCTCTCGACCATCTGGGCTGTCTCCTCCGTCACCTGGGAGCACAGAGAAAAGAGTTACAGAAGGGAATGTGTACACTAATGAATACACACGGCCATGTAGCACTTATTAGGAAACCAGCGTCAGGAGGTAATGTGGTATGAAAACCCTCTAAAGGAATGAAGTGGGAACAATTGAAACATATTCCTGCTATTTCCTGGTGTTCTCTTTGTATTTTGAGGCGACTGCAGCTTGGAGGTCGGCTTTAATCATCACCGGGTTTATTCAGATCAGGTCTCCGTTTTTATAAATAATATTTACATTTATTTAAATTCACACCCGTCAGGTTCACGTGGGTTTTTGCATGGATCCGTTTTTGCATCAGTTCCCAAAAAGTCTGTTTTAAAACAACACCCAAGTGTCCATATGAACACTGAGACGGACTTGAAAGATTGTGAATCTATCCTTTAATTGCAATGTTGCATGTTGTACACAAACATTTTCTCCCTTTTTTTCTTTTCTTTTTATATAATATTTGATTATTTTCTTGTAATGTCTGTCTCACATATGTAGGCAAAGATAATAAAATCAAAATTACAAAAAAAAACAGCATTTTGAGAGATTCTTGCTTCTTGAATTTAAATTTGTTTGCCATGTAAACCACCTCTACACTTCTTTTGACTCTTTTTTTCTCTGACCTGTATCTTGTCCAACACTCCTGTGCTATCCATCCTGCTGGCCACGTTCACAGAGTTCCCCCAGATATCATACTGCGGTTTATGAGCTCCAATCACTCCGGCGATCACTGGACCGTGGTTTATTCCTGCAAGTAAACAACAAGGAGGGATTCGTGAGCACAGAACATACATTTCTCTCTCTTAAAAGTTGGAGGTTTAATTAATCTTGCGCACACCAGAACATATTAGGGAGAGAATTTGAAAACAGTTTCAACCTTTGTTTGTACAATTCAAACAATGAAATGACGCACAGGAACCTGCAGTGTGTATATATTATATTGCAGTTTGAACAAGAAAATAAGGATAAAGAAAACCCAGCAGGAAGTTCTGAGTCAGTACTGAATGGATCCACTGTGTGAGTTTGTCAGTCATTGTAAATTACATTATCTTAATAAACTATGGCAGATTGAGATATGGGGGCAAAGAAACAAGCCTCAGGCGCATGGCTTTTAGTATTATTTATCAATATTTATTTAAAAATAAACTCACCAATCCTGAGTTTGAAGGTGTTAAAGGAGTGTGTGTTGATGAGCTCCAGTTTGCCCATCAGAGCGATGGCGAACTCCAGCATGGAGCGCACGTGACTGTAGGATACCTCAACCTTCTGTAGAGGGAGCCAGAGATCATGTCAATATAAAGCAGTGTGTCTTAACTGGAGTGTTTGACAAGCATTTGCTTTTTAAAACATCTTTTCAAAAATGGAAAACAAACATTTTGAGACTGAGCAAACCTTTCTCTCGTCCCCTAGAGGTGACTGCGTCAGCCCCGCGGCAGCCATGTACGTACTGCCGATGGTCTTAATCTTCTCCACTGAAGAGAATTTGGGCTTAGAGAGAAGCTGCATGACAGAGAAAGTGAGACAGAGAGAGGAAAAGAGAGTGGAGTTAGAGACACAGGCAAGATGTTTCTACCTGACGATGCTGACACAGACAGTATATAATAGTATCTTCTTCCTTATACCTCATCAAAGTCTGATATGATCTCGTTGAGGAAGCGCAGACACTCCAGCCCGTCCCTGTTGGCGCTGCTCTCGCTGTAAAACTCTTTGAACTGTGGCACGGAGGCGAACATCACGCACACGCAGTCGTATGACTGACTGTACAGGTCCTGAAGCACAGTTTTGAAAAGTTAAAGATTTAATTACAGGATGACATCTGCAAATGTTGCAGCCCCAAGAGTCAAAACCTGTTCAGCTACATTTTGCACATGAATGAATGTCCATCACCTCAATGCCAACTTTCATTTCTAAGTGTCAGTTCTCTCTAAATGGTGGATATGTACTCTTTATTTTTTACTGATTCAATTGTTGAGATAGTTTAAAAGCATATTCTCCTAAAAACCCAGTGTTTTCGGTTGATCTGAAATGTATTATAACTTATAATTCACACTCTGTATACAGTAGAAAATGATAAGCACCTTTAACCACGGCATACAATTAACAGAAAAAAAGGAGGACTTGAATGGTTAATGAATACTGTGTTTTGTTTTCTCTACCTGGTTGCGAATACTTTTGCCCATGAAGAACGAGGCGACGTGGAGCGGCAGCACGTTCTCAAGGAGGAGCTTGTTGACGTTCTCCATGGTCTCCATCTCTTCTCTCTCCGTCTTGAAACAGCTCTCCAACAGGAAGTCTACGCGGCAACCCAGCTCGTCCTGAGAGAAAGACAGAGCGCAAGTATGTATGAAGACATTTCGATGTAAGTTAAACTGCATAAAAAACTATGCTCAAAACCCACGTACAAGACAGACACGCACTCCCTCTTTAAAAGACTGAAAGAAACACACCTGTCTGGCCAGAATGAGGCACACAATGTAAAAGATGACGAGCCAAACCCCGGACATGATCTGAGGGTCCTTCAGCACTCCCGGACTGTAGAAAAACACATTCACATTTATTAAGCCACACTCTCACATAATCTGGATTATACTTAACTACCACCACTCTTTTTTTCCTTCCATTACATAATTCCTCAGGCAAGAGTGTACACACACACCTTTCGCAGGCCTCTGTCTATAGAAAGCTCTTGAATAAATGATGGTGATCTGAAACTCCAGACAAGGATTCACAATCTGGACTCTTGAGTGTCAGACAAAAGATAGGAAATTCAACACCATGGCCGAGCAAGACAGACGGTGTGATGACTATAGATATCGGTGAATGCATGTTGATGAGTGGAAAGTGAACTTTAGGCAGGATTACTGAGAGTCTGTGTGGACAGGTAGCAAGCTTAAACGCATTCATATTAACGCCCGCACACTTTCATGCATCTTATTTAATAGTTTGTCGAATAAATAGTACTTGAAGCTGTTAAGTCTTACTAAGTTTATACTTTTCTTTTCTTACCTGATTGTTTTGCTTGTATGTTGATGTGTTTGTCACTGTCCCACCTGTTGGCTATTTTGTGCTAAATACTTTTATTGTGAAGAATTTGACTTCAATACTGACATGTGATATGCTGTCAGTGAATTTCACACATGTGCATGTTTTAAGCCTCTCTGCAATCTGATATATGGCAGGTCAGCATCTATCTTGTCATCTCTATTTGCAGGGCAACAGCTATCAATTATTTAGACTCTTGATTGACTGTTAAAGTTTGTTTCCAAGCGGCCCAAGTTGACGCCTTAAAACTGCCTGACATGTTCAAAAGAAAACCCAAAGCTTTTCAATTTATAATAAATTCACAAAATGCTGGAACCAGCAGAGTAAGTTTATTTTTATTATTAACTTTATTTGGGCAACAAACACAAATAAACATTACAAAGAAATCATAGTTATCCTGCTGCTGCCTCATTTTAATTAAATTAAAATAATCTTCAGGCACACACATGCTGCTCAGGTCGGCAGTGTGGAGGAGCCGTTACACAGCTGCTTTTTTGAAGAGTTGGAGTATTTGCACAGCTTTGAAATTGACACCAGCTGACGCTTCCTAATCACAACTGTTAAAATGCCTAAGGCCTAAGAAACTGATTAAAGTCTGAGACCTTTTAAAAACTAATCTGAGATGGCAGAACTCTTGGGGTGCCTAAGCTTTTGCACATGACACAATTATTTTTGTTATGTCATATCCTAAAAGAGGCTTTGTTTACATTGTCTCACGTTAAAGAAAAATGTTTTTAATATATGTTATATGTCTAACTTTTGAATATAACTCACTTGGTACTGTTGTAAATCAGGACGACGAGGCAGTGGGACCTCGGGGCGTAAACATGGAGGAAGAGGGCCAGGTAAACCACCACAGCGAGGGTGAGCAGCAGCGTCTTTACTGACAAACACGTCCTGACAAACACGATCACTCCCAGCATGGCCAGCAGGCAACAGTACAGGTAGTACTAGATGTTTGAAGAGCGGGTCGATGGGAGGAGAAACAATATGGGTTATGACAAGTATGTGTGATGTTCAAAGGTTGTACTGAAGCTCTCAACATTCGAAAGCCAAAGAACCTTTATGAACCTTTATGAATACTTCTTGGGGTTATAAAACTACCTTGCTGAAGGCAGAGATACGTTTAGGATACATTTCTCCTTTGTAAATGAAGAAATAATGAAGTAGTAGAAAGAACTAAAATACTAACTGTTCTCTTAAGGCTCTTAAGTTGCTTGGTCATGGAAAAGCTGACGTATTGTACTCAAGGTCACCCACAGACATTAAACATAATTTGGGTTCATTCATCACCTGCAATCTGTACTTTTTGATAGATAAATTGTTTTGTTTTTTATTCTTATGTTTTTCTGTGTATGTCTGTATGTGTTTTGTTTCTTTTGTGTGGGACACAACATATAAAATATGCAAAAATATATAATATATAATATATAATATAATAATTTTATACATTTGTTAGGTAGAATCACTGTTGTATTGGCAAGGGATGACGATGAGTGGAGGTTTTTAACAAGACATCACATTCAGTCCATTAAAAGCCAAGTGTTGGCCGGATTTATCAGCAAGGTTCAGAAAAAGACTTCAGGAAAAGTAAAACACAATACTGCCTCACTTTACTTCACATATAAGCTATAATGAAGATAAAACATTGATAAATAATACGGTGATATGTTAACTTACAGGCCCATTGTAGAGTCTGAGACCCTCCATCTCTGTCCTGTTAGTAATTGATGTGCAGTTGTTTCCTGGGAGGAAGACCTGAAAGAAAAAAAAAAGCAACAGAGACAAAATTTATTGATGGAACAACAAATGTGTCCATAAATGACATGGAAATAGAACAATAAAGAAAAAAGAGAAAATGATGACAAAATAAAGGAGAAGCAGGAGAGAAACTCACAAAGTTGAGGATGGCCATAAGCAGTGTGATGAGCACACAGAGAGTGACCACAAAGAGTCGCAGCGCCGCCCTGGTGGAGACACCACGGGACAGCCCTGATATCCACTGGACGCTCAACGGCATCTTGGAACGCCACTTCTGTAAACGAACATACAAACAAACATTTAACACAGAAATGTAAACCTTTTATATTGTACATCACCTGTTAATATGAAACTAAAGTTCTTACCAATACAATTAACATATTATATTTACCTCCAAGTATCCAGTGAAAGCGATGGACAGCAGCAGCACCAGCACAGGGAAGGTCGCACCGTACGACACGGCCATCTCAAAGTTACTGGGAGAAAACAAATAATTTACACTGTTTATCCATCATTTGAGAATGAGCAAATTTGGATTTTACTTTCATTTCATTCAGACATAATGAGTATGAGTACATTAAACTAAAGTGGTTGCATGACTAAAATGTGACAAAAGGGCTACTCACTTTGGAGAGACAAGCATCTGGACGGCGAACAGAGTAACGAAGATCAAAGATATGCAGCTCATTGAATGGTGTAAACCCTTAACTTCTGAGAGACGGAACTGGAAGAACAACACACAGATATTAAGACAAACGCAGTAGAAATAATAGATTTGCAAACAAAAAAAACACATACTTTATTGTACATCATGCTTGTTTCTACTCTAATGCATGCATACATACTATTGCATGTATGACTCGCTTTACTTCTCTTAGGTTAAACCAGAGAATGGGGCTACCTGTCTCTCCAGGCTCAGGTCGTTGAACAGCAGAGTCAAACAGTTGAGCTTCTTTAATCTTCTCCTTAATAGAAAATACAAAAAAAATCAGATAAGAACTCAAAATATCTATAAAGTCAAATAAATCAATGGATTTATCTATTTTTACAAAGATAATGACTTCTATTCACAAGCTGTTGTTTAATATATTAAAAGAACAATGAGACATGTTCTTATGGCGTTCTACAAGCTAACACAGAAGGAGCAGAGTAACCCAAAAACAATCTACAGCATCATTTTGATGAACTTACCCTGCAGTCTCTATCGTGTCCAGTGATCCCCTAACACGATTATCCACAACCAAACTGGGACAACACAAGAACACATTAGATTAACAGCTTTAAAAACAATACACTGCATTCCTGATTCAACTAGTGGGTTCAATCATTCAATTTAGGACTTAAACTTAAATAAAATAACACTGTTATTAATAGATCTTGGAACTTACTAGCTCTGGTAAGGTGGTCCTTCCTGAAGCAAACACACACAAACACAACAGCATGAATGACCTAATGTCACCTCTCATTTAAATATACAATACAGACGTTATGATCAAACACTGGTGAGAGACAGACAAAGGACCAGGAGGTGGTGCGTAATATTTACTGAAGGACTAACCATTACAAAGACCACGTGTTCCTGGACAATGTATATACTTACAACAGGAAAACAAACATATCATTTCTCTATATATGTACTATGTCTGTGTATGTCCACTTATATGTATTTTTTTACTTTCATGCACAGCTCAATATGTGGGAGAAACTAACTAAGCAACAAACAGGGGAGCAGCACAAATACATACCGCAGTCAGCTGCGATTGGTTCATGACCGCGTTGGTGGGGATGATTTTCTTCTTGGAGGGCTTGGCGTCAGGATTGCTTAGGTCTGCGAAGGGGTGGATTGTCCGCCAGGACTGCAGGTACTGAGACATCCGGACCGACGCACGCTGTCTGTTCTCTCCTGTCGCAAGACTGTTTGCCTGAAATTAACACAGAGATTATTTAACTTTCTTCCCCTCCCCGAAGCGAGATCACAGCAGAAAGTACCATTGCAGCAATTAAAGAAATAGTCTCTTTTAAATGAGCTTTTCAAAATATACACATACGCAGTCTATGTCAGGAAGTTCCATACTTATCTAACCAGAATAATCAGTTAAAAGTTAAAATGTCATAACTGTATTTTTTCTTTCACAAGGTCAACAAAAAAGTACATAATCCAGTACAGATAACAGGCTTGTAACTACAAATAAACCACAAATATACTACATTGTGGTGCACTCAATTTGTAGATGGGCACACATGTGACACAAAAACCCAACTACAACTATCACCTACCACTTTAGGTCTCCTTGAAATGCTGTTCGGTTTGTGTGGGTCAATCACCAGGTAGGTTTTTCTTCCCGTAAGAAGAGGATCCCGAGTCCCCCCATTCCCCTCCTCCACTTGATACGCTCCATTCAAGTGCTGCAGTGTCTCCTCTGTGATGTGGACTCGCCTATTAATAATAATAATAATAATAATAGTATTAATAACAAAACTAAGCTCAACATCTATCAATGTAACTCTACCTCTGAGCAGACTTTATGATTTTCTCACCCAGGAAGTCCTCCGGACTCCATGTGGTTGGCTAACGTGACGTCATGTGACCACACGTCGTACTGCCATTTCTGCAAGCCGATGACGCCACAGAGCACGTTGCCGGTGTGAACGCCCACCCGCATGCTGATCTCAACCCCCGTCGCCTCACGCAGTTTACTACAGGGAGATAAAAAGTATTAGTAAAATCAGAATAACAAAAATATTCAGTCCAGTTAACTTTCACGTTATTTGGAAATAACTTTTATTAAATGTTTTTACACTGTTTTATGCATTGCACCAAAGAGACAAAACATTAAGATAAATATGTTATAAAACAAACTGTCACACTAGTAAAACTTACTGTAATGCTATCTTTAATTAAACTATATATCTCACATTTTAAGTATCCTAATTTCCAAATATTCCTATAGATTTAGTAAGGAGACATAAAAACTTCAAATTTAACATTAAAAATAAAACAAGATGACAAAATTAAGGTACCTAACAACTTTCTCTCATTGTATACCACATACATTTAAAGAAATCTGTTCTGAATCCCATACAACTGAGCACTAAAATCCCCATTAAATGCAGCAGGACGAGACAAAACCTTGCTTAAAATGTGCAGTTTGAGAATATGGTGGTCATTTTACATATTGTGGCGGTGCCATGAACACCATAAGGAAGTTACACGGTACACTAGCATCAGATGCAAATCAGGAGCACTGAATAGCTTTTTTATTCCCGAGGCTGGGAAAACAGAAATAAGGTGTAAGGCAGCTCAACACAAAGAAAGAAAGCACAACACAAATAACTGTTGAAATAAATGTTAAACAACTCCAAAAGAAGACAAACTGGAGAAGCAAAACTTCAGATAAATTCAGATAAACTGACCTGATGGCAGTACACATGTCCAGTCCCATCTGAACACAGTTCCTGGCGTGGGTGGGAATGGGGTCAGGGAGACCAGATACACAATAGTAGCAGTCACCCAAGATCTTAATGCGAAGGCACCCGTTTTTCTACAGACAGAGACAGAGAGTCAGACACAGAATTAACTAGTTCCTTACTAACACAGAACTGTCCTCTGTGAAGAGGTGTGATGGTCTTTTTTTTTTTACCTTGGCGATGTCGTCGAATCTGCCAAAGAGCTTGTTGAGCACAGCGACCAGCTCTTCTGGTGAGCAGGTACTCGCCAGCTTTGTGAAGCCCACGATGTCTGCATACAGGATGCTGCAAGAACCCACACAGATAGACACAAATATTAGGCACGTAGTCACATGATTACAGCCTTTAGTGACTCGTCTCTACAGAGTCGATACAGTATATATAAGACAGGTACACAAATCCATCCAAATATCAACAAAAAGTTAATGGATAGAAGTTCTGGTTGTGAAAAGCTACTAAGCATCCCCTTAAGAACGTAACACGACCCTCACCTGACGTCTTTGTGCTGCCGTATATAGAGGCTGTGAAAGTTGTTGAAGTTGGATTCATTCTCCTTATCGCTCATGGGCTTGGAGAGCCTCTTTATCACCTCCGACTTCAGCTCCACGGCGATGTACCGAGGCAACACCGACAGGAGGAGCTGCTCCTGTTGCCAAGGACACAGAGAGGACGGGGGTAAAGATGTGTACAGAGAAGGTGGGTGATGAGTTTTGAAAAAACCTTGAGCTCTGGGGTCTTATTTCTTACACTCGTGACAATCTGTTCACAAAGGCTGTAAAAGAAAACAGGCGGCCATGAAAAGCCTCTTTGAAGCGATGCCATGTTTACTTAGTGGATCACGTTTCATCTTTTTGTTTACTTGCTGTAAATAGTATCCATTTGGGTTTGCCTGGTCTATTGCTGCCGGGCTTCAGACAAGTGAATGATTAATCTATTGCCCTAATAGCCAGAAAAGCATACAGTAACCAACGCAGGCTGTTCAGGTGAAGGGCCCTTTAATGAGAACTATTACACTGATAATGATTTTAAATTCACAGAAGAGACCTATATTGGACTTCTACAAAAGTATCCTTATACTTAGTATCAAATCATCAATGGAGTATGTTAATATTCACTCACTTTTATAGTAAAAATAAGACTTGTGTTGCATTAAATGCCTTTTAATAAAACAGATAATAATGTGGATGTTTTTTTTTATATAAGAAGTGACCCTCACTGACAAATAAAGGCTAATTAAAAGCAATTTTGACGTTAAATAAAAACCATATGGTCTAATGAGTTGAAGCCAGTGTTTTACCTGCTGATACTTCCTTATTTCCTTCTGGGAACGTATTTTACTGAACTGTTCTCTCTTCTGATTGGAGATCCTGAGATCGCGCTCGGTCATCCACAAATGGAAAATCCCGATGCAGTTCACGCACACAAACAGCAGCGCGTTCGCCACCAGCTGAGAAGGAAGTCAGAGGAAGAAGAGAGAGGGTTATTGTTACTTTGTCCTCATGCATTTTTATACTATCTGAAAACTGCCTTTATACGTTTCAGGATTTCTCTGGTAACCAGTAATGAGTGATGCAGATTATTTGCATTTTTTCCAGTGTAACTGTTCACTCTGCAGATCACAAGCCACAAAACAGGACTGTGCGAGCTCACTTAACCTTCACATGAATTTGGATGCTATTCTTTTTGGCACATGCAAAGAGAGCACATTTATTCAAAAAAGCTAATTTGCAAATCGTTGCCTGTGTTGACATTTGAAGCTTTATTATGTGCAGCTATTTGTTTTCCCCTGTAATTAACTATGTACAAGCATGGACAAACGAAAGCTGTGATTATAAATTATGTGAAATCTATTTAATATATTGTGTTAATTAGTAGGCTTCATTTTCTTTGTACCTTTGAACAGAGCTAGGCTAGCTGTTTCACCCCTTTCTTTTCCAGTCTTTATGCTAAGCTAGGCTAAACTGTTCACTAACTGTTCACTCTAATGTATTCAAACACAGCAAATCTTTCACCTGCACTGCCAGGTCTGGTGTCTCTGGGCTTGTGACAGGGACGTAGACACTGATGATGACGATGTGCGATACGCTGGTCCCTATCCCAACCATAAGGGCCCAGGCCATAGAGAGCGGCAGCACTGTGTACACACTCAGAGAGAGGAAGAGGAAAAACGCTACCTGAGGAGGTAAGAGAGAGAGTGAAGGAGAGGAAGAAGAAAGAAACGTGCAGAAAGATGCAGAGAGTTAGAGGTTAATGACAGTTTAAAGAATAAGTCAACTAAAATCAAGTCTTGTTATTTCCTTCTCACCTGTTCCCACGTATTGATATGTTTTTCGGTGAAGATGAAGACTATGGCAGTGATGTAGAGCGTCCCCCAGACGAAGAGGGCCAGGGCTCCTCCACAGCGCCTCACCGTGGCCAGCCAGGGCAGGCAGACGAGCAGGACGGCGCTCAGACAGAGAACCACACACACCACTGACAGAGCGCCTACGTGGTCAATGATGTTCTAGGCGGAGATTGGGCAAAAACTGCTAATTAGTGCGTTAAAGACAGTTTAACAAAGCAGCATTAATGTCTTCAAAGGCTATTACAGCTGCATAGATGCTGTGTGGTACAGAGGAAAACAAGCTCTTCATGTTATTATGCATTTGCAAAGACCTACCTAGCATTGTCCTATTTTGATTAAGCTGTTTACTATCCAAAAAGCACCTGTCTGCTCTACACTAGAATGAATGCCTTTATTCATTAGACATGAAAGCCAGGCTTAGCTTTAAACAGCTGGTGCAATGTTTTTAATCTCATCCTGCCATGTGAAAGTAAAGGTATTTTAATTTCTGCGATCAGACAAAGTGATTTTTTCTGATATTTAAGTAATAATTCTACAAATAAAGGGTAAAACTCTATGTAATTGGTTGTCAAACTCGCAGCACCCTGGCCTTTTCTACTTTTATGATGTTAGAAAACATAAAAAAAAAACTTGAAGATTGATGATGATGGACCAAGAAACTAAAGTAGAACATTTCAGTTCATGAGAAACAAAACAAAAAAAGCACCAGTTCCCGTGCAAAAGTGCAGAATACTCAGAAACGCAGAATACACCACAGATACCAATATGCAAAAGGTAAATGCTCCATTACATCCTGTTTGAGTTATCTACAGCACTGCTAACAATTAAAAGTTTATATTTCAAGAGGAAAAAGTCATCATTTAGAGCTTAAAAGAAAGGTTTCTTTACAACTCCGGTGTCATGGTTGTAGTTTTGTCCAATAATGTGGACACAAGTTACTACCACGATACAAAGTTTTCAGTTTAATAAATCCAATAAGCAAAGATAGCAATGTGTTACGTTTATCTTTTTCATTGCAGGTTGACGCAAGTGACCTACATACTGTGGGAATGAGAAGTCATGCAGACTGATGCTAATGATGCACAGAAGTGTTGTGGTGTTTTCGGAAGAACAGGTTTCATTCTCTATTTGGCCCTCGGCCCCCAGCGAAGTCAGCTATAAAACCTTTTTTCAGCAAAGTGCTTGTGTTGACAGCTGCAAGTAAGTGAGTGAGTAATTATAGTTTAAATTATTTACAGCCTAAATGATTAGTCGGATAATTAATCGATCGATTGCTAGAAAAACAATCAGCAACTTTTTTTAAATGTGATTTTTCAAGCAAATATCTTGAAAATACTACAAATTCTCAGGTTTCAGGTTCTCCAGTTTGACGACTTTCTGTTTTTCTTTTGGAGTCAACATGAAGTTTGAGACGTTGTTTCTCTGAGGTTTCATAGATCAATAGGAACAATAATTGGCAGATTTATCAATAATGAAAGTAATTCTTCATCTAATCATCATTTAAAGTGTCAGAAAAATGTCAGAGCTCAAGGTGATGAGCAAATCCTCACACTTTTACTCGATAAATAACTTAACTATTAGTTGATTATCAAAACTGATATGTATTTGTCAAACAGAAACATAGCAGGTTGTGAAATAAATGTAAAGTTTAATAGTTTATGTGTGTACATACGCAAAATACCCTGCCCTCTCTCTCCCACACACACACACACACACACACACACATACTCTTTCTCTCCATGTCTCACCTCTCTGGTGGTGGGAATGAGGACAATGATGACCACGCAGAAAGCCAAAGACAGCACCAGTCCAGACAACATGGCCGGCGTCTCCTCCACGCACTGCAGAAAAGCCCTGTGGAACGCCTGATAGCAGCAACACATCCCCTCTTTCACAGTCCGCCTGGACTGGGTGCTTCGCCTGTCCTCGTCTCTGTCCTCCTCGTCCCACCTCATGTCAATGCTGTCCCTCGTTTGGTAGATTTTGACTGAAGTTTCTGCCGTTTCAAAATTGTCTCTGTCATTGTCTGAACTACTTTTGGTGTTTTTGTCAGAAGCGTCTAAATTGGGTTCAGATAAATTGACAGGGGAGATAGTGTTCGTCTTTTCAAAGGAGCTTCTATCGAGCTCAGGTAACTCTTCATCGCCGAGGTCAGTGCTGAAAGTGGTGTTAGCGTAGCCGGGGCTGGATTTTGTGCTGCTGTAGTCGGAGTCGCTGCATCCGTTTGCTTGTGGTGAAGTCCCGTTGCTGTCAGTTTGCGGCCTATCAGAGGATGAGTTCACCGGGGCGTCGTGATCCGTAGCCTGCAGAGTCACGCCTGTCCCCTTCAACAAAGAATTGGCCTTGAGAGGTTCAGGGGCCTTCGCTGTTTTCGCGACACCCACCTCCACAGAAACTTGGGGTTTATAGTCTCCTGAATGCAAAATGTCACCGTCACTGCTCTGCGCAGATTGTTTTACGCCATCTGTTGTTCGACTGAAGTCGTCAAGCTCCAGGATGTTGCCTCCAGTGTTTTTGCCCTTCCCATCACCGGAGACGGCCATAATGTCTGGCACCAAAGACACCTGCGATTCTTCTTCTCCAGGCCTCCCCTTTTCCTGAAAACCTTGTGACTCGTCTGGCATTGTGACCTGTGCGAGTGTGAGGGATCCCACCGTCTATCGACTTGTCACTTCGTGTTTTCTGGCTGTCCGTCTCTCCGTCTGCTTGTCTACATGATAAGTACACTAGGATGGTGTTACCTTCTTTATCTTGTCCTTGTCGGCAGGTGTTGTTTGTGTCTGTGCAGCAGGAGAACGTTCCACCTATGTCTGTGTGTCAGATTAAATAAATAAATCAAATTTGAGACTATCCCAGTGAGAGTCCAGCTCCTCTGCTTCAAATACTCTCCTACAGCTAAAAAGATATCATACAAAATAGATTAATATGATGAAGACGGTGACACACGTTCCTTCTGGGGTCGCATTGATCCATTAAGGTCCCAAAGATCGCTGATAAGGAATCTTAAACCGTAGCATAATCTCCTTTGACGAGTGCTGATCCATGCCGGGTGGAAGAGGAGTCCTGCTGCCCAAAGAAAAATAATAAAAAAGTTACAACAAAATCAGCACAGAGCAGAATAAACATACAAATTCCCTGCTGAGACTCTATGTGTCCAATGTAAAGCCAGCCTGGAAGCCACACACAAAGTTCTGATTCCAGCTAAATGACAAACTTCTTTTAGTCGTTTCCCCATTATGCAAAAAAAGAAACTTGTTAGTCTAGCTGCGCGCTCTTCCCCAATGACACACACTCATGCACAACACACGTACACACTGTTCAGGTGTGTACTGGAATGACAATGTCAGCGACGCACCCAGCGCACGTTAGAAACATTTTTTTTTTCCAGTCACCACCTACACTTGGTTCAGTTTTACTTTGATCTGCCTCTGTGCTGCTTTCCTTTTCTGTTTTCTCCTTCCCTATCATCTGAACTCAGACACACAACTGTCTCTCACAACACGACAGATCAGTGTGCAAAATATCACAACTACCTTCCTCTGCTTTGCTCCAGCCTCAAACATTATATCCCAGGATTAAAAAAATCTATTTAATCTGTCTCTTCTGCTACAGGTACACATCTGATTTAACAGCAAAACCACGGAGGGATTACACAGTAATTCATTCACCAGCTAACCTTGATTGACCTTATGGTTTGCCCTTTTTACATGAAATGACAACAATCTGGTTTCTTTTCTGCGCTCTCACAAGTGAGCTACTGTGTTTCTTCTTTAAGGCGAACCCACTTCTGTTACACTGTGTGGTAGTGCATTTATTGTTCTTTGTTTGTGTGTGTTTCTCTTCCACTGGTGTCCCTTTTCCCTGTCTGCAGGTTTCACTACTCTGTTCTGCTTGTCTCTTGAGAAGCACTTTGCAAAAGAGGAGAGGGGTTTTCCAAAAAGTAACACAGGTTTTTTTTTTGTTCAAAGTCAAACCAGGAGGAACACTGTGTAGTTATTTCTTTTTTATTTCATATTATTTAAATAGTTAATAGTTTATTCAGTGATTTCCCGGTTGAGATCATGGTAGACGCAGTTAATTTGACTTTTCAGGCACTTTTAGAAGATTTACATTTTACAAATTACAGATATTGGCTACAATCTTCTATTGCAGTTTAACATAAGGCTGCAACTTTCTCTTCATTATTCCATTGTTTTCTCATCTATCCTAATTGTTTTGTTTTCTATAAAAGAGTCCAAGATAAAGTCCTCCAATTACTAGTTTTGTTCCTCTAACATTTTGTTATTCATGTATAAAAGGGAGCAACCAAGTTCAAGTTTAAGCTTGTTTCAGCTCTAATCCTTTATTGAATATCACATATCCAGCTTCTTCACTTATTCTAGTGATAAACAATGTCATTTGTCTCATGTCTAACCACGCAGATAGAGAGATTAACCTTACACCCTCCAACGCTGAATTTCTGAATTTGAATTGTGGCAAAAGATGTTATCACCAGTGGGGAAAGCTGAATGCTGATGATGAGTGGGAACAAAGCTATCTTTATAAATCTAACTTTACGTGTAGTGTAAGGTAAAGGATGCCGCTGTGCAAAGCAAAAGCCTTCATGAAAGTCCCTTTAATACATATATAGGACTTAAAACTCCAGCATTAAGTCATTTTTATCCTGTTAAAGTATCGTGTTTGCTGTCTAACTTTGTCACTAGCTGTTATTTTATATCCCTATTATCGGTTCAGTCACTTAAACAACAACAAAAACACCGAGTTTAAACGTTAACAATGTAGTAATAATAATGTTTGTAAGGATAAATAATGTTCTTACCTCATTGTTTATTAACCTTAACGCCTCTCTCGTCCTCACCTTTTAACGTCAGTCGGCTCACACACACACGATAAGGTTAATTTCCCTCTGCGTCAACTTCCAACGTCATCTTTCTACTGCTGCCACAAACACGTTAAAGCTTCAAAAGCGGGTAAAAAGTAAAAGAATATGCCCTTAAAATAGACTTTTCTCTCTCTATATAAACATATATATATATATAAAACAGGTGTTAGAGAAGAGTCTGCGTCTGCTCTGCGCACGAGAGAGTTTCTGTGTGTGTGTGTGTGTGTGTGTGTGTGTGTGTGTGTGAGGTTTGAGCGCGAGGCAGGTGAGTGAGTGTGCGGGGGCGCGAGCACCGCGAGCACGAGCGCTCTGGTCCAGCTATGCAAATAGGATGGAGGTAAATAGAGAGGTAGAGGGATGGAGATGGAGAGAGGGGAGGGCAGGTCAAAGGTCGAAGCGATATATTAATAATGAGTTATAATATGTTCTTTATGGTTATTTTAGAGTTTAGTTTGTGGTGCTGGTTTATTTAAATGGTGTTATGTTACAAAAAAAAAGAGCACAGCTTCCCATATGCACAGTTTAAGGAGTATTTATTATTTGTTTTAAGGTTTGAAGATGATAAAAGTCTTCATCAATCAGTGCGAGCCTTCGTTGTGTTGTTCCAACTTCCAAAAAAAAAAATTATAAAAGTTCAAATATTCCTCCTTTTGCTGGAGACCAGTGCCTGAAATGAGCCATATGAGTACCCTTACTTCTTCCACCTCTGCTGAGGATGGTCAAAAAGGTCTTGACCCTTTTTTTCCCAGTTAAAGTGAAACTGACTGCCTTAAAATATATATATAAGAACCCCCGATGGCAAGTTCAGTGTTTTGTTTTGGACCTCAGTGTTTCTAAAACGTGTGTCTGCTGGTGAGGTTCTCCTTAACACCCACATAACTGCGTCTCTGTGTAAACCCAGCCAGCTTAACACTACGAAAATGTCAAACGTTAAAGATCTATGGTGTGTTTAGGGGTCAGGGTTGTGCTGGCACCTTTTTTTTTTTATCCAATTCCAGCACTGCTGCAAACCCCTGAAATTGAGGGATGTTACTTATATTGCGTCTGCATACATTTTTAAGACTAAATGTTCCCAACACATATTTTTAACAGCACCACAAACCACTGCCGAAGCTATTTTGCTACACGGAGCTATATGTGATGAGAACAACAACTGACTGCTGACCACTTAAAATAAAAAAGAGGGAACACTGTATCACACCATATAGGCCTAAAAATAGAGAAACAAACAAAATGTCTTGCTCTCTCTCTAACCAGTTCCTCTACTGTCACCAGTTTCACCAGTTTGAAAAGGCTAAAAACTAAAGAGCATGCACTCTGCCAACCAACCCTGTATAACAGCTGAACTGAAGCCTCTTTATTTCTCTCTCCTCTCCGTGTGTACCTCCTCTGTCTTATTTGTTTGTTTTTTTTTCAAGTCAAACATGTTTATTGGTGTAGTAATATTTCCCTATATTGGCAAACAAGCAATTTTACGACCTCGGCAAACACAGACGCCGTTACACTGTCGTAAAGACGGTGCCGCTGCAGGTTTTAGTGCCACATGGAAACAGTGTAGTCTTCATGGAGATGCATTGTTTCATTATAGATGTATCCTATGGCTGATGCAGTATTTAACACTGTTCTGAATGAGCTTTCCAGAGGTACTTAGTACATTTAACTTAGTGTAATATTAGAAATACATCCACTATTTCCATTTTTAAGAGACAATCCACTACATTTACCTCACAGCTGTGTGAAGATTACAGTTTCACCTGCTAAAACGAACACCTTCATGGCTTAAATCCCCCTTATTGGTTCACCTGGATTAAGCTACTGCTCATACGCTATCTAACACGTAAGTGATTTAAAACCCTATAATGGTTGGTTTGTCGGTTCTGGGCTGCCATAGAAACATGGGGGTTCAACATGACGGCCTCCGTGGAAGAGGACCCGCTCCCTCTGTAGATAAAAACGTCTCATTTTAAGGTAACAAAAACACAGCAATTCTTATTTACAGGTGATTATACACCAATGTAAACATACCTGTGAATATTCTGCCAATAGATCCTCCTAAATGTTACACACTGGACTTTTAACACACATTTTTGGATTATTATCTACATATTCTTCATACTTGTACCCATCCTATCCTCTTTGTTTACTCTGTGTATACCTGTGTATTTTTTTATTTTAAAACAAAAAACAAGGCAAATTCCTGATTTACAAACCTGATTTACATAAAAGATTGAACTGTAAATGCCCCCCCATGTTGCTTGAGTAGTTAAATAAGCATTTGTAAGTATGAAATAATGCAGAACAAAGGGGAATCTGGATATAGCCCAAGAACAGAATGCCAGCCAGTTAAACAAAGCGAAATTTAAACAGGAAAACAAGCAACTAAACGAACAGTCAAGAGAACAACACAGTTTAACATTCACCGAGGAATACACAATACAGGTTGTACTTTCACTTTCTCCTCATCTCTTTCTAAAATAACCAATCAAATAGGGTAACTAGTAAACAAAAATGGGTAAAGTTGCAGTGATTTATGCTTCCTTTGAGCAATATTTTGGCCACACACATTCTTATAAGTACTTTTATTGAAGGGAAGTTCAGTGAATTCACACACACACACACACACACACACACACACACACACACACACACACACACACACACACACACACACACACACACACACACAATCTGAATAAATGAAACTGAAGTTATATAAGACATCATGCAGCTTACTTTGCATGTAAAGGCAAGTCAAGCATCTCGGGTAGTTTCATAGCACTAGAATATTTTTTTTTTTATTGTGTTTATTGTTACGATTGTTGTGAATACTTGTGGTCGATCTAGCATATAATACTGACTTCAGAATCATGCACAAACATGTTGCCCTGGTGAATGCTGGGAGGCTTTCCACTGCACCCACTCTCCTCAGATGCTAAAATATTTTATAATTTATAATTTTCTAATTAACTTGGACATATTTACATCATTTGGTAGACAGTTTCCAAACAAAACATGCCAGATTAGAGTCATCTGTGCCTTATAAATAAGATTTCTCCTCTCCCGTGATACTTTCTCTTCCATCAGGAGTTTTAACGCACACACTGTCACCTGCCTGTACAACCCGTTGGCCTGTAACCTCTCTCAATTATTGTGCTGTATTCAAATATGTTAATAACTGGTGTTACAAAGAGACCTACAGCCACCACCCAGTGCATCTCCCTTTGCTTTTAAACTCCTGAACCAGACGTCACCAGACATGCTGGATATGATTTACTGGGCAAGCCTCTGTCTTACTCAGGATGTTCCCAAAATAGATGCGCCGTCTATTTTCTCTATTGTTTACGACTCACCTAACCGGTTTAATATGCATCTATTCTAGGAAAAAAGCGCCTTATATTCCTCTGTGAAGGCCAAAAAAGAAACAAGCCATCTTACATTAAGGCTTAAGCTCGGTTTCCTGTGTAAACACAAAACACATGTATTGTTTAATCAACAGAAAGAGTCACAATAGCAAGAGGAAGCGGAAGAAGCCGAAGAAGACAGAAAAAAATACAACACACAGAACGACATTCCCAACATTTTGCAGATGCAGCTTGTCTATCATCCTCTCCCTTTACCTCTCAGGCATTAAAGAGGAAACATCACCTGAGAAGAATCCCTTTCCAATAAATTGGGAGTGTAAAATTATCATTTAATCCTGTAATCCTTAATAACACAAGTTCAGGCCAGAACACCCTCCCCTGAATTAACAAAGAAAGGTTGTTCATAGAGGATCTAAGAGGACAAACACTATTCGCATTTGTAGTGATAAGTTACGTTTACGTGAAGGGGGAAACTTTATAATAACCTTTCATAGATTCAGACTTATATAAGCTGATTTAAACTGATAATATCTAAAATAACTGAAGTTTAAACATGAAACTGTGGTAAAAACATAAGTTGTTAGGAAAGGAATTTCTCAAAACATGCACAAATCATTGAAAACAACATTTTATAGAATTTGTACCATATGTTATATAGTGCATACCAACTAATTAAAATCTATTAACCTAAGTTTATAATGGTCACGCTCTTCCCTCAGATGAATAAAGGTGAAGGGCGACCTCTGGTGGAAATTGTCATGAATGTTGAGAGGTTCATACTCAGGCAACGTTACCCTAAGATAATATATTGTTTTGCACCTAGACAGCAGTGACTGAGGTTATCCTGAACCCAATATTAAACCACACATGATCTCCTTAGTCTAATAATTTCCTTCATCTTTCGATGAGTCAATTAGTACTTAAAGTGCTTAAATTAATCATATATTTTATCATAAGCAAACAACTTTATAACAAACTTGAATGAAACCAAAATTGAATTAACAACGTGACATTTTAGCTTGTCAAACACAGGTGTAACTGATGTTATCCGCTGCATTTCAAATAATAAGCCATTGTTAATGTTATTAGTTTCACCTGTGCTGTTCATATGACAAGTTTTAAAAGGATATCAATCACTGGATATGGCACAAAACACTGGGAATCAGTGATCCAGCTTGTGTTTATGTTTCACTGGTAAAGTTAATATTTGTGTGTGTGTTTGTGTACTCAAACTACTTAAACTGATCAGTGGGAGCTCACAGATGATGTAAGATTAACTATTTGGAAATCAACTAAAAACATGACCAGCTATAACCTGCAGAGCATGCTTGTAAGACAAACTTCTTATGCTAAAGTGCATTATTTCTGGGGCAAAAACATACCAGATTAGAGTCATTTATGCCTTATAAATACTTAATTGATTTGGTGAAGTACAGGTCAAGAAGGCAGGTTAAAAAAAGAACTAAATTTGATTGAAAAGTGAATGTTTTTTTCATCTAGATTACACATAACAGCTGAAACATTGGTTATATGTAACCTAGATTTGTTCTAGGACAGAGGAGAATGAAACAAGAGAGAAATTCAGCACCACAGAGTATCATGGAAACACTTTAAAGACCAAGATTAATTTATATTGTTTCATCCTTTTAATTAAGAAATATTTTAATACACAAACATGGGCAGAATGCAGCATCAAAAGTCTTAAAATGTACATATATAAACAATACAAATAAGATGACTCGATAGAGGCCGGACTGAGGATCTGCTCTTCAGTCAGAGATAGAAAAAAAACACTTGCTATCATCTTCTTTCTCCCCTCATAAAGCAGGGACACTCTACAGTCATGACAACACCAGACCTGTTTAAAATAAGTTAAAAACACAACGCTGAGTGTACAGAATATGGTAAAGAACGGTTTAGTATTATTCTAGCTTGGAAACATTACATCTAACCCAACAGCGGGTGGTGCTAATGTACAAATCTCACCCAACTCACCACATACAACAACTATCCACACCTCTTCACGGTATCATGTGCCTCCCACACCTTGTTGTCTGCAGTAGTTCTTTTGCTCTAAAGGGCAAGTATAAAATCTGAAGATTACAATGCATTCAGAATAACAACAGAACAATATATAGTTTTTATATATTGTTCTAAAAAGGTCACATGTATTTATTTTTTAAGACCAGAGAGAGAATGAATTATCCCACTAACATGGCTGCACAATGAAAGACGTGTGTGTGTGTGTGTGTGTGTGTGAAGCTGTACTTGAGCTGCTCACATCAGCATACAAACAAACAAATGCTCGCAGGTAACATTTACCATATTCTTATGTTACTTAACACAAGGTACAGCTGAGGCTGATGGGAATGTCATTAGTTTTGCAGGTATTTGGTCATAAATGGAATTAAATTTCAACATCAAAGACATTGGGATTCATCCTCTAGGGACCATAAATGTCTTCACAACATTTCATGGCAATCCATATAATCCATATAATATAATAGTTGTTATGAGATATTTCAGTCTGGACCAAAGTGGGGGGCCGATATTAGCATGGCTAGCGTAGCTTCAACCTAGTGGGTTAAGTCCATCATGTAGAACAAAAGCCCATTTTCTATTATTTGAGGATTTAAGGGGAATTTCCTCCCAAGGTAAGCACCCCTAATGTGTGACAACAAAGATAGATTATCAACTGATGATGTTAAAATGGATCAAGTGTTCATCAGTGTGGTCTGCAGCGGGTTTAATTCTGTGGTGTTTAATTTCCTTATGGGTCCAAGTGACCGTGTCTAGCAGCTGTTTGAATCTCTTCCCACCTGTCCTTTCTAGCTAAATTTAATTTAATATTTTAAGGGAGAAGAGAGAGGGAGGTGAAGGCAGGTGAGGTAGATGGGAGAGGATGAATCAAGGCCACTGGAGGATGAGCAGGAGTCAAGGTTGCTTTGGATAGGGAAGACAAAAGTTTGTAAGTTTTTTTTCGCTGTGGTGGATCGGGGACAGGTCACATCTATGGGTAAAGATAACTCCATAAAATGACTATTTTACAATGATTAGACAGCTGACGGTGGACAGAAACAGCGATACATGGGACAAAGAACCTGCATTCAAATGCACAATACCATTGTTAAAATATATGCTTGTTTGACTGTCAAAAGTAAGTTGGTGTTCTTGTATAATAGTTCTTAATGCAGGTCAGTGATTAGCCTGTGTGATTTGTTGTTGTTGCTTTGGTGGCAAACGCAACTATATCGCTTAAACCGAGGCAAATTCAACCTGACAAAAGACTAACGTGTGTCTAATCCTTCTGTTGCTCCAGGATCATATCAGACAGCACATTGATGTCCGTCTCTGATGGGTGGCACTGCAGCACCAGCGCCACCATGTTGTCCTGACCCGCAAAAACTTGACAGAGCTGCTCTCTAAGTCTGGCCGTTTCCTCTGGGCTCCTCTCTGCCCCCGAAGCTCCAAACGGCCTGTGCTGGTGTCCCCCGTCCCATCCTTTCCCATGTCCTCTCCCTTTACCCCGGCTCCCTCCGCGCCCCGCATCCAGGGCTCCACCCAGTGTTCGGTCGCGGAAGTTCAGTACCTCCGTTTGGGAGCGTGGAGGTTTGGAGGAAGGGAAAGTGGTGGCTACGCAGGCAAAAGAGTGGTTTCCTGGGTCAGGAGTCCTGAGAGGGAATAAATACTTAATTAAGAGAATTATGTACAGTTATTTCCTCACGGTATGCTAAATTGCTGTGTGTCTATCTGTAGCGTGTGTGGTTATTAATACCTGTGCTCTGAGCGTAGGAAGTCATCCAGGTGAGGCCCTCCCCTGCCCAGAGGGTCGTCCGGCACCATGAAGTGATCTCCAACAAACGTGTACTGAAGAAGTCTGGGAAGGAAGCAAGAGAGCATACCAATGTATTTAGTGGACTAGTCCTTTAAAGCAGTTGTTTTCATACAGGAAAATAAAAGGTAAAAAAGAAAATATTATACATATTTTAATATTTATTCAGCGAAAGATTGTGGAATATGTTGATACCGTTTTTTTTATCCAGTAACATCACCTTCACATATATTTATGAACATACAAGGGTACAAATGTGGATGTATACTGTTACTTCACATAGCTCTTTTGAGGACTACTTGTATTAGTGAAAACAGCAAAGGTGGCATGAATCCTGCCAACCAATTTCTCTGTATTTCAGTGATGCCTGACAAAGTAATGGGCAATTTTTTCTATCAGAAAGCTTTGTCACATCAAGTTTTTTGAGGTTTGAAGCAAATTAAACATGGAAAAACACCCCTGATTGAAACAATTATTGCTGGTAGATCTAACCTATAATTCAACTTGCAGTAAGACTATGGAAGCTGTTCACATTTGAGTGATGTGAAGTCCGTTTATACCTCTTTTTGATGATGTCCCTCCATACAAGGGACTCATCTGAAAGGTCTCTCAGGTTGTCGTTGGTTACGATGACTCCATCCGTCCTCTGTGCGAGCTGCAGCATGAATCTGTGGAGGCAGGCGAAAAGAGGAATGAAAGATTTCAAAGCAGCCTGGAAAATAACCTAAAATCTTCTTGAGTATATATATATAAAGTAAACAAAACATTTTGATGTCTATTTGTGAGGTTTAATTGGCAGTAGCTTTAAAAAGTTGCCATCTGATATCACATTTTTAGTATGAAAAGGTAAAAATGTGTTTGTATTCTAACTGTTACAACAGTATAATACATGTATGTAGAACTTATAGTAGTGAAACATGTGGTATGGATTTGGAACACAACTATACTGTACTGTAGACATGCATGCAATTTTAATTAGGATTTTTAAATGTTTTTAAACCAATAAATGATGGTATTAATGGTTTGTAATATGCTTGAGTATCATCCTGTAAAAATGATGAATATAGCAGTTTTAAGTTCTTTATCAGCACTGTCCTCTCTCACATTCACAACTACATGCAGCTGCCCTCTGTTGAACATGTAACCGCTTAAATGGAGCATTACGATCGGCTGCAAGTTGACAGTAGATGAGGGAGATGACAGTGTTTCTAATTCACTTTCACACACATTTTACCAGCCAGTGAGTGAAACCAGTGACACGTTCTTCCCTCATTTCTAGTCAGATTGTATTTATATAGCCCAAAATCCTTAGACCCTCAAAAAACACCCTTTGAATGGGGGAAAAATGGAAGAAACCTCAGGAGGAGCCCCTGAGCCACCCTCTTCCAGGACAGATTGACGTGCAATAGATGTCGTATTTATGATGACAATTTCTGAAACATTAATACTATAAACTATATGTGCAGAATGCAGATCCAAGAGAGGGATGCTGAAACACTTCAGCTGTTGCAGAGCGAAGATATACAAACTTTAGGGTCTCTGTTGGCACCTGCTATAACAACACAGACACAAGACTTTTTTTAAGCAGCAGTGCAATAAAAGAGTCTGTCTACCTGTCATCGTACGAGCTGATCCTCTTGCCCTGGACCTCTCTGGAAGGGGTGTAGGAGACCAGGCCCAGCTTCTGCAGCTCACCTAGATAGTGCTGCTCTGAGAGGCAGGAACAAACAACACTAAGTTTAGTCTGCCCTAAAGGGAAAAACACACGCCCACACACTCACATGTCTTGCCAAAGTCTCATTGGTTTCCCCCTCAACATGTGACTCAGAATCAAATATACATGCATGGAAGTGCAGAGGCCTTTGTCATTTTAAAACCACCCACTGCATTTGACTACGTGTGACTGAGGCCCAAAGAACGATACAGGTTTTTCTGCCCATTCAAAATGGTTAAATGCTTGAGGATTAAAGAAAATGACATGCTAATAATTCCAATAACATGCCATACATCACTAGGTATTGTAATGAGTTTGCCTGCTTTATCTTTTTCTATAAACCTTATATTCTTTACATTACATGTATATTATAGTATTTAAAATATACATCGGGGTGCGATGAAAATAGAAATAGAAAATTACTGATGATAATTAATAGTTTCAGACATTTTTAACTACAAATACCAATAATTCCCATGTTCCAGCGTCTCATCATGTAACGATTTGTCTTATGTGATTGTAAATTGATCATTTTGTGGTTTTGTGGCCGTTGATCAGACAAAAAATAAAAACATTTGAAGACATCAACAAGGACGTTTTACATACTAAATAGTTACTGTATACTGTATACTGTATTCAAAAAAATAACCAGGGGATTAATCAGTAATGACAGTAATCGTAAAAGTGTTGCAAACTGTTGTAAAACTTTTAGATTCCATAATAGAGATAAGTCAAGAGTTACCTTTGATCTTGGGGTCGCTCTTCTGTCTCCACTGTGGCAGGAGGGCGCTGATGTTACGATGGCCTCGGTCCCAAAAGTGCTGGACGGCCAGAGCGATCCCGCGACAGGAGAAGAAATGACCCAACCCGTGACTGTGGAAAACATGAAACAGCAGAGTTTTACAACAAAATCAGACGTCAACTAAGATGGAACGTACTTTTACATAATTTTTCATTACGATAAATGATGTTATGAACCTAAATTTATATTCTAACAGTTATTCTAAGTTATTCCCTTAGTTAACTCCCCCACTGTGCAACAAGTGTAGCTCTTTAACCAGCAACCAAAAACTACAATACTACAATACTGACAGTGCAGACCAAACTGTATGGTGATAACTGGACACACAGAAATACCACTACCACATTAAATTGACTACTATCAAGTTGACTGACCTTTATTTAAGATTGTAAATCCACTCTTCCGACTATAACATCATCAGTATCAAGAGAAACCAATTAAGTTTGTATAGAATTAAAGGTACTGTGTGGAGTTTTTGACCACTTTGAGTTTTTTTGTTTGTACGAGGACCTTACTAACAGCTCACGATGGCAACACGCAAAGAAACCAAGCAATGCAGAGCAGAAGAGGACACGGATGTAAACAACGCAGGATTTAGAATATTTTGAAAAATCGGCTTTGCCAAGTTTTATGAGGAGTTGTTTATTAGACTTCAAGGATACGCTCAAAAAGTTTTGGTGAGAAGCCCTGAATATAAACTTTGTTTGTTTACAAGTAAACTCCACTAGGCACCTTTCAGATATTTTAAATGGCCTATTTTACCACTTTTATTGCGTTTTTAAAATAAATATAATTACCAAGAAAACAAGAGAGAACCAACTCTGGAGTAAAAAGGTCAGAACAATTCCTCATATTTTACCTTTCCTCAAAGAGCAAATGGGAAACACACAACCTAAATGTCCTAGCATATAATTAAAATATGCACATTAGAGAATGTCTTGAACACAATTTTCACACCTCATGGCCACATTGCTCCCGTCAATGATGATCGTCCTCAGCTTCGGGTCTCCGGGCTTGCCTGTTAGCTGAAGGTCAAACGGCATCTGCAGGCCTTCCAGAAAACGCTGCTCCCCTGTCACCACCACGGAAGAGGCTGCCATGAAGTCACGTTTTTCCCTCCCCCTGGTGGGAGACGAGTCTTTCCCTGTGAAGATGGGGGGTTGTGGGGCTTGGAGTGCTCGTTTTAAGGAGTTAGAAGACTGGGACTTTGGGTTTAAGATGTTGTCTTTGGTTGGATGATTTTGTTTTGAAGTGGTGGGATTAGGCCAGTTGCTGCCATATTGTTTGTTGGACTGGAAATTGGTGTGTGGGGGATCTAAGGATGAGGAATAAGTAGACATGGGTGGGCCTTTGACTTCAGGAATGTGTGGAGTTTGTGACTTGGAAGGCTGGTGTCGCTTTGGCTGTGTATTAATCCAAGTAAACAAATCTGGCTCTTGGACAGGTATATTTGGGTTTTGCACTACTACCCATCCTTTATCATCGGATTCCCTCTTTTCTGCAGGTATGAAAAGCTCAATTTCTCCTCTTGCTTCGCCATCTGCTGGTCCGGCTTTTGGTCCTCCTTTCTCCAGCACCACATCGTCCATCTCTCTCGGTCCCTCCCTGAAGCCGTCCGTCTCTTTGCTCCCCTCTCTCTGCAGCTCCAAGAGCAGCTGGTGAGTGGATCGATCGGGCAACATGTTGTAGACTTTGGTCACGTTCTGCTCCATGTACCCGCAGCTGGCTGCAGCTTTCTTCACCACTCCCAAGACAAAGTCTTCCTCTTGCCCTTCCTCCTTTACCTCAGCACTACCCTCTCCCTTTAAGTGTCTCGTGCTTCCTGTCGCTCCGTCCTCCTCTTCCTCACGAACATCTCCCACCTCTCCATTATTACTTATCACCTTATCTCCTCCTGCTGCTATTTCTTCATCTTCCCTGTGCTCCGTCTCACACGGTCGGTTCCTCTCGCTTTGATTCAAGGCAATACCATCTTGATTCTTCTGGTCGTGACCACGCTGATTTGTCTGCTCTCTGTCACTGCGATCCTGCTCCTGTTGAACCAAGTCCAGTATCTGCGAGGCCTCTTTAGGCCCCGTTTGGGCAAGGACTCGTTTCACAACGTCCTCTGTGTACCCCATGGCTGTGAAAAACTTCAAAAGAAGCAAAAACTGCAGCTCCTGTTCATCGTCCTCTCCCAGTCTCTGTGTCACTCTGTTACCTAATGCTGCCGCTTGCTCCAGCTGCTCCTCTTCTCCCACCTCCTGTGGAGAGTGCATGAGTCTTTCCTCAGCACCCTCTGCTCTCCCTCTGGCACCTGCGGACGTGGACAAAGGCTGGAAGAAGGAGTCGTTGGCTGCAGAGTCTTCCACAGATCCTGCAGTCGTCCCTTCAACCCACCGGTCAGTAGTGCTGTCCCATCTACCTTCTGAATCCCCACGCGGTCTCACCGCTGCATTTCCATCTGTCAGTTCTGGACTGGGGCTTGACCCAAGCCCTGATTCTTTCACCAAATCCAGCAGGATTTCCTTCACTGACCATGGTAGTACCAGCAGATCCAGGATATGTCTGTCCTCCCATTTCTCCACCAGAGTTTTGAAGGCCCGGCGTGAATCCAGAGACTCGCCCAAGCCTCTGTCCGCATTCTCAGAGCGTCTGGGCTGTGTGCCCTCACACCTCTCCACCAGGTCTGTGATAAGGGAGTAGGCTCGCACCACCGGCTCTGCAAGACCCGATATGAGCAGGAATCCCGTAGAGCCAACCTGGTTTGGTGAGAGGAAAACAGAATGACATTAATCTTCTTAATGATAGCAAAACATTCAGACCATCAATGAGTTTGAAGGCAAACACAGTAGACCTATTTAAAAGACAGGATTTAACAAAAGTACGAAGTTACCGCCTGGACAATGTTGTTTGTTGCCAAGATCAGGATTTTAAGGCAAGGGAAGTTTATTTGTATAGCACCTTTCAACAACGAGGCATAATACTTAAGACAAAGAGGCATTAAATAGTAGAAATACTTTATTCACGGAACAAATAATCTAACAGGAACGTGCCCTCATAACAAAGAGCCTTGCTGTAAGGGCTAAAGCCGGTAAGAAGTGGAAGAAGTGGTTTGACCTTGCATAAATGACTTCCTTAAACCTTGAAATAAACACACACACACATACTTCCCCACTCACCTACGTTTTTATACTGTCCATGAAAACTATTCAACAACATTATACACATTGTTTGACAAGCACGTCTTCCTTTAAACAAACTGATCAGGTAAATTGAGCTGAAAAACCCCTAGTTAATAATATTTTCCTCAATTTTTGTATGAATAAGTGGAAAAATTAATGTAAATTTCCCTGAGTTGTATAGTTGCGTTTTAACAAAAAATATTAATAATAGGTTAGAAATTTCCAGGGACAACACCACGTTGTTACATTAAGTTGTTACTTCACACACAGTATGACTCACTTTCAGCTGATGACAATAGAGTGATATTGACTAATAATGGAATTTCTCATCAGAATAACAAGAACGCAAGATGTTACGATATTAGTTAATATTATTATTGCACCACTGGTCAAAAGTTACACACTTAACATATTATATACCACACCATATTTTAATCATATCACTAAATGAGCTACCTTTAGATCAGAGGTATTCAAAACTGTGAAGAACGCCTCCCCACGGGGACGTGGGAGAGTTGAAGAGGGGGCACGGAGGGAGAGAGGTGAGGTACAAACCTCAATTGGCGTCACACTTTGTACTCCTTTGAGTCATAACTCTGTCAAGTCTGAACACAGGCTACACATATTTAATCTCAAATAAACGTCTATAAATCTTCTTAAAACTCATCAATAAAGATTTATGACTCCAGAACTAAAAATTAAAAATTTAAAAAAAAAAAAAGAAAGAGAAAAATCCAGACCTACGGTAGCCAAAATGATGACACAATGTAGAATCACCCTTTTTTATTTATTGAGTAAACTGACAACCCCTGACCATGTGATACATACATAGCTCACAAATTAATGAAATGCTGAGCTATAGGCCTACTATGTTTATTTTTCATATAGTCCAAATCAAGAAGGCCTCTAATAATTGTTTAAGTGTCCCATTACTGTTTTGTATTTCTGGTTTTATATTATTACTTTCTCATCACGACATTTCCTGCCTTTTCTTCCAACCCCAATATCTACTCTGTGACCTTTTTATGACTCTAAATGGTTTAAATGTAGCTTAAACAAAGACCCAGAATACAACACTCACCACTATGTGCGCTGAGGTGCTTCTTATCAGGCAGTCCATGAAGAGGCCTCTGGCTCCACAGAAGACACAGTCAAGGACCCCGGGATAGGAAACCTCCTTCTGCTCCTCCTGGTTCACAACTCCTTTCACAAATAACTACAAGACATAAAAAATTTGTCTCGTTATCGTTAAAATGTGTTAAATACTGTAGTAGACAGAATCTAAATATCATGTGTCCATTTTGGGGGAGTGGGGAAGAAATCATAATATAACATCTGTAAAACAATTCAATTTTAGCATGACAATATTGTGTATACTATTATGTTATTATAATATAACAGTATACACATTATATACTATAATATTCAGTTTTTCTTCGCTTGTTCTGGAGCTTTCAACCGTATCGCATGGTCTTCATCGTCAGACACAGTTGGCCCAGTTGTCGTGAAACTTTATATCTTCAATTGTTCCATTAAAATGTAATTAATCCTGTTATTGTTGTGGAAATTTTGAACATCTGCAGTTCCACGTCGACTGAACAAATAATAAGTATAAGTGTAAAAGAAAAAAAAGGACTTAAAGCTGAACTGCAGAGGTTTAAATAAGTTTTGTTTACATTGATAATTTCAGATTTAAATAGTCATAGTAATAATAATAGTAATAGTTAAAAGGCTATAATGCATTCAAAACAAGGGTACAAGGTTTATATCCAGATTTAAAGTGCCGCAGCTTTAAAGGGTAATTTAAAACAATAGTCAGGTACCCATGTGCATGCTGGGAACTGTACTCACTCCTGCTGTTCATACTGACCATTAACATACCCTTTTTCTTCCACAGTTCTCCTTCCATGCAGAAATGTACTGAAACGTTTATGTGTAGCTAATAAGAGGCTTCAGCTGTGGGTATCTTCCAAAGTTTCTAGTGCAAAATCCCCTCTCTGTGTTACTGTCCCTCTGCTGCAGCTCAACAAGAAAAGACTGTGCAGGGAAGCACAAAGAGGGAATTTTATACTAAAAAATATGGAAACTTTGGAAGACATCCGCTTCATTTGACTTAAACCTAAAATTAACTTCAGATAACTGACTACATCACTTATATCTAAAGTACGTGAAGATCCTATCCTGTCAGAGCACCCCTACCCCCTCCTTCATCAGCCTGCCAATAGGCACCCATCTTCATCGCCTATCTGCAAGTCACTATTTATTCTTTGCACCAGAATGATGCGAAACAAAAGCACTACCAATGGCAGTCAGTTGCCTTTCTCTCTCTGCAGTCTGCCTGTGGATTATCTATCTAGATCATCTCTTGCATATGTCGTGTTTCTTTCCGTTTGTTTAGGACGGAGATAAACGTAAATATGTGTCAGTTTTAAGCTTGTATCTGAAAGTTTTCTGGGCGGGCAGGAGGTTATTTTAGAGGGAGAGAAAGATATCGCTCAACCGAACTGAGTTGTGTGTGTTAATATGGCTCCCAGCAAAGGCTTGCATATACGTATCTCACTGTGTAACTGACAATCATGTGACTGCTGGTTTTTACTGCTTTATTACTGTACGAGGACACACACGTGTTAGTGACCAAACAAAAAAAAAACCCATTGCAGTTCAGTTTTAAGTCATTTACTTGCATATAATGAGACATAATTAAATTTGTGCTGTCAAGTCATTCTGAGCACGTGTCAGCAGGTTGACCACATATTTACACCGAAACTCAACTGAAACTGATTCATCAACAATTAAAAACCCTCGATGAGTAATTTCCCTTGAATGCTGCCCCTAATCTTAGTGCACTGTTGACACTACCCGTAATGACAATAACACCTTTACTGGTATGCCACCCTTTGCAAATCGAGGCTTACAAGCCAGTTCACAATCTATTGTGCCACTAAACAAGGAAATTACGGCTTACTTTGGCAGCTTTCACGCTGTTTCTCTGCCCTTGTAGTTTCAGCCATATCTGCCCGTTGTTGCCGTGAGACAAATCATCCGCCCCGATGCCAAACATCACGCCGAAGATGCGTTCCACGGTGTTGTGCAGGGAGGTCAGAGATCCCCGCAGCATCCCAGCACACGCAAACTCATCCACCACCTCCGGTTCTCCTCCTCCTCCCCCTCCTCCTCCTCCTCCTCCTCCTCCTCCATCGCTTCTCTCACCGTCCATCCCTCGTACTTAAATTGGTGTCAAAGAGTTGTACATACTGCAAAAAAAACCAAAACACATAACAACACTTTAGTGGCAAAAAATACAAACTTTTTGATTAAAGGACTAGTGTGCAGGATTTTGTGGCGTGAAGGGGAAACTACAGTGGCTTTGAAACACTAGAGCCAGTGTTTGGTTTGTCCATTCTGGGCTACTGTAGAAAGATGATCTACTCCCTCTGTAGTTAAATATAAGGTACATTTGTCATTTGCTGGAATTCTTATTTTGGTAATAATAATTCTGATAATAAACATAATAATAAAGCACTTTTAAAAAGTTACAAAGTGCTTTACATGGTTGAACCTGGATTAAAACACTTCAGGACTGTAATGAAGCAAATACAATTATACAATTTAAACAACTAAATAATAAGAAATCTAAAACAACAGTGAGAAATAAAACAGTGATGGAACTTTCGCCCTATTGTAACGTGTTTTTCTTTCTGTCACAAAGCAAGCTGCGTGAGTGCAGTGATGCGTTCAATAACAACGTGCGTAGGCGTCGCTGCGTTTTCCAAAATTCTGATCAGTGTTGTTGACAGGCCATGACATGTAAAGTACCCACAGTATATATTTAGCCTCCATGTTTGATTACATTTCACTGAACAGACTTTCCTGCTTTACCAGATCTTCTCTACGGTCATCTCAGAGGTCACAGACACACAGAGGTGTGTATGTAAACATGATACAAAGATAGTAAATGACTACAAAAAGTGTGACTACACAATACGCTACAGCCTTACATGTACTTAAAGTATTAAGTATTTTGCAGAAAAATGTGTCATCAAACATTACATTATCAGACCGTTACTAGTGATGTGTAAGCAGCTGTAGTTTTAAATCACCATACATACAGTTATATAGGACAATGAGTGAATTTGAGGGGTTGTGAGATGATAAATGTGGCAGGAAAGAAGAAAGAACAAAGTTGTATTACACAACATTTTCAAAAAATGTTTTGTTGTATTGTGAAATATTGGCTAATTTGAACTATCCAGGCCTTTAAACTGGCATTTAAATTAAAACATCTGGGGCTTTTAGAGTTTAAATCTCATAGAAAGCTCTTAGACAAAAGGTGGGGAAGGCCTTAAATAAATAAATAAATAAAAACATACATAAATAATGCAAAATGGATGACACTGACTGTTGCAATGTTAATGCTGTAACTGTATGGTTTACTGTATTTAGTGTGAAATATTTGAATGGACTCCAGGAAGAGTAGTTGTTGCTCGGCAACGACAAATAAAGAGTAGACCACTGGTTTAAACCTCTAACAGTGCGTGTGAGTTTGTATTTGTACAGGTTTATCACATATTATATACATATTTTTTTTATATAAAATAATCTAAAAAGTAACTATGTTTGTCAAATGAATGTACTGGAGTGTAAAGTATCAAATATCCCCTCTTAAATATAATGGAGTAGAGGCAGAAAGTAGCATAAGTTGATTATATTCCAGTCAAATACAATTACCTCTCCAGCACTTTGCACCTGATGCGCAAAACCTTTCCAAACAGCACCATGTAAACAAGACTTTTTATCAATATATTGGCACTAATACTTCGCAACTTGCGTTTTTTGTGCTGCCATCTCTTTTATCCAAAGAGTACACTCAGACTCTGCTTCTTCTGCACATAATACGACTTTAAAAAGCGAGTAGAGGAGAAATTATATCACCAGCGTAGCAGAAATATGGCCCGTTGCCAGATTATTCAGCAACTGAGAGAGTATTGTGAAACATTTATCCGAGTGTAAACAGACTACTGTGTGTATGTGTGTGTGTGTGTGTGTGTGTGTGTGTGTGTGTTTTAGTAAATATAGCGCAGACAACCGACAGGCGACACGATAACAGACATAAAAATCAACCAGTGTATCAAAATATAATCTTTTCTGTGTCGTTTTTCTTACGTGAGGTCGATCGCTCTGCGCCTTTTTTCTTAAAGTTTCGTTTCCAGCAGCAGGGCTCTCTCTTTCTCTCTCTTTCTCTCTCTCTCTCTCTCTCTCTGCTCACAGGAGGGAGGAAGGAGGGAGGCAAGTGCTGCTCGCTTCAGCCTTCCGCAATCATATAGCAACAACATGTATCAGAGCAAAGTTCAACACATGCTGCAATGTGACAAAATGATCCTCCAGGAGGGTTGAACACCAGGTTGGAAGACGCGTCCCCTTTTGCTATGGCTGCCGCTGGAGGAAGAGGAGGAGGAGGAGGAGGAGGAGGGCGGATGAGGAAGTGTGCGTGAGATCTAGAGACATCATATCAGTGGTGGAAAGCCCGAAGACAAAACCGAAACTAAAGGAAAAACACACACAGCTCATTTCACAGACTAGGGCGGATACTTCTGTCTGGGCACTGTGGCTGAAATACGTCCCCCCAAAAAGTTATTATTTGATCTCATAATGTTAAATTCACCCTTAACACAATGTGGCTTTTTTTTATGATTTAAAAGCTGCTCAACAAGGGTTTTTTTTGGGTATGTATTAAACATAAATGATTATTAAAACTACTAATAATGTGTGGAGACTTTATAAAAAAGTGCACATTTTGCAGCAGTGTGTGTTTTAAAGTGTGCGTTTAAAAAAAAAAGAAAGAAAAAGAAATAAATGTTGTGTTGACTTTTTAGTCACACAGGAGACAAAGGGGATTTCCACTGACGTCAGGAGGGGGGTTTTTCTTTCTTACTCTTTTTTTTGTTTTGTTAACTCCTGGTTGACAGTGACAGGGAATCTTTACCGAGGAGGCTGGATGTTGTTTACCCCCCCTCTCCAAACTCACCCCACATTACGCTTCATATCTGGTTTACAGGGTGGTTTTCAAAACCAGGGACAAAAGGAGTCTGTGTGTGTCACAGACAGGAAGAGAAAATGCTGCCTCCTACTCTACATCCTGTGTTTGTTGGGGTTAAAATGTAACATCTGCATGGATAAGTGATGAACTGGATTTAAAATAAGGCATTTAAAGGCTGAGTCTGGCAATAGTATGTGTTTTTATTGTTGTCAACTAATCCAGAAAACAGATTTATTTTGCTATTTAATAAAAAGTCCCTGTCATCCTGTTTGAGTAACACTGATGAAAAACTACAGTTTCTTGTTGTTTTGGGAAGCTATTTAGACTTTTAAAAAAATTTTTTTTTACATTTATAACCAGTTTTTAAAGATTTATATTTGTAGGAACAAATAGATTTTTTAATTTTGTGATATTGGTTGACAGTAACGTGAATATAGATTACACCAGTATCCATTAGAGTAGTTTTATTTATCCATTTATAAGGTAAACATCTGTGTGTGTGTGTGAGTGGATATTTATTTAATATAGATTTTAAAGTCCTACAACATTGTCAGACTCACGATGGAGAAATAGTGTCAAAACTAATCTTTGACACGCCACAGACTCTTATTTGTCAACACCTGGCTCCTACATTACCCACAATGCAACGTGACCGAGGACCGGTAAGCTCACTTCTTCCACTTCCACATACTTGTAGTCTTCAGGCCCCCCCCGACCCCCCCCAAACCGACGCTGACTCGAGTGACATCTCATGAGGCAGTTTATGATATTTTGTACAGCTCCCTCTGGAGGCTTTCTACAACTTTTTTTTTTTTTTTTTACTCATGCAGCATTGTGCTCCCAAAGACCTGTAGACAGTCAAATCAGTGGAGTTCCCCTACACACACACACACACACACACACACGCCCTCTGATCCTTTATCATGTGACTGTAAATAAACACCATATGATACTCCATGGATCACACTACGAAGGTTTCAAGTCTACATATGTCACTATCTGCTATGTAATGATGACTTGTGAGAGCCAGAGCCGGATTTACCCTTTAGACACCTTTAGACACGTATCTTGAGTCCACGCTGACACACTTCCCTGCTCCACCCAGGGTTTTATTTTTACTATATGTGAGTTAAGTGATATGATTAAACACAAAGGTTGTAATAGGTTAAAGGTGGTGAATGCTGATTATAACGCAGGCCAGGACCAACACCATCACTAGCTGCGGCCTCAGTGCTAAAACATATGATTTAATAAACAACACAAACAAAAACTGAATATTATAGGCATCATAAGAGCAGGATGACGTAATGGCATACCAATATGGTGATGCTACTAGGTGTTAGTCAGGGATTTTATATGTAAGCCACCCATTTACTGTAAGTCATTTTGCAGATTACGCCATCTGCTGGCAATACTGAGAATAGTCCTTACAGTCTGTTTCTAGGTCATTTCTTTGTTGTAAAAGTTTGTAAAATGGTGGCAATAAAAAGCTTGTGTTTGTGATGTGATTCGAAGAAAAGAAAAGAAAGTTAGGTCCCATGGTGAGCTTGTGGTCTAAGATGAGTCCCTCATAACCACAACTTCCCTGGTTTGAATCCGGCTGGGGAGCTTGGAGGAGAATTAACTCTGTCTTTGTATTGAATATATCAAATAAGGACTTAAAAAAGTCCTTAAAAAAGACCAAAGAGGAGCTTTTATACATCTGATTATAATATTTGTGCTCGCTAAATTAACTCATGTAACAACCACACTCACACTTCCCTAAATAAAAGGAAACATCTATGAATTACTTTATATAAAAACAAATAAACAAATATATATATAAATAATAATAAAATAACAAATATATAAACCCACATAAGCAGAGGCATTAAATTGGTCGAGGATTATGGTTCAATAATAAATAAATAAATAAAAAACCCTGCTGTCAGCACACACTTGCCTGTTAGCTGAGCAGTCCAGAAGCAGAAGTTAAATGCAGATTTATGGGATGTGTTGTTTCACTTCTGCTTTCGCCTGTTCAGGTTTAACACGAGCTGCGAGTAGAAGAAGTCACTGAATGAGCAGGAGGGTTTTTACACTTGTTTTCCCTCCGTCGGTACGGTTGAATGATGAGGAAGAAGAGTATATCCCTAAGGGTGAGTGGTTTCCCTATTTTTAAAAATCATATTGCTATTTATATTAGTATTTTAAGAGGCTGTAATCCGGAAATTGATGTACTTTTCTTTTGTTTCTCTTAGTGGTTCCTACCTTTTAGTCATATTATCTTTCTGATTCACATTAAGTTTAAGTTGTGTGAATATCTTGTGTTTTTACTTTAAAACTAAAATTTGGAGTGTAGTCATCCAACAGCAGGTTTTATGTACCTTATGCTACAATAATTACTACCTGTACGAATGAATCCTTTATACAGCAACACAAAGTAGACAAGAAGAGTTAAATTTAACACAATCTAAAGAAAAAGTTGACATTATGAGCTTCATACAGATGGTAATTATGGCAGGATTTGTTGTATTGTAGCATTTTACAGGTGTTCCTATTATTTTGTCCACCCCCTGGGCTTTCCTGTGTGGTCTGAACAAACAAGAATGTGGTTTCCTGTGTGTGTGTGTATATATGTGAGTTAAGGTGCCTCTGTGTGACACATTTAACGAGGCAGATCTTAAAAAACACGCAGTAAAGAGCTATAACATTGATCAGAAGGTGCTACCGTTAACTCTAATTCCCTTCCTGTTTGATGACCAGATCAAGAACAAACTACAGCATGACATCTAGGAGGGGTAGATGAGTTGAAGAAAGGATTTTTTAAAACCTTGAGTTGAAAAGAAAAGGAAAAAGAATGTGAGTATGTCCTGTTTTACCTGAATATTTTTAAAATTATTTTTATTTTTATTGTTGATCACAAATAAAGCACTTTGAAGACATCACTATAGTCTCAGGGAAATTCTGATACACTTATGATAATAAAAAATACTGTAATGACTGCAAATGAAAGCCAGTTCTCAATAGGATGTTATATTATTACTTGCTCAGGAATAAAAAAAAACCACATGTATAGTTACAACTATAACTAAAATAACTAATTATTTCATTAGCTTCTACTTAAAAACCTTGATCAGAAATTCTCCAGTGTCCCCCAGAGCCCACACCACTCACACAAGTTGTGTGGACGTTTGGTTTTACGTCCAACAACTTTCCTGTATTGGTTCACTCTCACTACTCTTATTAGTGCCGTTTCCCCCCGTAAGAAAACTCAGAAAACTCACTAACCCAGCACCATTTCCTCCGAGAAGAGCCAAACAAACATACATCTATACATTAATCTGGGTGGACAAATGAATGTTGCTCCATAACTGCTGCATGTGTAAATAAGCCACTGATTTCTAACAATATGAACTTAAGGTGATCACGTATCAGTGTTTCCAGCTTTTTTCTGCTGCCCCCTAGTGGCAGAACACATGCTAATGCTGATTTAAGTTTATATTTGCTGTCTAAAAACACTGAAATTTGAAGATATTTTAAAGTTGATGACCTTATTTAACTTGGCAACATTAGGCAATCCCTAAAGAGGATGAATTGTGAATCTCATAGACTGGTACAAAACATTCTTATCTGTGAGCACAGAGTTAAACTAGGAAACTCTTTTTAGACTAGTAGTAGTAGTAGTAGTCTAGTAGGTTCCTCTTTATATTAGAGGAACAATGAATTCTTTAGAGAATTAGGTTTAATTTAAACAATTTCCTCCTCCAGTGAACTATGGCGCTGTCCGTTAGAGCGCCTATGTTGATTGAGGACTCCAGCCTGACAGGCTGGAAGGTGATCGGTTCAGGGGGTTTCGGACAAATCTACAAAGCCAGGCATCTCGATTGGTGCTATGACGTGGCCGTTAAACTGCTTCATTACGACGATGGGTGAGTGAGTTGCAAAGAGCTTCTGTTCTTCTGCAATTACAAGAAAAGAGTTTGTGGATTACTCATAATGTAAACGAACACACACACACACAGGACCAGCACGTCTTTGCTGCGTGAGATTGAAATGACGCGTCAAGGAAGCAGCCCTTATGTTATTCAGGTCCTCGGGGTCTTCAAGGGTCGACCGCCCTCCTCTGGCCTGTCAGCACAGCTCGGCCTGGTCATGGAGCTCATGGAGAGAGGATCACTGGCCTCCCTGCAGGTAACAAGTGGTGGAATAAAGTAATGTTCTTGAAAGTATCAGTATTGCCCCTTTTGAGGGTGTTATATTGATCGTATAATTGGAATATTATTACAGATTGCCCAATAAACAGCTGGTTGAGGTGGAGCTATGGTAGCTGAACATATGTTTTGTATGTGAAATCATAATCTGCAATGTAACTATATTCCTAAGACACATGTAGTGGAGTAAAAAGGGCCATATGTGCCTCTGAAAAGTAGTGGAGTAGTGCATGCCGTACTTGAGTAAATGTAGTTACACTCCTTAAGTAACTTACTGAATGTATCTGCCTACCTGCTTTATTCTTTTCACTAATTGTGGTCTACTCTATTTCCTTTCCACCTAATTATATATTCAAACTTCAACTAAAACTATATACTACTACTACTAATAATAATAGGGCTAAGCTTAACCCAGCAATATACTAACAATAGTGTGCCTTTGTTTCCTTGGCTTCCACATGGATCATCAACTGGTGAGGATGCTGTCTTCCTTTCCTCTAGCGTCTTTAGCCTCAGTCTTATAGCACGATATTATGTACAGTATGTAGCCATAATAAGACCTGTCACAGGCTTTAAAGTCACTTGTAAACAAAAGTAAAACCGTCGAACCAGCTCCAGTCTTCGGCTAGAAATTGGAAGCCCGTTTCTTCTTTTTTGTTCAATTACATTTCTTTAGTTTTGCTTTATTTGAGTAGTGACAGTAGTGAGACAGGAAAGGCAGAGAAAAGAGAGAGAGAGAGAGAGAGAGAGAGAGAGAGAAAGAGAGAGAGAGAAAGAGAGAGAGAGGCTATGACATGCAGCGAAAGGGCCAGGGGTCAGACTCGAACCCCGGGGCCACTCCTGTAAGGACTCGGCCTTGATATGTGGTATGCGCCGTACTTAGTGAGATCCCTGTGCAACCCCCTGCTTTGGTTACTTTTGTGGGAAATTGACGACACACACCTTCAAGAATACAAAAACTGCATGTGCTTTGTGCTGCGAGAGGACAGAAAGCTTGACGGGCATAGCAACAGTAACCAAGCTTTAATACCTGAAAGCTAATATCATTTCCACCATCTGTGGTTTGTGTTCTGTGCTTATTAGCAAATGTAAGTATGCTAACACACTACAACAGCTCCCTGAGAGCAAGGAGTAGTAAATACCAAATAATTTAACATAAATCATAAAAAAAGCTGCTTAATTCCAACTAATTTTATGTAACTCACTACAGCACAATCACTATTTCTATCTGTAATGGACAGAATCTTACATTTCTATTTCAGGACACCTTACGTGAAACTCTACCTTTGCCGCTGGTCTTCAGACTCGCTCACCAAGTGGCTCTGGGTATAAACTTTCTCCACCATCTGTCCCCTGCCGTGCTCCACCTGGACCTGAAGCCCAGCAACGTGCTGCTGGACTCTGATCTCAATGCCAAGGTGAGTCCCAGACTTTTCAGGGAAATCCTCAGACCTCATCCTGCTGCACGCTTACCTTATATACTAGTGTGCACTCTGCATGGTATACAGCAGCAAATCCCTGCAGTCTTTACTGAGGCTAAATGTAGGCTGACAACTTGTTAATTAAACGTTGTGTCTGTCCATACAGGGCTGCAACTAATAATCACTTTCATTTTCAATGAATCTGCAGATCTTTTCAATTAATGGATTATTAATTTGGTCTATGAAATCTCAGAAATTGGTGAAAATTTCCTAAACCCCAAGGAGACATCTTGTTTTATCTTACCAGCAGTCCAGTGCCAAAAGAGATGCAGTTAAATCACGTAAGAAAAGCAGCAAATCCTCACATTTGAGACGCTGGAACCAGAGAATATTTGGTATTTTTGCTTGAAAATGTGCCTCTTGTTTACAGATGTCAACAAAAATACATTTCCTTTTAATTTGGCTTCAGTTTCAGTTCAGTCTTTTGGGTCGTTGGATTTCTTCCGGCTTCTTTCCTCAGACTCTGTGAATGTGAATTTGAGAGCTTATCAATGAGTTTGTTTTTTAACCCTTTGATGGACTGGCAACCTGACCATCAGACAACCGCCAATAAACAAACATTATATACTAATTGTGCTGTGTATTATGCACATTGACAACTTAATCCGTGCAAATTTTCTTCTCTTTTCCTCCTTCTCTCTAAGCTCACGGATTTTGGCCTCGCTCGGCAATACCACAGCGTAACACGGGTTTCCAAGAAAGAGAGCGAAGAGGAAGGGGGGACGTTGAGCTACATGCCACCGGAGGCGTTTGCCGTATCGTACAGCCCTACTCGAGCCTCTGATATCTACAGGTACAAGAGCAGTTTTATTGATCACTTAAAGGTCAAGTGTGTAACATTTAGGAGGCTCTATTGGAAGAAATGGAATATAATACTCACAGGTATGTTTTCATTAGTGTATAATCACCTGAATATAGGAATTGTTGTGTTTTTGTTACCTTAGAATGAGACGTTTTTACCTCCTAAAGGACAAACCTCTAGATAGGGCCTTTTGTGAGTTTGCAGCGTTTTTAGTTTCTCCTCCACACTTCACAGCCCGATCTCTTTTCCAGGGTCCCACTGAATCCTACACGCTGGTCCTTTAAGAAATCATAGCGACAACTAATTTTAGATTAACAAGCTTTACATTCATGGGAACTTACAAATAGGTTGTAGTAGCAATAACAATGGAGTCATTTCAGTACAATTAAAGGTGGGGTCAGTCATTCTGGTGACTTTGACAACCCAAAGCAAACTTCCAGGTACTCAGGTGACTTCCTTACTCAGTAAACTGCACCCAAATGCTTAAACATCTGAATATCTGAAATCTGAATATTCTGGCAGTAATTCATGGCAAGTAATTTCCTGTACATGTAACTCTCTCTGTCTCTCTTTCAGTTACGGTATACTCTTATGGTCCATTGTGACAGGGAAACAACCATATGCTAGTAAGTGACTGTGGTGTCTTTTTGTCTCCTGTCATTTAATGTCATGTCTGTATGGTGCAAGAATGGCAGGAATTCATTTGTATGGCCACACCTAACTGTTTGTTTTTTCTGGCTCTGAACTGTAGAGGAATGTGTTTGCACAAGTGAACTGTGGTACATTTACTCAAGTATTGTACTCAAGTACTTAAGTACAAATTTGATGCATTCATTTTTGAGTCTTTTCTTTTTATACCACTTTCTACTACTCCACAGTTACTTGTTACAAATTATGTTTTTTGCATGCATAAACAAACATGGATCTTTTCAAAATAAGATGTTTTGTTATACATTTAACTACCCAACAGTATATACAAGCACATCTAAAACGATTTATCAGTTGACAGAAATAGGAAAATCCTGCTTTTACATTAATGCTAATAATTTAATACATGAAATCTAAAAGTCACAGAGGATATTTTTCTGCATTAGCAACTTTTACTTTTAATACTTTAAGTAAATTTTTTTGATTATTCTTACATACTTTTACTAAATAATGCAGGATTTTTACAATGCGGTGTTAGTAGTTTTACTTAAGTAAAGGTTCTGAAAGCAACACACCAGATGCACCGATTTTCACTACCATTGTCTCAATTTTCAAACAAAATCTTACAACATCAATCCTCCAATCTTCTGGCTTTAATGTAAGAGCTATATCTTATACCTTGAAGGTGAAATCTAAAGCCACACACTCACTCTAATCCCTCCTCCACTGCAGATGCATTGTCCAGCATAGTGCGGTTTCGCATCCCGCAGGGAGACCGTCCATCGCTGGACGACATCAAGTGCCAGGCTGTCGGGGTTGCAGGGCTGACTGGATTGATGGACCTCATGAAGAAATGCTGGGAAGAAAAACCCACCCAAAGGCCCACAGCCTATGGTGAGAAAACTCCTCAAACCTCATGATTCATTGAAATAACTTTCATCATCCTTTAAACTTTTTTATTCAGCACCATTATCAGGTAAATATTTTGTTTTATGGTGAGATACCTAAAGGCAAACATTCACCCCATCAGCATGTTCAAGTCAAATCAAATTTGATTTATAGAGCCCAAAATCCCAATTTTCCATAGACCCTCTTCCCCCCAAAAGCCCTCGTAACATGGAAAAAAGGGAAGAAACCTCAGGGGGGTGATGACACAAATTTCAGATAGATGAAGATTATAAAGTATATGTGAAGAATATGGATCCAGGAGGACGCTGAACAACTGCAAATCACAATATGCACAGATTTTAATGAACAAAAAAATACGTAGATTGCAGTTAACTTTGTCATTGTAAGGTTAATATGCTGACTTTAGCTTTAAGCTCAAAGCACAGCTGGTTCCTCTTATATGTTAATGGTTAAAAATAAGCACGTGAATCAACTGACATCAACAACTCTGAATTTGAGACATAAAATATACATTTAATAGTTTGTGATGTCTGGCCCTTAAAGGTTATCTTTACTTTTTGTGGTTTGCAGAGTGTACGACTGCAACAGAAGAGCTGTACAAGATTCACAAACACGCAATTCGCGATGCCGTCCATAAAGTGCTGATGAAACTGGTAAGAAAATTTTGACATGACGCAGCAAAAACCTTAGTTAGATTTTTGCATGTTTCTGCCTGACTCACTCTTTCTCTTCCTCTTTCCACCAAAAGGAAGAAGAAAGTACAATAGAGCTGGTTCAGAGCGTTCATATCTCTCAGGCTCCAGGTCTGTTCTTGTCTTAAATTTGTTTCCCCACTTACAATTTAACACTCTTATTTGCCGTCTTGCCTGAGAGTAAGAGGAAAAGTTTTCCCTCTCTAAGCTAACCGGCTGCTGGCTCCAGCCTCTGGGGTAGCGTACAGTCATGAGAGTGGTATCCTCTCATCCAACTCTCTAAATAAGTAAATTCACATTTTATTTGGTCTTTTTTTTGTTGTTGCAGTTAATACCGGAGCTGAAGCAGTAAATGTTTATAATGATGTGCCGACCGGGCGCCCGCCAATTCAGGTGAGATTCATAAAATTCAGACGGTGCTGAGACTCTTATAGAGAAACATTCACTTCTTGTTTTTAACCATCAGGAACATTTTAGCTTCGTCATTTGGTCTCTTTCGAACACAGAGGCGATGAAATTGTTATTCTTTTAACCCAAGAACAATAACTGACTCACAATGCGGTCTGTGACATATAGTTTTTCCTTTTTTTCTTTGCCACAAATGCTGTGGTGTTTCTTCATTCATTTTTTTTTTTTTTTTTTTTGCCACAGCATGGAAATATTACATGCATCAGTTCCTGCTGCCCCAGGGGAATTTACACAGGAAAGAGTGTTGAACGCAGCAAATGTAAAAGTTCATAACGTCCGGCTCAAGATTGGGCAATCAGTGATAGAATTTCCATTTTGTTTCATAACTTATATTAATTCCGATTCTGATGGTTATTTCAAATAATACTCTTTTCTCATATCCGAATGAAATTACTTTACTATTTACTAACTCTGAGAACCCCCACACTATGACGCCACTCTTATGTCTGGATATGTAGCTTAGCTTAGCATAAAGACTAGAAACAGGTGAGGGTGTCAAAACAACAATTTGTATTTTTACGAAACAAGAAATAGTTGTTTATATGCTTCAGTTTCACAGATTAAACAAGCAAAATATTAATTATTAGTTAGCTGGCTGAGTGTTCACGGCCCTGAGTGGACAGTAATTACAGAAATCACTCATATTCATATTTTATGACCATTTTTAAAACTCCACTGTGCCTTTATGTGATTAGCTAAAGTACATGTTTTTGTATTAAAAGAAAAGGGTAATATTCATGTCCATTAAAAATATGTGGCTTTTAATCTCATTTAGATTTAATCTAGAGGTTAAAACTGACACCAGTGGGAGTTATAATATCACCTAGGCCACTGGTATTACACAGATTTCACCTTCTTTTTTGTTGTTGCAGGAAATGGCTGGTCGTGGGGCTGCAAATCCAAGAGACAAAGCAAGAGTCAAAGGTAAACAGGAAGTTGGTGCTGAAGCCGCGAAGAAACCCCCAACGGGCAACACATGTAGACAAACAAACCATCTATTGTGGCTGAATGCTTTCATATTAACATCTTCCCTTTCAGACTCGCCTTCAGCTCAACATGCGAACGTCTGCGATGTTGATGAGGGACGCCCGTCAATAGACCATAAAGTGAAAGCGTCTTCTGTTCACCCCATTCAATCATCATCACCATCGCCGTTTACTTCGACTGGGAGATCACCTCAAGGCACCTCAGCAAAAATGTCCCAGCAGGCTTTTAGCCAAAACCAGGTTCCACCGTACTATGTGAGTCTTCTTTGCTTTGTGTCTCCACATTAAAGATTTGTCCCACAGTGAGAGAGATTTAGAACTCCGTATAGTGCATTAAAACACTGTATATTTCCTTTACTAAAGGATATTTATATTATAATTTAGTTTTTTTCCCCCACAATACAAAATGTATTTAGAGTATTTTGAATATAAAGTCTTCATTATTTTATATCCATCTAAATTAAAACATTCCCTCAGTGGAATTAAAAAATGTACACAGTGTCCAAGATAATCTTTTTATTTTATTTTTTTGCATCACCAGCGTCAGTTTTCCGGTCCGCCTGCTGCATGTGGAGTCAACATCTACCTGAGCAATGTGACTGGATTTCAGCACGGTGACAACAATGTCATGCACATCAACACAGACAGGAGACGGCACCCAACAGCACCATCCAGAGTCGACCTCATGCCGCCACGTTCAGGAAGCAGGAGGGACAAGACAGGAGGCTGAGTTCACATTAAGTTCTCTGGTTTTCGTTTTACAGTTCTCTATGCTTGGTTCATCCTTTCTTATACAACTGGAAGGGTTTTGTAAGAGAAGCTCCCTATTAGAAAAAAATAAACTTTTCTTGTTTTTTGCTTTTCAAATCTGGACAGGATTCAGATGTTTTTAAAAATATATTTCTGTATTTTTTTTGTCTTTTATTTATTCTGTTAAAACATTTAAAACCAATTAATAAAACTTAACACCTCCCTTTTGCCATGTCAGCAGTATAAATATGAGCCAATGCTGGTCATATGGTTTTGCTTCTCCACCAACTGTGGTCAACAAATATCCACTTTTGTAGTGCCAGCTCGCCATCAGGTGCCAGAAATTGCCTTAACAACAGATTGACTAAACAGGTAGATATATAGTCTAACCTCTTTACAAATAGTTTTTTTATTGTTTGTTTTAGCCTAAATGTCAGGAGAGTGACAGAAATGGAGAAACTCCTTAATACATTTTAGCATTTTTCCTGGTTTGTCATGGATGTTAAAACAGAAATGTGTGTATATATATATATATATATATATATATATATATATATATATTTCGTTAATGTGTGAATGTATTTTCTACTGATTGCATTTATTCAGGTCCTTTTTATACTCATGCGTCCTTATGATGGTACATCAACATTAGTCCAGACCCAAAGAATTGTATTTTACGTTTTATATTATTTTTTAAAGTTTTTTTTAAATGTACATTTTTGAGATGAGTTTTCAAAAAAATATCAAACACAAGGTTGAATTTTAACAGAAGTGTGTATACAGTGACATCCAGAGTTTGATGTAATGGTGCTGCCATTAAATTTGGCATTTTGAATACTCGAATAGAAGCATGACGTAGCTTCAATGAAGTGTTGATGAACGAGCATGTGTGGAATATTTCTGTCGTGTTGTTTTGCAATATGCAAAAAAAAAGTTCTGTATTTTTGTTATTGTTAACAAATCACATAAAAAAAAAGACCCAGACCAATACTTTCTGACACTACCCTCTCTGTGGCTCTCAGTCAAAACAGCTCAGGGAACAGTTGGGCTCTGTAATTTTTAACAAACATTAATCAAACTGGGACTATTTTCAGCAGTGGATTAACGCACAAGTGGAATTGACTCCAAAGTGGAAAACAATGGAGTTATATGGTACAGAAAATACATAAACAATACTGGTTTGTAGAATCACGTCATTATTGTTTTTGGTCTTTAATGGGAATTGTCGACTGTAACAAAAATATAGAATATCAACCGACTTATACTTTAAAGGTACTTAAGTGAAACTGTATAATATTAAGACATTAAGAATCTGGAGATTGTAGTAGCTAAAATGTACAGTTTACTAAGATTCAGATAATTTAATAAATTCTGTTTGTACTCAAATGTTGTGAGTGTGTTTATGTTTGACACTTTTTATGATCAAAATCTCCTGCAGTGGGAGTTGTTTAAAAGAGAACACAACAGTAGTTTGACTTCAGTTTTCATATTTCAGGTAATAGATATCACAGAGCTGCAACAATTGGTTCATTAATCGTTTGTCAGAAAATTGATTGGCAACCGTTTTAATGATCAAAATGGTTTGATTTTTGTTTCGAGCCAGACAAGTTTGTATGGGGTTCATTCGTCATAAAGAAATACATAAAAATGCATCTAACTAGAGAACTACAGTGTTTGGAATTCAGTAATAGATCCAATAATAATCAGTGTAATGAACATATAGATTATCTTGGCATAACATTTAGCATATATTGCATTTTTTTCTCTCACTTACCTCTGAGTGCTTCCTTGAGAATTTATAATATGAAATATAGTATCCATCCCCCACTGTGGTGGTAAACTGATTCAGGTTCAAGGTTCTGTGATCATGAAGCAAACTATATTATGTTGTGTTATTCTATGTTTCATTTTACAGGCTTACAGTATAGTGTTTTATGTTCATCTTCATGTATTCGCACTCTGGTTGTCTCACCCTAGTTAGGAGAGATTCCAAAGACCAAGGCTGTCTCATGGAGAGTTGGGCATCAGATGTGTTATGACTACTGCTTGTCAGACATTAGACGTCACCAATAGATATCCTTGGGAAAGAGGCATATAATAGAGTGAATTTCTTTGTTCAAGTCAGTTGATTCTCGAGACAACTCGGTTTGCTTGTATCCTGTGTTGATGCAAATAAATCTTGCACGTGACGTGAAACTGTCAATTTTCTTTGCTTTCTGGGAGTCTGTGTCACCATCCTGGGTACCTTCAGTTCAGGAGTTTGTGGTCTCTCACTATAGTCTAGATAGCTAAAAGTTTAAGTCAGATTAGACATCGATTGAGGTGCATTGAGACGAGAAAAATTAAACCACAACACCACCCCTATAATTTTAGTGCAGCTCCTTATTTTGGTGAAATATTTAGTACCATGTGGTGTTTGAGCTCCACATGCCAGCCAGTGTAGGCAGTGACTGTCTCTGAGTCGTCTGTTGATGAATTTAGAGTCTCTGTAGGTGGCACTGTAAGCTATGGTGTCTTTTATCTATCCATGTCTTCTTCTATCTATTGCAAACAAATAACTTGCTGCTGTAATTCATCACTCAGTTCACCTGGACAAATATAATGTATTATTATTTAAGGATGGATTATTCATATAATGTTCATCTTTTCATGTATTAGTTTTATATTTGTTACATGATGCGTCCTCACATTGTTTTGTACTTCTGACATGAATCTCCAAAGTGCTAACACAGGCCTCTGCTGTGCACCAGGATGTTGAGACTAATCGGTTGTGACGTTCCAGTGTGAACTCGGCAGGCTTCTGGCACCGGACCCCTTCCTTCACTGCCAATCCTCCATCTGCCACCGGATCCACTGCAGAGAGACGCATCAACGTGCGTCAACAGGATATAAAAAAACTAGAATATATGGGTTTTACAATAAAGCGGCAATTTTGATGCTTATATTATATTTTCACATGATAGCGTATGTGGACATGTGTGGTCAAAATCTTGTAGTGCGAGCCTCTGTTACGCTTTATACAACTCAGGGGGCACACGGCAGGGATGCACATTATTTTCAGAACAACCGTCTGTCTGCATTAAAGGATTTATAGAGCACATGTAAAATGTAGTAGGGGTGGTTTGGAGGCCATAACAGCGTCAGCATTAAACAAGGACATGTGGCAAAGTCCTTGTGAGATAAAATGTGCAATCCTGTGATAGAAAAGTTAGGTTAATGTGGACTTTTCTTGTTTTGCATATGACTATTTATTTATTTATTTATGTATTACAGTTTCTAGCTTAAACAGATTTTGTAATAGCAAGAAGCATAAAAAGTAACTTAAATATGATAATGGCACCAAAGATTTCAAAATCATTACTTAAATAAATGAAAGAAATTTAGTAAAAGGTTATCAGGTAAGTCAAAAATCAAACTGAATAATCAATTAATACTGAATACATACTGAAAAAGTATTATACTTTTCCTTTAACCTCCAATCAGTGGGTAAAAAAACTAAAAAGTTTTTTTTACCACCTTTCAGTTGATAAAATACATTTATTTTATTCTTTCATTATGTCTCAGCTCCTTTATTTTCCTCTTACTTGGTCATGAAAACATTAATTTATTATTTAATTCACCAGTTTCCTCAGCACATTTCCAGTTGTCCCTATGCATATATGATAATGAAATGGGTATGTTTATGGTTTGTGTTTATCTATGCACCAGCCTTGTGAACAATCTACCGATCTGAAACTAGTTTTAGATTCAGTGTCACTTCTCAACACTTCTCAAGACGTTTTCTCTGAATAATAATACATAAATCCACCTAGAAATCAAAGGAAAAAAGACTGAACTTGCCTGAGAATCATCAGGTTTTTAACTTTTCTACAGTATCAAAGTAATCCAGCCGTCATATTATGGGACATGTAGTTCAATAATGGTGCCATTGTCTCGACTCTGAAAACCCCAGAGCTAAAGCATTTTAATCAATTGCTAATAAGAAAGTACAGACACCCTGCTTCATAATGTTATCTTATCTTCAAGTGCATGTCTCTTGGCGTCATCAGGAACCATTGACCAAACTGGACAGACAGACAGACAGACAGACAGACAGACAGCAGACAGATGGATGATGATTTGATGTGATAGATAGATAGATAGATAGATAGATAGATAGATTTGGCAAGAGGCAGAGATTAGACACAATAATTGTCTTTATTGCCACCAACATTTTCTACTCTGTATTTCATGCATTAAAGGAAAATCACAAACCTCTGACTCCTGATGGAAGCAAGCAGAGACAGCACAGTACAGTAGTCAGCAACAATGGAAATGGAAATTACATTCAAGATTATTTGGCGCAGCAAATTCACCGATTCATCTGATTCATACGGTTTGACGTCGTTGCCAACTTCAGTGTGGAATACAATGTGTATCCATTGATACTTCCTCCTTTCTGTCAAATAAAACTTGCCCCCCAAAACAATTTCATACCTTGCCCTCTGTACCCTTGACTATGTGACGGTTTCCCATCCAAGCTAAACCTGATCTACAAGGGGAACACGAGAAACCCGGAGAACGTGGAGTACTTCCAGCCTCCCATCAGGTTCCCCCTCTCCAGTTTGAGGTAAGCCTTGTCCCCTCTCTCCATCATCACCAGCCCGGCGTTGGTAGCAGCTTCCCTGGTCACGTCCTGATCACCAGCGAAGGCTGAAATCACCGGCCAGCCGTTGAGAACCAAACTCACCTGAGAAAGATGGATGAGAAGAAGGAAAAAAGAGTGAGAAAAGGTGAAATTTACTGTTAGAAAATAATAGTCAGAAGACATGAATTGTGTCTGTATTTTTGTTGGTATTTAATAGCGCTGATTTTCATAAAAATGTCATGTTATCGAAATATTTTACTTTATCTTCTTCCTGTCGTAGAAAGTTTAAGAGGTTTGAGCCATAACAGTGCCAACAAGTGTTAGGCCTAAGCAGCCCTTTAGCTTAGCTTAGCATAAAGACTGAAAACAGGGGGAAACAGCTAGCCAGTGTCTGTCCCAAGGTCACAAAATCTGCCTACCAGCACCTCTAAAGCTCACTAATATATCTTTTTAATTATAACTGAACAAAAAACAAAGTTTTAAAACTATCTTCATTGTAAGGATCAAACAAACAAGCTATGAAGTGCTAATTACTGAGCTTTAAAAGGTGCTACTAGGTGAATTGTACTACTACTTGGGGACAGAGCCAGTCAAGCTGTTTGCCCGTTTACAGTCTTCATGCTATGCTAAACTATTCAGCTGTTTTTATATCATATTTAGCATACATACATACATGAGAGTGGTATTGATATTAGGGATTTTTATTCAACGTCTCAACAAGAAAGTGAATAATTTCCCCAAATGTGAAACTATCCCTTTAAGCTGTTGTTCTTACTTGTATTGTCTGCCGGTTGTAAACCTTAACCACGTGAAAGCTGAAACTGTAGACTCCTTTTCTTGGGGCCACAAAGATACTCCTTGCTGGATCAAAATGGCTGCCAACATTCACTAGGATCTAGAAGGAAAAGGAGATGAAGAGTGAGAATAAATAGTAGAATCAGGCCATGAGCCAAGCTACTATAACCTTTAGCAATATCTGATAAAGTGCCAGGACTGCGTTTGTTCATAAAAGATGTTATCTGAATGAATTCTTGCCTGGTTTTTCATCATAGTTTAGTCTGTTCAGGCTCCTGCCAGGAGAACAAGGTAAGGCGGAGCAGCATCACCACTCAGTATTGTTACTGTGTGATACTGTTCTGTCTACAAATAAACCCTCATTAAGACGCGATGTGCAGCGCAGTGTTTGCGACCTGGTTTAGGAAAGCTTCGTGGACTGGATGGAAATGGAGTGGAAACAACTACTGGCCATAAGATTAGTATGAATCCTAATGACTTTGGTGATCTTCAAACTTTTCCTTTAGTGCCACCATGATGTTCACATTTGAGATTTCAAGGTCTTAACAATGATCGGAAGGATTGCCATGAAAATTAATGCACACATTTGCGTCCCCCTCAGAATGAATTGTAATATCTTTGGAGACTCTTCCTTTAGTCCCAAATTATAATTTGTCCAAAAACTTTTAGCTTTTAACTTTTAAGTTATGACCAATTGCTAAACTATTCCCATCAGCCTCAGCTGACTTTGCAATTTTGTGTTCAGTACTAATAAGTGAATCTTGGCATGCTAACATGCTAAACAAGGAAAATATATTACACTTGCTAAACATCAGTATGGTAACAGTGTCAGTGTGAACATGAACATCTTTCTCTCGGAGCGTAATATGTGATAAAATCATCCAAACAAGGTGGTTGGTGAGCTAAAGGTTTCACTGCAAACGTAGTGTAATTTTTCACAATTTGGGCTCCTCAGTTCCAATTAAGGGAAATCTTATCAAATACAGACAATAGTATAGTATTCTTCTAACTTGCTTCAAGATGTCAGTGCCACCATTAACCCTACATATATGCCTGACTTTAACTGAGAGCAAGGCTTTATCATCCAACATCAGTGGCCGACCTCAGTGATGTTCTTGTGGCTGAAGCTTCTTAAAATCTTGTGTCTTCTTGCTTCTTCTAGGTTCCTCTGGAGAACATCTATAGCCCATATACTCAATAGGTGGACCAAAGCAAAATTTCTATGCAACCTGACTCAGTTGAGAGTCATTGCTATAATGTCTATAATGTCGAGTTAAAAGCTTGAAGGTATGTTCAGAACCAACCAATGCAAACAAAGGTTGACTCTAAAAACCATGTTTACAAAATGAATAGACAAAGAAATAATTGTTTGTTTTACTTGGGGAAAGCACAGAGACCAATTTTCTTAATTTGCAAAACAGTGGCAATACTGAAGAATTGTAAAAGCGCTTCGACACCATCATTTTGTCGCCTAAGCTCCGAGGTAAGAACCAAAAAACTTCACCATCTGAAGTCACATCAAGCTACTGGCAGAGTTAATGTAAAATCAATGGAATCAGCATTTTCAACTACAAAATGGTTTTAGTTTTGGTTGAAGTTTAAAAAACTTGGTGATACGATACAGAAATGTATTTTCTATACACCTTTTTTATAACGGAAATATCAGTATCTAAATCCATCTTTTCTGAGCCTGTGAAACTGGACATTTGCCAAGGGGACCTTTAAGACTCGTATTCTATAAAATAATCTATTAAAATCATTGTTCCTGATCGACAAAAAGCAGATGGACCTGTCACAAATGAATAATTTCTTGTTTATTTTGCAGGATGGACTGGTAAACCTCACACTGAAACCCACCTGGTCAAAGTAGATGGTCATGGTGCGGTTGCTCATCTCCGAGGGTTCGTGGTTGGTGTTGCGGATGGCTGAAAATGCCACCCGGCCAGTTCCTGACCTCACCGACATGCCCAGAGCGTTACCCGATGGCTCCGCAGAGGGGGTGGAGTCGCACACCACCAGACACTTTCCTTCCAACACAATTGGCTCTGTGTCATTCTGGCAACTGACCCCTGAGGGCCCCCAGAGGACCAGAAACAGCAGCACAATGAGAAAGACTTGGCGGGGAGCAAGGTAGGGCGAAGAGGGAGGAGATGGACAGGGCATAGTTCCAAATGAGGATGAGCTGTGGGTGTTTTTGGGCTTTGTTGGTGCACAGTGACAGTATGGCCACCACAAATCTTCAATGAGAATGAGTCTTCTTGGAGAACACCTCACTTTAGCAACAGGATCATGATTTCACATGGAAAGAAGTCGTCAACCAAGGGTTGAATCTGGCTTCTTACAGGACATTAAATGGTTCAGGTAATCCTTAGCTAAGTTCTGCCAACACTGGGTGGAGATGGACTGTAGAGGACTATTAGTTGGCACCAAGATGGCGGCTTCCCATAACAGCAGACAGGAAGTCCTTGTATGGACGGTATAAGTAAAGGTTATCCAGTTCCTCAAACCACAGCGAGAATGGCCGTCAGCCAGCTGGGCGATGACACACAAATCCAAACTGGTTTAAACACTGTCAAGGTTTCAGGCCTGTTTGAAGTAGATCACAGGACACAGGAAATGTTTGCATAAAACTTTTTCATTTTCCATAAATGAAAACAATGACATGACTGAAGCTTGGCTGCTTCAAGACGCTTTAGTATTTCAGGAAATTTCTGAGGAAGGTTTGATTGGAAAAGACAAATTCACAGTAACAATTACAGGAAAATTAAGTATATTTATCAACTAAGCTTTAAAATGGTGGGATGCATATGTTTGCTTATGTAATGTGTGTATATGCATGTATGTGATCATGTATAAAAGATTACCATCCAAACTACTCTTTCCCTTCTTTTTCCTCTACTTGAAAAATAGAGTTTAAAACAAACAATAAATTCACATAAAATCCAGCAATAACTGCTTTGTGGTGACAGAAATGGAAGGTTAAGAGAGCTTTTAGTATCTTGGTACTTAAAGAAATTGAGCTTTGATGTAAACTCTTTAGCAATATGTAAGAAAGGACAACATAGACTGTATTGTCTGTGGAATGTATCTGGATTTAGTGGCAAGTTTATGTTTATGTTTTATAGATGCATCATAGAATCAGTCCTGACTCACTGACTGACTCAATCCATCATAGCAAATCTGGATCATCCTCCTTTTAAAGAATTTAACGTTTACCAATGTGTTAAATTTAATTGCATGACAGACAAAATGTGTTTCTAAGGCAGTAAAGACCAATTCCTTAAGCAATTATAACAATGACATAATAATAATACTATATCACACCAATATAAGTGGTCTTCAGTTCTCAAACCGACAATGCTGTAGCATTAAACGCTGGAAAAAGCTGACCAAAGTGTTCGATGGTGAGAGGAAAATGATTATGATGAAGAATAAGAAGTGATGAGGTAATGTTTTGGCCAGGAAGAGTCCCAAGTGAGTAAAGCCAGCTGGACTCAGGAGGAGGTGGGGGCGCAGCGGACTATCACAATCCCACCACCGAGAGGCCATCTGTGGGTAAACACTCCCACTATTACTCCCCCTGAACCTTTCCAATTGAATCCCTGCAATTGCATTCCTTTACACAAACACATAAACATACTATAAATACAGATATAACAATACTAGCTAAAGCATTATGTGAATGGCAGATAATTAATACCATAACTGACTCTTGTACACTACATGAGAGCATCATCCTTCAATAAATGCTAAATCATGTATTTCTTAAATAAAAACTAGAGGAGTTTAGTTATTCATTATTAAGGAAATCCTGGATCATTTAGCAGTGTTGAATGAATCCCCACAATCTGTGCCTTAACAACACACCCAACAACAGAAAGTACAAGCATTTTTACAAAAACAACCCTTGCAACTATTGCCAGAAAAATAAAAAAAAACACCTACCTCTCACTGTGAGCGTTGGCTCTGCAGCGGCACACAGAAATTAGCTTTCTTTAGTGAAGTTAGAGCATCCAAAGAGCCCAGCTCCCCCGTTACCTTCAGCTTTATCTCTGCTCATCTCCCTCTCTTTTCCCCAGCTCTCCTTTTAACGCTCTCTCGGTTCCAGGGAACCCCTGTGTTCGAGCAGACGTTTAATCACATCACGAGTATTGCGGCCCTTCTGTTCTCACGGCTCCTTCACCCCCTACTGTCCCTGTTTCCCCTCCCTCTTCCTCATCCTTTACCTCAGAACATGGCAGAACTGAAAGACTCCATTACAAGCTGCTATCTTTTCTTTCTGTGGGTTTTTTTTTTGGCATGATTTGGATCATATGATGTGTTTTTTTCCCTCATAACAGTGGCAAGACAAATTAGTAGGATTTAAAGGTAGTCATAGTGAGATCAACAGTGTTGGAAGACCAAGCTCAGAAAAATCTGTGGTACCTTTGATTAGCTTTGTTTGAGTGATTTGAACTTCTTAAATATTTTTGGCAAAAGACATGGAAATTAGTTAAGTACATTTTCTTTTTTAACAGAGAGATCAACTGAAGCTGCAAACGAAGAAGGTAGATGAACAGGTATTGGTCTTAAATGAGTAAAATCAAGGAGGAGTGGACCACAGAGGACAGAGGACAAGGGACAAACACTTGACTTACTGCTGTTACTGGCATTATTTTAATTGTTTGACAGCAAAGGTGTGGTGTTACATAATAAATTAATCTGGTGCAGGTCAGGACACGGCGCAAACAATGTCATTACATGGTGACGACATCAACCGTCATTCTCATTCTCATTTACTCCATTTTGTATGAGAGTTTCTTGAAAATTAAAGTTCATATCATGCCCTACAAATAGTGACAGCCCTTTAATTTATGAATTTTTAATTTTTGCCAACTGTGAAATTACAATTTAGTTCTTATTTTTGTCTGAACTCTTACTTAAGTTACTTAAAGTTCAGGTAAGGCTCTGGTACATTCTGACACTAAATAAAACCTCATGCAGTAGTGTTTAAATTAACAATTAACAAAAGCCGAAGATTTTAAGAAATTAAAGACAGAATAGGCTGAATAACTATCTGCTAAAACAACATGTAAATAAATGTACAAACTCCTCTATTAGTCATTAACAACTAACATGGCACGTGAAGCCAAATGTCTGTGTGTGTAATAGGTAGCAGAAAATTACAAGTCTATTAATGTTGTGGTGCAGCTTAAACAAATTGCAAAATAATAATATAAAGTCAAAATAAATGAAACATAATAATATACTTATATTATACAACTAATGTGTATAATATAATATGTTCAAATTGACAAATTAATTGCCCTAAAGGTTGAGAATACAAAATCAATTGTGTCTTTGAGGCAGTAAAAGGGTGTGCATCATGAATAAAAAACTGTAACTCATGAATTTCAGCCTGTTGCAGGCCAGTGTTGGTCAACTGTTACAGTGCAATAAATGTGTTTAAACCAAAATAGGTTAAAACATTTTCATAATCTAAAAAAATAACTCAAATATCATCCTTTCAAATGACACATCACACATCCATCTCGATGGAAATGTTCTGTACCTCCCTGACCCTTCCCTCAACAGGACAGATAATCAACGGGGCGGTGTTCTTCCCATTATCTTGAACACAGGGGTTAAAGTACGGGTAGAGGGGCTCAGCGAACGTACACCCGCTGTAAGTGTAAATGTGAGTCTTTGCTTCTGCGTCGTAGAAGGACACCGACCCTTCCTCGTAGTCCAGGAACACACCCACTTTCCGAGGGGGTTCCTGGAGATGGAGGGTGACGGAGGGGCCAGCGCAGGCGCTGAGGCTGCCACCTTTCCGCCGGCAGATCGCCCAGTAACCACTGTCAGGACGCACCGTGATGGCTCCCTTCCTGTTGATAGACTCCCTGGCCACGCCAAGATCCCAGTCTGTTTTATCTCCAACCTGAAACACAACATACAAAAATAGAGTCAGACAGACAACAGCAGAACGAGATTTAAACAGCTTTAAACAGTTTTAAACTGCTCAGACATGTGTGCTTTAAATTAAGTGCTTCAAGATTCACTTTAAGCACTTAATTTCACTATATCTTGTTATATCTTGTGTCTTTTAAGGCTTTTACTGTATGATATGTTAAATTAGGTGTCATTTCAACTGGAAAATGCGGTAAAGATTTTTCTAAACAACCAGCAGTACAAGCCAAAAGAAATAAACATTCTATCAATGTCAACAAGTCTAATGCTGCTGATATGCATCTGCAGGGTCTTGTGTGGTAGTCTGACAGCACTTCAGGAGCTTAAAGCGTGTTTTCTTGTTTCTGAGCACTTACCTGAACAACCCAGTAGCGTCTCCCAGATGTGAAGCTTTGTTTCCCTAAAACGCAGACGCAGGAGTCAAATCGCTGAGGATTGTCTGCGAGTGGGGCCTTCTTCTGGCTGCTGAGGCTCACCTGTGGAAAAGTATAATTATCGTTATCATCATCATCATCCTACTCTTTCCAATGATGCTGTAACCTGATATCAACTGTCATTCACATTTTTAGTTACATTTTGAGCCTCTTTGCTCTTAATTCTCACATGCTTTTCACAACCTAGTGTCACATTACAACTAATTTTAGTTCAACCGGCTGCGTCAGAACAAAAGATAATAATAATAATAATAATACATTTTATTTATAAGCGCTTTTCTAAATACTCAAAGACACTTTACATAAAAAAATCACTGTCTTTACAGTCTTCAATGTCAGAAACTATTCTGGAGTATTAGTTTCCTTTAGGGAGACTGTGCTCTTCACACATTTAATAGTCAATGATAACAATCAGACAATACCTGCTTTCTGTCTGGAGACAGGACCAGCCAGCCGGAAGCAGTCTCGGGATCCAGAGTGACATCCACTGCAGAGAAGAAGAAGGAAAAACAGTGAGTCGGGTGATAAAAGGGCGATTATCAAGGTTGTTGAAATAAGCAATAGATGTATGATTGTGAACGTACCTGCATATTGATTCATCTTGTCTGCTTCTGCAAAAAGGGAGAAGAAAAATTGTTTGTTCATGCATTGATTTTCACAATAATCCTTTCAATCTTTGGCTGTTTCATGAAGTAGAATCTACCAAAGGTTTACTGACCTTCTGCAGACAACATGGCTGAAAGTTCCTGGCAGATGTCCACAAGCTTAGCAATGGCTCTCCTCACAGTCCCCATGCAGTTATCTGAGTGGACCGCGACCTCAGACCACTCTTTAGTGGAGGGGAGTTTACTTAGAGACGGGAAGCTCTAAAATGGAAAGGGTTTTTCATGAGTTCAGCTCTTAAAATGTTAACAACAGCAGAGAAATGTTAAAAGGCAGTTCAGGTATCCAACCTGTAGGAGGTGAAGAGGGTTCTGAGTGAGCTCCAGGTGCTGCAGCTCGCTGTTCCTCATCTGCAGGTTGTTGATTTCCTCTTCCAGCTCGACAAGCAGCTCCTCAGCTCTCCTCTCAGCTTCTTCCTGCTTCTCCTTGAGCTCCTCGACCAGCCCGGCATCTTGTCTCTCAATGGCGGTTATCAGCATGGTGCAGGCCTGAGCACTGCTCTGTATCTCTCTCTCTGTGTTTTTCTATCGATCGAAACAATAGGACGTGAATTTACGGAAAAGCCCCCCAGACTAGTTCCAACTCTTCTTGAACATGCATCCGTACGACAATGCTGGACTTACTTTGCTTAGATCCACTGAATTTTTTATCTGCTCCATTTTTCTCAGTCTGGCGTGGATCATCTGTTGAATGCTGGCTTTTGTCTCCCTCAAATCAGTCTGCAAAAGGTAAAAAATACACAAAACGTTTGATATAATGTGCTGGAAAGTGCACCAAAAAAATCAAGAGGAAAGCAGGTAGGAAGGACTGATTTTCTTTTAAGTTTATACAAATTTTAGTCTGAGTTTAAAGGAAGCTGCTCGATAAAATAGGCTTTTCCTCACCTCGATCCTCTTGCTCTCCTCCTCCATGGGGACGGTCTCGTGGTGTTTGTGGTCCCTCCCTGTGCATTTTACACACACGGGCATCTGGTCTCTCTTGCAGAACATTGTCAGCGGCTTGTTGTGCTTCCTGCAGAGGTGACTGCTGGGGAACGTGGCCGGGTCCGTCAGGCGGTGTCTCTGCAGTGCTGGATCCCTCAGGTGTGGCATAAGGTGAAGTTCGCAGTAAGACGCCTGGCACACGAGACATGACTTGACTGATGTTGACTTGTTTCCACAGCAGATATCACAGGGAACTTCTTCAGCCTCGAAAAGCTGGTTTGGGGAATGATTCTCTCTTCCTGGTGGCGCCAGAATGTCGACATCCTCTTCTTGTTTTGATGTGGGTGACTGAGACCTTTTAATTCGAATTAAATCCTGTTAAATCTCAATTAAATAAAAAAAAGCTTTTCTTTTACATACTAAAAATAATTTAAAAAATTCAAAACACACCTTTTAATGATTTCAACAATCTCAGCAAATGCTCGGTTGATCCTGAGTTGAGGACGATTTGCGAAAGTCTCTTTGCACAGCGGACACTCCGACTTGTCCTTCGTATCCCAGAAGCCTTCAATGCAGTCCAGACAAAAGTTGTGTCCACATGGGATGGAGACGGGGTCGGTGTAGGTGTCCAGACAGATGCAGCATCTGAACTGAACCTCAAATGGCACGGAGGCCGCTGAGAAAAAAACCCCACATTATATCACTTAAACATGAGTATTTGAGTGAAAAACACTTTTGCTGATTGTGTCTGATGATTTCTCTGATGATTGAGTATAAAAGATAAATCTAGTATTGACCAAAATTAAACTATACTCTACAAAACGCTGCTCATTGCATAATACAAATAAATGCTCTCTTCAATGACCAGTTCTTGCCGGCCAAGAAATAGCAGCTCATTGCCAGCTCTACTAGATTTGGAAGAATAAATGAAGAGTTTTTAAAAAATAAATCAAAAGGTAGAGACCAAATTTGGCTGTAATTAGTCCTTGTAACCTACAACAAGTTGCAAACACTGTTAGACATAAACACTTAATGAAAGAGGACTTTTAATTTGAAATAACTAAATAATGTTTGCAAATGCTGCAATAAAAGACGGTCATGTTGCAGGTTCCTCTCTTCTATATCCGTAGTATTCTTGTTATTAACAACTTTCTTCTTTCTCAAATAGCAAATAGTTTTTTGGTGCATTTGGAAATCATCTGCTTTCATTTACAAAATAATTTTTGAATGTTTTGTCATCTATCAACATGTTTTAAATTAATTAATTAATTAGTATAAATTAAAGCTGCTTTGCACTGCATGTATTACATTGCTTTTTTGTTGCAGTATTGATCTTACCTATTAGGGTTGTCATGTTCAGTGTCCTGATCTTTCTCACAGAAGCAGCATGTAGTTCAGATGCAGCGTTCAGAGGTTTAAATACTAAAGTGACTCTTTGTCTGCAGGGTTTGTCACTCTAATCACACTATTGTCAAGCTCCACCTCCCTGAAGGAAGGCTGAGATATATTTCCCCACATTAGTCGGGAATTGTGGTTCTTCTGGTTCTTCTGGTCTTTCAGCTTTACACTGAGGTTGCGCAGTCAACCTCAAAGTCAAAAACATCATCATTTAGGATAATACATGTAAAAGGATAAAGAGTTAAATGAATACATTAAGTTTTTACTGTCATACAACTTTGGGCTTGCAAGGCACCACAAGTTTATATGAGCCTGTGTTGCGTAGACATTTCAAAATAAAATAAAAAAGAACAAAAGAACACAGAAACAGTATGTGTGCGGGGTGCTTTGCCAAGAATGACCAAATGTTCATCATGCATCAGAGACTGAGAGAGTTAAGTTTTGTCACATCTCTGTTGCTGCAACCAGGAAGACAAACCAGTTTTGCAAAGTTACACCTTTTTTTCCCCAGAGGAATGAAAAAACAAAACAACTCACAGCCAAAAGGGGAATTTTGTCATTCCGTGCATGGTTGTGCAAGTTCACACTCTACAAGATCTAGCTCAAAGATCAGTTCAAGCAGATAAAAAGTTAGCTCCGTTTTGCTTTTCTTAAATGCTTTGTTCAGACCAAAAAATAAAAAATAATAATTAACAGAGGGAGTTTGTGTATTTTTCTTTTTCTGAATGCAATGAGGCATTTACCTGTACTGTCTAGGAAAAAGTAACAAATTGGGACTCGGCAGATGCTCGTATACTTGTATTTCCAGGTGTGTGCTGGCAAATGGGCCTGTTTTGATTTCAGTGCAGGCTGCGTACGTGTGCAGTCCATGCATACGTGTCAAATAGTGACGTGGGAAATCGTTGTCTTTTTTTTATCATATGAATGAGCTTTACCAGGCCAAGCACACGTACAATGAACTTCTTTTTTGTTTCCATCAGTGTTACACGCAGTTCCATAATAGAAATAGACATACAGCAAAAAACAAGGACAACAAAGCTGACAATAAAGTACAGTGTCACAAGCACCAGATCTATTCTTAGTGTTATTAACTGCTCAAACGTCAAACTTTTTCAAAAAAATAACAGAAAAATAAGCCTCCACTCAATGTCATATCAATATATATATATATATATATCAACTCCTTTTGATACTTTCCATATGTTTTGCTAGTAATACTTTTACTTCAGTGTCCGTTTTAATTATTATTATTTAGTATTTTGACTTTGTCTCTCTGTGTGTGACTGTAAAGTTTCATTTAGTTGTAAACCTTGTGTTGTCAAATGCATTTCCTTGATCCTTGAATGAGCTCATGGCTGAGCACCAAAGACGGGGAATGTCAGAAACATTCATGGTTTCAGTTTACAGAAACCTTTCAGAAGCTGTAGTTAGCTGGTAAAAACTGTGGTAACAAAACAAACAAAGAAGTTTATTGTACGTGTTCATTCATTCATATGATAAAAAAAGACAATGATTTCCCACGTCACTATTTGACACGTATGCATGGACTGCACACGTACGCAGCCTGCACTGAAATCAAAACAGGCCGACTTGCCAGCACACACCTGGAAAAACCAACACTGAAATTTAAATAGTTTGCATTCACAAGAGCCTGTTTTCTACCCATTGTCATCTAAAGAAAAACCCATCTGCAAACCTCAACACCTCGACTGTTCTCACCCGCATTGACAATAGCGTTTGTCATGTTTCAGAACATATCATATTTCCTATTGTGCAATTTTATCCTAGTGCTTGTGACACTGAAGTTTATTGTCACAACAAGATAAAGATCTACAGTACAGTATGTCCTGAACATCATCAAAAAAAGTTTTTTGGGGAAAGTGATACATAAGAATTCACAGAAAAAAAACTCCCCTGATGGAGTCGAGATAGTGTGATATGTCTTCATTCTTATGGACTGACAGTGAAGCTCCCACTAGTCTGTGTGTCTTCTGAAAGTAACTCAAATGTGTGTTTCTGTCCATTTTTATGTTTCCTGTTTAATGTTTGCTAATTTGCAACATAAAGTTTAGCTGAGGTTGATGAGAATGTCATAGTCTTTAAAATGTATTGAAAAGTTTGGGGACCAAACATAGACCTTTTTCACAGCAGCCATTTTGACATGTAGCAGTAGGGTACACAGGTGCTACCAAGTCCAAGTCCTGTGTGTAACATTTAGTAGGCTCTATTGGCAGAAATTAAATATAATATTCACATGTATGTTTTCATTAGCGTATAATCACCTAAAAAATTGCCCAGAATGGACAAACCAAACACTGACTCTAGACAGGGCGTATCTGTAGTTTCTCCTCGCGGTTGGACTTGGAATCTGCAACTCACTCTTTGTAGGTCTGTGCTTTGTATTTTAGCCCCTGTGCAACATCCGTTTGCAGTCCTCAGTATCTCACAATATTGTGTGCAAGATTATTGTTAATGGAGCAGTCAGGTAATCCTGAATTTCAAGATTTCCTTGGTAAATACATAAACTCCCACACACATCACTGGACCAACCTGGATTACCCGCAGAACAACTGTATCATGAAAGGGTGCAGTTAAACATGTTCATTCAATGCTTTAGAAATTACACCCAATATGCCATTCAGGGTAACATTAGAGCAATGTGTTGACAGCTGCTTTATATACAAATGTAGTAAATCAAACAAACAGACAAAGCAATGCTCAATATTCATTGTGGTGCGTTGATGCTGCTCAACCCACTGAGAGACTTGCCCTTTAAATGGCTGCCGTATTCTTTAATAACACAACGCCACCTGGCGAGGGTTTTCAGTCAAAGCAGCTACCTGAGTTTACGCAGTCATCTCTGCTTTATTTTATACTTAAAGCTTCTATGTTTATGTTTGGAAACTTGTGACTTTACTGACTCCTAGTGGTCAGAGGTATAAATATAAACTTCATAAATAAAATTCAAGATTCAAGATTCAAGATTCAAGAAGCTTTATTTATCCTGAGAGAAATTACTGTGCAACAGTTGCAATACAAAGGTGAGAAAGTAATACAGGGTTGGAGTAAAAATAAGCTTACATAAAATAAAATGAAATAAAATAAATAATAAAATAAAGGCTAACATAAAATAAATCAAACAATTAGCGTTGTTGTCCAGGATACTGTGCAGTTTACACAGCATCCTTCTCTCAGACACCACCACCAAAGAGTCCAGTTGGACCCCCAGGATGGAGCCAGCCTTCCTGATGATCCTGCTGATCTTCTTGGCATCTGCTGCCCTCAGCCTGCTGCCTCAGCACACAACAGCAAAGAAGATGGCACAACACAATGCGTGTCATTCGAGTTATTCAATAGATGCTTTAGTTTTATGACAATTTTACAAACAAGAGCAATAAGACTGACTTAAAGTTTAAGAAGAAAAAGGTATTTTTGTTTTACAAAATGTATTTAATGCAAAAGGTATATACAGTCTTTTTTACACAACCAGAAAAAAAAAATAATAATAAGCAAAAATAAATCAATTAAATACATTAAGGAATGTAAAAAGGTAAAAAAACACAAAACAACACACAAGTGTTATCCTTGTCTTAGAAAAGCAGTACATAACAGTGATAAATACCAAAAAGAGACCCGCGATCTGTCACTTTTTGTACAAATATGTAAGAAAACATCTTTAAAAACAGGGTTGAAAAATTAAACACCTCATGGATATTGGCATTGATATCTGGAATAACTTCAAAACAATGACACACAATCCTTTACAACTGTTTTATATTAAGATTATTGCTAATTAGCAGCATTCATCAGCTGTAAATGAAGTCTCACAGTCAACTAATATAATAACACCTGAAGACTGACAAAAGAAGCCAAATTATCCGTTCCCACACTGCTGATGCATTGGGTTAATAAGGAAAAGCATTGAATATGTCAAGGAGAATAGGGTGCACAATTATAAACCTCATAACAAACATTTATAGAGCATAAAAGGATCGATAAAGTGAGGATTATTAAATATATAAACAACACAATAACAGTATTCACCATTCCACACTTACATTCAGAACTACCTTTTTTAAAACCTTGTTAAAAGCTTTGATTTCGTTACAGTGCTCCCAAATTTCTTCACAGCAACTCAAGAAAACACATGCAAATGAAAGAAGAACAAGCAAATGAAGAAGACATTTTCACCATAAAAAAAACACTGCAGTAACAGACACCACAAGCAGTTACATCTGGAAGTTTCATTCAAAAAAAGTATTCAATATCCTTCATTTCCTGTACCTAAAAGTAAAAGAAAACAGAAGTACCAATACCACACCGTAAAAAATATTTCACTACAAGTTAAAGTCCTGCATTCAAAACCTTAATTAACATTACATTATATTATATTTACTGCTGTAGTTGTTTAAAGTTGAGCTAATTTGAACACATTTGTATATAGCCTATAGTTAGTACTTTAAACTACAGCAATGCATCATATTCTATAAGATCATCATGTGTTTGCGTTGTTGTTGCCTTGTGAGAACCACATATCTCCAAAAAGTCAACTTTTCATGAGCTCAGAGCTTTCTGAAGAACCAAGGAGGATTTTTAATAGTTTGTAGGAGAATTCATCAACCCATGAAGGCAGACTTAATCCTTCAGTTTGTAGCACCCCCTCATTCTTGATTAGAGGGTTATTCAGATCACCTGTTGCAGGGTGTAAGGACTGACTCCTAAATGATGATTGAGAGCAGTTTGGTGCACCCCCATCTTGGCCAAATCCGGGTGCAACAACGCCAATCCTTTAATGCATAAGGGAGATGGAAAACTGCACACAGTTCTGCTTGCCTGACTATTAGCTGCTGCCTACAGGCTTCAGTTTGGAACTACAACATTTCAAAACAAAAGACATTTCTGGGGTGACACTACAAACCCATAAACATGCCCAGGCTTACATTAACATTGTAAAATTGATGAATGTGTTTCTAAATTTGTGTGTTGCCTTTTTTTATTCCTCCAAATACTTGTGCTTTTGGAAGCTGACATCTCTTGATCACTGTAGCAGATTTTGGGGGATTTTAAAACACGACTACAACAAACATCAGTGTATCTTTTTAAAGAACGATCTTCATCAATTGCCAGCAATGAACAGATTAGTGAAGATGTGGATGGAGAGAGCAAGAGCAAGGTGGGGCACACCTGTGGTATGCACCCAATTTAAATTTTCTCTTCAGAAAAATAAAAGCCTTACAGATAAGGAAATGTGCATGGACTTTGCTGTGTGAAAAAGTGTGGCCTGAGTCTCCCATTCAAAAAGCTACAGTCCCTTCAGCAAACCCAGCCTCAACAGGACAGATAATCAGCGGGGCAGTGTTCTTCCCGTTGTCATGAAGACAGGGGTTTAAGTATGGATATAGAGGCTCTGTGAAGGTACATCCGCTGTAAGTATAAATGTGAGTCTTTGCATCTGTGTCGTAGAAGGACACCAACCCTTCTTCATAGTCCAGGAGGACTCCCACTTTCTGAGGGTATTCTTGGAGATGGAGAGTGACAGATGGGCCGGCGCAGGCACTGAGACTGCCACCTTTTCGTCGGCAGATCGCCCAGTAACCGCTGTCAGGACGCACTGTGATCAGACCCTTTCTGTTGATGGACTCCTTGGCCACGCCAAGATCCCAGTCAGTTTTATCTCCAACCTGAAACACAACCTACATAACTAGACCTCCAGGAAAATATATGATACCACAAGAGCTACTGTTAAAAGGTCCATTAACTGTTACTGTGAGTTTTTTCTATCTTGGTTCAGATCCACATTGCCTAAATAGAAGCTGAGCAGCGCCTGTGAACAAAAGAAGCACTGCAGGTTATACATTGGGAAGAAAGAAAAGAAAACATGGGAACAATTTATATCTTATGCCCACTAATCAATCAAAAATGTTGCAACAACTTTTATCTCGTTTCCATGGATTGATCAAAACATGGGAGCAAATTGTATCTTGTGTGCACACAATTGCATTTCGAGCTCTAAGACGTGTCCTCGAGTTTCTTTGAGTTCATTAACTTTTAATTTAGTTATTGATGTTTAGTTTTAGAAGTTCAACTTAGTTTCAGATTAGCCATTTCACTTTCCCATTTTAAATTTCAAGATTATTTTTCTATACTCCATCCAACTTACCAATCAAATTCTTCTTGTTTTGCGTGGAGCATAAAGTGACAGCAACTTGCATTCTGTTGTACAACACTGCATTGTAGAATGATAAAGGAACCTTGAACACTGAATAAACCATTCAAATCCAAGAATCCTTCTGTAAAATGCTCCTTATTCAGTATATCCTTTTGATTTAATTCAAACCCACATCTTTAATTCATGGAAGCATAGCACAAGTTTGTAAGGATGGAGTCAATAGTGTTTCAGCTCAATAGTTGGAGGTCTGATTTCCTACCTGAACCACCCAGTAGTGTCTTCCAGAGGTGAAGCTTTGTTTCCCCAGAACAGAGACACAGGAGTCGAACCTGCGGGGATCATCGGGGACAGAGAGTTTCTTCTGCTGGAAGCCCAGGCTCACCTGTGGATCATCATCATCATCATCATCATCAACAAATGACATTCTGTTTGTACATCTTGGACATTATCAGTGTTGCTTATGAATGTCATGTAATTATCATCTGTCAACATCTTCACAATCAGTTTGTTTGTTTGTCAGTCAAGCTCAATTTATTCAGGAACTCTCACTGAGCTCAAGAGCTCTTCTGCAAGAGAGACGTGAGAACAAATTATTTTTACACAAGATCACAACAAGACAATTGGTCACAAAAAACAACCATAATACACAAAACGATCACAAATATTATTAGAAATATGTTAATTGTAATTGTTATGTCTTGTCTTGTTTTGTGTTGTGTCGTGTTGCGTTGTGTCTTGTACGTGTTATGAATTGAATGGAACTGTTATAGACAACGTCCAGTGGTTTGAGGGAAGTGGCAGCAGCCAGAGCATACAGGATATCTAGTCCAATGTAAACAGTATAGTGGATTGTGTGTAGCATTTTCCAGCTCCTCTTGGGGGATTCCGAGGCACTGTCATGCCAGATGAGATATATAATCCCCCCAGCAGTTTTTGGTCTACCCCGGATGTCTCCTCTCGGTTGGACATCCTCAGAAAACCTCCAAAGAAAGGCCACCATGAGACCTCTTGATCAGATGCCCAGAGCACATCAGCTGGCTCTTTCAACATAAAGGAGCAGCGGATCTACTCCTGAGCTCCTCTGGATGTCCAAGCTTCTCTCGAAGGCTGAGTCCAGCCACCCTGCAGAGCAAACTTCATTTTGACTTCTTTTATCTGCTTTTATCTCATTCTTTAGGCCACTACCCAAAGCTCATGACAATAGGTTAGGGTTGGAATGTAGATTGACTGGTAAACTGAAAGCTTTGCCTTCCGTCTCAGGTCCCTCTTCACCACAACGGTCCTGTACAACTCCCACAGTACTGCTGATGCCGTTACTCTTGAACAAAATTCCAAAGATACTTAAACTCCTTTGCTTGGGGAAGCAACTCACTCCCAACCGAGAAGGAGCAGTCCATTGTATCCTGGGTGAGAACGGCCTCAGTGCATGCTGGACCTCATGGTCTGATGAAGCCAACAGAACCACAACATCTGCAAAAAGGAGAAATGTAATTCTGTGGTACCCAAACCGGATACTCTCCTCACTCTGGCTGCGCCTTGAAAACAGAACCTTGACACTAACAAGGTTTGTCAGCCAAGACAGACTAACAATGTCCAGAGCCAGAGCCAGAGCCAGAGTATCTTAGGGCAACTCCTATCGGCATCTGGTGCCTTGCCACAGAGGAGCTTCCTGACTACTACCTCAGTGACCTCTGTCAGGGATAGGGGTGATGCTTCCTCTGAGTCTTCAGAATCTTCCTCCAAATCAGAGGACATGTTGGTTGGATTCAGGAGCTCCTCAAAGTGTGCTTTTCACAGCTCGACAATATCCCCAATTCGGGTCGGAAGTTCTCCTCCCTGGTTGAACACAGCCTGAGCCAAGCCCTGCTTTCCCCTCCAGAGTAGTTGTAACGTTTTACAGAAATTCAATGAGGACTCCTCCAGTAGCCAACCCCAAATCAGTGACTGGATATTATTAAATAGCAGTGAACCTAATATTGATTCTTGAGGGACACCTTATCAATCATCTGGGGACTTGCTTTGACCATTAGTTACAACAGTGACAGTGAACTCTCATCATTAATTTTAACCTGTAGAAAGCAGCTTTCAAATTTGTCACATATTTCATTCAGTGATCATACAATCACACTTTACCTTTTTTCCCTCTGGAGACAGAATCAGCCAGCCTGCAGCAGTTGCAGGATCCAGAGTCACATCCACTGGCGAGAACCAGAATATATGGATGAGCAATGTAATATTTACCTGAATTCACAGATTTTAAGTTAACATTTCCACCAGAAGGACATTATTGTAGTCTCTCTGCATTCATATCCATTAAAAGAGCCAAGGCTTGTATGTTCTTGTTCTTTTGATTTAACAATCACATCTCCATGTCAGCCTTTTCAAAAATAACAAAATTGACTGTGGTTCTGATTTTGTTCCAAGCAGAGCAAACCCCACATACCTGCATATTGATGGCAATTGCTTACTTCTACAAAAGAGAAGAGAGAAAAAAGTAATTTGTCAATTAAAATATGAAAAGCTATGTGTATTGTTTTGTCTTGTGTGACAGATGATTTTGTGACACACAAGTAGTAAAATATGATGCACTTATTTTGGTTAACATGGTCAGATTTAGTTTGACAACAAGCTTTTTTCGGGTACAAAAACAACAATATCACATCAAAAGTTACTGACCTTCTGCAGACAGTTTATTTTCTAGTTCCTGGCAGAGGTCCACCAGCTTAGAGAAAGCTCTCCTCACTGTTCCTACGGAGTTGTCTGATTGGACTCTGACATCGGACCAATCTCTGGTGGACAATGGGGTGCTCAGAGAGGGGTAACTCTACAGTAAAACAGGGCAACAGTGACCCACATTGCTTGTGAGTGCACAGAAGATTCTGTCTTATGTTTATTTCAGGGAGGATGAAAACATGAATAGAAAGCAGGGCTTTCTAACCTGTATGAGATGAAGAGGGTCCTCGGTGTGCTCCAGGTGCTGCAGTTCACTGCGTGTCCTCTGCAGTTCATTGATTTCCTGCTCAAGCTCTTTAAGGAGCTCTTCCCCTCGCCTCTCAGCTGCTCCCTGCTTCTGCTCCATCTCATCGATGAACAAAGCCTGGTTTCTCTCAATGGCGCTCATCACCATGGTGACGACCTGAACACTTGTCTGTATCTGTCTTTCTTTATTTATCTGCAGATATATCAATAAATTAATCTATTGATTATAGTGTACAATAAAAGTATAAGAACATGACAAAATAGTTCCTTTCGTTGCCAGAAAGACATACTGGCACAACAATAAACTGGGAGAAGTTTGACCACAGTGTCCCTGCTCCATCCTTTCAAATGTAAGAACAGTCCATTTATATTTATGGTCCCAAAATTCATGCTTTCAAAGGCAAAGTAGGGGGTTTTCTGCTTTCTCATGTTTCAAAAAATCTGATTTGCAGACAGAAAGTGTCAACTGCTCATCAGAAACATTCATTCAGACACCATGGCACAGCATCGGCAGCAATTTGGGGGGTAACATGCCGATATTTAGCAGGTGAAAGGGGGCTTGGACTTATTCTTGGTCAGATTTCCGTCACATAAATGTTCATGTTTATAACTGCAAAACATTGAAATAAAACACTTACTTTGCTCAACTGCACTGAAGCCTTGATCTCCTCAAACTTTCTGATTCTGGTCTGGATCATCTGTTGAATCTCTGCGTCGGTCTTCTTCACCTGAGTCTGTAAAAGTTGATGAATTAATTAAACTGCATGTAACATTATTATAAAATCTCAGGGTAAAAGATAGACAAACTTTTCCTCACCCTGATCCTTCTGCTCTCATTCTCCATGGGGACGATCTCATGGTGTTTGTGGTCCCTCTCTATGCATTTCACACAAACAGGTATCTTGTCTCTTTTGCAGAACCTGTCCAGGAGCTTGTTGTGATTTCTGCAGAGGTGACTGGTAACAAAGGTGCCTGGATCTGTCAGCATGTGCTTCGTCATCAATTGATCCCTTATATGAGGTGTCAGGTGAATCTCACAGTAGGATGCCCGGCAGACGAGGCACGACTTGACCGCTGTTGACTTGTTTCCCTTGCAGACATCACACGGAACTTCATCAGACTTGGAGGCCTGTCTTGAAATTCTTCTCTCTGAGGGAGCTGGTTTGCATTTTGACTTGTCCTTCAGAGACCTTTTTGATAAAATACAGATCTGGTTAGTTTTACGTAAAACATGAAACAAGTGTGTAGTGAAATAGTGCAAACATTAGAAGACCAACAGACCATTTAAATTGCTCAGTGATATCTTTTAAGCCTACGTTGATCCTGAGTTCCGGGCGGCGTTTGAAGGCCTCTTTGCACAGCGGACACTCCGACTTAGGTCTTGTATCCCAGAAGCGTTTGATGCATCCCAAGCAGAAATTGTGCCCACATGGGATGGACACAGGACTGTTGAAGATATCCAGACAGATGCTGCAGCAAAACTGCTCCTCAGACAATGCAGAGGCCATGTCTCTGACTGGAGAATAACATTATTATACTTAGACATGCATATTAAAAAACTTTGTGAATTTCTTGTGCATTTTATAATGTAATGTAATAATAATGTATTAGTTTTCCCTTTATGTGAGAGTTGATGTAGCTCAGTAAGCTTTAATACTTAGGCTGGTTAAGCGTATAGTAAATATGTCATTTCTGTGGCTAGGGCATCTGCCACATCAAAACAATAACAAATTACAAAGTTTGATGAGTATGAAGTAGCATGGGATTGTGGGAGTTAGCCATTGACAGGTGACCAGTGAAAGGTACCTTTACAGGAAAGAAATTATGGATTGGAACATTGTTTGTTTGAACACTGTTGGAAACATTTGGGATAATGTTAGTACATAACTCAACAAAATATATAACATAGATAGATATAACCTATATTTGCTTGTTGGAATATACTAAATACAAATACAGTGATTGACGGCAATGTTGGGATAGTTACTCAAAAAACTTACTCTTTTTAAAAGTAATATTATTACTTTACTTATTACTCCCTACCAACAGTAATTAGTTGCAGTATGATATATATTCTGTATCAGCTTGTTTCAGGTTTACTTTTGCTAACTTTGTGATCTCTGGGATTTTTAAGAGAGCACTATTTAAATGTAGGTCATATCTGCACAACAGCAACCAACTAAACTCATTAAGCAGAATGGAGTTTCTGCCAAATAAGGTGCTTCAAGTGGAAATAATGCCTGCAGACTGAGGTCAGGGTGATTAAAACAGAGAAGCATTTAAGAGAACAATTATGGAACATTTTGAAACGGATAATGGATTAAATAGAAACAAATTAAAGTAGGAGTGTCCCCAAAACAAACATTAGTTAAGCTTACTAGTTAATTATATAACTATAGATAAATAAATAAATTCTGATCAATACGGCTTCATTAGTCCTAATTCTCTACAAGGAATTTTCATTTTATGTTGATTCTGGTGGCCCCTGTGGACAAAAGCGGTAGTGTTTCCATCACCTCAGTTCATTGATTTCAAGGGGAATCCGACCGAATCCGACCCAGTGGCAGGCATGAAGAAGAACTTTCTAGAAATGGCCAATTATCTCACTGATGGCTTTGTTTGTTTATGTAGGTCATATATTGGTAATGGTATTAAATTAATTCATTCTTTAAACTGGTTTCATAACCAGTTATCTTACAATCACAAAGATTTTCTTCCCGTGGGACGATACCCCAGCCCCCAGGATCACCCTACCCTAATTTTTATTTCACATCATGTCTCCTTTTTCATTACTCTTTGCAACTCTGATCTGACACAGGATTGTTGCATGTCTGGGGAATTTCTGATCACTCTTACTGTTTTTTCCCCATGAGCTAGTTAAAAGTACATTTTTGTTTTCATTTAAAGGTTGGTGCCTCATAAAATCCTAAAGTGTTATGAAATGCCTTTTCTTGGTCCATTTTAAATTAAATTTCTGTGATTTAACCCTGAGCATTTATCATGAAGCAGATGAGGCTACACATATCTCACTGTATATGTTCTTCCTCTACATTATCTGTTTAATATAAATAATGTCTTACCTTTATGATTTGACCGACAGATCAGATGTGTTGACTGCAGTTGTATGAATGTGGTCAAAACAGACTAGGGAGAGAAAATGAGCTAATAGTTCCTCCCACACTAACGTTTATCAAAAAGAGTTGAACAAGTAATTCTGGTTCTTCTTCTTAGCCTTCACCTGCATTCACTTTTACATTTCCTGTATCATCACTGCAGCTGCTGCTCCAATGTCCAATGTTTAATTAAATATGGAGAAAGTTATGTATGCTGTTGTGTGTTAACTAGCTAATGTGTGATACATTAGATTTAGATACTCCATTACCACATTAATAATTCAATTATTAACATGACGTTATTACTTATTATTCATTTGCTTCTGGTGGCCCCTGTTGATTTAGCTGGTCTTAGGTCAGGGCTGGATTCCCATCGTCTATTTCCCTGTCTTCATCCTCATGTATCTGTTTGAGCTTTTGTCTGCGATAAAGACTATAATTAACACATAGTGTGATCTAAATTTAGAATTAATTCCAACTCAAACGTGCACATGACAGTTCATCATAAACACACAAACATAAAACCAACATAAGGAGGATGATAGATAGTTTGTCCCATAACAATCCTAGAATAGTTTTCTGTAATTAGTGTCGTAACAATGTAGGTCAAGATTTTATTAAACTTTACAACACTAATAATCTATCTGAGATCATACTTCTAGATTTATGATTTATTAAGTTTGTTGGACAATCTTAACTATAACTTTCACGTATTTATCTTGGCCTTCACTTAGAATTTCCCTTCGGGGATAAATAAAGTATTTTTATCTATCTATCTATCTATCTATCTATCTATCTATCTATCTATCTATCTATCCTACCTACCTACCTATCTATCTATCTATCTATCTATCTATCTTTCCCCTCCTCCCCCCCTGCCTGCCTGCCTGCCTGCCTCCTGCCTGCCTCCTCCTCCCCCTCCTCCTCCTCTCCTGCCTCCTGCCTGCCTGCCTGCCTCCTGCCTCCTCCTCCTGCCTCCCCTCCTGCCTCCTCTGCCTCCTCTGCCTGCCTCCTCCTCCTCCTCCTCCCCCTCCTCTGCCTCCTCCTCCTGCCTGCCTCCTCCTCCTCCCCTCCTCCTTTCCTCCTCTCCTATCACTGAACAGTCCTGACAGGCTATTGTTAAATGAATGGGCAGGTAGTAATGAGATAATAAGCATCCTGACTGCGCACCCATTCATTTTGGAGTGGAGTACCCATTAGCTGTGCCACATATGTTTCCAAGTTTCAACTTCCCGTCATCTTCTGTGGCTAAGAGGCAGAGCAGGTCATCCACTAATCGTAAGGTTGTTGGTTCGATCCCCGGCTCCTCCGGACACGTGTCGAAGTGTCCTTGAGCAAGACACTGAACCCCAAATTGCTCCCGATGCTGTGCATCAGTGTGCGAATGTGTATGAATGAGTTAGTTTCTGTTCGGTGGGCTTTGCCATCACTGAGTGAATGTGTGTGAAAGGGCAAATGTGGCATGTAGTGTAAAAGCGCTTTGAGTGGTCAGAAGAGAAGAAAGACGCTATTCAAGTACAGGTTATTGTGAGACACAGATGAGTCACACTACTCATAAATCAACTTCCTCTTTGAGACTGAACACAGGACAGCTCAGTTCAGACAGTCTGAACCAGGGGGGTCAAATAATGTTCAGTGAACAGCTGGGAAGATGTAGTGTGTTCATCTGTGGGACATGAGAGAAAACTATGTGATTGCATTAGGTGTTGGCATGTCAGACCAAACACACCCCAGAGTCAGAGTCCTATAATGACATCAAGGCCTTCAGCAGGCAGCCCGCAGATTGGCAGCCTGCAGGTCTCTACAGTACCACACCCTGTGCAAAACCTGAAGCTATTTCCAGATTATGAAAGTCCTCCAGTCACTTACATGAGAAAGCTGATTGTAAGAAGAGGTAGAAAAAAAATTCAAAAACACTGTAAATGTTGTTCTAAACAGGAACTTTTAGGAAGAGATGTGTGGACCATGAGTACCCTTTTCCCACCAGACTAGCTCTGTTTAACCCTAACCCTTTTGCTGTATGTATTCTGTGTGTGTACATTTAGAGCAATGTAAAACCAAATTTGTATTTGTGTTGTATGTTTACGCATACTTGGCCAACAAAAGTGATTCTGATTCTGATTTAGCATTAAAGAAATACTTATTGGCCACACAAGTATCTTTTAAAAAACTAGTGTTTACATTTTAATACATCACTTTTACAACTCAGTAATTATCTTCAGAAAACACAGCAGGTTTTTAAAACAAAGTGAGTCTACAATCTTCCACTTGTAGTAGTCATATACATCGGTGTTCCCACTCATTAGAGAAAGAGACATGTCTGCTTGCCTTGTACTTTATTGCCACTGAGTGGAGCAGTAAGGACATTGCAGGAATCTCTGCATTTACTGTCTGCACTATACAACCTAACAGCATATCTTAATAAAAAGAAAATGTGGAGTCACTCATTCCCATGAATAAATTATTGGTGTATATAAGATATTTGATGTTTGTTGTTGTTTATTTTCATAATATCATTACACATTCACATTAAATAGGCTTTAGTAACAACTTAATTACAGGAGTAAATATGAAATTAGTTGATCCACAGGAAATTAATGAGCTACCATTTTGTAATTGGTAATTGTAGTTTTTTTTAATCTTACATCAGCTATTTTGACAGCTAATGTAATAATTTGCTGCAATAGAAAAATTCAAATGACGTGGTAACATTTGTATAAGGAAGATAGAGCTAACCTATTCTTACTTTATTATGGATACATTTAGAAAATATAGATAGATAAATATAGATAGATAGATTCTGTTAACACATTTTAAATAACTTTGGGGAAATGCTGCATATGTCTGTAGTTTACTTACTAGTTTTAAGTTTAATTTACTGAATGGAATTGGTAAAATTAACAACATTTTCCCAAGTTACCTTAACAAATACTTAAGTTACTTGTACTCTAATCAAATATTTCTCAATGCTTATATTGTTAATTGAGTTTATAAACTTGGGCAATCAGTTTCCTCAAACAGTTTGAGTTAAAACTAACTCATCGGGTTTTACAGTGTGTCTATACAACATATATTTATACAACATAAGCACTTACATTTCATTAAATACATCACTCCAGATTTTATATATAATTTTGGGACCCTGAATTATCATATAAGTATTAAATATTATAATGTTAAAAATAGGTTTATAATGTTCTTTTTGAAGTCCCCACTCAACGTAATTCTGTTGTGTGTGATTGTCTGACTGACTCATTGTCAGGCATCACCGTCAGTGTCATTTGTTAGTAAAATCTAAGATTTTATTTCATTGTTTGTGCTCTCGTGCTAAAAGAAGACACTTCTCAGTTTGCATTAAACATGACATCACAACTTTGCATCTGTTTTACATTCTTAAGATGGAAAAAAGCTTTCAATCCATGCTCCATTTAAACCAGTACTGCTATTTATTTTAGAGGCAATGTAGGTGAAAGCTTGTGTCATGTTCAGAGTTAATTTGAATACTTTTGACTTCATGCTGAATACATGTGCAATAAGATTTATACCTTTTGGTTTCATCTGTTAGTTATAGTAATCAGTTTACTACACTATATATTTTCAGGTAACTGATACTGTCTATAACAACAATATTTATTATAGTTTATATTAAATATTCATAATTATTTACATGCAGCTGTGGTTCTTTTCTGAACTCATAATTTTTCCCATCATGTGAGAGCTAATGTAGCTCAGAAAGCTCTAATAGTTCAGCTGGTTAAACCTATGATATGTAATTTCCGCCCCTAGGGGGTCTCTCACATCAAAGTTTGATGTTGTTGTGAAGTTGTGTGGGATCATAGGAGTTGTTGTCTTCACCACAACAAGATCCAGACATCCGATGACTAAAATCCTTCATGCGGTTAAAATGTGGACCAAGATCTAAACAGCGTATTGCAAAAATATGGTTTAAAACTGGATAAAAAGTAAATTTATGAAATGTTTCATATTAAGTCTAACTGATTTCTTCAAAAGTACTGTAGTTTCTAGCAAATGTGTGTAAATGGTGCATTTGTTTATTATTCTTAAATTTGGTATCATATAAGATTAGAAATACATTAATAATTATGAAAGAATTATGGTCTGAAGTTGTCTTTTTCAACTTTATTTATTTAATTACTATTTTTCACACAGCACAGTAACTCATAAACTAAATGTCTGATTGCAAAATAAAACAAATCAGTGATTACAGGTGTGTGTACGTTTGACAGATACAAGTCAACCACATTTTAACCTAAAACAACCATTTGTATACCATGTAAAATATACAATATATAAGGTGGAAATTCACTTCTAACACAGATAATATTAAATAACAACAAATAATGGAAATCCACTTTAGTTCCCTTCAATAAGAGACAAAGGTGATGGAATTCATACACAATTCAAACAATATTACAACACAGATTATATTAAATAACAACCAACACAGATCTACAATTTACATCCAACAACCTATCACATATGTCACATAATGTGTACACAAAACACTTCATATTCTGCCTACTTCTTTCCTTGATATTAGCAGTGAACACACACCTATTCTATGTTTTCAACCCAGTGCTGCATAAATAGCAAAAGCAAAAGCTGTTAAAGGATATCAAAGGTCCGTCTTCATTGCATCTACATTCTCCTCTTCTTTGTGGAAGATTTTATTGTCCTTATTCTTTATCCAGGAAATTTTAAAATCTCTTTTAATCCCCTTCTCTTTCAGACTCTCCTCCACCTGGAAAACAAAAATGTGTGCCAATAATGATTATTACGAACCTTTACTGCCTTGAATGTCTCTGACTGAAGTTTTTACTGTAGTTTACTGTAGTGCTACAAAGGTGCCCTGGCCTACAAACCTTGTTCTCCAGATTGAAGAAAACATGTTTGTTTTTTACTGAACCCCCCAAATGTATGATTTTTTAAATGATTTTAATATTTGTTTTTAGTCAAAAATATTAGGATAAAAATTCCCCCAATAATTGTGGATAATGGGGTGACTGGACCTGGACCACATCCCAGATGATCTCCTTCTTTCTTTCATTTCCTAACTTGCATACTCAAGATATATTTGCATGGGAGGAGAGATCATGCCTAAACCAGAATTAACATTTTCTGAACATGCAAATAAACCTGCTAACAGAGTAATGGGAGCCACCCTATCAACCTTCTTCTTCTTCTTCTTCTCCTCCTCCTGTTTGTATTGAAATATAAAGTTATCTATATCTCCATTTGCTAGGTGTCATCCCCCCCTCTCTCTACCCCCTTTTCCTGTCTATCTTAATCTATTTCCCCCCCTTCCTATATGGCAGAACTTTAAAAATCCTTATCTCAGTCTCAGTTTTACAGCCCGTCTTTCCAGATTTTTAAAAATGTTGTATCACCTTACACTAACAGGTCATTTTCATATACTCAAATGAAATTAATCATTAAAATGTACATACTTGCATATATATAAATAATTGAGAAACAAATATAACCCCCTAAACCAACACCTGTGATGGCAGTTACCTGATTCAAGATAGCCTCCGTCACAGCAGGGTCATTCAGGTCGATTGTGGTTTTCAGTGCTGTCAGCTTAACTTTTAACACCTGTGTCTTATCTGGTAATGAGGTATAAATATAGATAAAGTGAAGAATAGATTAGAATGTGTTCAGAAATATGATGCCACATAATAAACATGACGCAGTGTAGAGTTGAACATAACTCACTGTTGTGGCAGATGAAATGTAATTTTTCGTCACAGTGGTTTTCCACCCACTTTCCATGGTGAATAGCATTAATCACACTGGTAGCACATGTGTCAGTTGGACTCACCGGGTGTCCATCTGCCCAGTTTTCAAAATTGGGTTTAGTTTTATCTGACCACCAATGCCAGACAATGCGGTGCAGGCCGATAAAAACAAACTTGTCTCTTGGTACCACTTCCTGGATCCTCATATTCTCAGTTTCGTTCCTCACACTGGCTAGGTCTGTGTGATGATTCCTGCAGTATTGCCGAGCACCCCACCAATTGAACACTTTGTTTATATAGATGTATTTTCCACTGGAAGTAGATTCTGAGCCTGAAAGAATTTTTAAAGTTTGTAAAATACTTTATTACTTTATTTCACTGCTGCAGATAACAATTATTTTAATATTATATATTATATATTATATAATATAGTTATTTTCTTGATTAATCAATTAATAGTTTGGCCAGAAAAAAAACAACAACCTCCATCGCGTTATCTCAGAGACAAGCATCAAGTTTTAACATTTGAAATGCATTTTTGCTTAATAAAACAGTACTCACAATTAATTGATTATCAAAGTTGCCAGTTACTTTTCAAATGATTCAGTTCAGTGGAAAATGTATTTTAAAAAGTAAATATTAACACAGTTTAGAAAACGTAATATTTGGACTTAAGACGTTTTGTCTGTTGTCTCTGTATATATCGGCTTTGTAGTCATTGTTACCATGTGGATCAATGTCACACAATTATATGACTGGCTGCTAAAACTCTTCTCATTGGCAATGGCAAGAGCCTTCTATTTTTCTTGACTTGGACTTAAACCTCTTTGGATTTGTCTTGGACTCGACAAAGGTGGTCTTGACTACAGCACTGGCTGTAAATAACACCAAAGCAAATAACTTATTACTCACCAGGACGATTTTTGTCATAGCAGACAAAGGTGAAAACATCTTCACAGAAACAATCATTCCAGACACCGTTACTGAAAACAGTGCACAACCATTTTTGTTTTTTCATGTTATCTGGTTCGCTATTGTTCCACTTTCTAAAGTTTTTCTCTCCCTGTCCGTAGAAGCCAGACTCTGACAGAGACCAGCCCCAGCTAAAGGGTTTGTCAGTCAAGCCTATCCACACTTTCCCTTCATAACCACTGCCTGCAGCTGAGATCAGCCGCTCCATATCCTCCATGTTGTCTATGGTGGCCAGGTCTTTGTAATTTTCTTTGCAGTACTGTCTGGCTTCAAGCCAAGTCTTTGGTTCATCAATTAAGTAGTAATTATGAAGGCATGAGCACATCCCTGTAAAGAAAGGGACATTTGTCAAATCACTGTTGAAAAATAAATCTGTTGGTTTGGAAAAGAAGATGGTTGTGTTAAAATAAGCCTTTAAGATAAATTAGGTGTTTGTTTTTATAAAAAAGAAAGTAATTACAGTAAAACAGACTGTAATGAACTTAATGTAATGCCAGCAGCACAAAATATACTTTGGTGATCACCTGACATCACTTGCGAAACATCAGCATGTCATTGTAAGTTTGCAGAACCACTACCATTTTTATTTTCAGTCTAAAATAATATATACGACATAAACATACATACGCATCCAGACTGACCTGATAAAAGGAGAATACACAACATGGTCCTTCTAATACCTGAGGATGACAAACATTCTTCAAAAAAACTGTAAAATGAATAATTAAGTATACAGAAAACTTGTTTACAATGTCTCATAAACTCTATGAAGTTTTCCATTAATAAATAATGTGAAGATTGTGCTCTTCATTTATTTATGAAGCAACAAAAGCCGAATTCATGATGATCAGGTAAGCCCACTGGACTTTAGTGAGCTTTCTTGGGAAATTATATATGGAAACTCAATATGAAACACAAAATGAGACCCAGCAACGGGAAATCAGGGATTGTGTCTCATAGACACCTCGCTCCATCACAACTTCCCAGATCAAGTTATTGCACTTGACCGGGGGACCATGTTCTGCGCTTAGAGAGACATTTCATAGATACATTTCACTGTGCAACCCTGTGTTGTTAAATGACAAATAATTGACTTTGTATCCTTAAAATCTCTCTAGGTCGACCAATTATTCCTCCAGTTGAGCTAACTTAGAAAATCTAATTTGCAATACTTTTCTGGAAGATATAAAAAAGACTTGTCCTTAAGGTCCAAATCTTTTAAGATATTTCTTACCTGGATGTACGGGAGTGCAGGCTGGTGGCATCTTCATGTTCTTGTCCTATATCTAAATCTCGCTGAATTTTAAACTATTGTCTGGAAAAACGTAGCAAACCTTTTTATCCTACTTCTTTAATCCCTTGATATGCAAAATTCTGACTCTCATCTCCTAACAGCTGTAATATGATCTCTTGCACCTCCTTTTGAGACGCTTCCAGCCTCTTCCAGCCCATCCCAGCATCTCCAACTCCTACAAATCACAGTGAAAACCTAACAGTAAGACTTGAGTTATTTATCAAGGAAAATGAGTCTCTTTCTCAGAACTGAATTTTTTTTAAAAATAAAGACGTAACACAATCTTTTCTACATGGTGCAAGTTTAAATAAGCCATTGAACCACAGTTAAAGGAGCATTTCACCCGTGGAAACATTAATATTTATTGAAAGTGGGTTATATATGTAGTCGAAATGTAACATATATTTTGAATTTGGTGCCTATTTGACCGAGAAAAGACAGAAAGTGACTTTAGGGCGCATTTGTATAAAAGAAAACAACTCCCACAATGCACAGCTCCGCAAGCCACTCCCACTAACACTATCAAGGATTACAACAACGTGAACGTAAACCATTTATTTACAGAAATATATCAACAACAACAAAAAGAAATATGTTAACAATGACAGTTATAGTTCCTCCTGAGCATCCTCAACTCCTTGGTGCCCGCAGTACTGGCCATCTGGAGCTGGATATTTCTGTCGGATTGCCTGCACCACATAAGCGGGTAAAACGACACGATGGCCTCGACCCAATCTCTCGCCTTGCAGGACCCATTCCAGAAAGGCTGTTAGGCGATATTGTCTACAAGACATTGAGCACACAGTTAGCGATGCATGGTCTTTGTGTTTAGCGTGCCACAGTAGTTCGCAATGCAACTGCAAGCTGTTTGTGCAGTAAAGAAGTTAACGTTAGTTCAGTTGGCTGACGTTACGTATTAACCGGGAATAACTTTGTGATAATACTTGAACAAATTGTGTACATACATGCCACGTTGTTATAAGACAGAAAATAGAGACACTCAATTTACAGTCAGACGTCCGTGTGTCCGTAGGCGCACAGCGAGAGCACAGGCACCAGCAGTCCGCCCCAGCTCGAGTCAGTCCGGGCTCCTCGTCCGCGACAGGCAGGTCCTCTGCCTCGGCTGCAGCAGCCTCAGCCGCTGCTCGCTATATTGCGGCTCATAAAGGTAGCCACGAACATCTGATTCGACCATCATACTTTCGAAATTTCTTCCATATTACATTGATTACCATAGTCGTAACGTCTGGCTCGACAGCGCCTCCGCTTAACTTCCAAACAAGAAGACAGTTATATTTTTTAGTTTCTGCAGGTGAAGTCCCACCCACTGATCTGTAATAGGTCTGTAGCATGAGTGAAAAAAAAAAGAGGAAGTAGTGTTTGTAGTCTCACCCCCTCTACAGATATATGAGACTTCCTGCTTCCAATGACGCAAAATGACGATTTTTACATCATTGGAAGCAGGAAGTGCACCACTAAAATCCTTATTTCTCCCCTCTCAGGGAAAGTGAGGGAATGATGCACGACCATTCAAAAATATGACTGGGGTTCTAATGATACAAAGCTTAATGCAAATGGGTGAAGTGTCCCTTTAAGGAGGTTAACTGTGCTTCTCATGCAAGTAAACTGCAGTGTTGGATAAGGTCATGGATGGTTTAGAAAAGGTTTGCTGTGGTCTTGTGTTCAGTGATGCAAAGCAGATGTAAAGCCACACGGCCTCACCTGATGCAAACAGTATGCAAACATGAGGGCATGTGTGTGGCATATATGTTAACCATTGGACTCAAATACCACACCCATGAGGCAAACACACTCCTTCCCTGTTTGAGAGCTACTATAATGTATTCCCATGATCACATATGCACACACACATTCACTGTCCTAGACTATTTAGCATCAGAGATTAAACACATTCTGTTAAATGGACAATTGCCCTCAGCTGGAAGCAAGTTACCCCTAGAGCTACGTAAAAAAAAAACGCAGTTCACCTAGAGAGCCAACAAGTCTGTAGATGATGCAATAAACTTGGACCTGTACTTCATCCTCCAGCATCCAGACTCCCCAGGAACCTATGCCAGGATCTTGTTTGAGGACTTCAGCTCTGCTTTCAACACCATCATCCTAGCTCTGCTACAGGACAGGCTCTCCTAGCTCACTGTGCCTGACTACACCTCCAGATCACAGACTTGCTGTCTGGAAACAGCATGCGAAGATGGGAAAACATGTCTCTGACTCTCAGACAATGAGCACTGGATCCCCCCAAGGCTTCCATTGTTGGAAACATTTGGGATAATGTTAGTACATAACTCAACAAAATATGTAACAAAGATAGTGTTTATAGAAATTTAAATGAGAAAATTTTATATATTTAAGGATAAATATGACCTATAATTGCTTGCGGAAAAACTTGTTTGTGAGGGGAATAAAAAACACCACATTTTGTATAGCTTTACTCTATATAAGACTCCATCCAGTATTCGAGTTCATGTGTACCTGTGAGTTCATGTGTACCTGTTTATATCTATGATCATACATATGTACCACAAATGCAGTGATAACTTATATTTAACTAAAAAATACCCTTTATACCTTTTATGTAAAAAAACTCTGGTCTGACACAGGACTGTTTCATGTTTGGTAAATTTCTGTTTTGCATTTCCTGTAATATTTTGTTTCCATATCATCGTGCTGCATAGTCACATTCCTGCTCATACTTATGAGTTGATAGTAAGAAGAGTTAAATTGTTCAAAAATACTGCACATGTTGTTCAGAACAGGAACCATTTGGAAGAGAAGTGTGGACCAGGAGAACCCTTTTTCCACCAGATTAGCTCTGTTTCTTGAACTGGCTCCGTTCAGGATTCAACCACGATATTCAACAATAAATAGTTTGTGTTAACAGGCACACCACACATCAATGCCAAACAATGCTATGTGGAATTAAAATTACACCTCATTATTCATTACACATTAGCATTTAGGCAGGAAGGCATACGGCTACTGCTACTAAAAGAATGGATAAGAATAATTATATATCCAATACATTATGAATTCATTGTTTAAATTCAATTTCTTTTTAAGACACATACATTTCATCACACAAAACAAACTGGATAAACTGTCATATCCACCTACCTCATATAAAAGAACCTGTTCTAACATCCTTTGCACTCTTGTCTTATTGTCTACACATTATTGTTGTTTTATATCTGTGCACAGTAGTTTATGTTTACCTTGTCGAGCTTTTAGTCCTGTGTATTTTGCTGTATGCGCCTATTCTGTGTGTGTACATTGAGAGCAATGTAAAACTATATTATAACTAGAACTATATTCCTGTTATATGTGTACGCATACCTGCCCAACAAAAGTAATTCTGATTCTGATTCAGCATGAAAGAAATTCTTAGTCATTATGTTGTAGTAGTCATATACACCAGTGTTCCCACTCATTAGAAAAAGAGACATGTCTGTTTGCCTTGTACTTTATTGCCACTGAGTGGAGCAGTAAGGACATTGCAGTTACTTTTACCTCAGTTATGACGTGGGGTTGCCTTCTGCCTTCATCACCTCTTCTCCCTGCATTTCCTGTCTGCAATATAAAACCTAACAGCATATCTTAATAAAAAGAAAATGTGGAGTCACTAATTTCCATGAATGAATTATAAGTATTAGTGATATTCCAGTTTGTTCAATTTACTTATTTTCTTTATATCATTACACAAATGTGCTATAATGCCTCAGATTGTTTAAAATAATGTTTTTGTTTTTCAGTTTATAAATCATCAAATTTCCAAGTATGCATCCAAATAATTCTTAATGATCCCCCAAAGTGGAAAAATGTGATGTTATAAACATAAAATAGGCTTAAGTTAAATATTTTTTAATGCTTATGTTTTTAATTGAGTTTATCAACTTAGATGGTTTAAGGCAATCATTTTCCTTAAACAAACTCATCAGATTTCACAGTGTGTCTATACAACATATGCACTCACATTTCATTACATACATCACTCCAAATTTTATTTGTAATTATGGGACCCTGAATTATTGTTATATTATTAAGAGTATTAAATATTATAATGTTAAAAAGTAGGTTTAGTGTTGTCATGACACAACATAATTCAGACAGTAGGATATTCCGCTTACGTTTTTTTATGTGATTGTCTGACTTACTGGTCAGAGCATCTCCAAAACTACAGCTCTTGTGGGGTGTTCCCAGTCTGCTGTGGTCAGTACCTACCAAAAGTGATCCAAGGAAGGAAAAACTGGAGACAGGCAAAGGCTCATTAATGCACGGTGGGAGAGAAGGCGGACAGTGTGGTCCGATCCAACAAACGAACATAACATTATGAGCACCAGGGTTCCCAGGTAGGCATTGTGTTATGGTTGACTGGTGTATTTTAGAAGCAATGTAGGTGAAAGCTTGTGTCATGTTTAGAGTTAATTTGAAGCATGATAATACTTTTTACTTAATGCTCAATACATGTGCAATAGGAGTTATAACTTTTGACCTTTTCTGCTAGTTATAGGGATAAGTTTATTAACTTTCCTCTGACTACATTATTTTATTTTTAGGTAACTGATAATATTTATAACAACTATTTATTATAGTTTATAATAATATTCATAATTATTCACATGCAGCTGTGGTTCTTTTCTGAACTCATAATTTTTCCCCATCATGTGAGAGCTGATGTAGCTCAGAAAGCTCAACTAGTTCAGTTGGTTAAACCTATATGTAATTTCCGTCACTAGGGGGTCTCTCACATCAAAGTTTGATGACTTGTGAAGTAGCGTGGGATCATGGGAGTTGTTGTCTTCACCACCATTGCCTTTTTTCCCTCATAACTTAAGATCCAGACGTCCGATGATGATGATGGAGTGCATTGTAAAAATGTGGCTTAAACATGGATAAAAAGTCAATTAATGACATATATATAATATACAATATCACCAGCCTTATCCTCAAATCAGTATCTTCTTTTTCAACTTTATTCATTTAATTACTATTTTTCACACAGCACAGTAACTCATAAACTAAATGTCTAATTGCGAAATAAAAACAAATCAATGATTAGAGGTGTGTGTACAGAAAGGACAGATACAAGTCAACCACATTTTAACCTAAAACAACCATGTTGTATAGCATGTAAAATATACAATATATAAGGCTGAAAATTCACTTCTAACACAGATAATATTAAATAACAACAAACAATGGAAATCCACTTCAGTTCCCTTCAATAAGAGACAAAGGTGATGGAATTCATACACAATTCAAACAGTATCATAACACAGATAATATTAAATAACAGCAAACACAGACCTACTATTTATCACATATGTCACATAATGTGTACACAAAAACTTCATATTCAGCCTTCTTCTGTCTATGATAATGGCAGTTAACACACACACACCTATTTTCTAAGATGGTTTCAACCCAGTGCTGCATAAATAGCTAAAGCAGAAGCAAACTACATTAAAGGCCTGTTTCATTACATCTGATTTGATAGAGACAGCTGGAGATCGACAGGAAAGGGGGTTAGAGAAAGAGGGGATGACACACAGCAAAGGACCGCAGGTAGGATTGGAACCATGGCCGCTGTAGCTAACCGGGCGTATTCTCCTCTTCTTGGAAGATTTTATTGTCCTTATTCTTTATCCAGGAAATCTTTAAATCTTTTTTAATCCCCTTCTCTTTCAGACTCTCCTCCACCTGGAAAACAAAAATGTGTGCCAATAATGATTATTACGAACCTTTACTACCTTGAATGTCTCTGACTTAAGATTTTACTGTAGTTTACTGTAGTGCTACAAAGGTGCCCTGGCCTACAAACCTTGTTCTCTAGATTGAAGAAAACATGTTTGTTTTTTACTGAACCCCCAAAATTTATGATTTTTGAGGATTTTAACATTTGTTTTTAGTCAAAACAATTTTGATAAAAATTTATAATTCCCACAATAATTGTGGATAATGGGGTGACTGGACCACATCCCAGATGTTCTCCTTCTTTCTTTCTTTTTCAAACTTGCATACTCAAGATGTATTTGCATGATGGGAGGAGAGATCATGCCTCAACCAGAATTTACATGTTCTGAACATGCAAATAAACCTGTTAACAGGACCAGGAGCAGAGCTGCTGTCTTACACACTTCTCTGCGCTTTCTTTAGAACAGTCACCCACCCAAAACCCCATAGAGACTGTGTCTGTCCCCGACCACCTAAACTATTTAAAGAAATAAAAACAAGAGGAGTTCAACATAAAAATCTAATAAAAATTAAAACCAACTCCTCAGTAGCACAAAATAAGAGAATGAAATGTGGGCTGTTAAATATCAGGTCTCTGTCCTCTAAAGCTGTTCTAGTGAATGAATTAATGTCAGATTATGATATTGATTTACTTTGTCTTACTGAGACCTGGTTGTCCCACGAGGAGTATGTTAGCCTAAATGAATCCACACCCCCAGTCATATTAATACTCACATTCCTCGAGGCACAGGCCGAGGAGGTGGAGTAGCAGCTATATATGATTCGGCGTTTTAATGGACCCTAAACCTAAACTAAATTATAATTCATTTGAAAGCCTTGTTCTTAGTCTTTCTCACCCAAACTGGAAAACACTGCAGCCAGTTCTATTTGTTATAGTGTACCGCGCTCCTGGACCGTACTCTGATTTTATATCTGAATTTTCAGAGTTTCTATCAAGCTTAGTCCTTAAATCAGATAAAGTAATTATTGTAGGTGATTTTAATATTCATGTGGATGTTGACAATGACAGCCTTAGTAATGCATTTATATCATTAATAGACTCAATTGGCTTCTGTCAGAGTGTAAATAAACCAACTCATTGTTTTAATCACACTCTTGACCTTGTTCTATCATATGGCATTGATATTGAACATTTAATAGTCTTCCCACATAATCCTTTCCTATCTGACCATTATTTAGTAACTTTTGAATTCATACTATTAGATTATAAGCCATTAGGCAAAACTTCCTACAGCAGATGTTTATCTGACAGTGCTGTAGCTAAATTTAAGGAGGAGATTCCTTCAGTGTTTAATTCAATGCCATGTCTGAATTTAACAGAGTCCTATAACAACTTTAGTCCCTCTGAAATTGATAATCTTGTCGATAGTGCTACAGGCTCACTCGATCAACATTGGACTCTATCGCTCCTATAAAAAGGAAATTATTAAAACATAGGAGACTAGCACCTTGGTATAACCACCAAACCCGCCAGTTAAAGCAAATAGCTAGGAAATCTGAAAGGAAATGGCGCTCTTCCAAATTATCAGAATATCGCTTAAATTGGCAAGATGATCTTAAGATTTATAGAAAGGCCCTCCGTAATGCCAGAGGAGCCTATTACTCAGCACTAATAGAAGAAAATAAGAACAACCCTAGGTTCCTCTTCAGCACTGTAGCCAGGCTGACAGAGAGTCACAGCTCTATCGAGCCACATATCCCCATAAACTTAAGTAGCAATGACTTCATGAGCTTCTTCTATAATAAAATTATTACTATTAGAGAAAAATTAATCACCAACTGCCATCAACAGTTATCAGTGGCTCTCCAAGTTCAGGGACTTCTGTCAATGTAAACTTAGATGTATATTTAGACTGTTTTTTGCTATCGTCTTCATCAGTTAACTTCAATCATTTCTTCATGAAGCCATCAACCTGTCTGTTAGACCCGATCCCAACTAGGCTGCTTAAGAAGTTGTTCCCTTAATTGGCACTTCTTTACTGGATATGATTAATCTTTCTTTATTATCAGGATATGTACCACAGTCCTTTAAAGTAGCTGTAATTAAACCCCTTCTTAAAAGTCTACTCTTGACCCAGGGGTTTTAGCCAACTATAGACCGATTTCTAACCTCCCGTTCCTCTCTAAGATTCTGGAGAAAGTAGTCGCCAAAGAGTTGTGTGACTTTCTACATAACAATAGTTTATTTGAGGATTTTCAGTCAGGATTTAGAGTTCATCATAGCACAGAGACAGCTCTGGTTAAAGTTAATAATGACCTTCTGACTGCTTCTGACAATGGACTTGTCTCGTACTTGTATTATTAGATCTTAGTGCTGCATTTGACACCATTGACCATGATATTCTTTTACAGAGACTTGAGCATCAAATTGGCATTAAAGGAACTGCCTAACCTGGTTTAAGTCTACTTATCAGATCGTACTCAGTTTGTACATGTTAACGATGAATCCTCCATAAATACTAAAGTTAGTCATGGAGTTCCACAAGGTTCTGTACTTGGACCAATACTATTTACTTTATATATGCTCCCTTTAGGCAACATTATTAGGAATCACTCCATTAACTTTCACTGTTATGCAGATGATACGCAGTTATATCTATCAATCAAACCCAATGAAATTAATCAATTATCTAAATTACAAACATGTCTTAAGGACATAAAATCCTGGATGACCTGCAATTTTCTGATGTTAAACTCGAAAAACGAAATTCTTGTTCTTGGCCCCAAAACCTTAGAGACTCATTGTCTAAGATATAGTCACTCTAGATGGCATTAACTTGGCCTCTAGCACCACTGTCGGATCTTGGAGTTCTCTTTGATCAGGATTTGTCATTTAACTCCCACATAAAGCAGACCTCTAGGACTGCCTTCTTTCATTACGTAATATTAGAAAAATTAGACACATACTATCACAGACAGATGCAGAAAACTAATCCATGCATTTGTTACTTCAAGGCTGGATTACTGCAACTCTTTATTATCAGGTTGCCCCAATAAGTCCATTAAAACGCTCCAATTAATTCAGAACGCTGCGCACAGTACTGACAGGAACTAGAAAGAGATCACATCTCTCCTGTACTAGCTACTCTGCATTGGCTCCCTATAAAATGTAGATTGAATTTAAAATACTCCTCCTCACCTATAAAGCTCTTCATGGTCAGGCCCCTTCATATCTTAAAGGCTCATAGTACCCTATTACCCCACTAGAACACTCGTTCTCTGAATGCTGGGCTACTTGTGGTTCCTATAGTTCTAAAGTAGAACAGGGCCAGAGCCTTCAGTTCAGCTCCCTCCTGTGGAACCAGCTTCCAGTTGTGGTTGGGAGGCAGACACCCTCCCACTTTCGGTAGGCTTAAGACATTCCTCTTTGATAAAGCTTATAGTTAGGGCTGGATCGGTGGTCCTGACCATCCCTTAGTTATGCTGCTATAGGCCTAGACTATCGGGGGTTTCCCATGGTGCACTGAGCTACTCTCTTCCTTTTGCACTTTCTGCCTTTAATGCATGTTACTAACTCCACTTCTCCGGTTCTTGTGTGCTCGGGTTCTCTGGATCCTGGTGGGCCTCCTGCCTGGTCCTGCTTGACTGCCATTGCCATACTTTGTTGTGTCTGTTCTCTCTCTCTCTCTCTCTCTCTCTCTCTCTCTCTCTCTCTCCCCCCCCCCCCCCCCAACAACCACCCCCCCCCCCCCCCAAACCCAAACTCCTCCTTTTTTTTTTTTTTATTTTAAAAATTTTTTTTTCTCCTTTCCCCAAAATTTTTTTTTTTTTTTTTTTTTTTGTCTCTGTAATTAATGTTAAAGAGTTCGGTCTAGGCCTACTCTATTTGAAAAGTGTCCTAATAACTCCTGTTATACTTGGGCTATACAAATAAAATTGAATTGAATTGAAAAGAAAGGGAGGCCCCCCAAAAACCCCCCCCTTTTTTTTCCTGTGTGTATTGAAATATAAAGTTATCTATATCTCCATTTGCTAGGTGTCATCCCCCTCTCTCTCTACCCCCTTTTCCTGTCTATCTTAATCTATTTTCCCCCCTTCCTATATGGCAGAACTTTAAAAATCCTTATCTCAGTCTCAGTTTTACAGCCCGTCTTTCCAGATTTTTAAAAATGTTGTATCACCTTACACTAACAGGTCATTTTCATATACTCAAATGAAATTACTCATTAAAATGTACATACTTGCACACACACATATATATATATATATATATATATATATATATATATATATATATATAATTGAGAAACAAATATAACCCCCTAAACCTACACCCGTGATGGCAGTTACCTGATTCAAGATAGCCTCCGTCACAGCAGGGTTATTCAGGTCGATTGTGGTTTTCAGTGCTGTCAGCTTAACTTTTAACACCTGTGTCTTATCTGGTACTGAAGAAGAAATATAGATAAAGTGAAGAATAGATTAGAATGTGTTCAGAAATATGATGCCACATAATCAACATGACGCAGTGTAGAGTTGAACATAACTCACTGTTGTGGCAGATGAAATGTAATTTTTCGTCACAGTGGTTTTCCACCCACTTTCCATGGTGAATAGCATTAATCACACTGGTAGCACATGTGTCAGTTGGACTCACCGGGTGTCCATCTGCCCAGTTTTCAAAATTGGGTTTAGTTTTATCTGACCACCAATACCAGACAATGCGGTGCAGGCCGATAAAAACGTACTTGTCTCTTGGTACCACTTCCTGGATCCTCATATTCTCAGTTTCGTTCCTCACACTGGCCAGGTCTGTGTGATGATTCCTGCAGTATTGCCGAGCATCCCACCAATTGTACACTTTGTTTATATAGATGTATTTTCCACTGGAAGTAGATTCCGAGCCTGAAAGAATTTTTAAAGTTTGTAAAATACTTTATTACTTTGTTTCACTGCTGCAGATAACAATTATTTTAATTATTGATGAATCTGCCAGTCATTTTCTTGATTAATCAATTAATAGTTTGGCCAGAAAAAAAACAACAACCTCCATCGCATTATCTCAGAGACAAGCATCAAGTTTTAACAGTTACTTAGCCAGTTACTTTTCAAATGATTCAGTTCAGTGGAAAATGTATTTTAAAAAGTAAATATTAACACAGTTTAGAAAACGTAATATTTGGACTTAAGACGTTTTGTCTGTTGTCTCGGTATATATCGGCCTTGTAGTCATTGTTACCATGTGGATCAATGTCACACAATTATATGACTGGCTGCCAAAACTCTTCTCATTGGCAATGGCAAGAGCCTTCTATTTTTCTTGACTTGGACTTAAACCTCTTTGGATTTGTCTTGGACTCGACAAAGGTGGTCTTGACTACAGCACTGGCTGTAAATAACACCAAAGCAAATAACTTATTACTCACCAGAACCATTTTTGTCATAGCAGACAAAGGTGAAAACATCTTCACAGAAACAATCATTCCAGACACTGTTCTTGAGAACAGTGCACAACCATTTTTGTTTTTTCATGTTATCTGGTTCGCCATTGTTCCACTTTCTAAAGTTTTTCTCTCCCTGTCCGTAGAAGCCAGACTCTGACAGAGACCAGCCCCAGCTAAAGGGTTTGTCAGTCAAGCCTATCCACACTTTCCCTTCATAACCACTGCCTGCAGCTGAGATCAGCCGCTCCATATCCTCCATGTTGTCTATGGTGGCCAGGTCTGTGTAATTTTCTTTGCAGTACTGTCTGGCTTCAAGCCAAGTCTTTGGTTCATCAATTAAATAGTAATTATGAAGGCATGAGCACATCCCTGTAAAGAAAGGGACATTTGTCAAATCACTGTTGAAAAATAAATCTGTTGGTTTGGAAAAGAAGATGGTTGTGTTAAAATCAGCCTTTAAGATAAATTAGGTGTTTGTTTTTATAAAAAAGAGAGTAATTACAGTAAAACAGACTGTAATGAACTTAATGTAATGCCAGCAGCACAAAATATACTTTGGTGATCACCTGACATCACTTGTGAAACATCAGCATGTCATTGTAAGTTTGCAGAACCACTACCATTTTTATTTTCAGTCTAAAATAAAATATACGACATAAACATACATACGCATCCAGACTGACCTGATAAAAGGAGAATACACAACATGGTCCTTCTAATACCTGAGGATGACAAACATTCTTCAAAAAAACTGTAAAATGAATAATTAAGTATACAGAAAACTTGTCTACAATGTCTCATAAACTCTATGAAGTTTTCCATTAATCAATAATGTGAAGATTGTGCTCTTCATTTATTTGTGAAGCAGCCAAAGCCGAATTCATGATGATCAGGTAAGCCCACTGGACTTTAGTGAGCTTTCTTGGGAAATTATATATGGAAACTCAATATGAAACACAAAATGAGACCCAGCAACGGGAAATCAGGGATTGTGTCTCATAGACACCTCGCTCCATCACAACTTCTCAGATCAAGCTATAGCATGAAGGGGCTTACATTTTTTAGATACATTTCACTGTGCAACCCTGTGTGACAAATAATTGACTTTGAATCCTTGAAATCTCTCTAGGTCGACCATTCATTCCTTTATTTGAGCTAACTTAGAAAATCTATTTTGCTCTACTTTTCTGGACGATATAAAAAAGACTTGTCTTAACGTCCAAATCTTTTAAGATATTTCCTACCTGGATGTATGGGAGTGCAGGCTGGTGGCATCTTCAAGTTCTTGTCCTTTATCTAAATCTCACTGAATTTTAAACTATCACCTGGACAAACGCAGCAAACCTTTTATCTCAGTTTTCTGGTGCAAAACACTGACTAGCTCATCTCCTAACAACTGTAATATGATCTCTTGCACCTCCTTTTGAGACACTTCCAGCCTCTTACAGCCCATCCCAGCATCACCATCTCCTACAAATTACCTTGAAAACTTAACAGTAAGACCTGTGTTATTTATCAAGGAAAATGAGTCTCTTTCTCAGAACTGAAAAAAACATTTTTAATAAAGACGTAACACAATCTTTTCTACATGGTGCAAGTTTAAATAAGCCATTGAACCACAGTTAAGGAGGTTAACTGTGCTTCTCATGCAAGTAAACTGCAGTGTTGGATAAGGTCATGGATGGTTTAGAAAAGGTTTGCTGTGGTCTTGTGTTCAGTGATGCAAAGCAGATGTAAAGCCGCACAGCCTCACCTGATGCAAACAGTATGCAAAAATGAGAGCATGTGTGGTTCTTTGTTTTGATAAATGAATATACATTTGAAATAAAATGTACACATGCGAGTTTACTACCCTGAAGTCTCTGCTGAGTCTGACAGCCATTCTTTGACATTGCTGTATTATTTTCTAGATAAAGATGGAAATGTGCTAGGTGGTGTTTAGGGTTAACAACCAGCTCTGTAGAACTTTTTCTCTATTTTCTTGGACTCGTTGGTATTTGCATTCAGACTTGTCTCGGACTCTGCCATTGGTCTCGCCAAATATTGATGGTGTGCGAGGGGTGTCTGATCTGAGCAGCAGCGAAATAAATAAAGATAAATGCCATACAGTTTCAGTGGTGGCTCTGCTGATGAATCTGCAGACAGCAGCATGAATGAACTGAAGACAGTGAAAGATAATTATATTTAAAAAGAAAGCAGCAAGATGGTAATGCAGGTGTGTCGCTGTGCTACTGGTTAGATGAGACCAGCTGATGAGAACAGCTGATATCATGGTTGATAGCCCCAGATTATTACAGCAATGAAATTATGCACGAGAGCAGTGAATGCAGGATAGAAAGAGACAATAGCTACAGGCCTATATGCAAAAGTAATGAACTTTCACACAGCTTTATTGTACTTTATGATCTTGTAAAAGGTCCCATCACACATCTGTCACATGATCTTTAATATAGAGCCACCAATTTAAGCCATCGGGTCTGGTTCCAGGCCTTATCTGATATGTAACAACCACTCCTGCTTTAATAAAAAGATTAATTCAATTCTGAAAGAAAAGCCTGATGTGTTCTTTCTCATGGCCTTTTCTTTCAAATGTAATTAAAAAACGGTTTCACATGTTAATAATGCTCTATTCTGAAGCCAAACATGTCACTATAACCATAACTGTGGCATATGTAATGCAAGCTAGACCTGCAGCATTCCTCATGCCAAGCTGGTGTCAGCAGCATATACTTCAGGTGTGTCGTAAGTGGAAAATGTTAACCATTGGACTCAAACACCACACCCATGAGGCAAACACACTTCCCTGTGTGAGAGCTACTATTATGTAGTCCCATGATCACATATGCACACACACATTCACACAAAGTTCGTGCCACAACATGTGAGCATAATACAGTAAGTAACAGTAGGTTGTGCCATAAATGCTGTTTTTTATTTATATTATATGTATTTTAAAAACAGGTAGATAAAGCAGATAGACAGAGAAACCAGTGCTGGGTTCAGGGGAGGGAGGGCCCGGGCTGATGAATAACTGTGTTGACGTTAGATTTTCCTGTTTCACAGCTAGTCGTGTAACATATTCATACTCATTCATGCAGCAGGAGAGTCACCTGCTCTGCCGTCACTGGGGACAGAAGTGTTACTGACTAACTTCCCCTAAAAGAAGTAGCTGTAAGTACGAACAATATGCAGTAAGAGCTAAGCAATATTATCTATTATGTTGTGAAGAAGACAGTGAAGTTCATTTAAATAGCTAAGGCTGTTAGTATTGGCTGCCTGATACCTGTAAGTCTGCACTACAAATATATGTTCACATAGACTGATGGCAATGTACTACAGACTAAATATGCTGTTTTTTAAATGTTACTTAATATTTAATGTGATTTAAAGGGTTTTAATGTTGTTGTTTGTCATCTGCATGTCTTAAATTTCTGGGGAACTTGCTTTTTTCTTCTAAGCAACAGCAGATTTGAACTAGTAGTTCAGTTGATATTCTGTATGAACCTAATTTCCTGGTTATTGTGGGTTTGAATGATGGGATGAGCTGCAGGTAGTTTCTTCCAACAGTCAGGGCAGACATCAGGTCTGTGTAAGGCCTTTCTTTTTATTTGTCTGTACATAAGGGAATAATCAGGTCTAATGCTAACACTTTCAGAAAGAGCATGCCAGCTCTTTCCCTCTGCTGGCTGTAGCTTCACATCAAGTAAAGCAAATAAGCCTATTTCCCTAAAATTCAATGTCTTGAGTCAGCAAGTTTCCTGTTTGTTTAATTACCCTTGAGCTTAAATAAACTAGTTCCTCTATTAGGATTAGTTTTTACTAAATATGTACGTTAGCTTGGGAAGAGAAGGAGGTTGACCTGTCATACCCCCCCCGAAACTGCCAGTTATGTTACAGCTTGTGATGCTACAGTAACTTGTTGTTTGTATGTGTAAATACATATTACTAATTACTTTACTTACTATGATATTTTATTTGTGCAACCTGATTTAGTAAATTATTAGCTAACAGCAACTATAGAAGAACTTTAAACACAAAATTATTGAAGTAATGGATTGACAAATAGCCATTACAACCAAATCCAGATATGTATTGTCTCACAAGTGGATTTCTGTCTGTAGCAAGCAGTAATAATATTATTTCTCACATTTTTCCATTGGTGTTGGAGGGGAACTGGTGTAACTATGTGGATTCTGTTTGAAGTGTGGGTGTGTCTGGTGTGTGTATTGTCCAAGAAAACAATGACTAATACACCAAGCACACACAACAGTGCAGGGTGTATAAGTCCTGAATTTCAAGATGTGCATGGTTCCACATATTTACACAGTTACGTCATTACATAATAAATACACACGTAAGAAGGTAGTCAGCTATGTTTTTACTTTGTTTACTTTTCATTAAATGTATTTTCATAGGTAAATAATATACTTTTTAGACAATTAACAACACTTTTAATACATTATGGAAGTTCAGGTAGAAAAAGTACCTGTGACTGTACCTTTGTGTTTGTTCTGTGGCTATAAATATAAAAACTGCATGCACTTCCTCTATAAAAGATCTACCCGAGCAACTGATCACCTAACTTCCTTTTTTATTAATTTTTTTTGTTCTGCAGACAATGGCCTCCTCTGGTAACATGTTACCTGAAAAACAGTTCCAGTGCACCATCTGTCAGCAAGTGTTCACCGACCCGGTCACCACTCCCTGTGGACACAACTTCTGCCAGGCCTGCATCCAGAATGTGTGGGACAGCAGTGAGGTCTGCCACTGCCCCACCTGTAACAAATCATTCACCTGCCGGCCTGAAATAAGCATCAACACAGCCTTCAAAGAGCTGGCGGATACATTTAGGAAGATTATAGTCTGTTCGTCGGCTTCACCGCTGTCCGCAGCCAAACCAGGTGAGGTGGTGTGTGACGTCTGCGCTGCGACGTCCCTGCAGGTGAAGGCCCTGAAGTCCTGCCTGGTGTGTCTGACCTCGTACTGCGAAGCCCACCTGGAGCCTCACCAGAGAGTCGCCACCTTGAAGATCCACAAGCTGATTGAGCCGGTGAAGAACCTGCAGGACAGGATGTGTAAGAAGCACGAGAGGCTGCTGGAGATGTTCTGCAGGGACGAAAAGAAGTGTGTGTGCCAGTTCTGCACTGAGACGGAGCACAAAGATCACCAGTATGTTACAATACAGGACGAGAGTGGGAAGAGAAAGGTACAGTATATTCTGTATTGTAAGGGTTTAGGCAGTATGGGTTGCTGAAGAAATTGACCTATTTCCATGAACCAGAAAACTTCATTAAACAGCAAGAACAAAAACAGGAAAGTCTGAATTATAGACAAGAAAGTTGCAATAATACCGTCTTTTGAATAGATGTAAAACTGCTCAGTGTGTGTAAAAGTAAAAGGTTGACAAATACAACATTACAAATAAAGTGCCATCTTTACCCACTGCACTTCTCTGTTGTAGTTTAGATATTTAGTTTTGGGGTTGTTTTTATTAAAGATCCAGGGCTGTAAGACATAATGTCTCTAGAATTAGGCCTTTTTATGGTTATTATAGTGTAGTTAATATAGTATGTGTTTTAATAGCAACCCTAAAATTAAATTTAAACAAGAAAGAAAATCCCAACTGAACAATGATGTTACCAAGAGAGAAACAAAAAAATATCACAGAGTTTTACAGAGTTTTCATGTTGAAATAGTTAACCTCTACCTTTAGTGGTGGGCAATGCAAGATTAGACAATAACAAGATTTCATGAAATCCTGTTTATTTTCTGATACACATTCCACATTTACAGTCAGAGTGTAATTTGCTAGTGCGGCAGTGACAAACTTACAGCTTTCCAAATGAAGGTTTCAATTTATGTTCTGTTCTTTAGATCCAAATCAAGAAGACAGAGGAAGATTTTCAGCAGATGATCCAGGATCGGCTGAAGAAAGTGGACGAGATCAAAAACTGTCTGAAGCTCAGCACGGTGAGCCCAGATGGAAATGTTAATCGCTGACACAAAGCATTTGGATTGTTTGTCTTCTTGTTGGAATTCATCTGGTGATTTGGAGTTATTATTGAGCATTTTATTATCAATGCCTGCTGTCTCACTTGTTTTGTAAATGAGACCAATGATCAATTATTTCTTTACTGGCCAACCTTAGTGATGCAACATGATGGCAAGATATTCCCAGTTTAGCTTCAACAGAGCTTGATAGCAGATTGTATTTTAGCCATTTAAAACCTGAATGGAACAATAAACATCTAATCTGATGTGTCAGTCATGCAATACAGCTACAAAATTTTTTTAAAAGTGGTATGCCTTTTTACTTAATTAGAAAACATTTTCTTGCATTTGGCTGTAGTCTGTGGGTGTATTTGTTTCATATATTTACACATTTATGTTCACATTTTACATCTGCCAGATGAGCGCAGAGAAGGAGATGAAGGAGAGCGACCGTCTCTTTGCGTCTTTGATTCGCTCCATCAAAGAGAGACAAACCGAAGTCAACACGGAGATCAAGGAGAAGCAGAAAGCAGCAGAGGGGAGGTCAGAGGAGCTCATCAGTGAGCTGCAGCAAGAAATCACTGAACTGCAGAGAAGAAACAATGAGCTGGAGGAGCTGAGGAACACTGAGGACCACCTGCACGTCTTACAGGTTACAATCAACCTAAATGTTTTACAATTAGATTAAAGAAATTGATCAAAAATACATCTTTTGGTAATACTTTTTTCACCATGATAAGGAGGAAATGTCTGGAGAAAGCTGAAACTGAATATTTATATTTCTTGTTTTCTGTTTTTCTTCTAAAAACTCTATGGGTCAAAGTAGGTCGACCCCCCTGGCAGCTCTCTTTCTAAAACAATGCGCTACTCAAATTCACACACTAATACTCAAATTTCTTCTCCCTCTGGTAGAGGTCACCCTCTCTTACGTCACCTCCCCCCACCAGGGCGTGGATGGAGATCGGCGTCCACCCTGAACTCTGTGTTAGGACAGTGAGAAGAGCACTGTCTAAAGTGGAAGACACCCTGAGGAAAGAACTGAACAGTCTAAAGAAGGAAGGTAAAGCGAACCGAAAAAGTCCTGTCTGGGTTCACCAAATATTACAGTCAAACGTTTCATGTGTCTAACTAAAATGTCACATCAGAAACTAATAAAACGTTTTTATCTTCCTGGCAGAGATGAAAAGGATGCAGAAATATGCAGGTAAGACCTCATTCAACAGCTTTAGGTAGTTTCTACTACATTAAACCTAATTTTGAAAGTCACAATGATAATATATTTCAGTAATTTGAAATTTGACTAAAGTGTAAAAGTACATATGTCTAGCTTTATGACAAATAGAAGTATAGTAGTAGTAGTAGTAGTAGTAGTAGTAGTAGTGGCAATAGTAAAGTAGTACATATTCCTGATGTTTTTCCCAAACTAAAAGTTTATCTCTGGATGATTTGGAAGTAGATGTGATGGTATTTGTAACAGATTTTGTTAACTTTAACTACTCTCATCTCATCTCCCTAGTTGACGTGGTTTTAGACCCGGACACCGCCCATCCAAACATTGTCCTGTCAGCTGATGGGAAGCAGGCGGGCCGTGGCGAGCTGCTGCACATCGTGCCTGACAACCCCCAACGCTTTGACCCCGTCATCTGCGTTGTGGGCAAGCAAGGCTTCCAGTCCGGGAGGATCTACTTCCAGGTCAGTGTCTTGCTTGATGATTTATTATAAATCACAGTGGAGCTGAGATTTCTATGTCCATTTTGTTCCATCATCAATCAGGTTGCAGTGGGAACAAAGACCTTCTGGGACCTGGGCGTGATCAAAGAGTCTGTCAACAGGAAAGGGATGATCACCTCCAAGCCGGAGAACGGCTATTGGACGGTGCGGCTGAGGAGCGGGGACGAGTATCGTGCTTTGGACTCCCCTTCGGTCCTTCTTTCCCTCAAGGAGAAACCGCAGATTGTCGGGGTATTTACGGATTACGAGGAGGGGACTGTGTCGTTCTTTAACGTGGAGGCCAGGTCTCACATCTACACCTTCACCGGGTGTTTGTTCTCGGAGAGGATCTTCCCCTTCTTCAGCCCGGGTGTTTGCGATGAAGGGAAGAATACAGCGCCACTGGTTATCACAGCTGTTAACCATGAGACTTAGACTTACTTTGACTTTGTTTTGAAGCTGCAAGAAAAACTCTGACTTGCAGAACTGATCAAGTATTTAATATTAAAGTATCTGGGTGTCTACTGTACAAACACCAGCAGTTTTCAAAGATCTGAATGTCCCACACAAAACAAGTTATCACAGCCTTGAAGCTTTTCCCCCTAATATGATATAAGGTATAAGGAATAGCTTTTGTAAAAAAAAGTTTTTGCACTGCAGTGTAAAAAGATGCATTCAGAGCCTGGACTGTTGTATCAGATAATCGGTTAGAGTTCTCTAACCAGCCGTGATATTAAAGCTGATGTTCACACACTAAGCCGACCACAATCAGAACTGCTGCTTTAATAATCCAAACAGTAGTATTATTAAGCATTTTACTATAGAAAGAAGGCCTATAGTCCTAATAGTAATAGTCAGAGGACAATCTGAATCATTTGTGTTATTAATATACATTATATTGATCTCAAACAAAACAGCATGGCTGGAAAATATGTTTTTGGGTTCATGTTCACCATAATAATACCAAATGCTGAACTTCAATGAATCCCCACGTCGGTGCAAAATTATACCTGACATGTTTATGGTTGTATTGTGATGTTGGCTCTACAGCCACAGGATAGCACTGTACCTTAAATTTGCAAAGCAGATTTTTAACTGAAGTTAGAAATGACATAGGTGCTGATTTACTTTTTATTACAGCTTTAACATCAATGATCAGTCATGGTTATCAGTCTAACAAAAACATTGTAAGAATAATGCCTGGACAAGCATGCTTCAATCAGTGTGTGATTATTTGTTTGAATTAAAGAAGGATTCATTATTTTACTCTTGGCCCTGAAACCTTTTCTGTTTTGCAAAACCTTTGCATCAGTCCAGACAAACCTTTCATGTTTCCATGTGCTTTGCATTCTTAGAGTCCATTTTGCACACCATGCAAGGAGCATTTAGAAGGAAGCTTTCAGCAAGAAACATAAATAACCAATGCAACATGTGCTGTATAGCTGAGTTTACTCATAAACAAATGCTTACAGCCACATTAATGGATCAATGGGCCGTTCTTTGAACACTGGTGGTTGTACAATGTGTAAACACAACTGTCATCACCTCATAAAGTGATAAACAATCAACTATTCAGCAGTTCTAGAAAATATTATCATTCATTTGGAGTCATGTTTCTGGCTACCTGATGGATGACCAATGTCCAATAATCACTCTCCTTTTAGCTCTGGTTTGGTCTCCAAACTCCTGAGGAAAATAATGTGGCAGCTGCTAAATGTTCCACCAAACAGTTAGCTAGTTACTATTTCTAGCTCTTTTTAGCAGGCATGTAGCATGCCGTGTGTGTTTTGGGAGCCCTTTTCTGTGGTAGTGAGAATGAACCAAAATGTACCAAAACAATGAGCTGAAAGATGCTTAAGTGCCCTGTAGAGCAGAAGCAAACTGCAAAGTCAGGTGATAATTCTCGTGGGTTTGTCCCATTAAACATTAAAATCCATTTGGTTAACAGCAGCTAATCTTTTTCAGAAATAAAAGCACATATTTTCATCATCATGTGAATTTCCAGTGGGTTGGTAGCGTAGGGAAAATTTTCCAGGAGAAATAGGGCAGGCCACCTGTTTTGAATGTACGTGATGTGTTGCTTTAAAAGTCAGAATAGAAGAAACAAGAGAAGACTGCCCCCAAAGAGATCATCTGCGACTCTTCTCCGTCACAGGTGAGTTTTATTATCATTACAATTACATTATTAATGATAGATTGAATGGTGGTCATTTTTTCCTAAATTTGTCTAGAATATCTTGACCTTTCTTCAGACTTCTTTTCATTTTTTTATAGAAAACACAGACAATGGAGAGGGGAATGTTTGGCATATTGGTACTCTCAGGTGAGGCAGTGATTAAAGATACTCAAAAAAAGTGCATTTGAGATGAATATTCAAATCAACCGTACTCCCTGAAACCTTCACTTTTGCGTTGTCCGCAGCCCTGTGCGAGTTCACACCCTGTCTTCATCATCGTCAGTACCACTTCAACAATGAGCCCAAAACTTGGCCTGAAGGCCAGAAATATTGTAGAGAGAAACACACCGATTTGGCCTCTGTCAGCGACGAGCACGACCTGGAGGAACTAGCTGGTCTGATTCACTCTGATGTTCCACATGTATTCTTGGGTTTGTACAGAAGTTGGGGGTGGTCAATGTCAGATGCTGATGACTACAAAGAGGGAGAAGTGGCCTACTGGAAGTGGGCCAGTGGTCAACCCAAAACACATTACTGTGGTAGCATAGGATCGACTGGAGAATGGTTTGCTGCAGACTGCAAGAGCAATTTGAACTTCTTCTGCTACAATGGTAAGAAAATGATACACTTTATATTTTTTAATGGTGATAGGATGCTTTGTGGTCTAAATACAGTGTTTATTAAGTGTGGAAGCAACTTTCTTTGTCAAAGAAATTCATTCCATCATTGGCAGCTAGTTGAATTTTAAGATGGTGTATAGTCACAGGGTTTGTGTAAATATGCTTCAAGGCTTTAAAGTAACATAAATTATCAGTATTTTTACGTACATCAAATTAATAAAGGGGTTGCTTGCAGTGATATATATATATATATATATATATATATATATATATATTAATATATATGAGAGACCAAGTAAACGACTACAGTTGGTGAACAAAGTAGAGCATTTAGCAGCTAAAGAGCAAAATATTTCCTTCAGGAGTAAAACTCTCAAGAACTGCATGATTTACTTCACATAGACACTTTATTTTTTCAATGTTCTACCATTTTGTTCTTAAATTCACAGTTGGATACCAGCCCATATACCGTACTTTGGACGAACATTATTAGCTTATGTCAATAATCTGACAGATATGTTGTGCATCCCTAAATGAGCATCGAACTCTAACTGAACATTGATTGAACAGCTGATGTCATTTGCAGGGTCCACCACTGATATTTCTCAGAGGTTTACTTTGGGGAATGGCTTCATGAACTGGCTCGATGCTCAGGCTTACTGCAGGAAACTGCACACAGACCTGGCCAGAGTGCGGAACCAGCTTGAAAATGAACAGCTGCAGAGGACTGTGAACAACAGCCCGGTGTGGATTGGGTTGACGGGCATGTCCTGGATATGGTCCGATGGGAGCGAACCCTCATTCACACCCTGGAGACTGATTCGTGGACTCGGTGACTGTAGCGTACTTATGGTCAACAGCGACCCTCTTGTAATGAAAGACCTGAGTTGCGATGAAAAACTGCCCTTTTTTTGCTATACTGGTAAATATCTTTTTCTGCCATCACACCCTATGATATTTTTTCATTATCTTTATCTTTCAATAGTTTTAGTAGTAGTAATTAGTTACTAGATATAGTCATAGGTATAGGTATAGTTTTTGTTACTTTTAAATGTCTGTTTCAGTTCTCTTATTAATGCATGCAGCTGTCAGCTATATTATTTTAGTGTTGCTGTGGGCCAATACAAATGTAACAAGTTATTTATACTCCCAACCACCCAGAGGGCAGCAACGAGTAGCATTCCTACCTGTAAGCTACACTTAGGCTGTGTTCAGACTGCAGGCAAAAGTGACACAGTACCTTGAACACTGCTTTACAGCTGTGTGTTTGAGGGTTCATGTATGGGATTAACAAAAAAAAAAAAAAGAAAAAGATCAGGCATGCAAAGAAAAACTAAGAAGAAAAAAATCATAAATGCACCTAGCTTTGCTCTGTCCAAAGGAAAAAAATATCCTTACTACCAGAACCTTTAAAGCTCACCAATTAACACATTGGGTTAAATGTCTCATCTGTTTAATTTTAGAGCTGCACAATATGGTAAAAACATCCTATATCTTATTTTGACAGATACTGCGATTGCAATATGATTCACAATTAGTGTGGGAATTATCAGTTTTGCATCACACATTTAATTTTCACTGAAAAAAAATATGATGGTATGAAATTTATTGGGATCTGTACCAAACAAACATGTAGAGAACAAGACTTGTAGGCCAGGGCATCTCTTCTCTTTTACCTTTATTGAAAAATGTTAGCTCCTGCCATTTGGATGTTGCGCTCTACCATATTGTTATATAGATAATGTATTAATTAATTGTGCAGCCCTATTTAATTTGTACAAAAATGAAAGTGTAAGATTTATGAGTAATTATGAGCTGGACTATATAACTTCTCATCTCTTGGAACTATTCCTCTAGGTATTAAAAAATATTGTTCCCTCTTTTATTCTTGCCAGATCCACGGAGGAAACACTTAATGAGACTGCAGCTGACTGCTGACGACCAGTCTGTGGACATTAAAGACCTGGCTGTGAGGGAGGCAGTCTTGAAATGGGTGACCACTTTTCACATTTAACCTCTGAGCAATTTCTGACAGCTTGTATGATGTTGAATACACAGATCTTCAATTTAACCTTTTATATCCCTTTTCTGTTGGTATAGGTGGAAAGGAAGCTGAGAGATGAAGGTGCATCTGAAGATGTAAAACTGAGCTGGTCGAAGCTTCCAAAGAAGGAAAAAGACACAAATCAAGAACAAACAAAAACTATTCAAACTGTGGAAGGAGAATGTCTTCAATGATTCGTTTTATGTTGTGCATTTTCCTTTTAGCTTGTTTGAATATCTGCATGAAAATATTTCTTTTTTTTAACATAGTACATAGTACAGTGCCAGAAGTCTGAATTACATTAAAAGTTCTGTTCATTTCAATGACTCTTATGCATAATCAAAATTATTAAGAGTTCAGGATATCAGTTTTGTTTCCCTAAAAATGTATATTTGTTAAGAAATGACCCCATTTATTCTCTAAATATTATTTATGTATGTTTGCCCTTTTAGTAAATGTTACTCGTAGATGAAGAACGTATATTTTCTCTAAAAGAGAGACAAATATGATGGATGTAATGACAATTTGTTGTGATGAATATCAAATGTTTGTACAAAGAGAGGTTTTATTTGTCCAAGCAGTGAGAAAATTTTTTTAAGCCTCTACTTTGCATCCAGATCAATTATAGAAAATAATGGAATAATTCAAATAAGTTAAATGATGAGTCTGCTCTTGGGGGGATATATTCTTTGAAACTGACCAAAATAATTCAATCTTTCTTGACCCTGATTTGCTTTTATTGCATTGAGTAAAGTATAATATTGTACGTTTTAAATAACTTGACAACCATTCCTGTTTTGATATCTTATTCATTCTGTATTGTTGTGTTGTATTCATAAACTCTCCATTTGTTAACAAGTTATCCTCTTTTTCTCATGTGTGCTTGTTGTATGATGGTGTACTTACATTTGACACTGCTTTGTTTTGTTTTGTCCTTTTTGCCCGCTCTGTGGGTCGTCTCCAATTCAACATCTACCATCTCTAAATTATTGAGGATACAGCCAAACTATTTTTCTTGGCACCACATGCAGGAAACTTCCCTTAAATGTGGTTTTAACATTGGTTGGGACGATGGTTTGGTTAGTTTAGCAATATCTTGGTTTGTCGCCAATATTTCACCAATGTACCATGTACACTGATCAGCCATGACATTATGAGGGCTGACAGGTGAAGTGAATGACACTGATTATCTGGTTATCATAGCTCCTGTCAGTGGGTGGGATATATATGGCACCAATAACAAAAAAAGAAAACAGGTATCGTGGTTTGGGTTAAAGGTATGTCTTTGTTAAGTTTAGTGGACATTTGTCGTCATGGTTACAATAATAACCACTTGGTTAAAGGCAGGAGAAAGACTGTGGTCATGCTTAAATGAAATTAACATAGACCGATTGAAATGGGAAACTAACAGTAGCCTACTGTGTTCCACATCCACCTCGACCTCCTCCCTATGCAGACTGTCACCTGAATTCCTCCTTTGTTTCTGATAGACAAGAGTCATAACTACTTTAATAGAGTTTGTCAATTGAAGGTTAATATAACAGACCTGATGCTGATTGCAGTGCTGTTAGCCCGAACAATGTTTCTACTTCAACAGTTTCAAAATCAGTTCTAGTCTAGTGCAGAAATACCAGATGACACAATATTCAGATACTCAGTAGATCTTTATTGTTTGCAAGCAAGAGCCATCATCAGCATCACACAGATATGACTGAGGAGAGGCAGTACTTAGACACAACACACATAGCCAACAACAGGATGTACATTATTTCACTCAAGATACTATTCAACCTTACTTTACTTGGTCTTGACATTTTCTTGGCTTTAAGCACATATATCTATGTATTTAGTTTCCCAACAACATAAAACATTGTAATGTAATGGTGGACTATGCTAGCGAAAGCAGAACAATATTGGAAAAACTTGATTATAAGAATTTCCCTCACACACAGTCGATGGCATCTGAGATCAGTGAAGTGGAGTCATTGAATTCTCACATTCCACTGACTAGAAAACCACTGAAGGTGGTTGTGTAGCCGGACGCCCAAATACGATTGTCTGGACTCAGGCGCACTACTGAGTATCTGAATATTGTGTCATCTGGTATTTCTGCACTAGACTAGAACTGATTTTGAAACTGTTGAAGTAGAAACATTGTTCGGGGTAACAGCACTGCAATGAGCATCAGGTCTGTTATATTAACCTTCAATTGACAAACTCTATTAAAGTAGTTATGACTCTTGTCTATCAGAAACAAAGGAGGAATTCAGGTGACAGTCTGCATAGGGAGGAGGTCGAGGCGGATGTGGAACACAGTAGGCTACTGTTAGTTTCCCATTTCAATCGGTCTATGTTAATTTCATTTAAGCATGACCACAGTCTTTCTCCTGCCTTTAACCAAGTGGTTATTATTGTAACCATGACGACAAATGTCCACTAAACTTAACAAAGACATACCTTTAACCCAAACCACGATAACTGTTTTCTTTTTTTGTTATTGGTGCCATATATATCCCACCCACTGACAGGAGCTATGATAACCAGATAATCAGTGTCATTCACTCCACCTGTCAGCCCTCATAATGTCATGGCTGATCAATGTACATGGTACATATTATATATTGGCGACACTGACAAAGACCAAACCAAGATATTGCTAAACTCACCAAACCCTGGTCCCAACCAATGTTAAAACCACATTTAAGGGAAGTTTCCTGCATGTGGTGCCAAGAAAAATGGTTTGGCTGTATCCTCAATAATTTAGAGATGGTAGATGTTGAATTGGAGACGACCCATAGAGCGGGCAAAAAGGACAACACAAAACAAAGCAGTGTCAAATGTAAGTACGCCATCATACAATAAGCACACATGAGAAAAACAGGATAACTTGTTAACAAATGAAAGTTTATGAATACAACACAACAATACAGAATGAATAAGATATCAAAACAGGAATGGTTGTCTTAAAAGAGATTTAAAATACGTACAATATTTTGATACTTTTGACTCTAATGTCAATAAACACAAGCCACAATCCAGAGGTCCAATCTGATGTTAAGATTTGTTGAATTATTTTTGGTCAGTTTCAAATGAATACATATTCTCCCCAAGAGCAGCCTCGTCTTTGATTTTAACTTTATTTTAATTATTCCATTTTTTTCTATAATTGATCTGGATGCAAAGTAGAGGCTTAAAAAAATGTTCTCACTGCGTGGACAAATAAAACCTGTCTTTGTACAAACATTTGATATTCATCACAACAAATTGTCATTACATCCATCATATTTTTCTCCCTTTTAGAGAAAATATGCGTTTTTCATCTACGAGTAACATTTACTAAAAGGGCAGAGAGTTGTCCACAGACTTGTCGTCAGCAGTCAGCTGCAGTCTCATTAAGTGTTTCCTCCGTGGATCTGGCAAGAATAAAAGAGGGAACAATATTTTTTAATACCTAGAGGAATAGTTCCAAGAGATGAGAAGTTATATAGTCCAGCTCATAATTACTCATAAATCTTACACTTTCATTTTTGTAAAAATTAAATAGGGCTGCACAATTAATTAATACATTATTCAATTCAATTCAATTCAATTCAATTCAATTTTATTTGTATAGCGCCAATTCATAACAGAAGTTATCTCAGGACACTTTTCAAATAGAGCAGGTCTAGACCGAACTCTTTAACATTAATTACAGAGGCCCAACAGTACCACCATGAGCAAGCACTTGGCGACAAGGGCAAGGAAAAACTGCCTGTTAAAAGGCAGAAACCTAGGACAGATCCTCCGGCTCTAGGTGGGTGGTCGTCTGTCTCGACCAGTTGGGGTGAGAGAGAGAGAGAGAGAGAGAGAGAGAGAGAGAGAGAGAGAGCGACAGACAG